GTAATATGTACCAGTCAATCTCGCAGCCGCTCCTTGCTACGATCAGCAGCCCTAGATACAACCCCGCTTTCTATCGTGCTCTGCCCTATGAGAGCGGATGAGCCGGGGGAAGACCAGAACACTGAACTTGGGAAGAATTCCCCGTTTGAAAAGTAAATTACTCATTACTCTTACATCTTACATCTTCCAATTTAGTAGTTACAGGTTACCATTAAACCCCAATTAAATTTGAATTTACCTCCCTTCAAACTGCTGTTATTGTGATTTCTATGCGGTGGGGACGCAGCTGATATCTTTTCCGGAGGATTCAAGTCTAATTGATTTAGAGAATTCTGCTATGTATCAATATTAAATACATATACTATATTTACTAGCTATACTAAATATCTGTTCTGCTCAATTACACCATATTATTCCAGCAAATTAACTCCACCAGCGTCAATGGCCATAGACATGACGAGGAGATGAATTCCAATGACATCATGAAGTCGTACAGGCGACTATCAACCACTAAATCCCAGGACAGGGAAATTACATACGCAGTATCATTACCGGTACGACATGAGATTCAATATAATTACCGTATTTCATACGTAATGGTGTTCACCAGGTACTTTGTCGCTTGTCCAATAATGGCACACAACTATAGGAGCTAATAGGAGCCAGGGGATCGCATGTCAACCAATTCACCGTTGAACCTTCAGGGGTACGGAGTTCTTAATTCCTAATCAACTCGTAAGAGATAAATCCAAAAGAAAAAAACAATAGAAAAAAAGGAATACTCAATAAATTATCCTGTCCACATTAAACCCACTTAACACGGGGCACTGATCTTCAGGAGAAAAGGGGGTATCTGGATCTCATTCCTATTGAAGTTTGAATTCTCCCTTACCCCGGCCTCTCTGACCTCTTTCTGGAATGGACTCTTTCCCGGTTTCCAGGATAAAGGATCTAAAGATTGATGCGACAGGCCACTTACTGGACATGTCTTAGTATCGAATTTTTCTTTTTCTTTTTTCTTTTTTCTTTTCTTTCCACTATGTAAAACCTTCCATGTTGACTCATGATTTCCTGCCAGGATGACCCGGCAGCATGGAACCGTTGCGCCTCAATTCGGGTTCCGGTTGATTTAGATTTAAATTTATGATGCACCTATTTTCGACTCGATTTATCTATCTGCGCTTGACTGAGGTGAAAATAATCGATACATACATTTGTCTGCTTTTTTTAAAGTTTAGCTTCTGTTTTTTTTTTTTGTTGTTTTGCAAGGTCTAACCGCCCAACTATCTAAGTGACACATGTTGGGAAACTATATTGAACTGAAAGACTCTTGGAAGTATCGGTGAATAATCGGTGTACAATCATCTGCATTTAGTATCTTGATTCGACCCTCTCCACGAGAAGACGCGGCGCGGTGCGGCCTTGCCTTACAGACAATCCCCCCGCCCCGAAATTAGGAGTGTATGACCGGCTATTGCTGCACCTCGGCTCTTTGTCCCAAGCCACCACCTCCCAACAAAAAAGTGCCAAAAAAGACAAACAAGTCTGCAAATTTTTTAAGTAAAATAATAACAAAGAATCAATATACAATTCTCAATTACTTCAACTAGTAACGCGCAAACAAAACAATCCAATCCCGACTCTGTCTCATCCTGCAACCATCCATGTACACTGTATGTAGACACAGCCCCATTTAGATCATGATCCTCCGATGCATCTTCCAAGGTTTTTGATGCTGAGCTGAACGGATATACTCCGTCCTGTCAACCCTCCTGTGCTATATCCCGTCCCAGCCTACTACATACTGCACGAGGGTCATTCTGTCTTTCTCAGGCCCTCAATCAATGCAATGCAGCAACCCGTCTCAAGCTCCAAGGTTAGAATCCCAACCCAATTCAACACCACTGCTTGTGAACTCAGGTGCCTACCAAATAGCGTCGCGTGGCTGGAAAGCCCGGTCCAAATCACAACTCCAAGAGCTACCTCCGTACCATTCACGCATTTAATCGACCGTACCATGTGACTCTAGCCCAAAACCTTGCCCTGTTCCCCTGTCCCAGAAACCTGGTGCGACATTGTAAAAGCAGGAGGAGAGGTGGTTCGTGCCGGCGAAGGATGTGCTACTACCCAGGATGTTCGATCCCTCACAGTCCCGATTTAAATGACTTTCTGTCTAGTTGTTGTCTGTTATTCGTTTCGCGGTGAAGCCCGAAGCTGGGATTATGCTATCTGCTATCCTCAGCGCTAATCAAACTTGTAGTTGGTTTGGTGCATCTTGATACAGATCCTCTACATCATCATCCTCACGATCCTCCCCGAGAGTTTCCGGTTTCTGTCTTTCATTTCATGGATTATCGGATCGGTGAGTTGATAGATACTAATTTTTCAGAAAATGTTTATCAAGTACTTTTTCTAATCTTGAAACTTTGTTTCTGGGTCATGCGACCTCGGACCTTCTTCAATGCTGCAATGTACTGTACAATGTACATGCTCGGAGATTGCGTGAGGGTACAAGGTCATCTTATGGAAGGACACTAAATTCAAAGTTACGTGAGCACTTGTGAATATTGGCTTATCGACATCTTCTTCGTCTGATCTGACAGGGTCGCGTGATCACACAGGCTTGTCTAACTGTCCTGTCAACGGAGGTGTGGCGTGGATATCCGAGCTGAACCTGAAGGCCTCGCTATGCGCCCCGCCTTGCAGATTGATATCAGCCCACTTCTCGCCTGCAGATAGTGGCATATGACAGCTCCGTAGGGTGTTAGCTCATCTTATTACGGGGGTATAATGTTGATAGGGCCAACCTACAACCTACAGGTAATCATATACGATAAGTAGTGTGAGAATGACATTCAGTTCCAAGCAAATTATGATACCTAGTGGGCTGTAGCTTTCCAGCCATATCCATTCTATTCTATTATTTGTAGCACGTATTGAGCATTTCGTTTCATCACCCCAAGAAAGTTCAAAATGCTCGTATAGATTGTTCCAGCCCACAAAACTTGAATTACGAGCTCATTAATCTATCTAGCTCTCTCGAGACCCGGACCCACCCGTTTCAGCCGATACCCAGCGCGGCATATCGCGGCAACCCCAGACCTAATCTATCTGAGTCATAGGGTTGGTTTCTGATCGACGCCAGCTTGATCGAGCTCGAGCTCTTTCTTACGCAGTCGTCCTCTATATTCCAGACAGCTTGACGAGACAAAAGACTAAATGAAGAAACATAAACAGAAATAGAAACATGCTCTCCACCCTTGGCACTGGAGTGGTCCCACGACCACATCGCTCGGATCATACATACATGATTTAGGACTGGACTTTGGCAAGATACTATAGAGTAAACTTGAATGAAACATGATTCCACACACTATATCCGAGCCAGTCCCGCATCCACTAAGAGGCTCGTGGTGGGCAACGTGGCTTCGAAATTTCCAGAAAACCGAGACCCCGCTGTACGAAGTGCTGACATTCTTACATGCAGGAACTACTCCAAGAAGGCGGATGACCTTGGAATATCCACACCAAACTTGAATCCCCATTAGCCGTCCTACCTCCTCTCTTGATCTTTCTCTCGGGGACGCTTTCCCTGTCTTACCCTTAATCACGATAATACTGCGCCTCCGCGGAAGATTCTTTGAAACAGCGCAAAGGCGGCACGGAACGGTACGGTCTCTCGGTCCTTAAACCGTTAGTAACGCTCAACCACTACGGCCTTGGCAACTCGCTACCTTCCTACCGTCCACTACTAAGTTTTGATCCAGCGAAATAAAAGTCAACCCCCGGAGCCGAAGTACCAGATAGTGGATATGTCTCATTCACCATTTACCTGGAGCGGATGAGGCTTACGGTATTATATTATATGTATGATTAATGACTGGGATTCATACCGGTTGTTGGACTTAATACAGGGTTGTTCTCGGCAACTCTATAATTAGTACAGTTTCGCTATCGCATCTGTTCTATTCTTCCTCCATGGCATGCAGTAGGTTGGTTTCCTTGTGTTCGCATATCTTGAAACATACCAATCCAGTTGATCGGGTCGTTGGTATAGATGCCGATTTGGGTTCAAGTTGACAACGCATCAATTGATCTTGTGATCTCACGATATTGCTTGACAACATGTGAGTTTCGAATGCATTTCGAAATTGAAATTAGAATTAAAATTCTTCTTTGATCGAATTATGAATCAAGTTTGTGCATATTACTTTGTGTACTCAGGTGTTAGTTAGGCCCACTTCGTAGAAATCATCTCAGTGGTGCTGGCTGCTCCACTTTTTATCTTACTGGATGGACCCTGGGGCTCGATAATTTATGCGAAACCGGACACACACAAATCACAGTGCTGGGATTGGGTATACCGGTAATTGTGAAATCTTGGAATGAACCCTCAAACCTTGGAAATTGCCATTGAACTCTGACATGAACTTGAAAGAAAACATTTAATCCGGCTTTTATTTTGAATATTTTGAATATTTTGTTGAAGCTGTTCAATCTGAGTGTATACATAGTACGCCTCTTTCAAGTTATGGATTCAAGTTCATCATTTGCTTATTTAGATAGTAGTCGCAGGGGCCATGTGCAACATTTGCAGCTCTTTCAAACTCATTTCAATATTGTAACCTGTAGCTATTTTGCCAAATCATCGTGACCTAGGAGATATGTACGATACGAGTTGGTTGGGGCAGTGCAGTTTGATTCAATACAAAGATCGGATCCGTGGTTGCGGGGGAGTTTGGTGGAGTTGATAAACCGTTCAACGGTGATAACCGCATACCAAGCGATTTACTGGTTGATTGCAGATCTCCAAGTGATCTAATAGACGTACTTAGATTGTAAGAAATGTTTAAGGAAAGGCTAGAGATGAGTGTTGAATATGAGGATCTTACAATGATCGCTTCTATCTCTTATCGGGAATGGGGCACCGTATCTAATCGCACTCTGCCCCACTCAAGCTACATCCTACATCCTCTGTCTCGATAAAAAGTGAGGTCACCATGGACATAGACAAACCGGTTGACAGCAACTTCACGAAAGCATTACCTAAGATTGAGGTAAGTTTCATCTATCCGTGGAAACTCGCGAACTTCCACTGATACCTTCGCGACCGGGCCAGGTTCATGCCCATCTCAGCGGGAGCATCAGTCGCCAGTGCCTCCATGAGATATGGGCACGCAAGAAAGCGAGCGATCCCAATTTTGCAATTGAGGATCCTCTCACCTTGATGCCCCCAGGAAAAGTGGACTACACACTACAAACGTTAGTGAGCCAACCCCGCCTGGGCAGCAAAGCACAATCAGCGACACGAACTAACACCACACAGCTTTTTCCAAGTATTCTCAAAACTAATATACCAACTATGCGACGATCTCGAGAGCCTAATATACGCCACAAACTGCGTTCTAGAAGACTTCCTCAACGACGGAGTCCGATACCTAGAACTCCGCACAATACCCCGCGCCTCACCAACCACCAACATCACAAAAGAAGATTACCTCAACACAATCCTAACAACAATAGCAACATTTAAATCAAACCCGAGCCACAAAGATCTCTCAGTATTCCTCATACTAGCTCTAGATCGCGGCAATACATCGGAGTCTGAAGCAAGAGAAATAGTCGACCTAGCCATCTCCAACAAAGAACGTGGGGTAGTCGGTGTCGACTTATGCGGCAACCCAACGCAAGGTGATGTCACGATATACCGTGGCGTATTCGCTCATGCAAAGGCGCATGGGCTTGGCCTAACGCTGCACTTCGCCGAGACACCGGCCTCGGGTCAACGGGAGGAATTGCTGGCTTTGCTTTCTTTTTTGCCTGATCGGTTGGGCCATGTTATTCATGTGCCTGATGATGTGAAAGGGGAGATTGTGAGAAGGGGGCTTGGGCTTGAGCTCTGCATGTCTTGTAATGTGCATGCGAGGTTGATTGAGGGTGGGTTTTTGGATCATCATTTTGGGTACTGGAGGCATGAAGATTGTCCGATTGCTTTATGTGTGAGTTTTGACATCTCGGCTTTTTGAATTTGATGTTTTCCAATGTTGGCTTTCCTTCTGTCTTTCATTGCTGTTTTATGGTACTGCATAGCTGACTAATAGGCCATTCTTCTTTAGACGGATGATGTGGGCTTCTTTTGTAGTGCTGTCTCTAATGAGTATATGCTTGCTGCGGAACATTTTGGGTTGAATCGTGCCGATTTGGTGAATTTGTCTTGTAAGTCTGTGGATATGATTTTTGGTGGTGATGCGGAGAAGGAGAGACTACGTGGTATGCTTCTTGAGTTCGAGAACTTATCGTGAGGCGAGTATTCAATATTATTCAAGAACCATTGGAGTCTCTCTCAATTTATTTTTATTATATTATATCTCGATTCAGCTTTTGGAAGTAATCGATATCTCGAATTCAATAATGGGGAACAAGTGGAGTTACATCTACTATGTTCAAGGGTCTCGAGTGTACCAACTAAAAATGAGCCGGCCAACCATTGCCATGGAATCTTGTGTTTCATGTTCAATGGCTAGATCTCACTTTGTGCATCTCGAGGCGGGTAGGTGAATATAACCTTAAACTGTGTTCTTTGTATAAAGGTCTTGTAGCCAACGTCTATAAAAGACGTCTGGAATCAGGCTTAGGCCTGTCTGCTTGATCGATCTATAAGGTAGCCTCAAGAGTGTGCCATCAGCGAGATCTGAATTTTCATGACAGTCCAACCACAAAAATCTATAATATAGGAGGTAGAATAATACTCTTCACTATGCCACACATTTGAACTAGAGATGCTGCACTGCATTACTTGACGCAACACTACTACCTTAGTTTTGTACATTGCCGTCGAGACCTGCGAAGGTAGTCTGTAGTAGTACCTAATCCCTCAATATCAAGCGTATACCACAAGTTAGTGTAGTTTAAGCTTTCCTAGAGGTTGGTTGTCTCCAAATACTCTGAAGTGAGTAAATGCTAAAGACGCGTTCTAATAGTAAGAGACACGCCAAAATCCCGAGCTCACCACAGTCTAGCCCTTGGAAAGCCCGTTTACTGCAGTGCTTCGTTTCTCTCACTTCCCTCCCCCCCGACTCTTCCAAATTTTCCTAATTCCATCCACGCGTCTTCATCATCTCTTCATTCTCACCGTTACCAACCAATTCTTCAAAATGTATTTCACTCGCTTCGTGGAAATATCTTGCACGATCGCCCTGCTGGCTATTATATGTCTAGCTCAGCATGACTGTGGCACAAGCTATGTTACCGTTACTGAAACTGAAACCGTGTCGGTGATGACTGAACTCTCAATGGATTCTACAAAACCAACCAAGGTCCCAACAGCTCCAGCAATACCAGGCAACATCGTCGAGAATGGAGGTGGACAACCTGACAGCCACGTTACTAAAACCGAAACTGTGTTGGCAACGACCGAGCTCTCAATGGAGCCTACGGAACCAACCAAGGCCCCAGCGGCTCCAAAAATACCAGGCACCATCGTCGAGAATGGAGGTGGACAACCCCACGGCCACGTCTGTGGGTATGAAAGTGGGAATGGAGGTGGATGTCGCATTCGCGTTTCTACTTATTACTCAAACTCGACAGTTACCGGTCCTACATCATCAATTCAGAGAGAATCGTCTTCAGCCTCTTGGAAGACTTGGGAAACAAGTATCGCTTCTTCAAGCCCTTCTGTCAAATCAAGTCCTGCTGTCTCCACCAGTGCTTCATCGCGTTCAGCCGTTAGCGTGCCGTCTGCCGTTCTAACCCTAACTCTAAGTCATATCACCAGCTCGACCAAGTCTGCTTTGACAGTATCATCGCAGAGCCACAAAGCTACTAGCACGACTAACTCAGATCCTTTGACGTTGACAGTCTATTTGTCTTCACCCACCTTGTTACCTACTGCGACGACAACTTTTGATTCCTCCACGTCTTCCACGTCTTCCACAATCGCAACCTCGGCGGGAACTGACTATCCCTGGCAAGGGTCCTACCAAGACAAAGTTATCTACAGCCACAACATTCACCGAATGAACCACAGCGTCCCAAATCTACTATGGAATAAAACACTTGCGGACGCAGCTTATTCATGGGGAGCCAGATGTCAATTCAGACACAACACGTAAGTATTCCATCTCCTCAATGGATTCAAAGCTAATACTCGATCTAATTACAGTTCACTCCTTCGAGGTGGTTACGGTCAAAACCTAGCTGCCAGCTCGCCTACAGCTAGTATCTCGATTCACATCTCGGATTACTGGTACAACAACGAGATGAAAATCTTCGCTCCTTATTATGGATGGCCTAATCCTGGAGAATCGTCAAGTGGTCACTTTTCTCAGATTGTCTGGAAGGATACCGCGAGCGTTGGATGTGCGACTGTTAATTGCAGATATTCCAATCTTGGGATGTGGTATACTGTGTGCAATTACTACCCACCTGGTATGTTGTTAAGCTTTCCAAGGTAGCCTGATGAGTCTGTTCAGTACTGATAAAAATTCTAGGAAACTGGGGAGGAGAATATGGTGAAAATGTACTTGTGCCAATTGGAAATCCCACTGTTAGAGGGGATCCATCGGATATTATGACCTCTAATTTCTTGTGAGGGGTCTTTAGTTAGACACGATTAGGAGGTGATTATGTCGACGTTGTTTCGATAGAAAAGTTCTGATGGTGAAAAATGGTCGAATATCGAGGTTCAAGTTCTTCCGCGTTGAAGTTACTCATGCTGGAATTCTCTTGTGTTCTTGTGAATTTTTATGTTATGTAGAGCCTCTGTGTAGCTCGGTGATATACTAGTATACTAGTAATGATCGTTTCAAGGTTGGCTTATTGAATCAACGGTAAAATGTTATGAGGAACTTAAATTCATCAAAGAATATCATAAAATTCAATAGTATATCTTCGTAAGTGACCTAAATAGTCCACTTTATTTGCACACCGGGAGCCCAGCTCTCACTGTTGGGTATATGTAGTGCTTGGGGAGAGTATAAACAATAGCCAGCTCCCCTCGGTGTAAACCGAATCCATTAATCAAAATCACAGTTGAACGCCCAAATCCCATATGAAACAATATTTATCTTCATATTAAACCCCCTTGGAGGCGACGCTCAACTTCTTCTGATCATCTGTAGGTAGCGAGTCTGAAATGGAGCGTCGATCTCCATAGCGAGGCGAGTTCTCCTCATCAGGAACTTCTTGTCCATATGCAACAGTGAATTCGTTGATCTCATCTATATCCACCTCCATCCACTTGTCACTAGTCGCAGGGATTGGGAAGAGTGTACATAGAATCCAGTACATGCCTCCCGAGACGATGAAGCCGGAGAAGTAGTTGATGTTGTAGATGTACTGCGCGCCGACAGGGACCTCGGGACCAACCTGGCCGACGAACCCGACAATGTTCATCAGAATACCAGCGATATAAGAAGTATATGCTCGCCAAGAGAAACCATAGTTGTAGTAGTATGGGTCTGTCTTTCGGGCACTGTAAAGAGCCTTAATGTCTAAGTAGCCGCGGCGAATGATATAGTAATCAACGATCATGGGGCCAGCAATGGCGGAAAGGAATAGAGAGTAGGCTGAAAGGTATGTGGTGAATTGGTTCGAAGATGCGACAAGTTTCCACTGTAGAATTATTTTGTCAGTTACTTTGTTTCATTTGATTAGGTTCATGCTGATTGCATCAAGGACATACCGGACACATTGCCAGACTGATAGCTGCGCAGATATAGCTGCCACGTCTAATGTTCAGGTATCGAGGTAATAAAGCTGTCAAATCTGTTCCAGCAGAGACTGAATTGGCACTGATGTTTGTTCCTAGCTGGGCTAGTGTGAATCCAAGGGCGATAATGAAAATTCCAAAGCGTTGACCAGAGCTAGCATCGTTCAAAAACATGTCTAGAAGGGTAAGAGGGTTCCACACTTCCTGGCCATATATCACTGATGCGGACGAAGAGACGATGATACCGATGAATGAGGTGATTCCAAAGCCGATAGGGATTGTGAAAAGCTGGGACCACAGAGCATCCTTCGGCTTGCGGGCGAATCGAGAGAAATCTGGGTCGTTCATGATCAAAGCTGCGAAGTTTCCAATGCATGACATGATGCCCTTGACAATCTCCCAGCCTAGCGCACCGCCTTGAATAGTGGCAGGTTGGTGAACAATTGGTCCAATTCCGTTGGCCCTGGAGATTGCCCAAGCAAAGAAGGCGATCGCAGCAATTGGGGAATAAAATGCCTTGACGGTAAACAGATGACGGATTTGGTGGACGGGGAACCACAAAGCAGGCAGGGAGCCAAGCCAGAAGAGAAAGAAACTGACGAAGCCCTGCGTAGTGACACCAGCGCCGGCGGGGATTGTGTTGGGGAGATTTCGATAACTGGGCCAGATTGCTGAGATCATCACAGTAACACACTCGCCTGGAGTGAATTTAATTAGTATATTTTTCTTGATGATGGGCAGACGACCAGAGAGATATCGCATACCTCCAATGTAACCTTGCACTCCATACCAAATAATGGCCATTACCACCCGATTAATGACCGGCCAAAGCGAGCCCCATATTCCAAAAGATGCTCGCGCTGTGACTGGAAACGAAATATGATAGACAGCGCCGATGCGACCGGTCAAACACACAAAACATGCTGCGATAAAGTATCCGATCCATACACATATCCATGCTTGCCACCATGAAAGACCAGCAACAATCATTGATGACGAAATCATCCATGTATTCTGGGTGATGCGTGTTAGAGGCGGGTTTATAATTCGATATCGATTCGACCGATCGGGAACTCACAATATTCAATGAGTCGGCAATCCAAAATGCAATGTAGTTCAGCCAGCGCCATTGACGACGTTCGGGTTCAACTATGAAGAAAGAAGATTCATCGGTTAGCTCAATTCGCCCTAGAATAGATCACGAACACTGCAAAGATGTCGCTGAGCAAAGTGTAATTGATTTGTTTGCAGATGTTTTCAAAAGCATGCGAAACAGAATATTTGAATTTGTGGGAACGAGCTTCCAATGTGATGTCCATATCTTACCTGGTTGTAAATCGTCATTCGTTAACATTAACTCGGCATTCGTGAGGCCCGGCTCATGATGCACAGTGAGCTTATCGAGTGTCCATTTCAGCTTCTCCATGATGTCAAACTGTTCTGTAGCTATGTTCAAAAAAAGACAGCGACGAGGGATGCAAGAACAAAAAAACACAATCGAGCTGAGGAACCTGGGGCATGAAGGAATAAAAGTAATAAAAAGCCCCCAAAATAATAAGGATAAGAAAAAAAATTTGTGACGATCTAGACGTTACATGGAAGGAGACTTCCAGGTATGATATAATGAGCCGTGGAAACAAGCCATATCATCATTCAAAGCATGAAATGCTGGATCCTGCTCTCGCATCCTTGCCCTCTCTTGCTAGTGTGTGATAAGAGTGGGCTACGAGTGGCCCATCGGGACGATCATCGTACGCCCGGATCCGCCATGTGCCATATCATTCCTCGGGACGACTTGTGGCAGGGGGTTTGAGCACGAAAGGCGTGTGCGCCTATCAATTTCCATTACTCTGATTGCCTGAGTCGCTCATGAACAGACGTTATCGATGATAAGCGGGTGTGAACGGGAGCTCCACTTTCTCCGCAAGCAGTGCAACCGCACGCTGATTGGATGGACGCGTATCTAATCATGGGGGAAAGTTGCTGACGAGAAGCCGATCAAGAGATTGGCGCAGTAGATTTGGTGGTGACTCGATGCCATCGAGTAATGGGAATTCTGGGATGGTCACGTGGGGGTGATACCTTATATACATGGGTGTAGTTTATTCCAACAAGCTCCACCTCGATAGATATTGAATAAAAATTATTACTAGTAGAGAATAATAATTCATTCCGCTACTACAATTGTCTCACATAGTTCAATTATTCATGGTAATTAAACAATGCTTATTCCAGCTCCAGCCACCCCACATTGAGCTGCTTCTTCTGGAACTGTTCCGCACTCTATACTACACACTTGACCCTTCTACAGTCAGATGGACCGATTAGGTCGAAATATCTTGGAACGTCAATTCCATTGAACTCTAACAGATACAGAACAAAGCTTAAATGACCAAGAAAAGGGATGATAAAAGGCCTTCAACGCTGAACCAGGGGGGGGGGCATTGACCTCTAAGCCCGAGTACTGGAAATCGACATGGGATTTTATTCCTTTCTAACAAACCCGGCACCGATTTCCCGTCTCCTGTACAGAATATCGTACACGATGGCCATGAAAGGCACTGCTTTAGCGGCGCAGAGCCTGGGTGATGGGAGAGTCTCCACGACGGAAGGAAGCTATATATGACCGGTTAGCTCATCTGGAACTTGAATATGGTAAAGCCGAAAGTTGCCGGTGGTCTTCGGCACTGGGACTGTCGCGGTTGAAGGCGATTTCCAATTTTCCATTGGGCTTCAAGGCGAGAAGTGTATACGCAAGCCGTATTTAGCCAATCCCAAATGGAAAGTACAGATACCTCCCACAACATGCGACAGCCCCAGTCTGGCAGATACTTTGCAGAAAAAAACAAAGCGGTTGTAGAGGTAAACATACAGTCAGCTTCCTCCCAAGCACGACCGGCACCGAAACCGAGGCCAACCCAAGCGGGCCAAGCGCGGCGCTTAAACAGGAGCACGGAGAAGACAACACCGAAAGAAAGACCAAGGGAAGACTTGATGATCATAGAGGAAATGGCGCGGTCCCACTATAGATTCGCAACTCGATTGTTAGCCCTTGTTCATTGCATTGAACTACCGTGTACATGTTCGTGCTCTTCCATGGCTCAACCAAGAAAAAACAATAACATGAAATGGTGTATAAACATCAGCAATAAACCCATACCTTCTCGTTGAGCAGAGCTTCACTGACGGGCTTGGTGGCCCGCGCGACCGGTCGGGACTCGCTAGAATCAGCCATTGTGAAGTATCTGGATAAAATTGCACATTAGCAAATGATTGCCTCTCATATACTCAAACAAAACACTTACATTAGGCTGATACGGAGGAACAGAAGTGGTTCGATGGGGTCAAATGAGAATAGTGCAAGGAGTCGGGAGTTGACGAGGAAGTTCGGGTCAAAGGCGGTCGGGGAATTTCGCCGCGGTTTTTTTTCCCGTTGGGTATCTATCTCTTTTTTGCTTCTTGAAAGAAACCGAAACCCCTGCTGTTAAACACCGCTCTGGTTTTCCACGATGCCTTCACTCGTGGAGGTAAGTTTGATTCGTCTTGCTACTCACTTCCCCCGTTGTATTTTTTGTCAACTAACATGCGGCTCTTTCAGCGCCCGCGGTCGTCGCAAGAGGCGCTCCTCCGCCTTGAAAAAGGCACCGCATCACCGAGCACCCAGCTACACGACGCTGCCCAAATCCTTGGAGTCGACCTTTCATTATGCGAGAGTCACCCAGAAACACACCGAGATGATAAAATCCAAAGCAAAGCTACGCCGAAGGAAGAGTGGGTCCTACGATGGTTGCTGAAGAGGTTGCGAACAGGAAAGAATTATCGCGTGGATCCTGCTTCATTCCTGCTACTGAGACAACTGATTGATTTGATTTCGCCCAAAAATCTAGCCACGATTTTGAAAGATCAGAAATTTCTGCCTATCATTTGTGAGACGATTTCAGATCTAGAGTCGGACATCTATGCGACAGTTGGAAATGGGACATCGGTCTTGAGCTTTGATTCGGAATCTAGTCGAACACTGTCCGGATCTTCACCTCAGGATGAACAGAACGGAGCCCAGGGAACAAAGCGAAAGAGGGGGAGTGCAAAGAATTATCCCGACGCGATGGACGTGGACAGTCCGCCACAAAACCCCGCATCGTGTTTTATTACGTTCATCCGCGCGCTGGATTGCTTGCATGGGGTCGTGACACTGGCACAGCGGACGATCGGCGTGGATGAGGTTGCTAACTCTCATCTCAAACTTGCGCTAAGAGGGGACCCCGATGCGATTGCATTGTCGCTTGGCAAAGCATTCCAGTTGGCTGCAGTAGCCACTGTGCAATTTACGCACGCAGGCAAAACTACCGATCTTCAACATTTATTATACGTGTTTCCAGCAATTTTGGAACTGTGGGAATTGAGGTCTTTCCGCCAGGATGATACCGATAATAAAACAAGCAACGATTGCTTTGCGAAGTCCAGTTTTTCTCATGCTCTCAGACTTCAACTCTGTCTACGGTCCATCAACCTCGACACTGATGAAAGAGCATTTTTACTCCATGCGATTGAAAGGATAGTTGCACTTCATGTACTCCTTCCGATTCGCTCAGCTTTCTTTGAGCGAGGCGGTTCTGGCATCGATTACTCCAAGGACGAGCCGGATTGGAGTTCAGTCAAGCCAGTAACGGATGCTCTTCGCCCAATTGTTCGTGAAAGGTCCGATACGCGGACTATCCCAGAGGGTTCATCTCAGCCTTTTTGGCAATCGATTGATCTGTTGCCAGAACTGTTTGATAACGCTGTACGAGCAGTTCCACGGGATGATTTCAGGCGGCAGACTCATGAGGCTCCATGGCTGGAAACCCTGTTCGTTGCCGTGGCAGAGCTGACTTACTCTATCTCAAAAGAAGATGAACCTGTGGACTTTACTCCTCGTTTTGTCTCTGTTCTGGAGCATCTCTTCCAAGTGGCTCTCGATCGAGATGTTGGCCTGTCTCTCCACACCATTCTTACCCACGCGAGCTATACCGGTCTCCTCGATGATGGTTTAGAGCAGGTTCAGTGGACTGTCACCGCCTTGGTAATTAGCCTCGGGGTCGATGTCTTTTTGCCCAACTCAGGATTGCGTGATTCTCGCAAGCTTCTCGACGCCTTATTGAACAAGATCATGCTTCAGTGGCGTAGTAGCGTTGCTCACATTTCTGAGAGTTACCAAATTGTCAAAAATGATATTTTACTCCCACTGCTACGTGGGTTTGCAGCCGCGAGAGATCTACCAGCTTTCTTAGAAGCTTGGCATACTCAGCTTGTTCTTATTGAAGAAGCCCGAGCTGGAGATAAAAGCTTACCTTTGTTCTCAGTCTGGGAGGATGATGACCTATGCGACGCCTACGGCGAAGTCATTCGAACTTCTCTTATTGGGTCAACGCTTGCAAGCCACATCCAAAATGCCGCCGCTGATACCAGGGCCGATGATGGTAAAATATCAGATGCCCCTGAGTCATACGCGAAATTTGTTATCATGGAAGCGGGCTCACGTGGACGTGCATTTGACTTAACGAAATCGGAGACGGCGTTGATGCAGTTCCTGGAGACTTTGAAATCCACTCTATCTTCGAAGCAAAGCATCCACTGGCGTTGGCGCTTATGGCGATTTGTGCGAAACATTCTGCAGAATAACATACATTCACCCGATAATGTGATTAAGGGCGAAGCACAATCTCTCATTTCCATTGCTTCCAAGACGATTCATCGCAACCACAAGCACCCGAACAAGACACCCCTTGCTTCTCTGGAATCTTGGGAGGCTTACAGGTTTGCTTTGATATCCATCAAAGGAAAGCCAACCGAGGATCAGCTAGAGGCCTTCAACGCCCTTTCCAAAGACGTCACAGGCCTTGTTGTCTCTATATCTCGTGAAGATGCTCAGAAAGCGATGGAGCTGCCGTGGAATGGCCGGATAGACACATTGAATTCTCCGACTACTCTCGCTCTGGCTTATGTTTTCGCCCTTATCAGGGTTCCAGACATCTGGGAGCGAATTACTTCGGATCACCGATCACGTCTTTTCCAACAATTGCTTTCCCTTGCTGCCGCTCAATACCATTCATCATCTTTACCCTTGGAAGCGGTGGCAGACGACGCACGTTTTCTGCAAGCATGGGCAAGCATTGTATGCCATGAATACTTGCTCAATGTGCCCTGTCTGGTGCCTGATCTCGTTGTTCTTCTCAACAAGAAAGTCATCGAGCAAGACCCTTCAGATAGGCGGCTTTATGTCGAGAGCTTGCAGAGAATTCCATCTGCTTTGATCACTCGTGGTTTGAGAACCACCCTGTTGGACAAGTTGCAGGATGTTCTTGTGCAGCAGTATGAGACGAGTGAAGTCACTGTTGGGGTCTTGGCTATGATGGCCAAACTAGCAGCGATGTCTAAGTGTGACGCGAACGTTACCGGCGATTGGGAACCAATCTGGACTGCTGCCCGAGCTATCTCTCTAACGGGCACCGAGCTGGATCTGCAGATCATGAAGTCATTCAGAAGCTTACACCGCACGATTATCGCCAAGTTACTCGTACTTGCAAAGGACGACCGGAATGAGATATTCAAGAAGTTGTTCGCCAGGGTCTCTAAACAGGCCGCTAAACTACGCCAAATCGATCGCGATTCTATGGCTTGTTTCATTTTGCGCCTGGCATTGTCAGAGCTTTGGACCTACCGTACCAACCTGCACAAGGCTTTCTCCGAAGATGATCTGGCTTCTTGTCGCCAAAGCGTATTCAACTTGGTCCTTACGGACATGAAATCGGTCAAGGATCAGTGCAGAAAGCAGAAGCTTGAAGAAACAATTACTCTCATCAAGACGATTGATGCACTGGAGGACTTCGAGGATTTAGCAACAAACAATATCGATGTGGAGAAGTTCTTATCCAAGATCGAGCATTACATGGCGATGTCAATTGATTCGGCCCCCTCTCGCTTGATCCGCCGTCGTCTCCTGGCTACGAAGGGCCCAGAGAAGGCCATTACTGAACCGGCTCTGCAGTGTGCCGAGACCCTTACACTCCAGTCACTTTATGCGGAAGACCAGCAGCTTTTTATCCGGGCCACCACCGAACGCTTCCGCTCAATGTCCGTTCCAAGAATCACTCAAGCAATCCGTGAGATTCGCGAACTGGGGTTGACTGGTCACAAGGCGGAATACCGCATCCTTGTGGTTTATCTTGCCATTATCTCCCTCCCAGCTGTTGAAGACAAGGACAGTGAAATTGCAGGTGAACTATCCCTACTTTGCACAGCCCTTGCAGGTGCTATTGTGCACAGTACCTCAATCGAGCAATTCTGTTTTGCAGTAGAATGCATCACCCTTCTCCTCAGAGTACACACTCGCATTCTCGTGCAATGTAACATCGATACTATCCTCGCCGCCATCGCCACTTCCGCCTCCAAATCGGGCCCGCATATCTCACCCGAATACGCCCCGACAATCTACACTCGCCTCTGCCGTTTGATGGGCGTTGTGCTCGGTCTCCAGCGTCTGAAGATTGGCGGCCGATTCCACCTAGTCGTCAACGCCATGCAACGTCTACTCAGCTGCCTCTTCGCGCGGTCACGTAAACGTTCCCGCTCTGCTCACGTGCAGACCTCGCTATCCCAGCCTTTCTGGCTTGCTCCACTGGAGGCCTCACACACCTCTTCATACACCCGTCTCCTCACTACACTAAGTGATCCCACCGTGTCTGCCGTTTTCAAGCCTCAGCCTGGTGCCTCACGTGATGCTCTCATTGACGAAACAAAGAAGGCGAAGCGCATTGCGGGACAATATCTCCAGTACGTTGTCATGGAATATGCGCAGTACTCACTCCGCGGATCTTTGTTGCCGGATGTTAAGTCTGCCCTATTGCCTGGCTTGTACGCGGCATTGGATGTGATGTCGAAGGAGTCATTGCGTGCAATGAATGCCGCGCTCGACGTCTCTAGTCGTGCGGTGTTCAAGTCTCTTTACGATGACTATGTCAAGTTCGGCAAGTGGAATAAGGCTTAATCTGGTTTTTTTGTTTCTGTTTTTCTTTTCTTTTCTTTTCTTTTCTTATCATTAGAGACTTGCATTAGTGGTGTATCTATTTTTTCTTAGTCGAAGAGGACTTTATTGCCTTTTCTGTACAACATTTCTTACTCGGACTTATGATATCCCCGAATGCATATGATGGATCTAAAAGTTCTTTCACCTGTAAATCTCGTAGTTCCGGTTGTGCGGTGTTATTGGATGGCTTAAACCTAGTGATATGCCCCAACTATTCTATTATGACAAGATTCAAGGAAGTTGAACATCAAACATCTGCATTGAATCTCGAGGCATAGGAGAGCTATGCAGTATCAATTCATGAACCCGAAAGTGAAAGTACACTAACCCTTCGATGCTCCCTTTTACCATGCCCTATCTCGCGGCGGCTTCCCTGCCAGTAAGTTCAGGGTGATTATGGCATGTAACACTTGTCTTCCAAGAGCCGAAACATGACCATTGGCTCAAACGTCGGCATGTTGAAGCTGGGATGCAATATGTCTGTTGAAGGGATGACCAAGGGCTCCGAGGCCCTGATATAGTAGTTCATATTAGCATACCATTCTGGGGCGTCATCGTAATCATGATGTAGTTTCCTGATTCCGGCTAGAAAAGCAACTCTACGCGATACCTTGCAGACTCGCGTGACTATCGGTGGACGAATGTTGAGAAGTGAGGTAGGTATATTGCATGCTACTTGACGTCTCCAGTACATCAGTACCCTGGACGCCTAGGTCGATGATTCGCGCCGGCAGGCATAGCTCCTAGACGCGGCATTGCAGCTCCATGGGTAGCGTTGGGGGAAAGACGAGAAAGACTCCTCACGCTTCTCCGTTGGATGGAACATGATCTCTGTGTGCGGCGATGAAATTTCCTTTGGTGTTGATTGAAGATTGATTACTGGGTGAGTATTGGGGTGTCTGGAAAGAGGGGGCATACGGAACTGTCAGACAGAAATAAAGTAGCGTTTAAAGTGAGAGAAACTTGAAGAAGCCCTAGAGAAAATTAAATAGAGATTTGCTGGGTTGTCTGGGGCATAGTACCTACTAGATAAACAACTTGAGTACACAGCCTTTGAAACTTGAAGTGTCCAAGGCCCTCATCACCTGGAAGTTACGGCACACCATAGGTATATAAATGTAATGAATACTATGTGATTTCAAGTCATAGGGTAGTAAAATATGATAGAAAAATACCCAACTGCTCATTACTATTCAACTTGAACCTCCATATTCCGGCCAGCCCGGTAAAAATGGTTGATGCCTTATTAATATCTCAATTTTAGCCCGCCTTTAACACCGCCTCCAGGGCTTGCTAGACATAAAGTATTGGTAATTATAGCAAACCTCAATTTCTACAAAATAGTCGAAAATTAGGCATTCATAAACACATAAGGCACCAATTACCCAAAAGGGGTTCAAAGTTTTTACCAGGCTGGTCGGAATGCCCCGTCGCAATAATCCGTTTACTAATAAACGCTTAACATTGAAAACAAAATTTATGCTCAAATTAAATCATAGACCCACTATCATTCATCTAATACTTAACCCTCGAAGCAGACAGGATCGTTGGCCTGAATAAGTAATCTCTGCGAAACTTGAATGCGGTCAAAATGTTTAGCGGGTATGATGCCCTTTCCTTCACGTCGGTTGTACCTGTAATTGTAGCTTTAAGCGGTGAAAGAAGTCTTCAAATGTCATTTCCAGTCAAGAAATGCATATACGCAGTAGATAAGTAGTAGTAGTGCTAGGAAAGAAGGGGGGGGGGTGGGGGTCATCCGGAGTCTCTGAATCCAAGTACCAAGCCCTTAACATCCTTGGTCATGGTCGGATTATTCTTCACCATCTTCCCCAGGTCGAGCTCTTCGTATGTCAACCCATCTAAATACGTGTCACTGTCTCCGTAGCGGAATTGATATCATTAGCAGCCTTTTCATTGTTAAACGCCTCGATCATATTTCGCTCCATATCTGCACGCGGGGTTTGTATATTACCCAGTATTGGGATGCCCATAGTAGTATAGGCTCGTCTGGTCAGACAGCCGTTTCCTGTGTGTGGAAAAGACCGAAAAGAATATAAAGAAAGGATATAAGCTAACATGAAGTCTTTATACCCGCCAATTCAAGGCTTTTTGCCTCATCTCTACCACTCTGATGCATCAACTGACGGGTAACATCAACGTTGTTCATAACTTGGTCTAGTAATCGGGCCAAAGTGGGGGATGTCCCATATATGAAGTGGCTAGGAAGAACCTTTGAAGGTTCAAACGGGCTTCGCCAACCAGCCTGCTTAAGCTTCTTTACTGCATCCACCACGTCCGGCGTCAGATTTGTTCCAATACCGGTACTTCCTTTGAAAAGATTACTCGGTTTACCCGCTCTGTCGATGTGCTTGAGAAGTTCATCGAGCTGTTCATGTACTTGATTAGTTTTGAATTGATACTTGCAATCAAATTTTGGGTAGTTTGGAGCCACATCAATGTGTTCTGCGGCTCGCATGAGGGTGGGAATCATACATAACAGCCACGACCAGGCGCTGTACCAACGCAACCCCTGCAGGTAAGTGTAACTAGAGCGCCAAACTCAACAGCTTCTATCCGATAGGCATACGAGAGAAATTCGGTTAAATATGGGCCTGCAAGGACGGAAGTCCACCCAAAAGCAGTAATGCAGCACAAGCATGTCAAGTAAACAAGTGATTCATGTCGAATATGCAATGCTCAATTTCCTAGTGCGTCTCAAGTGACTCTTATGGACGCAATATGGGGTAAAGTCGAAACAACGGGGTATGAGGTGATAAATGGGGTCTGGTAAGACTCCTGTAAATGCGAATAGCATGTGATAAGTCTCTCGAGGTCTCTTTCTGGATCTCTTATCTGGTCCAAGGTCACAGGTATAGACAAAATACTCAGGAGATGTTAACGAGACTCACTCAAGGCCCCCTATCTCACCTTTTTCAACTTTCAAAGTAGTTGATTTGAGTCAACCGTACAACACCGTGGATTATAAGGCGTGCATCTTTGACTTGTACATCGAATCCGTCTCGCACCTAACTTGGAGAGCATAGCTCAATTTGCGTGGGGTAGAATGAAAATAAGAGAGAGGGGACCGCTCATACTTCCAAATTTCCATAAACCTGACCGCAGAGCCTCAAAAATTAGGGTCCAATATGTGACACTGATACTACAGCATAGGCCTCGGGGTATTACCCACATATCAGATGGACAGGACTGGCCAGACTTTATGTTGTATCTCCAATGGGTAGTAAAATATCACAGATAGAACCTTGGGATTATGCGAGAGCCTGCGGTACAAGAAAGAAATGCATGGTTGCTTTTCAACTGAACCATCCACGATAAAATCCGAGCATCTGTCATTCCCAGAACAGGAAATTGAAATTCAATCCAAACAATTGTCACAATAATGTCGATTCCTTCTTGCAATCTTCTTTGCTTTTTTACTAAGATCAATCCACGTGCAAGATTTTTATTCTCAGCGATCCCGTTGCCCATTACCATGCAGCATTTCGGGACTGAACCCAACCAATTGGACTTACTATCATAGTACAAATGTTCTAATCGCTGTGACGAGCCTGTTTTGTTTGATTTGAACTTGCGAAATTCAGTGGATAACCCTAAAACCCATCTTAATTTAAGGGCCTGTTTAGGCTCTGAAAACTTCGATACACCTGCTCCGCCGAGTTACTCGTTTGGCTATCCCATGGCGGCCGATAACATCAATCCAGCTAACCCGAAGGGTATTGTGACTGCTGCTCTCCCCAATATGACAACCCTACAGACCACTATTGATTCAACCTGGATGACCCAGATGCTCGGCCAATGGGAAGGTTCGGGAGTGGACTCAGTACAGGTCTTCTCCATGCCTGTCGCCCTAATTCAGCAAGCCATAGAGCCCATGGCCCAGGTGAAGATAATTGGTGAAGCGCAGCGCGAAGCTGATCGTAAGAAACTAATCATCGAGATACTCACCGCTGTATTTGCTATTGTACCTTTTGTTGGCGGTCTTACCGCTGATATTGTGGGACTCAGTGAGCTTTCCACGATCATTGCCATTGTAAGCGAGATCTCCAATTCAGCACTTGGAATTTACGACATTGCCAATGATCCATCGAGCGCTCTCATGGTGATAATTGGGAGCCTGCTTGGATTGGGGGGTCTTGGTGGTGCTGCGAGCCGTGGTGAGCGAGACATTGAGCAGCTAGGCCAATTACGCCGTGGCATGTCAACTGCAGTCGTCTCTCAACTAGGGGCTGTGTTCTCATCTCAGACTAGTAAGATAAAATTGATAATGAAACGGTCATGTGGAAAGTTTAGACCATGGGCGATGAAGTAACAATGCTCTTTCAACTACTCTTATTGAATCGAGTCTCTATGTAACTAGACATACCTTCCCGGATTAGTACTCACCCCTCGCTGCTTTTGTTCGTGGCCCCGCGAATGGGTAGAGAGTGTTATGCAGATGAATATGCACCTAGAAATTGTAGAAAAATAATTAACAATAGGTAAACAGATAACAGGCATGAAGAATTGCACAAATATTCTCTACATAAGTTTTGCTGTATTTCTTTATAAGGTATGCGATTGCTAACTGGGCTGGCTATAGTGCAGACTCCATAGTTCAGAAGGCTTTGACCGGCAGAAAAATAGCGGCAGAAAAAGGCGGCAAATTCTATACCAATCCCTTTGTCGCGCCAGTGTATGTAATATTGGCGTCATGTCAATACAGTGTATCGTGAAACATGGCCCTCGGGGTTAGATAGGCTTGGAAGATAAAACCCCAGGTCATCCCCATAAATCCTTTAGGCCTTACCCGATGTAATTACTCCGCGGTCGACGATGCTGAAACATGCAGGGAACTTGCCGAGCTGACCTTCTTCCGCAGTTATAGGCTGGAGTATGCCCCGCTCTTGATATAACCCACTGTAACCCTGATCCTTCGACAAGCCCCGTTCCTTGTTTTAATTCTTCTCAGTCCCCATGGCCTAAAGAGTTGTTCATTCAGTCTTATTTATTTTTTTGAGTAAATTTTCTCATGTTACGCGAAAGGCATCTTTAAAACAACTTTCACTGTTCTAGTTTGCTGTTTATTTTCATCGTAAACTCACCACACAGTTGTCCATGCAGTTCGTGGCCGGTTGGAAGTTGCAGTTTGGAATCGAGGAAAATATTATACTTTCGCCATGCAGTTTATTAATTCTATGCCAAGCAAGGTGAATGATGGGGGCCAAAATTCATGAAATAGATTGACGTCGTTGCTGCAGAAGTCAGTACCGTATTCATACACACAGTAATTGATCAGTGGCTTGTGCACCTACCCATCATGATGTCGTCCCACTAGGCACCAAATTATAGGACCCATACAAAATTCATAATTAAGGTACCTATAATACATAAGCCTCTAGTATCCCGAAGCTATGGATCACACAGCCTTTACAGATCTCACTAACAATGCCGACGACCAAATATTTTTCTCAGTGTCCCATTTTCCCCTCTAATGTGAGCACCGCATCCTTGCCAAAGGTATCGGTTGAAGCTCTTCGGTCTAGAAGCGAAACAGAAGGTCAAATCTTATTTGAAGCTTGTCAGAAATGGGGTTTCTTCTTGCTGGACCTCCGAAATTCAGAAAAGGGCAATGAGCTCCTAGAAATCACAGAGCACATGTTTGAGCTTACAGATGAAACCTTCAATCTCGGCCAGACTGTGCTTGATGACTATGCCTATAAACCGCCTCAGGACTTAACTGGGTAAGCCAGATCAATTCTTATTGGTTTTCATGATGCTAAAGGTGAAAAGATACAAGCGCAGGGGTCAGCTTAAGACAGATGATGGTAAATTAGATCGCATGGAGCTTTATTCCATCAGTCAAGATGATATTCTCGGCAATCACGCTGGCCGTAAGAATGCAGACCCTATTGAAGCTAGGCGAGGGGAAGTGCGTCAGTTCATCGAGAACTCTCATTCCGCCATAGGTATTTCTCCTGTGCCAGAAAAGAAAATCAAAACCGATTCTCATTTCATCGCAGATATCATTTTATCTTCCCTTGATAAACAGCTTGGACTTGAGCCCGGGACTCTCAACGGACTAAGTCCCTTGGACCAGCCTTCCGAGACTTCAGTCCGATTATTATTCAGCCAGTCTCAATCCAATTCTCAATGCGACGATATCACTCTTGGTGGCCATACTGATATCGGGACTATCACACTACTCTTCAACGTGGTGGGCGGATTACAGATTCTCCCAGCAGGCCTAGAGAACAAGCTAGAAAACTGGCTGTATGTCAAACCAGAACCAGGACATGCTCTGGTAAATATTGGTGATACCCTTGTTGAGTGGACAGGTGGACTTTTGCGAAGTTCTTTACATCGCGTTTTAACAGCTCCCGGAGAACAGGCACTGGTTGGCCGCCAAAGCGTGGCATACCTGGTACGTCCGAGGAACAGTGCCTCCATGCAGCGATTGAAGGGGGGAAGCATCCCACCAGTGGAGGAGGGTCAGGAGGATGAGACTCGCTCAGTGAATGAATGGGCTTCATGGCGCACTAAGCAGATCATCCTTGGTCAGCTGAAGCCGCAGACAAGAGGCGGGAAGTCAGTGGTCGTGAAGTGAGGATCTACCACCAGGCCCAAGATGACAAAGGAGGCCTAGGTGTTTTATGGAGGGTCAATCCATTGGGAATTTTATAAAGCAAAGAGGTAAAGGACTGTAAATTATATCATGTTCTATCGAAGAAATAAATTAGGCAAATTTTACAACCTGATGGCATTAAAAACATGAAAAGGCACTACTCCATTATCGACCATTTTTCGTGTTGAATGGTACTTCTTCCCGCAACCAACATACTGAGTGTTCCAAGTGTTGAGGATCCTTGAACCTCAAAAACGGCCACATCCGCATTGAAATCCTTAAAGATCCAATTGCGAAGCTCAATAGCAAGTAGAGAGTCAACTCCATACCCTTGCAAAGGTTTGTGGTGATCAACAGATGCCCCATCTTGCATCACAGCCAGGGATTTTCCAAGCTTCTCAATAGCGGCCTCAGCAAATATATTTGCCGCATTTTCAAGTGACTCCGATGCTGCAAATTGATCTCGGCTCTTTGCGCCGGTTTCGTTGCCAGCCGCTGTTTTTGCCGTTTTTCTCTCGCCCTCCAGGAAGAGCGGTTGCAGAATTGGCTGTCGGGAGTAGTCCAAACTCTCAAGTGCATCGCCACCACCAGTTCCTAGACCAAAGGCTATCTGTGCCTCATCAGGAGCTAAAATAGGAAGCTCAGGGTTACAATAGTAGTCCAAAAGCCCGTGATATGTCTCCCTTCTGATAACATCCAATGTACCGTAGCCATGGACACGACTGAGAAGTTCTTTGTCTTCAGCCAAGATTCCGTCGTCTGCCATAGCACCTAGGTCGAAGGAAACAGCTTTCTCTCCAATAGAAACCCGATAACGGGCCATCGCATCTTCATACACATTTCCTGCGTTATAGTTTGCTTGACCTTTGATGCCTGCAAGACCGGATGCGGATGCCAAAAGAATAAAGAAGTCCATGCCCTTAGGTAAGACTGTGTGGAGATTCCATGAGCCAACAGTTTTGCACTCCATCGCTACCTTCCAATCGGGAAACTTCAAATCATCGAAAAGACAGTCCTAAAGATTTTTATTAGACATGAAAATGACAGCTGGAAAGATCCACTAACTCTTGCAACAATTGATGCTTGGATAACACCTTTAATTGGTGGCATTCCTGCTGTTAACTTCTCGAAGACAACACGCATCGCATGAATATCAGTGATATCACAAGCAGGAGTCTCAACACGAACTCCCATAGTCTTGAGCTCTTCTATTAGCTGGATACCGGACTCATTGCGAGGGCCGAGACGGGAGAGCAAGACCAGATTCCTTGCACCACGGGCAGCCATCCACCGAGCCGACGCGCGGCCAATTCCTCCAAGACCGCCTGCTATGACAAATGTTTCATAGTTCTTCATTCGGAAGCTCGGTCTGTTGTCGATAATTGCCTGTAGTATGACTCTTAGACTTGCGTGAACAAAGACAACCCGATTGGAACCTTGTATCTTACCTGAACTTCGGACTCGGAGGAAACACTGAGCACATGTTTATCACTGTCGTTGCCTTTTTGAACTTTTTCAAAGACATCCTTGACCTTTGAGATATCGCAAGTGCGTATATTAGGGTTAGAGTGAAGCTTTCTTTGCGCAAACAAGCCCATGACTTTTTCAAGGTCTCGACGGAAAACAGCTGGACGCTCTGTGACAGTGTGATGGACATTGAACACAATGAAAGTCACGTTCTTCTTGATACCGAACGATGGAATCAACCCATTTGACGCGTTGCTTTGTATTCCAGTCTCAATGAAACGGCCATGCGATGCGATACATTTCCACGACGCCACGAACCCATCATCAGCAAGTGAATTTATAATGACATCGACACCGTGTCCATTCGTGATACCCAAAACTCCAGTCACGAAGCCGTGACCACGGCTGTAAAAGATGTGCTCTTCTGGGAGACTATAATTGTCCATTAAGAGAGCCTTCTCTTCAGTGGATGCTACGGTCGCAAAAATCTGTGCGCCCAATAGCTGCGCAATCTGGATTGCCGCCTGCCCTGTGCCATTGGCTGCAGAATGAATCAGAACGGATTCACCTTCTTCTAGTCCGGCAATTCGATGTAAGATTGCCCATGCTGATCCAAAGTCCGCGGGAATTGCTGCTGCGGTAGACAGAGATATGTTTTCTGGGATTCGAACTGCTATTTCTCCACGGACAAGTGTTTTGAATGATCCGGACGCGGCCAACATGACCCTATCACCAGGTTGGAATGTCGTATCAGTACCCACCCTGGTAACTATTCCAGCACACTCGAGCCCTAATGGAACATCTTGTTCTTTTCCTTGCACAATAAGGTTATCTCTGTTGCTAACACCAATAGCTTGAGTCTGAATCTCCACTTCGTGATTGGTTAGAGGCAAAGAAGAAGTCTTGTCTTCTGCAAAGTGCAGAGTGTCAATGTTGCCAAAGGACTGGCAAGCGAGAGACAAAGGAGGGAGATCTCGAATCAGAGCTCTACATGAGGCCTGTGGTTTGGCCCTCTTGTATAGGTCATGGCTTAGCTGTGTATCCTGGGCAACACGAGCAATCTGCAAACAATCCTCTATCTCGCGGAACTCTGTATCTAGGATCCATGGTTTTGGATCAAGATGCCTGTCGACGAAAAGTTGAGTCAAATGTTTTTCCTGTGGTTCGGAAATTCTCTCCCGAATTTTGAGCGTAGCAACAGTAATGTTCAAGTAAGAATACTCGTTGCGAAGAACACGCGTCAACCCCTGAATAATTGCATATTCTGGGTTTCCGGGGACGGATTCCCCATCAGAGGTCACCCAAAGAACATCTCGAGATGTCTGTAAAAGCTGTCTGACTAACTGGAAAGCATGTTCCTCCAGTGAGTGAATAAAGGGATGGTCCAGTTCGAATAAAACGATAAATATCGTTTTCTCCGCATTGTTAAGAGCCAACGCATCTTGCAAACTTCCAGAGCTGACGTTTTCCGAGCTCGTATACTTCCAGAGAGCTGCCAGTGTATGAAAGGTTTGTTTTTGTAATGCCGAATCTGAGTCCAGCACAAAAAACAAATTTTTCGCTGTACTTGTGAGTTCTGAATTGCCAACATTTGTGTAAATTTGCGCAACAGTTGGCAGAGCAAGGGATAGGTTTGCGGACGCGAAGCCGCACTCCGTGATGGTACTCCTCGGTTGTTCCGTAACATGATAGTCCTGGTCTATTTTGTCAAGTAGAACCAATTTTCCATACGGCGAGATGATTTTTTTGATGTTCAACAGGGCATCCTCGCTGAATTGAACTGCATGGGGAGCCAGAATAACATCAAAGGGGCCGTCGACCCCCTGTTCACCTGGATCCCTGCCGATGTCGAGAGGCGCGACGGTAGTAATTTCGTCACTCGGAAATTCTTGCTTGTCCCCATTCACTAACTCACCGTCTCTAGTCCCAAGGCAGAAAGATGAGTATTTTCGGTGCACAATTTTACTAGTGTATTTGTCGAATATTGACAACGTGCGGATCAAGCGAGCTGTGCGTTCGAGGTTTTCTGGCTCAATCTCTAATATATGGAGGCCACCATTTTTATGAGCGAGCAGGTCGAGATAATGCTCCAGCGATGATTGATAGTTTTGACAACCCTTGTAGAGGATATTCAGCTTTTCAGAATCGAGAAAGTCCGGGTCGGGTTTGTATTCAATACGGTAAGCTGGTTGTGGGGTGTCTGATCCCCTGGCAGAAACAACATCGATATTTTCCGCCACAGTAGTCAACCTCATGTCTTCAAAATGCACAAGAAGGGAATCTTCAGCCACGTTTAAAGCAAAGCCGCTGACATCGGCACCTCGAGGTTTCTCTTGAAGCCAAGCATTGTGCCTGATTTCGGATGTATCAAAACAGCTAAGTCCATTCTTACTGACAAATATGCTTCGAATGAATGTTGGAATCATCGTAGATGTCGTGACGTCTCCACCTTTTGTCATCGCTGCAAATCCCATATGCAATATAGCATCTAGGGTGGTGGGGTGAATGACATGGGCTTCTGGGAATTGATCATTGGGCCAGATAAAGGGCTGGATCGTACCGGAGACTCGTCCTTCGTTAAAGCTGCCCTTGGTCACAAGATGAAAGGATGGTCCAAGTCCAAGTCCGCTTTCTTGAGTCGCTGAGTAAAACTTTCCAGGCTCGAGCGATGTTGTACATGATTCTTTCATTGAGAGTGAAGTTTGACGAAATGAGTTCAGCCTCTCATGCTGCGAGTCTCTACACTCAACCTCATTGTGAACCTCACGATATCTTGCCTGAATCAAACCATAGCAATTCTCTTGCCAGCCATCATCTTGATATGAGAAAACTCGGAACTCCGCTTTGTTGTTAAGTGGGCGCTTGGATGCGGGAGGTAGATGAATGACTAGATTTGTGTCCACTCCCATAGCATCTGAAGAAATTTTGAGAGGCTTCCTGAAGAAAACTTCTGTTATATCAAATCCAAGTATGTCTTCTGCCTCCACTGTGAGTTGAGCTGCAGCTTCGATTGCCATTGCGAGCATTCCCGCGCCTGGATAAATAAGCACACCATTGACAGAATGATCCTCTATCCATGGCATCTCAGAGACTCGGAGAAAATTGCGCCACCTGGGCTCGAGTGGGTTCCAATCGTTCACTGGCCTTCCTAACAGAGCAAGTTTTGCCTGGCCTCCCAGTCGATATTGTGCACACAGCTTTGACTCGTCCCAGTATCTTTGAGAGTGATCAAAGATATACTCCGGTAACGTTGCTAGTGACACATAATGTTCAGCAAAATGGGGCTTGAGTTTATTAATTTTGAGAAGATCCACTGGGTACCCAAGGCATTTCAGAAACCCGAAAGCTTTGAATGCGGTTATAATTGCGTTCTCATTTCGAAGCAACATGGAAACATATTTCACTTTTGACCCCGCTCGCCGGAGTAGAGTGTCATTTAATGGACCCTGTAGAGCCGAATGGGGTCCAACCTCAACCAGAATATCGATTTTGAAGTATTTTCGATGACTAAGGTCAAGCTTTCTGCGGAATCTTTGAGAAGATACAGACAATATGGTCTCAATTGCATCGAGAAAGCGTACAGGTGAGACCATGTTACTCATCCAATATTCTGGGTTGATGAGATCGGCTGCCTCAACTCGCATTCCCGTCACTGATGAAACCATAGCCACTGGCTTTGGAGTGGCAAGGCCTGGCTTAAGGTTCTGTATTGCTTCGCGATAGGCATCTGCTGCTGCCAGCATGTGGGGTGAGTGGTATGCGTTGCTCACAAGCAGTTTGCGGGCAAATATTCCTTTCTTGTCAAGAACATTTTTGATCGCATCAACTTGGTCAAGATCACCGGAGAGGGTTACATTTTTGGGGCTGTTGATGCATGCAACTGTCAGGCCAGAAACACCAAATTCAGTTGTAATGTTTTCGATAAAAGGTTTCACTGTCTCTTCAGATAGACCGACTGATATCATCCCTCCTTTGACCCCCGATGTAGACTCTGTAATATTGGTAGATAGTAAGCCTCTATAGTAGGCGAGCCTCAGTGCGGATTCAGCCGATATAGCCCCGGTGGCATAGGCTGCCCCGATTTCTCCAGAGGAATGACCCACAACGACAGTAGGAGTGACTCCCAAATAATATAGGAGTTCCAAAAGGGCGATTTGAAGAGCAGTGCAGCCAGGCTGAGCAATCTCAGGTGAGTTAATTCTAGTACCATCTTTCTCCAGAATCTCCTCACACAAAAGCCATTGGCAGCCGATGGATAGTAGGGTCTCCTCTGACCTTCTTAAACTGTTGCGAAAGACAGGGAGCTTCATCAACTCTTTCCCCATTCCTGCCCATTGGGCGCCCTGACCAGTGAAAATGAGCCCAACAGCTGGGTTCTCGATTGATTTTGTGGCTGGGGACATGATCGAGTCGATATTCTGCAAATCGTTGACAGAATTCACCACTGCATAAGACTTCCAGTCGAAGGAAGTGCGTCGAACTGAGAGTGTATAAGAGAGATTATCAAGGTATGCTGCATTCACGCTGTCGATTTTCGAAAAGTACTCTGAATACGCTTTTGCCTGCCTTTGGACTCCGGCGTCGTCATTTGAGGAGAGGAAAAGTAGCTTTGGTGTTTCACTGATTTCTGCATCGCTGATTTCTGTATCAAGCGGAATTTTGCTGTGAAGGGAGTCGCCAGTCTCGAGCTCTGGATATTCAACTGTGACGTGGTTGGCGGAAAGACCATTTTCCCTCAAGAAGTGGTAGACATCATCAAGAATCACGTGCTATGTTACACCTTAGTCTTGTTCTTCTTTGACAAAACTCATGAGGACGTACATACCGAGTTGGTTCCTGCATTACCAAATGAATTAACTGAGGCACGACGAAGGCCTTTCACAGGCCACGGCATACTTTCGCGTGGGAACTAGGGTGCGTGTCAGCAGGTAAGCCAAGTGAACAAGACCAGTTTCTGCCACAACATACCCGAATATTCAAAAAGTCAGTGTCTATCATTGGATTGACCTTTTCAAAGTTATTGTTCGGTGGGATGACTCCTTTTTCTAGAACTAATAGCGCTTTGATGACACCAGCAATGCCACTAGCTCCTTCTAGATGCCCAATATTGCTTTTGACGGCACCAACCCAAAGAGGATCACGAGAGCTTCGGAACTTTCTAAATGCTGAGCCCAAAGCTTTTGACTCATTGGGGTCCCCAACAGCTGTGCCAGTACCATGGGCCTCGAAGAAACGAGTCGGCTTCATACTCAACCCGGCCTTTTGGTAGGTTTCTCGGATGAGTGTTTCCTGCATAATTGCACTGGGCAGAGTAATACTTGAGGTATGCCCATCTTGGTTGCATCCTGTGCTTCGAATAATACCGCGGATAGTATCCCCATGTCTTATAGCATCTGAGACTCGTTTCAGGACTAGCACACCAACCCCCTCGCCTCTACTATATCCGTTGGCACGATGATCAAAGCTGTAGCATTCTCCATCTGGGGAAAGCATGTTGAGGTTTGTCAAGCTGTGCATGTTGTCTGGTGACATTATCATGTTAGACCCAGTCACAATGCCCTATCGTATGTTAGCTGTTTTGTGGCTTCTAATTCTAGGGATACGCATATCACTTACCATATCTGCTTCACCGGACTGAAGTCCTTGAAGGCTCATGTCTAAACCAACAAGACTACTTGAACATGCGGTGTCGATATTTGCGCTGTTACCAGTGAAATTGAAGAACCAGCTGACTCGATTCGCGTTAAAGCATGGCTGCACACCAAGAGCAGTTGTTGTTTGGAATTCATCCGGATCTTTGCATTGTAATTGTTGCCAATCTGTTGAAAAACTACCGGAATACACGGATGTTTTGGTACCAAATACGTTTTCCAGGGGGAGGCCCGCTTTTTCAAAAGTCAGTGACAAAATCTTTAAAAGGTGGTAATTAGCAGGCTGCTTTACCATTTTCTAGCGCTTTGTATGTAGATTCAAGCAAGTATCGTTGCTGTGGATCCATGCTACTCGCGTCTGTTTTTGATGTTGCAAAGAATGGTGCGTCAAAGCCAGCAAGATCGCCTTTGATAAAGTGACCTCGCTTGACGGGAAACTGAAGATTCATGGGTTAATTCTGTAGCCTATATTTCAAGAAAGACTCTTCGGGCTCACCGTTCCTCGCCTCTGCACATCAGGGTGATACATTGAATCTACATTCATTCTTTCCTTAGGAATTAATGTTGCAGTGCTTCGTTTCTCCACCAGGATTCTCCAAAACTCATCAGATGTCGCTGCATCTTGAGGGAAAGTAAATGAATAACCTATAACAGCGATGGCCTCCTTGTCTTTTTTGGTTATGGAGGCTATGGGGGCTATGGGTACAATAGTGGGATTTCCTGTCTTATGAGGCGCCATGTTTGAAATTTGAATTTGCTTGCAAGATGGCCGTGTTTAAAAATTGAGTTGTTTGAAGATATAACAAGAAATTAAATTCAGTCAGTGCGCGAGATAATCGATCCTTCTTTAAGATCACTCGCAGCCACGTCGCCAATATACTATTCCACGCAGCTAGCAGCCGCTGGCCCCGCTCTTATAATTGTAGCAGTCCCATCCAACCACTTTTCCAACACCTATCAACAGACAGTTCAAGAAATGATGACGACAGGTCAGGTTTCTCCGCCATTCAGCGCCCCATCCATAACATTGAACTATTATTGCGCCCCATACTCAATTTGTTTGTTCTTGCCGCCGATCGTTATCTTGCACCGTTCAAATGTTTGCTCAATCCTGATTGCATCATGGGCTAACTTGCACTCATTTATTTTATTGAATTAGACTCAGTTCCAGACCCCAACATGTTGGTAATGTTGGAAGCCATGGCGCTAAGCTCGGGCCTGACTTGCATTGTTACATATGGGGGTCCTTGTGATAGGGTCCACGTAGATCCACTATCCTTACCGAAGCAAAACATGTAACTAATTGACAGATTACGCCTTTCCTCGAGTTTAAAAGTTCTGGTTTTCATTCTCATATACTGTGTCACGTTTGACTTATTCAAAAGCAACAATGCATTTTCTCTGCCTCCACGGGATAGGTACAAACAGCCATGTGCTCGAATCGCAATTTTGTTAGTTAGAGGTTCTCCTTTCTCGAGGTCTCTTTTTCTAATTATTTTAACAGCAACTATCAGCTATGAAATGGAACTCCATCATACGTTTGATTTCGTGGAGGGAGTACGAACTGCACCAATAGCACCCGGTAATGTCATCTCCATCTTCATGGCGACAAATGTGCCCGAAATGTTAATTTCTTTTCTAGAAATCAAACAATTTTACCCAGCAAGTGATGAGTACTTTAGTTATCATGACTATGATATTAAAGATGTCACAAAGACACTGAATGATCTCCAATCCTACATCGATGAGGAAGGTCCCTTTGATGGAGCAATTGGGTTCTCACAAGGCGCGGGACTGATAGCCACATATCTATTAAAGTGGAGACTTGAGCGGCAGGGTGACCCGTTTCCTTTCAAATGCGCAATATTCTTTGCGGGTGCCAGCCCAATTGATGTCACTTCCTTGGCTGCAGGAGAGCTGAAGTACGTTGATGCGCAGTCAAGCCATGATTCACTGATCTCCTTGCCGACTGCGCATATATGGGGTGCTAATGATCCTCTGCACGAGGATGCTGAACGATTACTATCGATATGCGACAAGACTAGGCGCAATGTGTATTTACACAGTCAGGGGCATGAGATTCCAAGCCCAAAGGCAAAGGAGGATGTACAGGGTTGTGTCCGAGTAATTAGAAGGACCATTGAAAATGCCGAATTGAGTGTGTGAGACTCGGGACACTAATACTACAAATTTTTATCTCTGGTGGTGGTCACGGCATTCATAGTGTTTATTGGGTTCAATCAAGGAAAGAATATCCTGTCGTGTTACAAGCAGCCTGATTCATGTGCATTTTTATATTCGGCTACAATAAACGCTTTTAGATCCTGTAATTTAATAAATACAGACTTCAGGGCAAGTCAGTAATAGACTAGGAATGCCACAAACAACATAACTTAATATGATAGATATAGGTCATTGTAATCTTTTTTCTTCCAATACACGTATATTGCAAAGAAACTATCGAGTGGGCTACCCAGAGTACTGGTATTCCTACATCTTGAATAGATTCTGCTTGATTCAACTATTTCTACATACCAAGCAAGGGTGACGCTCTTTTCTGGGTATCCAATTGCACTACACGAACTGTTCGACGCTCCCGCGTCATGTTTTTAAAGTTTTTCTTTTCACCACAGCGTCACTGAGGTGCGCCGAGTATGACCGTGTGCTTACGCTGATTTCCCTGGTCTATTGCAGAATTGAGGGGCCGGGGTAAACGACTAGGGCCAACCGCGGGGGCCGAAAGGGGCCGAAAGCAATTCATTAAACACGTCTCTCAAAAGTGACGGGGGCTAGATAGAAGTTTGTTTTAGCAGAGAGAAGCCATAGCACAAATTTTAATACGGGGATGAGGGTGGGGGCCGTGGGGCACCGTGATCATTATGTACTAGGAAGATGTAGCCGATGCGGGCACAGGAACAATGGCTGAAGAACAGGGCCGCTGTGAAGGCCGTGCGTTGAAATTTATTCCAGTAGAAGCATGCCTTATACAACAATAAATACGACGGTCTCGTTATCATGCACTACTTTTCCAATTTCTCGCTCATGTCGCTAACTGCTTTTGGGCCCATCGACGCCATGGCGCCTCCAGGGCGCTCCCTTAAATTTTGTCCTGCAGAACCACTTCATAGCGCACATGTACATGACGAAAATCCCTCTACATTCCAGGTGCAGTATTTGCAAAATGGCCCCCGTTTGAACCTTAAGCGGGGTATTATCTTCATTTGGTCATAATGATCTAGGGGGGTTGCCTTTCTTATCACATACGTGGCTGGGCGCCTTTTAGTGTGACCATATTAACAAGACTTGAGTATCTATCCCTGTCTTTCCTTCCCTGGTTTTACTCCTCAGTTCTTGAATGATTTTTCAATGTTATCACATAAGCCGTGAATATGGCACAGTCGCAAACATCCAGTCACAGCACAACTGCCGGCATTCTAGCCGAGCTCTATATACTATTTATGATTGCGGTCTTTTTAATTGGTCTGCGAATATGGGTTAGAACTCGAATTTCAAAAAACTGGGGATGGGATGACAGTTTTATTATTGTCGCTTGGGTAAATTCATCTCTCCTTACAGTCAATTTATTATACTGATTATTTTTCCTTCAAATGATAGGTGTTTCTTCTCATCGGCGTTGTCCTCGTCCAGATTGAAGCGAACTACGGCATGGGACATCATTTGGAAACCCTGAAAACCCCAGAAAGCCAAGCCCTCACCATCATGAAGTTCAACACCTTTTATCAAATGGACAACGTACTTTGCACACTTTTTACAAAGCTTTCCATCAGCGCCTACATTCTACGGATCAAAGATAGCAAAAGAATACGCTGGGTACTAGGTGTTCTCATGACTCTCATGGCTCTAGCTACGATAGCAGTAATCGTTGTTCTTAGCGTCTCGTGCATGCCGCTGAAGAAGTTATGGGATCCAACAGTGCCAGGAACATGTCTAGATCTGACGACTGTCTACTATGTTGCTTACGTTCAGTCGGGCTTTACCATCGTCATCGATCTATGCCTTAGTGCGGCACCGATTCTCATATTATGGAACGTGAAGATTCAACGCGGTCGCAAATCTCTTATTTGCTGCTTACTGAGTCTGGGTCTCGTTGCGACAATTTCGAACGCTTTGCGGAATGACTTCCAGACCGAGTTGACTACCTCGGATATGACTTGTAAGTAAATTGAGACAACCTCACACTTGTATCATGCTGACACTTATTCTGAAAAGACAATATGACCGGCGTTACTGTGGTGGCCATTCTCGAGCTTTCGAGTGGTATCATTGCCGCTTGTATTCCGGCTTGCATGCCTCTCTGGACATGGCGAAAGCAAAAGATCGGGAGCACGACAAAAGATCGCTATGATTCAAGAAATTACATGAATATGAAGGACAGATTCAGCGAAGATGATAAAGCCTCTTCATCAAAGGGCTCTTCTTCTTCCGTGCCGGGTGATGTTGCTTTGAGCCAACTAACAGTCGGGCAACCGCCTGCGGTCCATCATGAAGTTTATGATGGTCGAGCCATGTATAGAGTTTAAGAATTTGTAGTATATTTTATTTCATTCATATTTTCAGCGAGGAATTGACAAGCATCATTTATTTTCAACCATATATTCATTGTAATGATCAGTTGGTTTGACTATAGACCTGGTAGTAACCTCCCTAGCGCGATCTTCAAGTTTTCGGAGACGCCGAATTAGACTTAGTACTATGTACTAACTAATAATGATCCCAGTCAGACATACACAGCTTTTCATTAATGTAACCTTGGGAGTCGCAATCGCCAGAATACTAGCGGGAAGCACAATTTCCACCTCGGTTAAAAACAACCAATCTAATTTTGGCTTCCACTTCACTACTCTTGATCTTCGTGCACAGCAGAGGTATTCGTTCGGCCGATGTTCTCCCTCTTTTGACCCACGTTCTCAAAGTATCTGAAAGCAGCAAATCATTCACGAATTCCGCTATACGTGCTCCACTCTTTGTGCCCCCTGCATCGATGAGCGGAGGATTTATCCCGGACACGGACTTGATTCCATTTATGGCGCAGAGATATGCCAGTGAAGGCGCTACTACACTGAATGTAATGGCAGGAACCGGCAGGAACCGATATAATATCAGGAACATTTTGATAACGGCGTTTACTAGTATGCAACCACTTCCCTGCCCTCCTGGTCTTCATCACGCAATAAAAAATGTTACAGTCACTAGCGAAGTCCGCATCCTTCACGACTGCATTTCCTTCATTAGGACCCGCTTCAAAGGCCCGAGCGGGAGATCTTCCATCCATCGCATAATCCTTCCGGCCCCCAGGGCTAGCAAACCATGGGTAATGTACGGTACTGTATCTGCCTCCGTAAAATACATACCATGTGGCCAATAGTTTGAGTTTGATGCCCTAAGTAAACCAAAGCGGTGGAGATGTCAAAGCCCGTGATCTTGAATCATTCAAACTGCTGCATTAAAGTTGAGATTCATCGCACATATAGATCATTGTGCATTTCACGTTATATTTTTCTATTTGTCTTGTCTCCAACTATGATCTGTGTTCAAAACCGTGCCAAGTTTCAAGAATTATATACTCCCAGGCGGTCAAGCTCGAAGACTTTTGACCGCCTAAATCCAGACACCGCCTGGGCATCAAGGGCTGGGGCAACCTCGTTAAAGCAGCGGCCACTAAAATGGGTACATCTATCTAGATATATGGACTGGACTGCAGCTGTTTTCTCTAAAGTCAAAATATTCCAGTGGGCATATGTTCCTTGCGCATCAGTTAATTGAGGCAGATAGTATAATATATATTCCATCATCTTCTAGCGTAAACTCATCTAAAGGGGGTATCATCGGCATTCATAAGTCATGCATAAAAAAAGCAAAGAGTGGAGAGTAGATAAAAATGTCGTGGCTCAACGTATAGCACCGCAAACCTAGTGACACATACTCGACAGGAGAGAATGGATCAGATCATAGATGTCTCAAATGTTCGCGGACTCAAACACGGTACTGAAATGTTTTCCAACGTAGGAATACGATGATTGTGAGACTCCGCCGAACTTGAAGGGACAGGTCCATGTGACGGAATATGGTGCTCTGGAACATGTGTGACGTGTGCTTCAGGTATATCTTCCTCCAGAGGGACGCCATTGTGACCGCTGTGGGTAAGACATCCAACACAACTACAGTCGTTGCCACACTGGCAGCTTCCTGTGACATCAGAGCATGCTGAGGGTAGTCCAACGGGATACTCTATAGTGTAGTACTCGGAAGGATGCATCAATTGTTGGTTCAGATGATGGCCTCCTTGTATGGGAGAAGAGTAGCCGCTTGGCATCCCTGAGCTTGGATTTGAGTATGGATCGAACGAATTGTGAGTGATGCCGCGGTCCACAGGGGGTGGTGCTTGGTGCATGTAAAAGTTCATGGGAGTTGGGGCAGTAGTTGTGGGGAAAGAAGGCGTCTGGAAGGAATTCCCAATGGCTTCCGGAGTGTGTTCGTCGTCATCAAATGTCATCATAACACTCATTTCTTGTACGTGTTGACGAGTTGTGTTATTGAAGGGGTGAGCTGCACAGCCTAGACACTGGCACTCGTCTCCGCATTTGCAGTCGTAGCAAGGCTCGCCGGCAGGTGTTGAAGTCGGCACGGAGGCATACCCATTTTGAGCAGAATTGGGAAATGTACCCATGGAATTCTGAGCAATCCCAAGCCCATTCATCAAATTTGAATATTGGGCTCCAGGTTGATTTGGTGTATAGTTATCCGCGTAAAACTGTGGAAGCTGGGATCCCTGCATTCCAAACGATTGCATGTACGGGTTTTGCGTAGAGTGCATCGAGTTCTGCCACGAAGACTGCGATGATGGGATGTTCATATACGACATATTGTTCCACGTAGCAGAGTCCTTTGCAGGTGACGGTTGTGTTTCCAAATGGCTAGGTGCCCCGCGCGAAGTTGGCTTTCCACTACAGCAAGACCCACCACCACTTTCAGCTGCAGGTGGGGGTGGGGGTGGGGGTGCAGGTTTGGAAGAGCAGCAGCTTGACGTCTTGGCTGGCTGTGGATTTTCAATATATCCATGAACAGGTGTAGCTGCATACAAGTCGTTTCCGCTTGGAGTATGGTTTCCATTGCGAGCGGTTTGATGCGCAGGAAGCTCAGCCAAATATTGGGACGTTCCATCTTCAAGCTTCACATTGTCAGACATAGATTCTAGGGCCTTGGCGATATTTTCCGGTGCAGCATGAATATGGCTTTGTCGTCTTCCAACTTTCTGGATTTTTCCTGGGGCGGGCGACTGGACTCCAGGTAGGGAGGCTTGCGGAGGTTGATCTGAATCACTAGGACTTGTGGGGACTGTGTATAAAGGTCGGCATAGACATGTTGAACCTAGAACGATAATTTGTCAATGCGCTATTCCTGCAAAGCCAGGCGAGTTCTTCTACCTTTTGGAATGCGGACCATGAATGCATAAGTTTTCTGACAACTACAAGTTCCTTTCGGGTGGGGGCATTTCGCCAAAGGGCGCCCAGCCTTAGGCACTTTCATCATGAGCCGGTCGAAGTGTTGACATTTGGACGATCTGTGGCCCCGAATACATGGTTCACTAAGATTTCGGTCGTCAGCGCATTTCGATTTCAAGATTGACGGCTGGTGTCATACCAAGACCATTTGGCCCCTTCTTCGTCAAGAGGCATCTTTTTGTGGGATAAGATTGCTGGGTTCAGTTGAAATGAGGAATAGGTGTGAGATTATGAAATCAGTGACAGAGCGTCGCAAGAGCCGTGTCACCGGCGCAGGGCCGTGCGATTATCGATACCTAGGTGAAACACGGTCGTTTCGAGTGTCGCAGGGGTGCAAAGCAGGAGTTGTTGAACACGTCTTCAAGGAAATTATTAATAGTACATCCCAGGCGTTGTATAATCGGTCTTGAACTCTTTCGATTTCTTCAACGTCGAGCGGGGTTGCGGGAGTCAAAGGGTCGCGGCTAGCAGATCTTTCACGAGGTTCCGAGCGGAACAGACCGGTTGGGTCGAGGTCATCAGTGACGACAGCTCGACGGGTGTTGCACACAGCTGGCTCCACGTATCTGGATCAATTCAAAATGGGACAATTGATATAGAAAGGAGAGAAAGATTCAAGCGTAATCCAAAGGTCTCAACAAGAGGAGCCAGGAACGTGACTCGACTACGTCGGTCTGAATGCGGGGAGCCGCTGACTCATCCAAACAAACATCACAAACATTTGAATGTTTGAATGTTTGAATGTTTCCTTGACGAATCTAAGCTACATGCCATCACTATCACTAGCATACACGCAATGTCCGCTGAGCAGCCGACCGAGGGAGCGCAGCCTGCAATTCAGCTCGACTCCCTCTTTACCGTCCCTGCTCCAATCAAACGTCTCTTCGACAAGTTCCCTCTGACCACATATCCCGCAAACGACATTCCGCAACGTTCTCCGTCCCGACGACACATTACCCAACTGTTCATCTTCAGTGATCCCGTGAATGCGCATCGAGGTCGCCCCTCTCACAATCCGCTATGTCTTAAGTGGCAGGTTCGTACCCATTCAGCCGACCTATACAAATCGTCATCATATCGTGTACTGACATAGTGCTGGTTCTAGGCGTACCTGAAATTTGTCGGCATCGACTTCGAACTCACACCCTCCACTAACCATGCGTCGCCAACCGGAGCCTTACCTTTTCTTCTTCCCGCAGCTTCTGGGGCAAGCACCCCAGATGTGATTCCTTCGAGCCATATTCAAAAATGGGCCATTGAACAGGTTCATTGTGAGGAGGAACAACAACTAAATCTCCGCTTCGCAGTCTACGCCTCTCTTATCGACCACCGCATACGCAACGCTTGGGTACATACTAGCTCTCTTTTCTTTGTTCTCAAACACAAACACACACCTATTACAAATACTGATAAGGAATTCTCTACAGTTGTACATGCTTTACCTAGACAGTGACAACTTCGAGGCTGTAGCCCGCCGACTCTACGTGGTTCCTTCTACAACAAACTACCTCGTTCGAACTGTATTGGGACTCGACCTCCAGAAAGCCGCGCGAGGCGAACTCCTAAAAACATCACGATACATTGATGTGGCCGATCTAGAGGCCGATGCAGGGAACGCATTCGAGGCCTTATCCTCTCTCCTCGGCGAGGACGACCACTTCTTCGGCCGGCCAAATCCCGGCCTCTTCGACGCCAGCTTATTTGCCTACACACATCTAATCCTCGACGATGGGATGGGGTGGAAGCAGAACCGCCTGGCACAACTGCTCCGAGAGCACAAAAACCTTGTACAACACCGGGAACGACTCCTACGGTTCTTCTAGACTTGTTTTATTATTACACCATCACCACCATGTACCAATTATCCAGCGACCAAAATCTCCTTGAATAATATCTCCCTTGATCTCTTTAATGAGCCTTCTCAATTTGTTGGCTTATTTCATCTTTCATAAAGGTTCCCTATTCCTGCTATCCTGTTTTATATCTTGCTAAAACATACCCCGAACCATACATTGATCCCAACCCATTTTTTCGCCCGCGCACCCAAGATATCTCCCAGATTTTCATCCACGGCCCTCTCAAGGACCGCATTCCCTCCTTTTTCCCCGATCAAATTTTTGATGTGGAATCCCGCTCCAGTGGCTGCGGCCAGCACCTCTGCAGTAGAGTGGCAATAACTTGTAGGCCGAATTTTCACTCCTGTCTGTGGATCCGTAAATCCAGCCTGACTCAATGCACCCATATCCGCATGCATATTGGTAATCAGCAAGTAGCCCCCGGGTTGCATCATCGCAGATGCAGCTTCAAAGAATTCCCTCAATGGGATGTGTTCGAGGACAAGCGTAGATATAACACCAGCTGCACCGGTCTGCTGCAAGGGAGTAGGTAGTCGATTCCCATCCGAGATAGGCTTCAAGAGATCAAATACTCCCAGTGATACTTCTGCACTCTGGGACTCATTCTGAGTAAAGGCTGATTGAACAGTTTTTTGCGCAACCTCTAACATTCCCGGTGAAGCATCTACGCCGATGACTTCAATTTGTGTCGCAGATGTCTTGCCATCATGGCTCTGATCGGTGTCCTCGTTCTCCTTATATTTCGATAGTGTCTTCAATAATTGGACTGTATTTCTACCTGTCCCGCATCCCAGATCTACCAGCTTGAGCTGCTCTGTCGATTTGAAGCGGGATTTCACGGCGTCCAAAAACCGGGGTAGCAACACACGCAACTCGATCGTATCCAGGCGCTGAAGGAAGTTCCCATCTGTATCGTAGACCTATAGCAACTTTCAATATCGGTGAAGCATGTTGTATCCTAATGTTATACATGTTGTAAACCTGATTACGCACCTCGGCCCATTTATCGTATGCCTCCACCGTCCCGACGTACTCAACCAGGCCAGACTTTTGTGACTCAGCCTTTTTAGACAACATATTTTGGATTGTTTCTGTCATTATGGAGTCTTCGGGAGTCAATCGAGATCAAAAAAAAATTTGAAATTGATTTTTCCAAACTTTTGTGTCGAGTGCAGGGTTTGTACTCGGACTATATATCTACTGCGGGAGGGGTCCGACACCTCGGCGCTAAATAAATCCCGAAAATTGAATGAACGGATGCTAGACCAAGACTGACTCATTATGACTCAAATTATATACACAATGAAAATTGAATGCTCGAAGTAGAAATTTCTGACTTACCCATATCCATAGATAACCTTGTCTATGCAGCAGTCTGCGAACCACACTAGCAGGGGGCACAAGGTGGAACCGACAGTTGATCTTAGTGCTTGAAACGAACTACAACATTAGTTCCGAGGATAGAATAGTCTAGTTACAAATTGACCTTGAATTAAGCTATTCTTCAGTATTTACTATAATGTATGCAGATGTTTACATGCGAAAATAGTAAGTCTTTTCAGTTGTAGAGTTTCATGTTATTTGGTCAAGTACTATTTGATTGGTAGATAGTCAAAACGAAAATCGTACATAATCATGTCGCCATCAGAGACAGATAAGAAAAAAGAGGCGCAAGAGCTCTCGGGCGGATGTCGACACAATCCCAGAATTGGAGAGGGATGAATAAAGGAAGAAACAGACAAGAGAAAGGGAAATCTGTCGAAGGTAAGGAGAACAAAATAAGTCCAACTTGGAGAAACATCTGTGGAAAGGTCTGTCGAATCAAAAGCAAAATCAAAACCGGGATTCAAAAGTCGGAAGAAACGTCAGTTTTAAACCACGCCGTGCCAGACGGGACGTAAAGCTCGTAAAGAATCAAACATAAAGGTGGATGGCTGAAGGAAAGAAAAGGCTGAAAAAAGGAATAGAAAGATGAAGAAGAAGAGAAAAAGAGAGAGAGACATAAGGAAATCAAACCACATCAATGCGGTCATTGCAGACATTTGTCATGATGGCAGTGTTTTCATCATCGACATGAGAATCGTTTAGTAGACGGTTGCACCAAATGGCGCAGTCTCTTTAAGGTCCTCCACAAGATCCTCCACATTATTCAGATAGCGACCCAAAAGTGCCTGTTTTTCGTCGGTAGTTCTCGTATCACGAATCATCTTGCTCCCGTTAGAGGCATGTGAGCTTTGCGACATTGGCCGGGACGAAAGCTTGCTCGGGCTGCGCTGCAGAGGGGGTGGGCTGGCGCTAGCACCAGAACCGGGGCTGAGAATCGGTGTCTCGGGCATAAGATAGAAGTACAGGAATTCTACCAGTTTGAGCTTGACTTCGCGAGATGTAGCGCGCTGTTTGAACAGGGATGTAACAGTGAGGAGACCGTCAAGGTCTTCGAATGTGCGAGTGTTGGAGGGGCAGTCTAGCAGGGCCGCGACAAGAGTGAGGAGGGTTGCAGATTGGATGGCTGGGCAGTTGATTGGGTCGAGGAGGTCAAGGAGGAGATTCATGTAGATGTCGCGGGCGAAGAGAGTACGCGAGGGTGGGTGGAGGAGAAGTGCGCCTTGGATTAAGTCAAGTGTGCAGACGATGAGCATGTCGTTGGTGCCATTGCTGCCGCGGCCAAGAAGGTGTTCCAAACAAGACACTAGACGCATAGCAACTATATATGGCAAAAAAAAATTTGTTAGTTCGGCAAATTAAAAGAAATATAAGGTGTGGATGCATAGAACACGTCGTGGGACTCATCATAAAAGTTGCGATAAGTCCACCACGTTGATTTCATGCACGACTCAAACGCACCATTCCATTGAAAACCATCTTGCAGCTTGAAGAATTCCCGAAACGCCGGGTCGTCTCGTAGTTCTGATAAGCCCTTCGGCACTGGTTGCGCTTCGTTGGCTATGACTGATCTTCTTCGATCTGGGGTAGATTTGGGCTTGGAGAGGCAGATTTGGGCCAAAAGGCCCTCAACCTGACGCAAGCCCTTGCGGACCTTGCTAGGCTCGTAAGAGGAGAGATAGTCGAATGAATGAGCCAGTAAATTCTCCATGAAGGTTGTATTTGACGGGGGTAACGATGAATGCAATAAGAATCGCTGAAGAGAACAGCGAGGAGGAATATGGTTAAAAAGAATATAAAAAAAGAAGAGACTCAGCTCTGAAAAGAAAAACAAAGTCAGCAGCGGCTGAAGAAGCTCATAATTCTAGAAAATCAGAATCGCCAGTTGGTCCGTGTTGGCCGATGAGGTCAGTCGGGCCGCAAGGCAAGTAAATAAAGGGCGGTTGCCCCGACGACCCCACTACAATTTGGTGCAAACTAGCGGCTCCCTGATCTCCCTCTGGCGTTAATAACATTGAACTAAGGTTATTTCTATGACTCTCAATCACCCAAAACCGGTTTTAGGATCTGGGGTTCGGCGTTTCTTGTTTTCTATTTTAATCGATTAGTGTGCCCCTCTCTTTTCTTAAAAAAATCTTGTTTATCTAGACCTTATCATCTCGAAAATCTGGAGCTCTGTGACGTTTTGGCAGGTGCCATTTTTGCGGCTGATGGGGTTCCTCGGATAGGTTGCTATGGGACTCTTTCAACAACAATAGCTATACCCTTAATATTGTTTGGCGCCAGGGATCGTGATAAACCTTCCTAAGTATTGTTCTCCCCACTTCATGCGAGGTGACTGGCAATGTGACCTTTAGCCTCGTCACACTTGTGATGCATCTCTTTGTTGCATCTATGGATTGTGGTCGGAGCAACCACTAAGACTCTTCCCGAATCAGGCCTAGCTTAGTCACCCTGCACCCAGTTGATCCAACTCGTTGTGAAAGTTGGAGATTGAAGCTTATATAACTTCACCAGAATTCAAAGAATGGGACAATCAAAGAACACCGTCGAGTATAAAAAGCTACAGGCCACAGCATGAGTGATTTGGTTCAATTACTGCTGCCTAGACGGGCCATTTTCTTCTTCTCCATTTGATTTCCCTGCCCGCATTTTGTACCTTTAAGCTTCCGCCTCTGCCCCTCACCTACATACATCCACCCCATCCTTGCCTCGCAAAGCAACTTCAAGATGAGTTCCGGTGTCAACTTCGAGCCACCAGGTCCTATACCGCCTCGGACAAGCTCCACCAACGCTCCAACAAGTCCATCGAGTTCAGCCTCGCACCGACACCGCACTTCCGTTGCCGGTGGGGACCCGCCGAAAACCAAGCACCGGCGCAACAAGTCCAGCGTCGATGGCACCAAATACAAAGATGGGCAGTGGTCGCCGAAGAACGAGAAGATTCTCATGGGTCCCTATGAATATCTCCAGACGCACCCAGGCAAGGACGTGCGTCGTCAACTCATCGAGGCCTTCAATTCCTGGTTGCAAGTGCCATCCGAGAGCTTAGAGATCATCACTCGAGTGGTGGGCATGCTACACACAGCGTCGCTCCTGTTAGTTCTCCCTACGCTCGGCGCAGAAAATACATGCCCATTCTCCCAGATCAACATAACTGACATTCTCCGCTTTCGATACAGGATCGACGACGTCGAAGATAACTCTGTCCTCCGTCGCGGCATCCCCGTTGCACATAACATCTTCGGTACACCGCAGACCATCAACTCAGCCAACTATGTCTACTTTCTCGCTCTGCAAGAGGTTCAAAAACTCAACAACCCAGCCGCGATCAATATCTTCGTCAACGAGCTTCTGAACCTTCATCGCGGCCAGGGAATGGATCTCTTCTGGCGTGATACGCTGACTTGCCCGACGGAGGACGAGTATCTTGAAATGGTGGGAAATAAAACGGGCGGGTTATTCCGACTCGCGGTGAAATTAATGCAAGCAGAGAGCTCTACGGGTAAGGACTGTGTTAGCCTTGTGAATGTCATGGGCCTGATATTTCAGATCTGTGACGATTACTTGAATCTTTCCAATACAACATACACCGAGAATAAAGGTCTCTGCGAGGATCTTACCGAGGGCAAATTCTCATTTCCGATTATTCATAGTATCCGATCCAATCCCGGCAGTCACCAGCTTATCAGTATCTTGAAGCAGAAGACGAATGATGAAGAGGTTAAGCGCTATGCTGTGCAATACATGCAGAGTACGGGTAGTTTTGACTATTGCAAGGTTGTGGTGAAGGATTTGAGAGATCGAGCGTTGACATTGATTGATGCAATCAATGCTACACCGACAATCAATGGTGCCGGCGATGGAAGTATGGTTCGTGCGGTTTTGCTGAAGATTGTGAAAACCACGGTTGGGGAGGAGAACTCGCAATAAGCTACGGTTTCTTGCTTGTGGTGAGTGCATGTGTAACTTTGGTGCACTTCTTGATTATACCCTTCCAGCATGTCTGGACCCTCTTATTTTTCGGTTGATTTCTGTTTTTTTTTCTCTCTCTCATACTCCGATTTACTATCTAAAGCGATATGATTTTACGATGCCATGATCATACCAGACATACCGACTCTGAATCTGTCAATTGTCAAGGAAAGACAACAAATTGAACTTGAACACAGTCCAAATGAAATTAGTATTCCGTATTCTTATCAACATAAAACATAAATCTTGAAGCCAAAGGGTATATATCCCATCATCGAGTCATGTTATTCACATAACCAAATTCCAAAGAACATTCGAATAATAAACCAGATTGCCAAATCTACAAGATAGACATCTATCCAAGACACCAAAGGCTGAAAAACAGAGAGATCTATATGAACCCCTTACATAACAACACAGCAGGCTTTCTCCAGCTTGCGCATGATCTTAGGCAGAACGGCATTAACCACCTGCTCAAGCTCATCCGGTTGCTGTTGCTGTTGTTGCTGTTGCTGTCCCTGGTGTTGTCCCTGGTGTTGTTGATAACCACCAGAGTGCGACTGCTGTTGACCAGGATACTGGCCGTGTGATTGCTGGTGTTGCGGGTACTCAGGCATGACAGCCTCGCCGCCAGTAAGGTTGACGTAGATTCGACCAGCATTGTCCTCAGTCGCGTACTGCAGGCCAAGTTCCTGACAGACCTGTTCCACCCGCGGCTTAATCTTCTGAATGTGGTTCACGGAGTGGTTGCCTTTGCCGACAATCCTATTAAGATAGAAAAGAAGTTAGTCAGTGTCAATTCCCATCCTATGCGCAGAGATATTCGCCTCCTATCCGTCAGTCTGCATATCGCAAAACAAAGACAGAAAGTCGGACGAAACAGCCAAATGCACAACAAAAGCACAGAAACTTACACATGCAAATGATTCTGCCCATGCGACTTAGCGTACTTAATACGCTCCTCGAGAATCTCCTCAGCCTCCTCAACAAATTGACCATGCAAATCAATCGTATCGGCAGCTACCCGCCCACTAGCATTATTCTCTTTGAAAATAAATTCCGACGCCTGCCTATTATACTCCTCCATCTTGCGACCATGCGCCTTCCCCTCCTCGGAGAGTTGCTTCGCGCCCGCACCATCACCACTCGAGTATGCCTCCTTAGACTGTGAAAAATAGATAAGTAATGTATCCGTGTATGGGTCCGCTTATATCGCAATCGATCCAATTAGAAATATCGTACCCGTCCGAAACATTGACCGCGCTTCGAGGCTTCCTGGCGCGCTAGATCGCGGAGGCGATCGTATTCGGCCTCGGCGTCGTTGCTCTGGTCGTGGTTGAAGGCTAGCAAGCAGGAGTGGTTAGCAGGCTTGTGATGGGGGTAGGGTGCGATTGGGATGTTTGGCGTACCTCTGGGCCCTAGATGGGACATTTCGTGGGACATGGTGAATATGGCGGTGGACTCGGAGGTGAATGTGGTCCTGGTAAGTTCAGATGGTGGTAGGGGTCTTGAGTGTTTTAAGTGGGGATGCAGGGTCAGGTACCCGAAAAATCAAACCAGATCGATCCGTTCGATTGCGATCGGAGTCCCATGGAATCTGTGTATTTCATTGGTACGGATCGGGTCATTTTATATCACGCTCTGGTGGATACTAGGTACATATTGCTAATTGGGCTCTTTTTCTATCGATAATGTCCATTTAATATTGCTTGAAGCCTTTGTCTTTACTGATTGATCGCTATTTAGACCGCTTAATGATATCATTTGAAGGTCCAGATGTTCGTCCTTGGATGACTAGATTGGGTTTAGCGTGGTAACTAATCTTACCAGTCGACATGCTTCAATCTTCCTTATCCTTAGTCTTCGTATCCTTTCTTGACCTCGGATCTCGCAGCATTGTAGGTGAAACGGTTTTTTCTAAGCATCGTGTGATTTATCTTTGCTTTCCGAGCAATGCCATTGTTCGAGACCATTTGGTATTGCCCGCCTTGACAGGTCGATTCACAGTTTTTGTTGTCTCCACATCGCTCGTGGTGCCAGTGACTGCAGCGAAACTGCTTTAATGAATGCAAACTTCATACTGCTGTGCGAAATCCAATTATTGTCAACGTCACGTAGAATTGTAGCTGTGGTGGACCTCGCAATGCTCACCTAAGGACCATTTGGAGGAGGACGCGAGAAACAAAAGAGGGACTGCTAGTGTGTGAAACCGTACGTTTGGTGCTCGAAGACATTGCTTATGATACCCCAGAGCAAGAGATTGACCACCGCACATGTCAAGTAATGGACTATATTGAAAGACGAATGCCTCAACTTCTACTACAGAAAATTCCCATTGCGGGGAATTCAACTCACCTCAAGCTGGCCGAGGAGAAGGTAGGGCATCAAGGAATCATTTTTGGCTACGCTTCTGATGAGACTACCCAATTACTGTGCGTTTTACTAGAACTAGAATCAGTTGCTTTTCAGTACTAAATATGCGTATCACTAGACCCATGACCATAGATCTATTTCACAAGATTTCTCTAAATATGAAATCTGCTCGTGCGTAGGGCATCCTTCCGTGGTTACCTCCAGATACCAAAACACAGGCAACAATCGAGTATATGGAGGACTATGGGAGAATGATTCCTCTTCGCGTTCACACAATTGTCGTTACGGCCCAGCATACGCGCGATGTGACAGCTCCGCGAAACAATCCTCAATCAGGTCATTCGAAAAAGCAGTCCCACTCAAGTACCTCGATTCCTTGACAACATATCATATACAACTCTCCAGTATCCATACACATCCCGGAATTTGCTGACATATACCGAATGTAGATCCAGCCAACCGAAGATGCCGGTGTGACACCATTTGGTAGATTTCCTGGTGTCACAGGCCGTAAGATCGTGGTGGATACATACGGCGGATGGGGCACTCATGCCAGTGGTGGAGGTGCATTTTCCGGCAAAGATTTTCGAACGGTGAGTCTACTAAATATCCAGACTAGGGACATACTATAGCGAGCTGATAATTTTTCTAGGTTAGGTTGATCGCTCTGCCGCGTATATGTCGCGATGGATCGCCAAATCATTTGTTCATGCGGGTCTTGCGCGGCGCTGTTTGAAGCAGCTTTCATATTCAATTGGAATTGCTTAACCCATAAGTAGTTATGCTCAGACCTGTACGAGCAAGCTGAGTTGTATGGAGTTGGAGCGGATCGTGTTGCAAAACTTCGATATACGTGCAGCAGCCATCGCGAAGGAATTATGATTGACAAATCCTATTTATTATTTGACTTCTAAACAGGGTCATTTTACGAGCATGTCGTTTCCATGGGAATGCCCTAAGGAGCTGGTCCTGGTCACCGAGACCACTTCCAAGCCTCAGTAAATGGATATTTAATTTCCAAGGTTTCAATGACTGAGCATTTCGGGCCAAAAACTTCCCACGGTATCTCTGAGTCTGCCATGGCTTCGACTGTTTAACCGAGCAATTTGGATCGAAGCTCCCTTATCATTTGATTGTTTCGTATGACCCGGCAAGATCATCTCTTTCGTTGTATCTGAGGTCAATAGAATACGTTTGTCCGGTGTCGAAACATCCCGCAATTTGAGTCCAATTGCCTAATATACTGTAGATGGCTCTTTCACGGGTGATTGCAATCATGTGGTGGTGGCAGGCTAGGGGGTCTGAAGTCTCCTCCACTTGAGAAGAGAAGAGAGCAGTGGAAGTGGAAGTGGAGGAAAGGGGGCTTACACGAGCAATGTGCATATGGTCATGTGAGCTTTATATGATCCAGGGTTTCGAGTATCAGCCCAGGTGCGTATACATTGATCTGGGCACTATGGACAAGACATTGATTGGACAAATGCCCGCTAATCCCAAAATGGAATACGAACCCCTTTGCGGTAAATTATCATCAATACGGAGTATGGAGACAATGAAATAAACTCAAAAGAAAAAGAAGCAAACAAGCATTCTAAAGAACCAGACTGACTCCCTGAGTGGGATTCCCAAGTTCCATGGGTTAGTTCTATTGTTCTGTACCAAAGCCACGGCCCTGGTGCGGCTGCAAATAGTTTCGACACTATTGCTAGTCCTGGTGGAGCTGGCACTGCTCAACATCCACTATACTCCGTACAAGCGCCAATATCTGCTTATTTAAACCTTACATTCTCCAGATGCCACGTGCGAAATCGATAAGAAGGTCGTCAATAATGGGTATTGTTAGTCTGGAGTCCGATCGACAATACTTTGTATTGCGGGTTTACCCCATCTCTTCAATAGACTATGTGTGCTTGGCGGTTGAACCCCTAGTTGTGAAATTGGATGCTGAGAAGTTATGTATCACTAATAACTTTCAATGACTCTCTATCACTACCCCTTGTATTTACAGAGCTAGTCAGTACCGTGGAAACGTTCATGTATGCTCGACAATGGGGGCAGTTTTTTAAGCTGTCACTATGGGATAAAGATCAAAACAGACCAATTTCAGTGCCCTGAAAAGGGGATGGATTAAACATTTTGCAGAAGTTCATAGATGAGGGGCTAAATAGTTGAGATCTATTTGACACCACGACTGAACTATACGATGCTGTTTGAATGGAAAGAAGATACTATAGTGTTTCCGATTACTGTACAAGGCTGGGACATCTAGAGAAATCTTAGTCAGTCCATACTCCGTCCGACAACTAGCGTGTATTATTGAGAAAAGCGGGTCCACGAACAACAACGATTCCAAGGTTCTATTATTTGGCTTACACCTTGATAGCCATCTACGGAGTTTTCCTCACCACAACTTGCGCTAACAGCTTGAACAATATGTACTCCGTACTGTTCCCCGTATCTCAGATCCAAATTCGAGACTCCTCATATTTCGTATCGACCTTCAGGGGCACGCGCGGCAAAGAACGGCTAGAAGTACTAGCCAGTGGGTCAAAGAACAATAGCGTGGATTATAACCACGAAGGAGCAGAATTCCAGAAATTCCATTTCAGGGGCCCATGTGGATTATGCCCTTTCCCCCCTTTTCCATGTGGGTTTCTGATTTATGTACAGTACAGTATGTGCCGCAACGCTGACCCGCTTGGGAAGTTTTTGGGAGGTTTTTCGCCTTCATGTTGTCATCCTGTTGATGCAATGGACAAGTGGGCAACACTAGTAAGGCAGAATTACAGTAATGCATAAGAACAGTATGTATCTACAGGGGTGCGTGGATGGCAATGGTAAGACTGGCCCGGGTTCAAGGGTGTGCGGACTTGCGCCCCCCTTCTCCCCGGTCAGATCGGCAGCTGTGGAGTTTGGGGTCCTTCTCGGGCAGAGTGTGTCTCGGTATGGATGGTGACCAACTGCACGGTCATGCATTCCTATTGTATCATCCAGGTTTCAACGTCGTCGTAACCGAAGCAGGGAACTGGATGTTTATTTTTGGCAATATAATATGTAGGATGTTGAAGATTATTGCTGATAGAGTTAATGGCTTTTATTTTGCTTTTGCTTTTATTTTATTTTTAAAATACGTTTACTTTATCAGTCTTTTTCTAAATTTATTTATTTCATCTTAATCTCACACCTGCTATCTTACTTTTCTTTCTCTCAGACTGTGTGTCTTACTGAGCCCAGTGTGACGGTGAGATTCTTCTTCTTAGTGATGTTCCAGGCTGAGGCAGGACACTACGTAGCTGTGGGAGATACAATGGTCAGCAACCCAGAGGAGTATGATCTCCGGCTGTGCAGACGATCAGCACAGTTTCTCCAGAGTGTAGAAATAATGCGGAAAAGTCGCCCCTCGATGGTGTAATTGTATACATAAAGTTCAGCCCTGAAGATGCTACTGCTCCATAGTATCCATACGGATCCTGGTATACGTAGTTATTAGTATACTTACTTGGTCCGGAGAATAGTGTCGGACAATATTCAAAACTATCTATAGGTCATTTAAAGAGTCCCCACCAACGCAATATGTATATATTCGGGATAAAGAGGTTGCGGTGGTCGAGATTCCGATCAAAGAATGAATGCCCTTGTCTCGGGAAGGATCTCTATGGATCTTTGTGAAGAAGATGATATAATCTTACATGGTGCTTTTGATTTTTGGCCCCAGAGGGGGGAGGGGAGCAGGTAAAAGACGTAGTATCTTCACATCCAGGCAAATCAGACAAATCAAATCAAACAGACTAAAAACCTCCCCCAAACCCAGGTGCCAAGTCAAAGCAAGCTAAACCACTGGGAAACAGAGAAATAGGGGGCAGAAAAAGCTGATCTGCAGTGATTGGATGGGGCTCGTGCTGGTTTAAGTGGAGCGGTACCTGGCTGTGGTCCAATCACAGACCATAAATACGGTCACTGTTTGGTCACCGTCTGGTCATGACCATCTGAAATCATTGAAACTGAAGCAGCTGGAGAGTGAAATAGACTGCGGCACTGAAGCGCCCCAGTGTATTGGTGTAATGCCCATACTCCCCTTTCCCTGCTGAAACTTCCAATTTCCCCCCTCCCCCCTTACCTTAAACCTCTCTCTTTCTCCAGCTGAATTGCTTCACTATTTTCTTCCTTTTTTTACAAGGGACATCTTGAATTCCTGTAGGTGTGGTCCCTCTTCCTCCGCGTCCTTCTTATCCACGGTTTCCTCTTCTGGTTCTCTCGTCGCCATCTATTTCCGTTTCACCCTTGCATATCCACACGATTGCATCCTGAAACGTCGGCCCTCGGCGACTTGTACCACCTCCTCGCCACCCCGTCCATCCTAAAACGCGATTTCAGACCAGAGAAGAGGCTCAGGAAAAGAAGAGAAAAAGACAGAGAAAACTCAGTTTGCTAATCCATTCGTTCCCTGCAACAGTCCCTTGTGATTGAACCCGCGACCTCTCCCCCTTACAAGTCGATCGCCTCGCACGAACCATCGCGATCGTTTTCTACAAAAAGTCTCACCACATAACACCGCCATTATGGGTTGTGGCATGAGTACCGAGGACAAGGAGGGGAAGGCTCGCAATGAGGAGATTGAGAACCAGCTCAAGCGCGACAAGATGATGCAACGCAACGAGATTAAGATGCTCCTTCTCGGTAGGGCTCGACTTCCAATGCCACATTACGCCGGCAACTTTCGTCCATATGACTGACTCAACGCGATTCTATAGGTGCTGGAGAGTCTGGCAAGTCGACAATTTTGAAGCAGATGAAGCTCATCCACGAGGGTGGCTACTCGCGCGACGAACGGGAATCTTTTAAGGAGATTATTTACAGCAACACAGTGCAGTCAATGCGGGTCATCCTGGAGGCTATGGAATCACTTGAGCTTCCTTTGGAGGATGCCCGTAACGAGTACCACGTCCAGACCGTCTTCATGCAGCCTGCTCAGATTGAGGGTGACAGCATCCCTCCTGAGGTTGGCAACGCCATCGGTGCCCTCTGGCGCGACACTGGTGTTCAGGAATGTTTCAAGCGCTCGCGTGAATACCAACTGAACGACTCTGCCAAATAGTAAGCCAATTGTTCTGTGCATGATTTGAGATGTTGCACGGAAAAGGGAAAGAAAAAGCAATTCCTCTAACTAGTTTCAAATAGCTACTTCGATGCCATTGACCGTATCGGCCAACCCGATTACCTCCCCACCGACCAGGATGTTCTCCGCTCTCGTGTTAAGACTACTGGTATTACAGAGACCACCTTCATCATCGGCGATTTGACCTACCGCATGTTCGACGTCGGTGGTCAACGATCTGAGCGAAAGAAGTGGATTCACTGCTTCGAGAACGTTACTACTATTCTCTTCCTGGTCGCCATCTCCGAGTACGACCAGCTGCTGTTCGAAGACGAGACTGTCAACCGTATGCAAGAAGCCCTGACTCTGTTCGACTCCATTTGCAACTCCCGATGGTTCGTCAAGACCTCCATCATTCTCTTCCTCAACAAGATCGATCGCTTCAAGGAGAAGCTCCCCGTCAGCCCCATGAAGAACTACTTCCCCGACTACGAGGGTGGTGGCGACTACTCCGCTGCCTGTGATTATATCCTCAACCGCTTCGTGTCTTTGAACCAGGCCGAGCAGAAGCAGATCTACACCCACTTCACCTGCGCCACTGACACCACCCAAATCCGATTCGTCATGGCCGCTGTCAACGGTAAGCTTTTTAAACCTCCCGATGGGGTTTCTCCCAACTATGCCTACTACCAGAAACTAACTTGTCAATCCAGATATCATCATCCAAGAAAACTTGCGCCTCTGCGGTTTGATCTAATGAATTGCCATTCCTCGAGTGTGTCAGGTTTAGATCGCATGTGTTTTGTTTCCTTCCAATATGTTAGGCTTGCCATCAGATCTTACCGGGATATGATATAAAAAGCCCTGTGTCCAAGAATTCCGGCGTTGAACATCTTTTCTCATCTGTTTTTCTATCTGCTCACTTTTCTTCTCTTTTCTTGTGTGTCTTCTAATTGCGATCCCCTCTGACACGATCTTTAGCCTGTTCTTTCCTCCTGCTCTCGAAGACGCGGAGCAAGGCTTCTTTTCCTTTTCCTTTTTCCTCTTTCCTCTTTTCTCTTTCCATTTCTCTACATCTTCCTTTTCTTATTTCATCTTTCCCCCATTTGTGTCTTTTTGAATGCTGGATATCCTGCTTGGTTGCCCCTTTTCATTTTGTCTTTCATCTTTTTTTTTTGTGTTCATCCTGTATGTAACCATACCGTCTTCTCCCTTCAGTATCCTTGATCTCGCGCCCGTTGGAAGCCGTGAGCGACCAATCGGGCTTTGGACATAAGGAACTGATAGCGGTTTCTCATGTCTCTTCTTATGTGTCATGCCAGGTCGGTCGATGGGTTAGTCAGAGCTAAGGAATCGAATTCAGGTTCCCGACCTATTTCAACTACTTCCAATTACGTAGCTCCTATGAGCATATGCCGTACTATACCATTTATCAGGGAAAATTAATCTTTACGCAGGAGACAACTTTAGACATTATAGATGGAATTAATCATCAACATTAAATGAATAGGCTATACAAGCTCGGGTATCTAACGTAAACCAAAACAAGCTCAGACAGAGCTCCAATCCTCACCCTCAAAACCTCAACTTCGGCCCGACATAAACAATTAAGATAGCAACAATCCACAACCCAAAAATCCAAGCATAAAGCATCATCCGCCCCCACCATCCCTTCCCCTCAGACATCTTCCTCAGCATCCCCATTCTCTTCCCCGCCGCTTCCATAGTAGTAGTCGTCTTATCCATCCCCGTCACCGCCCGATCAAGCACAGACTGCTCATTCTCCAACGTAGACTGAAAAGACTGTGAAGAGGCCTTAAGTTGGCCCGCTAACGAGAGAAGGGAGGAGGTAAGATCTTCCTGTTCAAGGCGTGAAGAGCTAAGAGCTTGTTCGGCGCTCTTTTCATTTAAGGTTTCTCTTCTTTCTTGGCTCTGGTTGTGCCTGTTTCGGAGGGTTGATGTAGGGGGTGCTGTGAATGTGGGTACGGGTGCAGGCGCAGATGTTGATGTTGATGCAGGTACGGATGTAGTTGAGTGCGGAGGGGTGCTTTCTTGTCGTATTTCTGGGATAACATTCTCTTCTAGGGGCTTTGAGAGGATGTCTTCCCATTCGTCGTTTTCCGAGTCGGATTCTTGTGTTTCTTCCTCTAGGATAGCTTGCATTCGTTTGAGGAGTTGTTTGTCGCGTGCGATTTCGGCTTGGGCTTCGCCTCGCTGGTTTATTTTCAGATTGGAGAGGGACCGTTCTAATTGCGAGAGGAGGGATCGTGCGTATTCGACATTCTGGGATTGGTTAGATATAGCTCTTTATCATGCATAGGGAATTCCCCTATAGAGGTCTGTCTTACCTTATTTACTCGCATACGCTGGAACTCTGAGCCGCGCAGGGTGCGGAGTTCGGAGCCTGGAGATAGTAGGTTATGTTCGAGGCGAGTGAAGAGGCGGGCTGTGTTGAGGAGGGTGAGGTCTGCAGAGTCCCCTGGTGGAGGGAAGACAGATACAGCCATTGTGGCAGCTAGCTCTGGATGTGGAAGGGTAGAGGCGAGAACGTATTGAATTATGGATCAATTGATGATGTAGTTACAGTATTGAGATGTGGACAAAAGCATTGCTGAGTCATTTGATCACGGGACTTGATGTTGTATCTAAGGTTCACGCATTGAAGATCCATGGATCCAACTCGTCCTTATCCTTATCACAAAGGTTATATCAATCCCAAAGATCAAGCCAAAGATTCAATTAAACAAGATTTGAGTGTCAGTCAAACTTCAAAATTCCGACCAAAACACCCATCTCCATCCAATAAAATATCAAAAATTACATGTGAAGAAAGGGAAACAAGAAGTCATCAAAAAAGGCCCACCCAAATCAAAACGTAACAAGAAACACAAAAAAAAACGTTACACACAACCAATCAGCTAATTGTACTCAACAATTAACCTTCTAAAACTCCTCGTTCCATCCCCATCCTTCTCATACATAGTATGCACCGTCTCGTTGCGTTTTTGAACGGACCCCACACTTGCACTGCCCTGACTCTCTGATCGAGGCGTCCCCGGTGAAGAGGTAGGGGAAGAAGCAGGCGAAGAGGATGCATTTTGCATTTGTTCTCGTGCCCTAGCAGCGACAGCCCCACTACTAGGGAAATTGCTACCCTGGGATAGCGGCTTGAGTATATCGGCTGCCGAGGCGGACGGTGGCGAGTCAGAATCTGCCTTGCTTGCCATGGTGGAGGCGCTCCACAGTTGTTATAATTGTGATATGCCTTTCGGAGTGTCTGATTGGTAAGGGCCCGTGTTCTCGGCGTTTTAGAGGCTCCAAGAGAGATGCGCGACTCAGACTAGATTTCGATATGGATTTGTCTGTGTCGCTGTGATCATGGCGTCCGGGTGGAACTGGCCACCCGTTGTTCTTGGATAGAATCCAGACCGTCTAATATGGTAGTGACCCTTGAAAAGACTGGTGCTTTGTTCAAGTTGCGTATCTTTTATTTTTTCTGGATCTCTTTTGGTATAATTCCGATTGTCTGAAGAGTGTAAGAACCGAGGGACTTGTAGATTGTATAAGGTTGGGAGGTTAAGAATAGGGCCGAGGCTGATGATCTACATCCACGTAAGACCAAGGCCAAGCTGTGAGCCAAAAGGTTTAAGAGAACCCATGAGATTGCAGGGGACTTGAGGCCATGATATAAGAAGTCTGGAAGTGGGTGGCCTTGGAGACAAGTATGATCGACGGCGTGTACCAAGGGAACCCAACGGGAATGATGGCGGGGCTCATTCTGGCGCCAGATCTATACATACTAAACTATGGTCCGCATCCCCGATCCAGGTAACACGGTGGTTCGCTAGGAAATATGCTATATAGGTATGATTTGGATCCATTCACTATAGTATCAAGTGATTCGTCATAAAAGCCAAAAACAAAAATAAAAAAAGTTGCCAAATATTTCGCCTTCAAATGTATAATGGCCTATCTGTACGACAAGGACAAGGGATCCTAGAGCACAGGAACGGAGAGCCGATGCCAGTGTATTCCGCCCCACCATAGTCTTAGTACCACTACGGACATGGAAACAGCCAAAAAAGAAAAACTTTGGAAAAAGCAAAAAATAATTATAAATATTTAGAGAAATGAGCCAAAAGTGGATAAATCAGAGAAACAAACACAAAGAAAAAACAAAAAAGCCTCAATGAAAGCGCCCCAAATCCCGAACGACATGGCGAATTACACTAAGACACTAAAACTATGGTGTTCCAGCTACGCACAAGCCAGCCACCTGATCTCACATTCAGATTCAGCTGCCGCCTCCAGGCGCCACTAGGAACAGAGCCGAGATCTGCATTCTAGACTTTGGGAGCCCTGGAGGAGGACAAGGAACGAACCCGGGAAAGAATAGAAAAACCAAACAAAAAATCAAACAAAATACTCGATATTATAGAAATTCTAACTCTTATTATAATTATGCAAATATATAAGAAAAAGAAAACAACAGACACCATCATTTTGGAAACCCAGCACTCTGGTTTGCGGAGAAACAACCCAGCAGGCGATCATTCTTACATCCCCCAAGATCCCAAGCAGCGGTGTCCTCTTAGCGACCTCTGATCTCGATCGAAATCGCACTTCACCTCAGCTATTGGATTTACGATCCCGCGCTAACTTTGTGCGCCCGACGAATTAGCTTGAATCATCCCGCACTCGGTTATCTTGGGTTTCTGCTTTGACTTTGCCCTCGCCCCAAGACTATGGATCCCCGCGAGGGATCGCCGTGGATATCTACTACTGTATGAGAGAGGGGCACGACGCATGAGATCAAAGAAACAATTCCAAATTACTTTCTTGGGGCATCCTATGCGACAGAACGAAATAGGTATATAGCAATTCTACAACAGAGAGAGAAACTGGGATTATCGAATTCTTTATGTACAAAACAGATCTCTTGCATAGATTCCTCAATTCCACAGAAAAAATAAATAAGAAGAACCTTGGAATCAATTGAAATTTCCAAAAACAAATCACACTATAATATAGTACTAAGCAGGTCCTAAGCCGTCTTCTGTCTCGTCTAAAGTTTGGCCGTGACACCTTGCTGCTTCAGCTCCGCCTGCGCTCGCTCGCGCAATGCTCTACGTAGGATCTTCCCTGATGGGTTCTTCGGGATCGTATCGATGAATTCTACCCCGCCAGTGATACGCTTGCTATGATGAACCTTCCCGTCCATGAATCGGACGATCTCCTCGCCGCTAGCTGATTGTCCCGCGTTCAAGACAACATATGCTCGAGGTCGTTCGTCGGCATTACTATCCCAAATATTAGCCTTGTAACCAAAGTACGGCGTACAAACAAACAAAGAGAGAGAAAAAATAAACATGTAGAAACTCGCATAAAAAGACCCAGATTCCCAAGATCCCGCGAAAAAGCAAGAAATCAAAAAGTAAACGTGAAAACGGGTATCACTCACATCGTCACGCCAATCACCGCGACATCTGCAATAGCCGGGTGCTCCAATAATAAAGCCTCCAGTTCCGCGGGAGCCACTTGGTTCCCCTTGACCTTGATCAATTCCTGAAGAATTTGTCAGTGCGTGATTCCCTTCATAACCCCACTTAAGTTCAAGGAAGTGGGGCTTCTTGTATGTTCATGCTGATGTCTGCTCGGAAGATGGAGTAACGCACCTTCATTCGGTCCACAACATGGAACTTGCTCTGATCATCCACATAAGCGATGTCACCGGTTCGTAACCATCCATCCGGTGTTAATGTTTCCTCCGTAGCTTTAGTATTCCGCCAATACCCCTTCATGACATTTGGTCCGCGTACCCACAGTTCACCCCGCTGCTTTCGAGCTAGGACCTCTGTACCATCGTCTGCCATAATCTTAGCTTCACAGTTGGCATTAGGTTCCCCGACAGATGCAGAGTCACTAAATTCATCCGGGCTCCATCCTAAAACAGAACATGTAGCCCTAAACTATTGTCAGCACATAATCTCCTACATATCACTCTTTATCCGGTTCCCCAGAAAAAGCAAACAAGCACATCATGAGTGTAAATGATACGAAGGGAAGGGCTGGAACGGGGACCAGAAACCAATAGCAAAAAAGAAAAGAAAAAAAAGGACTTACTCTGTCATCCCCCAGCCTTGCTTAACATTGACCGCCCCATTAGGCCATAATTTCTCCACCTCAACACAAGTCTCTCGTCCTAAAGGTGCAGCACCACACCCAATCCCCTCAATACTACTCAAATCAAACTTCTTCACAGCGGGACTCTTCGCCAAAAGCACCATAATAGGCGGCACGATATGAATATGCGTAATGCGAAACTTCTGAATCCCCTCCAGCATTCCCAGAAAATCAAACTTCGGCATCAAATAAACCGGCGCCTCATGATAAAGCGCAGCAGCAATATAGATAGTCTGCGCCATAGCATGATACATAGGCAAGAAACACAGCCACCTAAGCCTTTCCTTCGTCTCCTGATAATCTGGCTTCAGAGTAGACAAATGCACAAACTGAAGCATATTAGCAACATAGTTCTTATGCGTGATCTCTACCCCTTTCGGCCTTCCGGTCGTTCCACTGGAGTAATTGAGTACGAGAGTCTGATTTGCTAGCTCGGGTGTGTTTAGATCATCCCAGACAAATGCCTGACCTTCTTCAACGGATGCGACGAGATCACCCCAGTACGGACATCCGGCTTTCGGGTTAGATTTTCCTTCGTAGACCCCGTTATCGAAGACAAATAGTCTCTCTTTTGGGAGGCTTGCGAGGGACGCTGCTTCGAGACCTGTTTCCAGGCTTCCAGATGCGCAGATCAGGTACTTTGCCTCGCTATCTTGAAGCTGGTAAGCTAGTTCGCGTGCGACGTATGTGGGATTTGCGCCTGTGAAGATTCCACCGGCCATAATGATTCCCATAAAAATTACTGGGAAGAAGATATCATTGCCTGAGAAGAGAAGGACGCGATCACCGCGCTTGAAGCCCGATTTGCGGAGACCAGCGGCGAAGCGCTGGCTCCAGAGACGGAAATCATGGGGGGTAAGGAAGTGGGTATCTGGTTTTTCAGCGTCGATGAAGGCTTTTTTGGTTTTTGATAGTGGTGCTGTTGGAGATTTGAGGATGGAGGATGCTAAATGGGTGTTTGGAATGTCGATACTCCATCGAGATTTGTAGGGCATTGTGGCTTGTATCACGAGGATACTGGATTCTGGAATGTAGGTGAGTTCGGGGGTTTAGGTAATAGTTTGAGATGATCGGGTCTTTATACAATGTCGATGTGTAGGTACCACGTTGAAATTGGGCAGAAGATGTTGGTTTTGTTAAGGGGAGAATAAAAGAGGAATTAATATAGCTGTGATCGTTACCCCCGCTCATATTGGTAGTCTGTATCCTAGGTACCAAGCCCCATTTTCAATGCTCGAATTGATTGGTCCTTTCCCCGCATAAATCGGTTATGCATGCGGGGGGATCCGAGGCAGTTTGAGCAAGCACCTCGGATGACGGAGATTATAAATCCCAATTATACAATTCCCCTAGATTTTCGAATGTTTTTCGATAGACTTTGAATATTCTACTGTCGCTTCTTGTTATCAGTGTGTTGCGCCGAAAGAATTTCTTTCCGATGGGTCAGGCTGGTTGAAAATTGCTGGATAACAGCTACTAGTATGTCCACGATATCATACGTGGCCTTGAAAGCACCCATGTTGCCAAGGTGGATAATATGGTTTTCATAACTGGATAATAGTCTCGCAATTCAAATTTTGCGTACACTCTACCGGCTCCGAGCCATTCGCTTTAATGGGTACTCAGTTCGGTACCAATATACCCATTTTAATAACGGACAGCCTTTTTGATTCGACTAACAGGGAGTGGATAAACCATGCAGCTTTATATCAAGATTTGCAAAGCTCCCAGCACAAATTTATTCTCATTCAAACAGGCCCATCGTAGACTCAGGAGCCACTGTAATTTTTTGCCCATGCCCAGGTGTTCTTCCCTGAGAGAATTGTGCGAGACAGCTCGGGTTCTATATGCCGAGGCCTACATATGCGGGTAGCACTAAGCTCAATATTGTTAAAACTGAGTCATGGAAGAACTTGAATGTTGGGTGTACTAATACTAGTATTAATTGGCTACTATGTAAAACCTGCGAAATAGCTACGCCGATTTGAAGCCCAAGAAAAAGGCGTTCGAATACTACCTGAAGGGGGGATAATTATGCAACTTTACCCCGATGATACATTGCCGAGTTGCAAAGGAAAATGAAAATATGCATGAACTTAGATTGAGAGCTCTAGTAAATGGCATATGTTGCAGAAAATGATCTTAATTCAACCCGCAAAGATGTTGATCTACTACACTCCCCGCCCAACCCAAAATACAGAACAGAAACATTTGCACACATCACCATAGAAAACCAAATGCTAGAAAAACAAACATGATTATCATGAATCCTCATCTCCGCTCAGGCACGCCAAGGCCGCAGTCAATTCGGCCACAACCTTTTCTTCCAATCGAGTCGTGGCCTTGGAGTTTGCAACAAGGGGCTTCTCTCGCGACCATTCCGTTTCCTTGTCAGTTGTAGGAACGATTCGCGCGCGCAGGATCTCTCGGCGGCTAAGCAGTGCCTCAATGTCATCCTTGACTTGGGTCTTTTCCCACTTAAGCTCTTGGATGGACTGCGGGTCTAACCCGGCGCTGGGACCAGCTTGACGGAATCCGTTAAGAATAAAGGAAATCAAAGCCAAGGAGTATGCCTCAGAAGCCATCGCAAGGCTGATGTACTGTGATGCAGCGGATACAGAAGTGCCGGCGTGAGGGGATGCGAAAACTTCAGCTGCACGGTTGAGTTGTCCTTCAAATTGGTTGAGGAATGCGACTACCTCAGGTGCTGTACGGACAACGTTATAAAGGAGATTCAGGCATAGAGGTAGGAAACCCGCGGTCCAGATGCTGTACAGCCGAGGGACGGGATCAAAGGGACCGAAGCCCTTTGGTTGGCGGAGGAGGTTGGTCAGACGGCACGTCGACAGCTTCATCAAGACTCCTTCTACAGCAATGTGCTCAGCAAGCATAGGGATTGTTGACATTTTGACCAGGATGGACATGCTGAGATCTCCATAGACGGGATCGCCCTCCAGCAAGAGCTGATCAGCCCATGAAAACAGCGTGGTAGCATGTCTAGCAGTGTCGTTATCCTCAATATGGTAGGTGATATGCTCGTAAAGTCGGTCGGCATCCTTCACATGCAAAGCACTTTGGAGAATAGCGATGATGACGCCGAAATCCTTAGGTGTACATTTCTCAGGCTCTTCATGTAGGTATGTGGTGAGGGACTTGAAGCCTTGCGCGACAATGGTTTTGACTATTTCCACGACAACTGTCAAATCTGAAGAAACAACGACCTTGTTCTGCGCCGTAGGAGGTGCACGGGAGGTTTCTAGATGGAATTGAAGTGCCAGGAACAGAACATTAAGAAGCGATCGGTAATACTCGGTGTCATCGCTGATAAGGGCATCTTCATAAGTTGAATGGCGAGAAAGAATAGCTTTCCAGGTGACCTCAAGCATGGCGAATACTTCGGATCCTCGAGATCCCACTTGTACTAACCGCTGAAGGAGAGCTTGAGCAAAGTCTACTCGCGTTTGCTGAATGCGTTCAAAGATAGCTTCTGGTGGAACACCACGGCTATTTGCCTCAAGACAGTGCTGCGCGACCACGGCCATCGATCTTTGGATCTCGCGGTCTGGCATAAAATCGGCACAATGCTCAATGGCAAAGAACTTCCAACTGTTAAGAAGGCTCTAAATACGGAGTTAGTGGATATCCCCAGAAGAATGAATGAATTGAATAATCGAAAAATACGTACCACCTGCGCCTCAACGAGCGAGAGATTGATGTTGGCTCGCTCGAACTCCTCAGAGAAACCTTGGCCCCGGGTTCCTGCCCAAGCAAAGTCATAGGAAAGAAGTTCTTGTCCCATTTCTATGTCGTAATAGTAATCTCGTCCCATAGCGCGAGTGGCCAATGGTGTTCGTTTGAAGTCAATCAATTTACAGCCACTATACCGCTTCTCAAAGTTCTTCTTTAGGTTTGAATGCAACGAAGAATTATAGGCAGACACATTCACAGCATCTTTAGCGTACCACTGAACCAGCGGAATGAGTGTTTTGACAAAGCTCCGATCGTTTGATTCCTTTGCGGCATGCAGGTAGACTGCACAAATGTCTGCAACGACAGCAGCCACCCGAGTCACGAAGATTTGATCCTTCACTGGCAAAGACGAAATCTTCAGCTTTGAAACATGGTTCACGATGCTAGTAAGGAATTGAGGATGGTTCTTCAGTTGTGGAGTAGCCCATGGCCAATTTTCTTGAGCACGAGAGACAAACTCGAGCATTTCGAAAGCAACCTCGGGTTCTTCTTGATCAATATGAGCAAGCTTGTCGAGGGCCATTTGAAGGAATGGGACGCCCCTCATGCTTGGATCTCCAGACTTGCCAGTTTTCTTCAACGTTTGGCGCGGGGATGAGCCAGTGAGAATGAAAACCGCAAGCCATTGTTGACGCCTACTGACGAACGTTGAAAGCAGTCGCCATACCGCCAGTAGAAGATCTTTGCCTCCTGAAGGCTTGTCAAGTGGTGAGAGAACATCAAGAAACAAGCAGGCTGCCTCAGCTCCTAGATGACCAACAAGTGACGGAGGCTCGTTCTTTGAATTTGACGCGGCACTGGAAATGAGAATTTCAAGCAGCGACACGGTTGATAACTTGTACGCATCAGATGATGCGTAGAGTTTGACCAGGACAGGCGCAGCCTTGAAAAGCTGCTCTTCCAAAAGCGACCCAGCTAAACCTGCGAGGCGAGATGCTTGGACTAGCTTAACGCATAGATTTAAAGTAGAGGTAACTTGGCTTTCTACCAAGGAAAGGTAACGGAGATGAAGGGTAGATGGAGTCTGGAGACCCTCGGCAATTAATCTGAGAAGTGGGTTAAATGGTAGATCGGCGACTGAACGAGGTCGAAGCATGTCAAGAATATATGTCGCAGATGAAGAGAAGACGCCTGTGATTTTAGATTCCGGCTTGGCATTGTCGTTGGTTCCATAGGAATAATGTAGAATCTGGCTGAATGTGGTAGCCAGTCTGGCATTGATCTCAAATCGTTGGCCGGGAAGATTGAAACGCCAATTGCCATTGCTGTTGAATATATCCACCATTGTGCGAGTAAAATTTAACAAAATCGCTCGCATAATGTGGGACGGTATGCTGGCACTCCAGTCAGTCGCGATTGTGGATTTCCCTGCAACGCTGCCTGGGCTTCTTCTTAATATTGCGCGAGATCCTGCGTCCTCGACGACTGCTTTGAAGAGATCCACACAAATAAGAAGGAACGGATATTCCCCAGACGGCATCTCAGCTGCTGAAATGATTGTCGTCATCATTCCACCCTTGCCATCTGACCCAACGAGGCTGCTGCGACTGAAGAACGGCCAAACACGACAAGGAAGAACCCTCAAGACTTCTCGGACAAATTGAACACAAGCCATGATTGGCTCCATTGCCTTAGCGGGGTCGCTCTGAGAGCCAATGTTTTGCAGATTGCGCTCGAAAATGTCAAATATAACTGTGATAATATCCCCCTGCCGTGACAAACCATCGCTGGTCATTTCGAGGACCCTCTTTGCGTTTGTACCAGGGGACTCGTTCGGACGCAGATCTTGAGCGTGAGCTACAAGCTTCGCCAAAAGGCCGATGATCTCAGTGCCAGTCTCTATATCCCAACCAGCGGAGTATCCACCAGTCTCACTCCATTCTTCCAACCAGCTGCCCAGAAAACTCAAACACGAGTATTCATGATGCCACATAACAACCGGCGGTTTGTTTTCTGAAATAATCTGACCCTCTGTGGCCGCTGGGACCTCGGATGAACCTCTGATGATTAAAGCATTGCTGGCTTCTATATCGGGAAGGCGATTGCGACTACCTGCCTCAAACATAGGTAAAGACTGGATGAGTGACACAAAATTTTGGTTTTCATCTTCTCGGATGGTCCGGTAAGCCTGGAATGCCGCAGGAACTATCTGGGTAAAAGTCTCCATCCTTTCCAATTCATCAAAAAGTCGAGGCAATCCATCGTCGTTTACGCATTGCTTGCTTATCAAAGCACGGCAGAGCTTCAAGAAGGGAAGAGCCTCGTAAGGAAATCGAGACCTCGCAGTACGAAAAACATTTTCCATCAAAAGACTGTCCTCGGTGAAAATGGTGATCGGGTCGGCAACTCCGAGTAAGTCCGCTGATTTCAGCAAAGGCGCGTTAGATGGGCCATCAAGTATAGCCAAAACCGAGGCCACAAGCTCTGTCGAGTATTCATAAAACATGGCAGAAACTCGAACAACGTCTAGGAGGGCCAGGCGCATGTTTTGATACGTTAGAATATCGTCAATTGCTGATACAGGTCCAGCCATGGTGGACACATTCGCAAGGATATCAAGAGCGGACTGTTTGACTTCGTGAGATGTCAAGATATTAATTATCTGATCGACAGAGTAATTTGGTGTTGAGGCGCAATCCATAAGTTCTTCGTAAAGAGTAGCTTCTCGCGAGACATGTGCATTATGATTATTCGACTGAAATGAGTCCACGGCATTGTGGAACTGCTCCATATCTCGAGCGTGCTTGTCGTCGAGAGCGATTGAATGCATGGAATTGATAATCAAGCCCCAAGATAAGGCCGCAGGCCTTGCGGGGTCTAAGTCAACACCAGGTTTCGTAAAGATCTCGCTTATTTGGGAGATTTTGTCCTTGGAAAGGAAATAAGGTTTTTGCTCAGACGGGAACGCCTCGGGCTGCTTTTGGCGTGTAATGGATTCAAAAACCAGAGGCAACTTCAAGAAGGATATGGTAGTGAGCGAGACAAAGGTTTGGAGGGCCAGCAAGACTTCATTTGGCTCTTCGCAGAACTGTTGCACAAGTTAGTATCTAAAAGCTCTGGATCGTCCGAAGAGAAGCTGTTACTTACCACCTGTAAGTCTTTCAAGAACTGATATTCGGACATCAAATCAAGCCAAGTGCATAAGAGATCACCAGAGGGAACTTGAGCAGACGCATGAAGTTGGTGGAACATAATTTGCAAGATATGAATGATTTCATCTACAAGAGTAGTTCTCCAGGCACACTCAATTTCCTCACTGCTCTCGCCTGAGGTCAACCAGCCATCATCCTTTCGGAGGTCTGTCAAACGGCTGCGGATTGCACTTATGCACCCTTCCAAGAACCTGCCGAGAGCAGTCCCTGTGGACTTGTCGTCGAAAAGGGATGTCCCCAATTTGTGCAGAGTTGATTTCGTGTGAGTGTTCTGTGTTCGAGAAGAAGCTTCATTTGATGCTTCGTGTAGAGACAACACGAGGAGCTTGCGAAAGGTCTTCAGGATATGGCTCCTCTCCGAAAGAAAGATATGGCGTATGCGCAAACGTCGATGCGGTTCTGAGTCAAACGAGGAGCCGCTGTCATTTTCAGTGGCCTGTCTAAGGATATTCGCCAAATTGGGACCAGCCACAGAGATACTATGGTTGTCGGCACCCGTCGCATTCTGTACACTTGTTACCTCCTCACTCGAGAAGATTGTTGTGAGTCGTTCGGCCGGTCGATTTTGCCATTCAAGAACCGTAATTCTGAGAGCTGTGATCTCGTCGATATCTGCTTTTTGACTAAGCCATTGGGCGTCCGCTTTAATTTCTTTCAGATCGAAGGTCTTAGTGTTGGTTTCCACATGAATCGCAGCTGTTTTAGAATCAAACTCTGACTTCGATTTGGCGGAAGGACGAGCAAATGGGCTCAAGCTTTGAGAGAGCAGTTGAGTAGTCTCGGGATGTGTAATGAAGGCTTCGACATTGTCGCCATTGCCGGCATGACCTTGAGGATCATTGACATAAAGGAATGCGCGTTTCCAAGACCTGCAGAGGGCAAGTTTAGCGGCATTTCTCGACTAGATATTAGAGCGTCAAACTTACAAGAGCTGAGCGTCCCCGGAGAAGCACTTGTCCAGGGACGGGAAATAAGCCTCCGGAATGGGAGCCATTTGGCCAGGCAATTAGATCATTATAGAATTGCACCGAACCAGAAGAAATGTTTAGATGAGGGAAGGCGAGTAGCTAAAAAGAGCGTAGCAACTTGGGCGTTTGTGTTTTGGGGTAAATATTAGCTCGCGGGAGCTTTGAACAAATTATTCAGGCTTCAACAGGCGCGCCGGCGGTCAACAATCCCCATTGCCTATCCTGGCCTAGCGCAAGGCGGTGAAGGGTGATTCATTCCACTTTTGTGTCACTGTAAATCAGTCGCTCTGGTAGCACTCTTACTTCGCTTTCTGATTTTCGGGTTTGTGATAGAGGTTGGTGATTTGAATCGTTTAACCGACTCAACCTTTATCTGACAATCCTGCTTCCTCTAGATACATTACCACCATGGCGGACCTTGTCGACCATTCACCCCACCATCCCACTAGAGCTGCCCGCTTGCACAGTGCCTCCAATGTTGTGTTGATTGATAACTATGACTCTTTCACCTGGAACGTTTATCAATACCTTGTTCTCGAGGGCGCTACAGTTACTGTCGTCCGCAATGATGAAGTGACTGTGGAGGACTTAGCTGCTAAGAAGCCGACACAACTAGTGATCAGCCCTGGTCCCGGTCACCCCGAGACTGATGCTGGGATTAGCAATGCGGCCATTCAATACTTCAAAGGCAAAGTCCCGATTTTTGGTGTTTGTATGGGTCAACAATGCATTATAAATTCCTTCGGTGGCAAAGTGGATGTAACAGGTGAAATTTTGCATGGTAAGACCTCGGTCTTGAAGCACGATGGAAAGGGCGTCTACCAGGCATTACCCACTGCCTTCTCTATTACTCGATACCACTCCCTCGCTGGAACCAACTCGACCGTTCCAGATGCTTTGGAAGTCACCTCTTGGGCTGAGCTTGAGGACGGTAGCGGAACTGTCATCATGGGAGTGCGCCACAAGGAGTTTACAATCGAAGGAGTGCAGTTTCACCCTGAGAGTATCCTGACAGAATATGGCCGCGCCATGTTTGGAAACTTCCTGAGGCTCACTTCTGGAACTTGGTCTGGCGCTAAGCAAGAGGCACCTGCTGTGAGCAAATCAGTAGTTCCAGTGGACAAAAAGTTGTCCATCCTGGAGAAGATCTACGCCCACCGTAGAAATGCCGTTGCCGAGCAAAAGAAGATCCCAGCTCTCCGTCCAGAGACACTTCAGGCTGCTTATGATTTGAATATCGCCCCTCCGCAGATTTCCTTCCCTGCACGTCTCAGACAGTCAGACTATGCTTTGTCTCTGATGGCAGAGATCAAGCGAGCTTCCCCCTCAAAAGGAATCATCTCAGCAGATGTATGTGCTCCTGCGCAAGCTCGTGATTATGCGAAGGCTGGTGCTAGTGTTATCTCAGTGTTGACGGAGCCTGAATGGTTCAAAGGAACCATTGACGACCTCCGAGCTGTTCGACAAAGCTTTGAAGGACTCGCCAACCGTCCTGCTATCTTGAGAAAGGAGTTTGTCTTTGATGAATACCAAATTTTGGAGGCTCGGCTGGCAGGTGCTGATACAGTTCTACTGATTGTGAAGATGCTTAGCCTCGAGCTCCTTACAAGACTGTACCATTACTCTCGCAGCCTTGGGATGGAGCCTCTAGTTGAGGTCAACACCCCCGAAGAGATGAAAATTGCAGTTGACTTGGGATCTGAAGTGATTGGCGTCAACAACCGCGACTTGACAAGCTTTGAAGTCGACCTTGGTACTACTAGCCGTCTGATGGACCAAGTACCAGAAAGCACGATTGTCTGCGCATTGAGTGGAATTACGGGCCCTAAGGATGTTGAGGCATACAAGAACGAAGGAGTCAAGGCTATTCTTGTGGGCGAGGCCCTGATGCGGGCGCCAGATACCTCTGCCTTCGTGGCACAACTGCTGAGCGGATCCTCTGGCCAAACTTCAAAAACAAACTCTCCCTTGGTTAAGATCTGTGGTACCCGATCTGCGGAGGCCGCTCAGGCTGCCATTGAGGCGGGTGCTGATTTAATTGGGATTATCCAAGTCCAAGGGCGATCCAGAAAAGTATCTGATGATGTTGCACTTAGCATTTCACAAGTGGTCAAGTCAACACCACGCCCTGTTACTTCATCCGGTGATGCTCTGCAACAAAAGCCGAGCTCCACTGCCACTGAGTGGTTCGACCACTCCTCTACCCTCTTACGACACCCGTCTCGGGCGTTGCTGGTTGGTGTTTTCATGAACCAGCCATTGTCATACGTCATTTCACAACAACAGAAGCTGGGGCTTGACATCGTGCAGCTCCATGGTTCAGAGCCATTAGAATGGGCTAGCCTGATTCCTGTACCTGTTATTCGCAAGTTTGCCCCCGGTGATATTGGAATCGCCCGCCGAAACTACCATACTCTACCTTTGCTTGATTCCGGTGCTGGTGGCTCTGGCCAGCTTCTGGAAGGAGTCGGGGTTCAGAAAGCACTCGACAGTGACGAGGGACTGCGTGTTGTTCTTGCTGGGGGATTGACCGCTGAGAATGTTGTTGAAGTTGTCAGCCGCCTTGGCCAGTCAGGATCGAAGGTAGTGGCGGTGGATACCAGTTCCGGGGTGGAAACCGATGGGAAACAAGATGCGAACAAGATTCGGGCATTTGTTAAAGCTGCTAAAAGTATTCGCCAGTAATTCTGTCTGGACCAAGATTTTTCGTTAATAAATATCTCGGGTTTCCGGTGGCTTCTGCCATCCCCTTTTCTAGACTATTATTCTCTTGCATGACCGTTTATTAGCAATATGATTTATGAATATAATATTTCGGTTCACCTCTCCATTCTTCCTACACATACTCCCCATGAAATTCCCTCCATTTCCTCTCTGCTCCTCCGCTGCTCTTCCACTAAGTAACGTGAAACGAAGAAGAGGTTTGATCTCCCGATACTTACTCTCTGTCCCCTCTTCCTACAACTTCTATTTCGATAGCAGTTCCTTCGATATCATTCACCTGCCATTCTTCCTTCGCATACTCCCCATCAACAAACGATTTCTATTCCCCATCTACTCTTACATTGCTCATCCACTTAGTGACGTGAAACGAGAAAAGATCCGCTCTCTGACAATCGCTCTCTGACCCATCTTCCGACAACTTCCATTTCGATACCAAGTTCCTTCGATATCATTTCGCTATCATTCTAGCTGTGCATAACCCCCAATGAAACAATTTCCATTCTTCATCTGCTCCCTTACTGCTCCTCCAATGATCTTCCCCTGACTGACGTGAAACTAGAAGAGATTCGCTTTTTGGCATTCGCTCTCTGTTCCCTCTTTCTACAACCTCCATCTTGACACCGATTTCCTTCGACATCAATCCTCTGTCCACGGAATTTCAGTCGACCAGTCACTGCTTAAACACAAATATCTACCGTTCCCATTCGATCTTTTCGCTAACGATTATCCATCGCCGCCGCTATGCCCACTAAAGCATTCGAACACATTCATGTCGCCGTCGTGGGAAAGTTCGAGGACGGCGAGAAATTTCAAGGCTGGATACGACACAATGGTGGGGATTATTATAAGAAGGTCGACTCGCGTGTTACTCATCTGATTGCATCTGAGGACGCCTTTCGAAAGAATGTTGAAGCAGGTACGTCTTGCACATCCATTTCCATATTACGCATACCTCTACATCTTATACAGACATCGTTGTCCTGCGTACACATGGTGCAGTGTCTTTCATGCACTGATTCAGATATAATCACAGACACTATCCTTAAGTCTGGCTAACGCTAATTATTTCCTCATGAGTTTTAGTTCAGACAGCAAAAGAGCTGGGTACAATCCATATTGTCAACTACGACTGGCTTTATGACTCGCTTCAGACTAAACCTTCACCCCGTCCAAAGAAGGCAGTGGCATATCTTTGGGAAAATATCCTGGAGCCGGAGTTGAGGCCTCTAAAGAGACCAAGACGGTCGTCGCCACCGCAACCTGCCCCAAAGCCCAAGAGCCGCATAAGTACGGTTCTTCTTTTTCCACTATATTTTGAAAAAAAATCATGGAACTGCTAACTTTTTTATGTTAACAGAGGATCCATTTGCTAAAACAACCCCCGCCAAACGCCGGAGGACTGTGGCTTTGCGTAAGTTACTGTTGGGATGGCTGAACATCAATATTTGCAACCGTACTAGTACTAATCACAAGTTCACAACTCACAGCCAAGGGAAATGTTTACGTCGAAGAAAGTACCAATGAATCTTGGGACGCGACATTGCATCGTCCACAGCAAGATGGAAAACGTGAGAAGTTTCGTGTGGCGGTTAGTTGTATATCATTCCGAGTCACAACTTGAATGAGGTCACGGTGTTGACAATTTCCAGATCTTCAAGTCTATGCAGAAGCCAGAAACTTATTCAGTGTATGCAAAATATTCTCGCGTGGGGAAATCAGAAGTTACGGTCCTTGCTCCTCCAAAGAGCAGCCTGACAGTCGCAAAGACCAAATTCAAGGAGCTTTTTCTCCTTCAAACAGGGAAAGAATGGGAGGACAGAACAGATTCAACTCTTCCTCCTCCTAAGAAGGACGATGAAGGAAATTCTCTACCTTTCCATGAAGGCTGGTATGATTACCAAGCGGAAAGTGTTTTGTCCGTGTTCCTTAAGCAACCTGGTCTGTCTGAGCGCCCGGTGGCGAGTGAAGGGGATGTTCCTCGTGTCGATAAATCAGAGGACACGAAAAGTCCAGTCAATGAGCATGTATCTTCTGCTGATGGGAAAGCCCCTCTGGAGATGCCCGCGTCGATTGGGGAAGACAGCGGCTTTGATGCTGATGTCGACTCCTTGGAGATGAATTTGGCTCACTCATTTCGTGGATCTTCGCCTGTCGTGCCGCTAGAAGATTTTGTGGCTAATGGCCGGGATCATGGTGCTGAAATTGGGGATTTAGCATAGGGAAAGGGTGGAAGGATACTAGCATGAGCAGTGGGTTTGCAGTTCATATTTTTACCATCGCTATGAGGCACAAAAGATGATTTGAGAGAGGATTTCAATGTCCCTTTCTAGTTTATGGTTTGGTTTAGCAGCGAAAGAATGAACTGTTGATAAAATTCCAAGGGTTTAGAACCCTTATCATTTGAACTGGGTATTGAAGTTGTAGCACGAATCTAGTAGATACATGAATTGGCAAAATCTGTCTTTTACTTAACCTTAACAACGCCGATGCGCCCATGGATGAACCGGACTTTTGCCCAAAAAAGAAAAGGGAACAACATATAAATCCAAGTCCAAATGCCATAATAAAAATTTCACGCCTGTAACCGACACCATGATTCCAAAGTGATTCCTTACAAGTAATCCTTCTTCCGACTTGTCCTTGTGTACTGGGTAAGAGCCCATTCGACATCACCCGCACCGCCCTTCTCCAGAGTGCCTCCCCGAATCTCGAAGAGCCGCATCGTCATGCGTGGGCCGACCTCCGCAAGCTCTACATCCCGGTATCCAGTCTTCACAAAGACATGGTGGCGCATCTCGATGCTATCTTCTTTGTTCACAAAGGTAACGATACGGTTACCAACCTTGCCAGACTCGCGGGGTGGGAACATATGCTTGAGGATTTGAACAACCCGGAGACCCAGCTTGGACTTGAAACCCTCGAAGACCAGATGAGGGTAACTCTCTGATACCGTGCCCCGGGCAGCATTTGGAATATCCGCACGAAGAACAACATTGTGCAGGGAGAAGCTGGCAGTAGGACCGTGGGGAAGATGAGAAATGGTCATGGCGGTTGGGGTACCACGGTGCTCATGCAGGAGGATCATATCGGTAAGAGAAGCAGAGGTTGCACTGGAGACAAGGTCGGGCAGGACAAGGTTACCACGGTTGAGACGAATGGCGGTTGGGAGGAGGAGACGGATTTCTTTCGCAAAGGCGCCCAAACGAGCGGAAGGCGAGCGAGAGGTGGTGACCAGAGGGCGAGGGTCGATAACTCCGGATGTTAAAGCATATTCATCGTCGATGTCGATTTCGTTCTCTTTTGATTCATCGTACTTGAAGTCTTCACGGAGAGACTTGTCGTTTGCAATTGAGGGATCTAAAGGTTTTCCAGAGGCCAAGGAAGCCTTGAGCTGGGCTCGTTTTTCGGCGATAGAGGCATCTCGGAGGAGCAGAGCTCTGCGATAAAGGTAATCGCGACGCTCGCGTGCTTGACGGCGCTAATTTTGGAAATGTAAGTACATGTGCAAAATAGAATATACTTTGGCATAGATAAACTTACCAGCATATTGTGTCTTTATTGGTGGGGAGGAGAGATGAGAAATTCTTCACTGATAGATCGAGAGCGGCCAACTTTTTTTTTTCTGCTAAACTCCGGGGCTGCACCTCTGGTCCGTACGAGACACCGTAGTGGGATCCCACTGATAGAGAATCTGGATCGCAGATTGCGGAGAGAGGCTTTTTGATCTTCTTAACTTCTTCCACTCTCTTTTGTCGGTTCTTTGTGTGACAGAGAGAGTTGGGCTGTACGTTGGAATCTGAATTCTTTGTTGTGGTCTTAACTAACATCCTACCTCAGATATTCTTCCCCCCGTTCTTTTGCCCCTCAGGCACACATTCAGATCGGATCAAGAAACCGCCCTGGAATGATCGATTGCCTTCTACGCTCCTTTGAATTACGACCTAACAGTTTCTTTACTTTTCGGAACGCACGCTTTCCTTTGAGTGTCATTTTTCGAATTTCGCCTTCTATATTGAGCTTCAGGTCCCTCACTGCTTCCACTGGCTTTCAACACCCGCGGGATGGAGAAATACCCTGGACTGGCCGACGATGCTTCGGTGGTAGCGGACATGGATGATCATCCGAGAGATAATTTTGATCGAGCGAGGCCGCGCCGGCACGATGACGAAGATGAAGGGTCCGATATGGAAGACGATGACCTGGAAAGTACGATCGACGGCCCTGCGAATGGAAACCAAAAAGGTCAAGGACATGCGGACGAAAAGAAAGAGTTGCCTGCTCATGCCTGCGCATACTGTGGTATCCATAACCCTAGTAGCGTGGTGAAGTGTCTCTCTTGCAACAAATGGTTTTGTAGCGCCCGAGGCAATACCTCCTCCTCTCATATCGTCAATCACCTCGTGAGAGCTCGCCACAAGGAGGTTCAGCTGCACCCCGCTTCTTCTCTTGGTGATACTATTTTGGAGTGCTACAACTGTGGTACAAAGAATGTGTTCCTGCTCGGCTTCATTCCTGCCAAGTCCGACACCGTTGTGGTGCTTCTATGCCGACAGCCATGCGCGTCTATGCCATCTTCCAAGGACATGAACTGGGATACTTCTCGCTGGCAACCACTTATTGAGGATCGTTCATTTTTACAGTGGCTTGTGGGTGCTCCTACCGACCAGGAGCAACTTCGCGCTCGGCATCTCAGTCCCCAATTGATTGCCAAGCTTGAGGAGATGTGGAAAGAAAACTCTCAGGCTACTTTGGAGGATCTGGAGAAAGCTACTGCCGTGGATGACGAACCTGCGCCCGTCCTTTTGCGCTACGACGATGCTTACCAATACCAGAATATTTTCGGTCCGCTTGTGAAAATTGAGGCCGACTATGACCGGAAATTGAAGGAGTCTCAGTCCCAGGATGGTCTTATTGTTCGTTGGGATTTGGGTCTTAATAACAAGCACCTCGCAAGCTTTGTTCTCCCTAAACTCGAGCTTGGTGACGTCAAGTTGGCGGTTGGCGATGAGATGCGTTTGAAATATACTGGTGAACTCCGCTCCAAATGGGAGGGAGTGGGCTATGTGATGAAGATCCCAAATAATCAGTCCGATGAAGTGACTATTGAACTGCGCTCTAAGGGTGATCACAAGTCTGTTCCCACCGAATGCACGCACAACTTCACTGCGGACTACGTTTGGAAGTCAACATCCTTTGACCGTATGCAGCTTGCCATGAAGAACTTTGCCGTTGATGAAATGAGTGTGTCAGGCTACATTTTCCACCGACTCCTTGGTCATGAGGTTGCAGCGGCACCTATGAAGACACAGATCCCCAAGAAATTCAGCGTTCCTGGCTTGCCTGACCTGAACGGCAGTCAGATAAATGCTGTTAAAAGCGTTCTTCAGCGACCCCTTAGTTTGATTCAAGGACCCCCTGGCACTGGTAAGACCGTGACTTCAGCAACAATTATCTACCACCTTGCCAGGCTCAATGGTGGCCAGGTTCTGGTCTGTGCTCCATCCAACGTTGCGGTTGACCAGCTCTGCGAACGTATTCACCGCACTGGCCTCAAGACTGTTCGTGTGACTGCCAAGTCTCGAGAGGACGTCGACTCTCCTGTCGGATTCCTTTCCTTGCATGAGCAAGTCCGTATGAACGACAGTAATATTGAATTGGTCAAGCTTAATCAGCTCAAGGCAGAACTTGGTGAATTGTCCAGCCAGGATGAAAAGCGCCTGAAACAACTCACGCGCGCAGCTGAACGTGAAATCTTGGGCAATGCGGATGTCATTTGCTGCACTTGTGTTGGTGCAGGCGACCCGCGTCTTGCCAAGCTCAAGTTCCGAACCGTTCTCATTGACGAGTCTACACAGTCTGCAGAGCCGGAGTGCATGATTCCCTTGATTCTTGGGTGCAAGCAAGTTGTGCTGGTCGGTGATCATCAACAACTTGGACCCGTCATCATGAACAAAAAGGCGGCCAAGGCTGGTTTGAATCAGTCTCTTTTCGAACGACTTGTCATTCTGGGCTGCTCGCCAATCCGTCTTAATGTGCAGTACCGTATGCACCCGTGTCTTTCCGAGTTTCCCTCGAACATGTTCTACGAAGGATCGCTGCAGAATGGTGTCACAGTCGCCGATCGTTTGCGTCGCGATGTTGACTTCCCATGGCCTATGCTGGACGATCCCATGATGTTCTGGTCCAATTTGGGCAATGAGGAGATTTCAGCATCTGGAACCTCCTACTTGAATCGTACTGAAGCGACCAATGTCGAGAAGATTGTCACCCGCTTTTTCAAGGCTGGTGTGCAACCAAGTGGTATTGGTATCATTACGCCATATGAGGGTCAGCGCAGCTATATTGTTAGCTCAATGCAGGCCCACGGTACATTCAAGAAGGAGCATTATAAGGAGATTGAGGTCGCATCCGTGGATGCCTTCCAGGGTCGTGAGAAGGACTACATCATTCTCTCGTGTGTTCGTTCCAACGATCACCAAGGTATTGGTTTCTTGAGTGATCCTCGCCGTCTGAACGTCGCTCTTACTCGAGCTCGTTACGGCCTTGTCATTCTCGGTAACCCCAAAGTGCTTTCGAAGCACCCTCTGTGGAACTGTCTCCTCCAGCACTTCAAGGAACGACACTGCCTCGTGGAAGGACCCTTGTCGAACCTTCAAGAGTCCCTGATTCAGTTCAGCCGTCCCAAGCAAGCCTACCGTGGCCCCCAGCGCTTCCAGATGAACTTCAACCCGCCATCCAATGCTAACAACGGCGCTATGATGGGTCGCAACGGTCAACGCAATGAGTATCCCGATACTGGGTCTGTCGTTGGATATATTCCCGACGACGTTTCTTCCGTTCATTCATCCGCCCTTGGCGGTGGCGGTGGCGGTGGAGTTGGACTTCCTTCTGGATACCCCCCTATGTTCCAGAACTTCCAGGATTCTTGGCCATCTCTTTCCGGCGGTCGCCGCGTCAACGGTGCTCGGGCAAAGGGTGCGCCAAGCGTAGCTGGAGAATCGGTTGCTGCTACCGAATCTGATGTTACAGGAAGCATTGTCGACGGGCGCAGTGCTGATCAAGGGGGTGTCAGTCTGACTGGATTGAGCATCAACGAAATGAACAAACAACCTAGTCTCAGTCAGTCCGACCGTCTCAAGCGGTACGTTGAATCTGGCGGCCGCGAGCCGTATCGCGCCGGCGTTCCCGATAGCAACAGCATCTTTGGAGGTAGCTCCGCTAGCATTCGCGTCACGCGCGGTGTTCCCGGACAGCATCTACAAGACGATGATGACGCTCGCAGTGTTTCTACCGCGTTCGCTAGTCAGATTGGGGGGAACTACGATTGATTGATGTCCATTGATATCATTGAATGCTAGAGTAGCCTTTTATCAGGCTCGCCTTCTCTCGTAAGACCCGGGGAAGCAGAATTTCGCACGAAATGCTAGGGTTCCTTCCATCAGAGATTGCCCATCCATTTTTCCCACGCTGATCGGGACATCTGATTACCGAGGCTAGGGTCGAGTCACTACTTTCAGACACACCAGTCTCTTTAACAAACTTCCAGTCGACACCGACTTCTGGTTTGATTTGATCTATTTGGCCTTATTCACTTGGCCTTGGAGACTTACAACCGTGTCGTTTCTCACCCTCCCCGATTCTCAATTGACCGAGACAACTTGGCGATGCTCCCACCTCTCCCTTAGCCCAGATTCCTATTCTGAAGAACCACCCGCCGGTTGTCATTTTTGAAGCCCAGCTGAGTCCGGTCAGAAGTTTTGGGCAGCTTTGAGTGTAAGCCCGCTTGGGCTGGATTCTTCTTAGCAGTCATTCTTTTTTTAGAACGTCTAGCTCTTATCTTGTTGCTTTGAAAAATTCGAAACCATACGTACCTTTTATCCTTGACCTACTTTGTTTATCATGCATAGCTCCAAGCGTAAACTCCGCATTCAGTACCAAATAAACGACAACTTAAAGTGGCGCACTTAGGGCTTACTGCCACATCAGAATACGCTTATGTCCGAGCTACGTTCCGAAGTCAAGGTTTCGGAAACCCCGATCGATCGCCCAATCTCCCCTGCATTAATCGCGCGCCACCACAGTTCCTCGCGTATCTTGTTTTCTCGCATCAAGCTGCATGAACACACATAAAATGACGTCGGTGTCGTTTAAATATGTTAGGTAATCGTCTTTTCTGTCGGTAAGATCTATGCTCCACTTTTATCTTGGCGAACATCAGTTCGCGGGTAATCGCGCAAGTTTAGATCCTCCCCTATCACTCTGATAAACTTCAGCCCCCAAAATGAAGCTAGTCATATTATCTGCACTTTGCACCGTTGCAGCTAGCGAGTTTACTTGCATCAAGCCTGTCAATCCCATTCCTGCTGGCCCACCTGGTCTGTGCTGTCAACAATTGAATGAATATCCGGTCCTCGGCTTCGTTTATGCTGGGAACAACTGTATGTTGTGCTTGAAAACTTGCATAAATAGACGATATTTTATATTAAATGTAAATTATACTGACTTATTGTTCAAGGTACTCATGCGGATCTTTTGAAGTCATCTGACGATGGAGAAACGACATATGGATCTTGTGAGGCTGATCAGCAGGCCGCGTGTTGCGACCCGGTAAGTTCGATTATATCAATATTAAATTTGCGAGACTGATATCATATAGGTCTTGACGGAAATTGAAAAAACAAGCAACATTGCGTGCGTCCTGCCAGAATAGAGTCAAACAGGAACACCATTTACAATTTCGAGGCTGGAACAGCATGATTACAAAGGTCACATTTCTTCTACATATAATCTCGGAGCAAATTATATAGATGGATGCCCATGCGCATACAAATCACATGATAATAATATGGTTGATGATCGAGGGTTTTCTTTGTTACATAATGTTCTTGGGTCCCAAATTAATGTTGTCTTCTCTTGTAAATAATTGGTGGAAGTAATACATACTACATGGTAATGTCGGGCTTGAATAGCCGTCCATTTCAAATATTCAAATGTTGGCTCGGTCTTCCTTTGTCGTATCTGATTTGGCACTTCTTGCAAGGATGTTAGACTATCATAATCAACTTCTCCGATTATCTTCGCACGCTAGAAGAAGGCTCAAAGGCGACGAAAAGGACGACTTCCTACGTTTTCTCCGGCGAATGCTATGTTGGCTTCCTGAAGAAAGAGCCTCTGCAAAAGACCTTCTATTTGATCCTTGGTTGATGCATGGTCTCTTCAAGTGATTTTTTTGACTGTCCTCAGAAGCACCAAACCGTGGGACAGTTCGTATTTTAGCCTAATATTATGTAAATTATGTTAAATTTGAATCAAAGATTTAAGACAGACTAATGTAAGTCTTATGAGACCTTTATCTAAGTCGAATACGAGCTTTGATTTCAATTATTTGAAAAGGAAATTTTAATTCAATTCAATTACTCAAGCTATTTCCTAGGCAGCTTGTATTCCAGGTTTGACTTCATATTAACTGCTTCCGTGTGTTTTATTCACAAGCTGTCCTAAATCGAATAGTAGAATTTGCATTAATCTGCATGTGCCCCCCTGCTACCTGTCTCTGCAATAGGACCTTTAAAGTAATGCCGGGCCCGTACTAAATAAAAAACTTATATGAAAGTTGTCATGAAAATAGACACCACAGAAGAGCTCAAGAAACGGTCAGTAAAACGTGCCTAGTCTGCGCTCCACGGCAAACTTTGAGCAAAGAATAAAACGTAGACAATACAGCCGACATTGATCCTGATACCCCAAATTCCAGGAATCCTAAAAGAGCTCCACACACGGGCTTTGCACCCGGTGCATTGATTATTGAGTCATTCGTAGAGCCATAGGAAAGAATCTGCCGGTTGCATCGACGGTACAAGAGAAGAACCCCAATACCTGTATATGACATACACCATAATGGAATAACCGAGTCAAAGATATACATGTAAGTCGAAGAGGATCCGAGCTCAATGAAGTTTATCAATACTGACAGTATAACCACGGAAAATGTCGCATTCGTAGGTAGGTAATTGGGAGAAACCTATGAATAGGGATGAGCTGATATTAGAATATATGCAAGTGAGATTATGTGACTACCTTTTTCAATATCTCCCATCCAGGGATCCTCCGATCTCTGGCTAGAGACCAAATTTGACGGGACGCAGGTGCCATGCAAGCTAACACCCGACCCATAGAAGACAAATCCACACACAAGAAAATAAAATAGTGGCTGAGCGAGATCCTGTAGTTTGATGAAAAAGGATAATTGGTGAGTATACAGCATTGGCGGAGGCTATTCCAATCATCTCTTTGTTAAAAGGCAGCGCAATAGCCATCCCAAAGCCCAAAATACCATCAAGTATCATTGATATAGTCATTGTAGGACCTAGTATAGTTGTTCCCTTCTCGGATTCTTCAGCAAGCTATACGGCCAGTCAGACTCAAAAGAACTTGAATGGAACATCCATATGAATAAAGATAGATGTAACGCTTACATGTGCTGCGCAACACAATCCTCCTCCCATAGAAAGACCATTGTAGTATATCATTACATGGAGCCAGGTAAGAGATGGCTATGGGAAGTGATCGGCGTTAAAAAAAGGCGTAAAAGCTCATTTGCCTCTGTATGCTCAGGCAAATATGCCGGGGATATTAATATACCGAAGAACCCTAGGATATGTATCATGAAAGCCAAAACTTCAAGTTGAGGAAGCGTTCGACCGCCTATAACATTTAGAATACAGGCGAGAACCTGAATTCCTAGCCCGATAAGTTTTTCTTTCCACCCGGCAGGCGTATAAGTGGAAGACTGGACAAAGAAAATCAGGATCTGTACGATTTTCGCGACAGTGTCATAGGCTTAACATACAACTATCAGCCAAGCAATGGAAGTTGTGTACACTAGATGTTTCCAAGGTTATTTAGCGAGATAAGTACGTGTTTTGACTCCACCTTAGACTTGCTGTGGAAATTCAAATGTTTTCGGGAGAGTTTGAACACAAGTGCATATCCCAGATGCCATGGGCTATGCATATTACATACCTGTTAGATAACTCAAAAGTCTCATCCATTTTAAAGGGGCAAGCATTGCACACCAGTGATATTGCCCAGCTTATACCGGTGCCCTGACTTTTATTACCTTGTTTGTAGCTTAAAAGGTCACAAGTGCTTTATCCGATGAATATCTGGGGAACATAAATTGAAGAAAGCTCTCCAATCATGATTATGGTGCATAGTGACTCGATCCATGAAATGAAAAGCGCGGAAAGGAATGATGCTGGACCACCACTTTATCAAATCAGTTAGAAGCCCGTCATGATGAAGGGCCGGTGATAATCAGCGTACTTTGCCATTAAGTTCTTAAAATTGATATAGCAAAAGTTGTCAATAAATCATAATATGTGGATCCTCAGGTAGAGAAAAATCACGAGGCTTTGATGCTACCTGACATCACTACCATCTCCCACGCCATGAGGACTATGCAGTTCAGCCCCACGATAGCAACGGAATTGAAGTTTCGCTTGCTTGAGAGTTAACAAGAAACTATTCGAAATCCATAGATGCATTCTGATGAATATATTCACATGCATACCTTCAGTTCCGGCTTTTTCCCGAGTCGTCGTAGTTGGAAGTCATCTTTATCATAGCTTGAAATGGGGGAACTGTGGTTGTTGTACATGCTTCGATGCCTCATCTCATAAGCCTCACCATCTTCCAGGCCATGCACAGAAGATGATTCCGGCATAAGACATTAGCAAAAAAGCGAAATGGTCGCGAAAAAGGTAATGGTATAAAGTCAATATCCAGAATGACGGGTAATTAACCAGAAGACACAGCGCACTCTAAGGCGAGAGAATGAGGGCATAAAAAGGGAAGAAGAAAAAAAGCTAAGAGCCTCTATCTGGGCGGGGTAACGGATATGTATCGTTTTCATATCTTGCTTCATTGCTTATTGGACTATGAACGCACACTGTCAGGGAGACCTATGCACAAGGCGTCCAGGTTTGGTTGCACGGAGTGTTTAGACAGGGAGCCTCCATATATCTAAGTTTTTAAGTGAGATTCTATATGCTTACAACGTCCAATATTGAACGACCTTCTAAGGTTGGAAGCATTTCACTGTAGATGGGTGCTTAGGTTGTTAATCATCAACTTTTTGGAATTGGCAAGAGACCCGGTAGTATGGGGAGGAATGGAAGCACCACTTGAACTGAGTTAATTAATTTTGATTGGACTAAGAAATTTCAATGCCTATCAAGCCCTCCAGAACTTCCAATACTGAGGACCGGAGATGCACGTCAGCCCTTTTTAGATGGAGGTGACCTCAAATGCGCAGTATGTTACGCGCCCGGTAAGAACAGATGAGATCAGAACTTAGTAACATTCAACAAAAAAACAAAGCTTGAGGGGAAGGAGAGAGGAGGGGTGCGAGGTAGGAATATCATCAACTTGAATCACATTGCTGCCTCAAGATCCTCCGGCCCCTATCTAGATACAGATGCACAACATCCATAATACAGTCGGCCTAATAACGGCTGACGTCTGCACATGTGCACATATGTGCATTGAACCATGCATTAGGTAAGATGGCTACAATAAATCAATTGATATGCTTATTTCGTTCTTTCAATGTTCATATTATCTATATAGACAGTACTACACACTAATTACTATAACATACTGTAGTGTGGATATTCTATTGTTTGCTGCCTGTGTGGCTAGATCGCACTGCCATTCAGCGTTCCCCCCTTCAGTAGCCTATTCTCACCTGGGCATATACTCTATTTTTAGCACAGATTATGCTATGCACTATAATGCCTTGACATAATGTCGAAACTGCGGATCATCGGCATAGTACGATCTTATATGCATTAAGTATGCCAAAACTAAAGTAAATCGTAATTGACATCTTCAGCATTGGATGAAGTATTGTTAGAATCATGATGTACGCACCTGCGATCGGGTTGAACATAATAAATGTTCTATCATGATGTAGGATTAAAAATCAAAAGGATTCCTGATTGCGGGCAACTAGCTCGCTTACCATCTTCTAAGGACAACACTCAAGGTTTTGGATCTTACATCACTTAACTTTTTGTATAATGCTTTTTTTCATAAACAGAAGAGATATGGAATTATCACCAGAGTCAAATTGGTCATCCGACACAGGCCATTCGATGATTCAAATCGGCACCCACTGTCTCTATGCCTCAGTCAGCGGTCCTCCCCGCACCCCACCAGATCCACTAGTTGTCATTCTCAATGGTGCAGGGGACGTCGCATCGTCATACACAGCCCTTTCCCGCTTAGTAGCAGTCTCAACTCGGATTCTGCTATACGATCGCTCGGGACTCGGGCGTAGTGATCCCGACCCCAACTTAGACCCCAACTCAGACCCCAATCCCGAAGGATCGCCAGCCGTTACCGCCGCTAAAGAGCTACACAGCCTGCTCTGCCGCACGCATCTCCTACCGCCTTTGGTACTTGTTGCGCACTCCTACGGCGGTATAGTTGCCCGGGAATACCTACACTTGTACCCATCCGAAGTAGCCGGGATAGTCCTCGCAGATAGTTCCACAGAGCGGCAAAGCGACTGCCTTCAGCTACCGGCTGCTAGCATCAGCGCCGTACAAGGGAATCTTAAATTCGCCCAAGTAACAGGGCTTCGGGCAGAAACTGTGCTTTCTAAAGATGAGTGGCGGGTTCGTGCGATTGATATCTCGCGTGGAGCCGAGGCAGCACAGATGGAGGCAAATGCCCTCGTGGTGGTTTGTAATACGTTGGCTGGGAAGAGGCAGTTAGCAATTCAGGCTATGGGGTCTAGGCCTGTTAGTGTTATTCGTTGTAATGGAGTCAGGGACTATGAGCGGATCTACCACGCAGGCGTGGAGGTGGGGAATGGCACGGTGGAACAGCGAGAGGAGTTCAGGGCCCTGCTTGATCGGTGGAGGGCTTTTGATGCGGATCTTCACGAGGAGCAGCTGAAGTTGTCTTCTACTTCGCACTTCGTACATTTACCGGGTTGTGGGCACAATATCCACATCTTACGGCCGGATGTGGTGGCAGAGGAGATTGGTTGGGTCTTGAAGCAATTAAAGCCACAGGATACGTATAGACTGTGACATTGGTGATCAGGGTTCTTTTTACTTTCTTCACCTTCTTTTTCGTACTCGCTTTTCTTTTCTAAATTTATCAAACGGAGCTAGTGGTAGTGGGGGGATTTTCTGGATTGTTCTTGGAAGCCCAAGACGTCAACCAGCCAGATCTTGAAGATTCCTGGAGCCTATTTAACTTAAAAATGAATCGGTGAGCATCGTGCTGCCCAGGTGGACTATACCCACCTATGATCTGCACCCCCTCCTTGAAGTTGGACCTTAGTAGCCAAGATTATCTCTAGAAATAGATGTGCATAGCCATGAAAAATTCGCAAGCTCTTCTGCATGTTTTCTCAAGCCCTGGGAGAAGATATGCAATATTTCTTTTCTTAGAAAACAACTACAGTATTCAAAATGATGTAGCCTGGCAGGCAAAGGTCTTCAACTTTCTACCAGATAAACTTCTCCCCCACGATACGGAACTGCGCCACAGGAATACCCGGACAGTCCGTTTCAGGCCGAAATTTCTGCCTTAGCAGATTTTGTTCATGCCTAACAGAAGCTAACCGCGGAGGAGCAGCCCACTCCGTCAGCCTTTTTTTGCAGTCACACTAGCATTAGTCACACCATATAATGGAGAATGACTGGGCTCCAATGAGTAGGTACCTGATGTTGAACCGAAAGGCCGGTAACACCGTGGTGTCTATGAGTCATAGTGAATACTCAGGTGGCGGTCTCCATTTTGTCTGTTCTCAAGGATTAATAAACAGCTGGACAGATGTCAATGGGCATGTATAGAACAAAGAATTAAAAATCAAGAAAAAATCATTATTATTATTATTATTATTATTATTATTATTTCCCCTGCAGGAAACAAATCATTCCTGAGCGCTTCAGCTTATCGGGGTCACCGTGCATTGGAAGAGTCGGTACCCACAGAACATCGAAAGTAGCGAATCCGAGCGAAACGCGGCTGCGCCACAACAGCCCAGAAGTGGCGGAAAGGGCAGGCGGAACCAGGCGTATAAATACCTCGCGAGGGATGCCTGAAGGGTTTTAGCAACCTGCAAAATCTGGCGATTATTCCTGCATCTACTACATCTATCCATCAAAACCACCCGTATCGGAGCTTCTCTAATCTTTTGATTAATTTGCTTGATACCTAACTCTTTCTCTTTTTCCACACCTTTTTCTTCTACAAACTATTTCTTCCCATCCCCCACCCCCCCCCCCCTTTTTCTCCTCCCTGGTGTGATTTTAACTGGTCGACGCGTCTCGCTGGTATCTTCATTTCCATCACAGTCCCCTCACTGTGGGGTCGAAACGCGATATGGGCGACGGATCTGACTATCCTTCTCCTCTAAGTGAAGCAAAGCACGGAATTACAGCTGCTGAGGTCCTGGCATCTACGGCAGAATCTCTCTCCACAATTACGAGAATGAACGACCAAGGCCCTGTGCCGTTTACCGGCCATACCGGCGTTCATAGTCTGGAAGGTTCGCGTCCACGGCTCTCCGTTCGACGTGCGAGGGATCCTCCCAAGAACACCGAAAATCAAATCTACTGCGATCATCCCGATTGTCATGAAGCGCCTCCGACATTCCGTCGTCCCTGCGAATGGAAGTGAGTATCTCCATACCTAACCTACATTTTCTTCCCTCCCCACCCTCTCCCCTCTGCTAGTCTGTCTAGTCGCACCATACGGATATCTGCTAACATCGCGCCACTTAGTAAACACATGGATAAACACGATCGCCCCTACAAATGTTTCGAGCCAGGGTGTGACAAGATTCAAGGTTTCACATACTCAGGTGGTCTTCTTCGCCACCAACGCGAGGTCCACAAGAAGAACACAGACGCCAAGAAGCCTCTAATGTGTCCATACACCGACTGCAACCGAAGTACTGGCAGCGGATTCACACGTCAAGAGAATCTTCGAGAACATCTTCGTCGTCGTCACATGCATACCGATGATGGCCAGCCTTCGCTCATCCTTGATATGCCTTGGGACCGCGAGAACGAGCTAGACGGCGTCCGCGCTAACTCCCTCCCAGCCACCGGCATGAAGCGGAAGCATGACTCACCCAACGGGGATCTGGGCGATGAAGAAGGCGGCGACCTGCACAATGAGGTCAAGCGACTGCGCCGGGAGGTCCAGGAGAAGGATCGACGGCTGGAGGAGCTCGAGCGGATTGTGGCGGGCTTGCAACAAGTTATGCCTCAGCCCACTCACTCAGAGCCTGACAGCCAATCTGGCTCACAGTCGCTTCCGCCCGTTCCGCAGGCCGTCGCACCCCAGATCTAGATAATTCCCTCTCTTGATGTGATGTTTTACGCTCATTATGGCTCTCTTCTACTCCTCTCATTCTTCCTCTTCCCTCCCTTGTTATGTTTTGTACCGTATTTCGTTCCATCCTCCTTGGTTACCTACCCTTCTCTTTTTTACGTGCATTCTCTGGGCGTTCCCTCAAAAAGGGTCTTCGAAAGTTGCTACTTTCCCCCTGTTTTGTGTTTTTTTGTCTTCTCTTATCTTCCCTTTCTGTCTGGCATCTGAGGTTCGGTTATAATTAATGTCTTTGGAAAAGACTTAACTAACCAACCGGGTATGGCGTTTTCACTTAACATCGACGTTGGGGCAGGCGGTGTTCTTTTCAGAGGTTGCCAACTTGTGTGTCCTCATATACCCAAGTCTATTCTTTTCCAGGTTGTTGCAAACAAAATGCCTATGGTCATATTTCAATGTCAGTTTACTTATTTTTTTGGTTAAATGTGTTTTTCGCCTGTACTTGTAACACTTTATGAAGGTGGGAAGAGTCTCATTAAACATCAATTTAATATCCCTAGTCTGAAATCATCTAGTCTTTCCTTTTCATAGTTCATCCATAGAGTGTATACTTAAGAGGTTTTACTCTAGTCATGCGCTTTCCTTCCTTGAACCTCCAAGGTTCTTTACACCTCACCGTTCCCCAGAGACCTTTTACATCTCCAGATTGACGGCATTCTCATTCTTTGATTACCTTGGAAGATGGAGGTACGATTCCAGCATCTATCCAACAAGCTGGAGTACAAACATGAATCAAACAAGCTCATCATCTCGCAGCTCACAAAAACTATGACTTAATCCTAGGGTCTGGAACAAGGTTATAGCTCTCTCTAGAAAGGTATTGAATTCCTGGCTGGATTATCTGGACGCAAGTTGTCATGACATTTGGGTGTCTGTCTCTTAATCTTCGTATTTGGACTACCTTGCTTTGAAGGCTTGAAAATCGATGTTCTCTGGTGTATGTATCTTTGGGGGCTAGACCTCTTCTCGCGCTCTCCAAATACACCTAGCTAGGCAATGATGAACAAATTTTCCGTAGATCTGTGGCTGGTGAAAGCTCGAATAAACGGTGATTGAAGTCCTATTCTATCTTGTGATTATATTGCTGACGCTCTAGAGGCTCTCTAGAGGCTCGAAAGTCCTTTGAAAGCAAATATATCCGGCGGTGTCAAATATAGTCCCGAAATAGAGTTCATGAGGCTTTTTCGGAGAGCCCATGTGGTTAAGTCGATGCGTGTCATGTCCGTCGTAGGCCGGGGGCCTTCCAAGGACCAAGGCTACGAGACTTGCCCCGTATAATATGACACTATCGCTGGCATCCATGACTCATAGCTCCGGGCTCAGTGCTGGGATCGTCATGTGCCGGATGACATTACACGGGTGGACATTTGAAGAGTGGAGTAGAGTAGGAGAGGCTAGAGGGCGACAGCCGCAAAGAGAAAGTAGGTAACTAACTATAGCTAATAGGGTATGATAAGGCAATAGGGCAACAAGGCATGAAGGCATCTGCGTCGTTAGACACCTGAAAATGACGGCGTCGTAATTACGTAATCGTTCATCCAAGCCCCTCCATAGACTGACTGCAAGTCCTTCGACGAGGCATTGACTATAGCTTGTTTCGAACTTGGGATTACTTCTTTGCTTTTTGAGAAGTATATCACGTTTTACGCGATTTGATACAAGAATACGCGATCAGTTAACATTGAATTGTTGTAAGACTGTCTTTTCAGCTCACGCGAAGTCCACCAGCGCATACAAAGAACCACATTGCGCTTTCAACGAATACCTTTCAATTAACAGCTTAAGCGCTGTGATTGATCTCTCAAATTCCGCGTCTGAAGACTGTCTTCTCCGCATTTAAACATTCTCTGTCACCTATGTCCACTCAATCTGAGAACACTCCACTACGTGGTCTCGTGCTCAGCACCATGTCCGGCTTCAACAACCGCGAGATTCCAATGTCTCAACAAGAAGGCGCATCATACACTCGCACACAAGAATACTTCTCAACAACACCAAGGTATCCAGCAGCACTGCGCGCAAACTCAACAATAAACTTCTTCAACCACAAAGACGACGGCAACGACAGCGACACCGTCATCGTCGACAAAAAGCTATTTGAACCATCGCTCCACGCCTTCGCAGAAGGAGACTTCATTCCACCAGCCTTCTTTAAGAAAGCCCATCTAGACGGCTTCACCCGCCGCTTCAAATATTCTCAATGGGCCTACGAAATGCGCCGTGAAGCCCAGCTCATATTACCATTTCTCGCATTGGGCCCCTCATCATGTCTTCGTGATAGGGAATACCTCCGAACTCAAGGATTCACACTTCTGCTCGGAGTCAGGAATACGCTTTCTGCGCACGCACGTCTGGTTTCTGGTGAGATGGCCGCTGCCGAATTGGGCATTCAAGCAGATACCATTGACGTAATGGATAATCAAGAGCTTATTTCGGCGTTTCCACGCGCGATAAGACGGATTAATAATCATCTTGCTGGATGTGATGTTTCGAATGGCTTTATGAATATGAATATGAACACAGGAGACATGATAATAAGCGACAATCAGAATCAAAACCAGAGCGAAAAGAAAAAGATCCTCGTCTTTTGTGAAACGGGTAATGAGCGATCAGCCGGTGTGATAATTGCTTATATCATGGCAATGTTGAATCAAGATGCTATGAGCGCAACGCGAATGATCCAACAACACCGATTCTGCGTCTCAATTGAAGAGCCTCTCAAGCGAATTCTCAATGCATTCGAGTCTATTCTTGCTGCAAAGCGAGATGTAGAAAAGGCAAGACGCATGGCTGTTTCATCTAGTGCGCCTAGTTTAGCGCCGCCACCTGTTCCGGCTGTTTTGTTGGCGAAGAAGCGCAGTTTTCAGGTTCGGCAGGAGGAGGATGCGGCGATGGATGGGGGGATGGATATGGATATGGATGATGATTCGATGGTTGATCGGAAACCTATTGCGCCGTTTCAAGATCGAGTGGTTTAGTTTACTGCGGGTTTTAAGGCTTTAGGAGTTCCGATGCCCCAGTTTCGGAGTGGTTTCAAATGTTTAAGGTTATGTTCAAGCTAACTTTGCTACACTAGAGCTGTAAAGTTCTATAGCTATAAATCTACGAAAACTAGTTGCTCTTCTTATTGTCCCATTCGTATGTTTATCATCAATAACAAGTTTCCGTTTGTTTGTCGGTTATCGCTGATAATGATAATATTTCTCTTTCAATAGTTATTTGACTTGTAATTCGTCTTCTTTTCTATATTAACCAGTTTCTCTCTCTAAACTTGTTAGTGTCTCTTCTAATATGATTTATATCCTCTAGATTATTAAGCTCAATCCTGCTACAGGAGGATCCTGGAAAATCGATTGCAATGACAGGTTCCAAAGTGAGCCCAAGATACACATATCTCTTAGTTTACTTGAACAGACGTATTGGGATCCCCGGGTCCACCCCCCTCACCCTACTTCACCCAAGTGACAACAAAAACATTTCTCCCAGCTCTGTATCTTTACCCAAACAGCAGCATTCGAGACCGATCTTTCGTTCTTTCTGCTTCTTAATTTCTTGACCCGCAATTCTGAAGAAGCGTTCGCATTGTCTCAGGATATCATCGCGTTGCACGTCGATCCCTTGTCACCTAGAGTGAGTTTGATGCCTTCCCTCACACCCTCAGAGCTGTCCATGTTATGACTCAAGACTTGCTAACTCCACGTAACAGAACAGTCGGTCAGCCAATATCTTCTTCGCAAGTATCTCGCATACATCACGTTCGCCAAAATGAGTAGTCATATGAGATTGCGCTCCACCATTCGCCCGCCAAATCGTTACGGCGAAGTCAGCGAGACTGAGACGGGATCTGCCCTTGTAGTGGATTCCACTGGCCCATCTCCTCGCTCCAACGGACGAAGTGGAAGAGATCATATTCAAGCTCATATTATGGAATTTGATCCGACCCTACCCCCGGCAGCATTCCCGTCGCTGAAGCAACCTCGCCCACTTAGGGTTAATGGGCTGCATGGAATTCTCAGACAAGAGACCGATGATCTAGACCTATGCCAGACCATCAGGCATATCAGCTGGTCTCAGTCTTTACCAGATTCAAGTGCGAATGCGAGCGACGTCTATGACAGAATCATTCATTCGACCCCTCTGAATAGCATTGAGAATCAAGTCGCCAGTAACACGGAACTCAATCCAATTTATGTCAAAAATATGGCGGGAATGGCTTCTCAGCCTAGTGGGCATGAATCGTCTGCTCCTGAGTTCGAGGATAGTGATCCAGATGAACCCATAGACGCGTCAGAAGCCTTGGGTAAAAAGGTAAGTTGAACGAACTTGTTATGTTGCTCCAAATTAGTCCCAAATTGGTTGTGACCTAAGATAGCATTCGAAGATAGGAACTAACATTGAGATTTTGTGATGACATAGATTCCAAATCCTACCTGGAAAGACATTTCGCGTCCGCTGCAAGTGGAGATTGTCGAGAACATGATGAAGATCGGATATTCTTGGGGGAGGATATGTGCGGAGCTCGAAATTCACAAAGGGGACCGGGATAGATTGAGATATTTCCTGCGAGTTCGCAATCAGCAAATCGCAAGAGAGAATAAGATCTTGGCGAAGATGCGCGGGAATCAATTGCGTGCTCTCATGCGCATTGAAAATAGTGACATCAGAAGAAACGACGTGCCTCACCAGCTTGTGTTGCGGAGATACTCAAAGAATGCCACTCGAGCCATTCAGGGAGCCGTTGGGGGATCTGGTAATCCAGATCTTTTTCTTTGTACAGCTGCTGATGTTCTCGCTGCAAGACAGTACCTCCATCGCCGCGCTTTACCACGAAGTTTTGCTGGAGAATGGGGCCACAGTCTTGTGGCTCTGCAACCCCCAGATGACGAGAGCAGCCTCGAGCCGGAAAAGTTCGAATGGAGAGTAGACATTCATGCGGACTCGAACCTATCGAAGGAACAGATCATCAGACAGCATCATGGTAAGCTCCCTGTTTTGCTGACCAAAAGAGGATCCATTCAAGTGACGGCAAGTAACGGAACTATTAACCCTCTCGACCTGACTTTGCTACCCGAGCAAAGAAACGAACAGCCGGATTGGAGTATGTACTTCCCAGACTGGAGACCTCAGAATGAAACGCCGAGAGTGATGCCTGAACGACGAAGTGATGGGATAGTCACGTTGAAGATCGGTTCCAAGGGAGCAGCACGAATCAGAGACTCAGAATCGCTCCAAAACAGCTTTGGGCTCTCCCCTCCATCGCAAGTTAGACCGACTCCAATGACCCCTCCACGGACCGAATCCCCTAACCTGTTCTCGTCACCATTGGTAGGGCCCAATGACACTCCGACTAAGATATCACGCCATCCACACCCATGGCCATCTCACCTAATAGAGCTTGTCAATCAACCACTTGAAAAGCTTGATGGGGCCACCAAAGCTCAACCCTCCCTCCCTTTCATACCTCCACGGAGACCAGGAAGACCCATCAAGAGAATGCTGGGGGGTCCATGGTCCATGAGTGCAATTTGGGGCATTGAACCATCTATCGCGCAAGCACGATACACGCAGCAAATTGAAGAAGCGAGAGTTGAAGCCGCGTGCTTGAGATCGAGAGTGGAGTTCACACAGGAGATACGAGAGGCTGAACAGGCTTGTATGGACGAGGCACAGAGAGAAAGAGAATCCCCTGGTCAGTCTATGGCTGCAGCTGTTAACTCTCTTCCGGACAATGTGTTCACGCGCGACATGCCTCGCCTTCCTGAACTTCAGGAAGTTCTTTTCACCGATCCCAATCCAAAGGTTTATCGTAGGTGGATTGATGATTCGGTAAGCCTTTCTGGTACGGATGGTATTATTGAGGAGTGCTTGACAGAAGAGTATTTGAATGCTCTGCGGTTCAGGGTTAAAGACTCGGATTATTTGAACGGGAATTGGCCGGGCGAGGGCTATCGGCAGGATGAGATGGCAATGGTTCCAACTCCAACGCGGAGTAAGGCTCACAGGATTTGAGGAGAGACCATGTAGGAGAAACAAATTTCTCCGACCGTTTGGAGTGAATTTCTCCAGCCCTTCATGTTCTCCCCTGTTTCACACTTACTTGTACTAACAAAGCGACCTGAATGAGATCTTTTCCACTCTTGTGTTGACTTTAAGCGTGAATTTTGTGGTCGATGTGATAATCATGGCAGACATTCACAAGATATCAATGTAGGTTAGAATCAAGATGATGATCTGGATAATCAATACCTATGAATGAAAAGCAGATCGCAGATCCTCGATCGCTTTGTTCTCTAAGAAGAGGCTGGTGACTTCAAAAGTTGAAAGCTCCCAAATTCAAGTTCTGTGTTAAGTCCTGTCCGTATGCTCACCACCTGGGCAGATACCTGCACACGGCAGGAAGTCACGAGTGGTCACGAGATTTGGAGAGTCATAGGCCGAACAGTATTTGGCTGGTGCAGTTGAGATCCAGTTTGGAGTATATTAGTAAATACTGGCTCTACAGATCCTGTAGTCTCGTCAATACTCAACATGTTCGTGGTAAACCGTTACCAGCATAGATCGAAGCTTAAGCCTGTTGTCCCATATCCAAGATCTCCATTATTACGGTTATTCTCGTTGGGAAAAACTGGACTATTCATTCGAATGTCAGTCCTCTTAGCTGAAGGTGATCAATGTATCTTGATTGATAGATTGTAGGGTTGATGGAGAGTGGCTTGAAGAGAGAGAATGATAAGAAGTTGGTTTTTGCTGGAAATTGGCGAGGGATAAGATTGTCATGAGTATTGTGGGCGGCAGAAAATCCCATTGATGTTGTAAAGAACTGGAAATTGTGGGCCAAGAGTTCTAGTGCCTCTTGAATTTATTGGCTTGATTTGTGTCCAAGCTTTAATGTATATGGAGTGGAGTATGGTCAGTCCCCTGCAGTACTGTGAGATCCAGTCGATCTAACGTAATCGCCATTAAAACCTGGCCCGTGCACCAACGCGAAAACCCGCGTGCCACGCGCGGCAAATTATGATGGTTTCCAATCTAATAACTTCATTTGCATGATCAGACTGAAGTTTTGGTTATCGAATCTTTACTATATAAAGTGAACTTCTTCAGTTCTTATCGCCACCAACCCACCCTCCACCATCTCTCACTTCCAAAGCTTCTTCCTTGCGCCCGCCAAACTTGTTTTTTCGTCTCGAAATTCTTCCCCTTTCTTTGGGAATGACGTTCTTCTAGCCCAAACGATCGAGATCTCACCTTTAGTCATTCATTATCTCTGTCACCCGTTCATCACTTGTACAATCAATCAACTATGTCGGAAACAGGGTCGCCAACAAACTCGGACTCGAGAGCTGAGACAATGCAACCCGAGTCAACGGTGCCTTCCTCGCCAGCGAGCGATGTCACTATTGGCAAGAAAACCGAGGAGGAGGCAACTGTATACAAAAAACCAACTCAAGAAGAAGATCCCGCCTCTGTTATGGATGAGACGGATCCTGATAACAGGCAGCTTATGACCTTGTTGCGACAAAGTTCTGTGAGTTGTATCGAATCCTGGAATCACTCGAGGCCACTCTCTAACCATCTCTTTCTGTAGTTATTTGCCTCGATCCTGTCGGAGAAAATGAGAAAGCAACAGGAGGAGGCTCGCCGGCAAGCTGCAAATGAGAAATTGAAAGAGAAGCCTTCCCAGCCTCAAGCTAAACCCATTTCTGTCACTCGTCGTCAGACCCGAAAGGGTAATCAAGACACCTCCACCGAAGACACCACGACTGAGACTGAAGTCTCGAAGCCAAAACGTGGTCGCTCGAAGAGAAATGCCGGGTCAGGAAAGGGCATTGCCAACTATTTCCGGAAGGCCAATATCGAAGTACCTGAGGACAACCCTTCAGTGCCTGAAGCATTGCAGCAAGCGGCCCAGGAATTCGAGGAAAATCCCACTGTTCTTGGAGAACAAGACCTTGTCGCTACACAACAACCTAAGCTAGTCAGTGGTGGCAAAATGCGCACATATCAGTTGGAAGGTCTTGAGTGGCTGAAGACTCTCTGGATGAATGGACTTTGCGGTATCCTGGCCGATGAAATGGGTCTTGGAAAGACAGTTCAGGCAATTTCCATGATTGCCTTCATGAAAGAGAATGGGGCTTCCGGGCCGTTTTTAATTGCTGCACCTGTCAGCACGCTTAGCAACTGGATTGATGAGTTTGCAAAGTGGACTCCCGACATCGAAACAATACTTTACCACGGCACTCCCCAAGAACGCCAAAGAATTCGGGACAAGTCCATGACTCTGAAAAACCAAGGCAATCCGGACTTCCCCGTTATCTGTACATCTTACGAGCTTTGTATGAATGACAGGAAATTTCTTGCAACATATGGTTGGCGCTACATCATCGTCGTATGTTCACATGATCCCCTGCTATTGATGATCTCATGAATATTAACCATTTCCTAGGATGAGGGTCATCGCTTGAAGAACATGAACTGCAAGCTGATCAAAGAATTGTTGAAATACACTTCGGCCAACCGGCTGCTCATCACCGGCACGCCATTGCAAAATAATATCTCCGAGCTCTGGTCGTTACTGCACTTCTTATTGCCTAATGTTTTCACAGATTTAGATTGTTTCGAACGTTGGTTCAATTTTGATTCTGTTCTGGGTGATGATAACGAAGAAGACATGATTGAGAAACGCAAGCAGAAGTTGGTTTCTAGCATGCACGCTATTCTGAAACCCTTCCTGCTTCGTCGTGTCAAAACCGACGTTGAACATTCTTTGCCCAAAAAGCGAGAATACATCGTCTACGCTCCTCTTAGCACTGAACAGAAGGAGCTTTATCGTGAAATTATCAATGGAACTGGCCGTCAACATCTGGAAGCAAAAGCTCTTGAGCGTCTGGAGGCTAAGAGTCAGTCTAAAAAGCCATCGCAGGGGAAGAAACGCCGTCGCGAAAGCAGCACGGAAAATTCCCCTAACAAGGCTGCAAAGACAAGCAGCCCCAAAAGTCCTTCCAAATACACCAAGTATGGTCGCCGACGCTCTGTTCGAACATACAAGGATGTCAGCGATAGCGAGTTCGATGCGAAGCTGCGAGACATGGAGCAAGGCATTGAGGATGAAGAAGAAGAAGCGGAACAATTTGAATCTTACAGTGATGCTGAGCTGGAGGAAATGGAGAGAACGAAGAACCTGCAGCTAGCCAGTACGCATCACCACTTGTCCCCTTCAACCCGTATACGGCTAACGGTCCCACAGAAAAAGAAATTGGGCACAAGAAGATGCAAAATCCAGTCTTGCAGGCCCGCATGGCCTGTAATTCTCCCCACAACTTTTACTGGCCATGGGAAGAAGCTGTTGATGAGACTCTCGTTTCTGCTTCAGGAAAAATGCAGCTTCTCGACCGCCTTGTCCCATGCCTACTGAAGAAAGGACATAAAATTCTCATTTTCTCACAGTTCAAGACCCAGCTTGACATAATCGAAGAGTGGGCAACTAATCTACGATCATGGGAATGTTGCAGAATTGACGGCGCAATCGCGCAAGTCGATCGACAAGCCCAGATAAAAGCCTTCAACACTAATAAGAATGTTAAGCTCTTCCTTTTGACTACTCGAGCTGGGGGCCAGGGTATCAACCTCACAGCGGCAGACACCGTTATTATCTTTGACTCCGACTGGAATCCTCAGCAGGATTTGCAAGCCCAGGACCGCGCTCATCGCATTGGTCAAAAGAACCCAGTAATCATTTACCGACTTGCCACTAAGGGAACTGTTGAACAGACCTTGCTCGAAAAAGCGGATGCCAAGCGTCGTCTTGAACGACTAGTCATTCAGAAGGGCAAGTTCAAATCTTTGCTAGACACCAATGCTACTTCTCAGGACATTGATGAGCTCCGCAGAGTTCTCGGCGAGAACGAATTTGAACGTTTTGAAGCTGGCGCCAACCCTGAGTCTATCCTGTCTGACAATGACCTTGAAATTCTCACGAATCGGAGTGAGGAAGCATTTGTACGAGCTGAGAAGGGTCTTGACCAGAGTGGGCCGGCGTTTGTTGCTGTTGAAACAAAGCGCAATGCAGGCGACACGCTTATGGGGTGAGATTCAGTCTCGTGTACTTTTACAACATAGACATGGCTTTTGTATGCATGTTTTGATGCGATGCTCTAATGTCATCTGGGTGGCCATGTGGAGCGATGTCAGAATAGTGTTTGTTTTTTTTTTCTACTACAGAAGATTTGTTTGCTTGGAGCGGTTGCATGTGGAGTTATGGTTTGTTTCAGTGCTGTATGAAGCTTAAGGTGATGTATTGCTAGGTTGTTTATGGTGCTCTTTCAATGTCTAGAATACATTGCATTGGGCTTTCTATTGTCTCGTGATGGTGGAGGCGATGATGGCCCTGCCAATGTACAATATGGATTTCAATTGATTTATCACTAATAATCTATTTCAAAAAAATATTTTCAAAAAGATACTTCTCCATTTGCCCTTCTATATGTCTTTTCATTTGTCTTTCCAGTTGTATTTCCATGGATCTATGTAGAGCTCACGGTGCAGGTAGCAGTGTACCACCTGGGGCGATAAAGGTTATCTATGGCCAGGGTTTCCCCCATGATCGCTATTGCCCCCCGTACAAACTGATCTACATCATGCCGATTTAAATAAATCCATTGAGCGCCTGCAGCTACTAGGGTTATGGCTGTACAAGATAATCACATAGAGCAAAATGTCAAAGATGCAACAAAAGGGACCCAGTAAATAGAAAGGAAAACAGAAGAGGGACCAGGAAATACGAAGGCTAAGAAGCAATGCATCGACTTCCACCACCGAGCACAGCTCATGCTCATCGCCGAGCTCTCTCATCCTCAATCTGCCCCTTCAAATCCGCAAGTACACCCCTCCGTTGCGCCAAATGGTTCTTCAACCCCTCAACCTGATCTCCCACAGTCTTAACATCATCCCTCGAACGTTCCAAATCCTGCCCCTCCTTCGATCTTCCAACCCCCTCCCTTAACTCCCTCAATTCTCTCTCCTTATACTCCAAAAGCTGCAACGCCTCCTTCTTAATAAGAACCCAATTCGGCCCCCCGTCATTCCTCGGCCCATCCCTTCGATTCTCACTAGCCTGACTAGCAGATTTCAAACGTTCCTCAATCTCCGTTAACTCTCTTCGCAACCGCACCTTCTCCCACTCCTCATCCTGGACCGTCTCACTGAAATCCGTCCCCTTAGGCTGATACGATCCTTTCCCGCCAACACCAAGTCGACTCAGATATGTATCGCCGAATTTCGCTTTGCGACCACTCGTCGTCTCGGTGTTTCCTTCTCCAGCCCATCGCTGCGCAGGTCGCGAGTTATTATCAATTTGGTAATCGATCTGGTTACTCTCGAATGAGGAACGGAGCGAGGCAGGAATAGATCGCGGGATACGGAATCCTTCATGGCGATAGTTCAGGATATGGAGGAATGCGAGCGCGGCATCTTTGTTAACCGCTTGTCCGGCGGAGGGGTTCACAAGGTTCCATGCGGAGCGGATATCGGTATCGGGGACATCGAGGGAGTCGTAGAGGGCGCTTAGAGAGTCAACTGGAGTAAAAGATAATGTTAGAATGTTCGCAAGTTCAGAATACACCACTTTAATATAAACTAACAGGTAATCTGGCCACGATCATTCCGGCTAGAATTGTAGATTTCCTCGTACTTCGACCGATCACCCGGCTTCATGTACCAATCAAACCCATCCTTCAAACCAGGCGTATCATCCTCATCTTCTATACGCTCAAATTGTTCCTGCCTTCCACTCAAAGCATGTGTAGCATGAACAAGATGTGACTTTGATTCTGGAACAAGCCAATCCGGCAATGTATGCGGAACCTCTTGGAGCTCCTAATGTTGACGTTATTAGTTAAGATGAAAGGAAGACTCGGAAGTTGTGCTTGAGATTAGTTCTATGGGTATACGCACGCCATTGACAAGATCAAACACCAGACGCATAGCGACGCAGAACTCCTCAAAGTCTAGCTCGCCATCGCCATCGACATCTGCAATGTCCCAGACCTTCTCGAGCTGGTCATCGCGGAGACGACTGTTGCGCAGCACGGAGGCAGCTTGGGAGCTGTTTAGGTGCGCTTGTCCGTTTGAGAGGGAGGCGAAGATCTCCCAGTATCGCTCAATCTCCCATTGCTCGATCTTTTTGGCGGACATGGTGAGGGTTTGGGGGTGCTGGATGTTGGATTGGGGGGATTTGGGGCGCGGGTGGGTTGGTTACTAGAGTGGATCCCGCACCGTTGTCCGCCTTCAGGGGATCTGAGGTCATCGTGTTTACCTGGAGGATTATTGTAGATGTTCAAGTTGTTGGATTTCTGTCTATTTTTTATGGCTTTTTGGTAGATATTTGTACAGCTTAGGATTGCTTTGCTTCTTGAACTCACATATGTATCTATATATTGTATTTGGATGTGGCCAGCGTACATCTTTAAATCCTTACAGTGGGAGTTCTAAGGAACTGGAATACATACTACAATAGTATGTATTACTATATTAGTATAATATTCTCCTCAAGTTGATACAGATTAGCTAAAATACACACAGTGGCATATAATAGTATCTCCTGAAGGTATATATCCACAACATTACATTTATAAGCTATTACTGATATATACTAAAAATAATCAATACAACTTATATACAAAATCCGTGTGATGTAGCCATCCACGGATGTTGTCCCAGGCTGGAACACGTAGTAGATCAAAAAAAAAGTTCGCTTGAGCAAGTTCCTGACTCGTGATACTCGTCTGGAAAAGATATATTAGCGACAAACATGTCGGGGTAAACATGCAAATCATCATTACTTGAGGCTTGCTGCCGCCGATGATTATCTTGGTCGCTCGGATAAAACGACCTACCAGTTGACGGAATGCTTCGGCCTCGGATCCTTAACTGGTCCGCCGACCGAGACCCCAACTACAACGCCTACCTTCTCCAGATATCCTCTCTACATTTGGCGCAACAGTATAAAGGTAATCACCACGGCCATGCAGGGAACCGAAGCCCACAGAATACGGTCCGGTACGAAAAGTTGTACAGAATGTGAGTGGTGAACAGCCACCTAATATTCCACGACACCTGGAATAGGCAGGCGCCGCAAAGTTCGCTGCATTCGCGCCTCTGAAGCTGCCCTGGTTTGCCGAAGATGCGAAGCACGGGGCTCGGAATGTACGCCCCAGGAATACAGACCCACTGCGTCGCGGAGGGTTTCATCCCGACAACGGATATCTCAGCTTGAATCGCAGGTATCCAGCTTGATCAAAGTGGTGCATCGAATCGAATCAAAACTAGGTGCTCAAGCGGACTCGATTTCGGAAGTGGTTGTAAGCCATTCGAGCCCTGAAATGGATACATCGGATGACGAATCCAATATGTCGGACATTTTTGCAACCGAACGGCCGTCGCACTTGCAGTCGCTCTTTCAGAATGATTGGCTCGGTTTGGATGGCCGTCAGGATAATGGGCAACTGCAAGATCGTATGGAGAGAGTATGCACGAATTTGCTGGATATTGCGAGGGAGGCTCTTCAAAAGTTGATTCCTCCAAAGCATGAAGTGGCCGAAATGTATGAATCAGCATTTGAATGGCTTAGAATTCTCCACGCTTTACTCCCCCAACCGTTCATTGCTCAACCCCAAACGGACGCACTGCTTAATTATGATAGAATGAAAAAGCCAGATGTGGACACTATGGCACTCGCCTCATGGATGCTCACACTGGCAATAACTGCTCAGCAAACACCACAAGATGGCCCATCCACCCCCGAACAACCTGGAACGTGGTTGAAGCAGTTCGAACCCTCCCGAGCAATATCAGATGCTGTAGAGAGGGCGATCATCTCTCATGACCGGCTGCTAGGCACGACAACTGGGTTATGATATGCATGCACTGGTCGCGGCTGTGAGTGATAGTCCGTTGAGCGGCGGCTGCAGTTGCTGAATTATGAATCAAAATTTGTAAATTGCCACAAGGAAGCTTTCAAAAAGCATGGGTTCAGCTACGACATGTTACCGCGATCGCCGAGTTAATGGGACTACCGAGGGCATTCCAAGCTTCTCAGCGCGATGGACTACTCGCACCAAACGATGAAGTGCAGCTTAGAAAAGCCCAGTTATGGGAAATGATATCTGCTGCAGACAGACTTCTAGGAATCAATCTTAACCTTCCTCCAGATACTCGTTGGCACAGACGTATAAAGGACGAAGCATTGACCGTCGACGGCGCTGTCCAGACGCGTTTGTATTCCACCATACTCGTGAATATTGCTGGAAAGGTTCAAGCTTTGGACGAATTAAACATGGCCCGCGAAAGTACCGCTGAACTTTCCAAATCCACGTTTCAATTGGTCGAAGAACTCAGGTCATTTGCGTCTCAGACCCCAGAGACTTGGTGGACTCGGCTGATGGAGCTTTGGATCAAAGGTAATAGTTGACATACGTATAGTAACAATACGAGAAGACTTGTAGCTATGGGTAAGCCATATTTATGTGTTTCTAGCACCCTAGTCTGAAGTCCCACGCATCCTCTCTCGTATCTTGTACCCAGTAGTGGACGTGACGGACAATTTTCTAAAACACGTCCGTGGCCGAGCATTTCGGCCTCCAAAAGAATGCGCTTTCCGAAAGATCGATCAAAATCAGAGATGCCCGTTGCATAGAGTTTAGATTCGAAGAAAACCGTTCATACTACCCAAAAGTGAGATCAAAGTACCTGGATCTTGTTTTCGTTCCGTGATCAGGAACCCTATCATTGGGTTAATGCAATAGCTGAGTATAGGGCTCGGCATGCGCACGAAATCGCGTCCGCGGACAATTTTGTCGACCGAGGCCTATTGATGCGTGATCCGCCACTATGACAGCTAGGCTGAAAATAATTTTTACTTTCAAGAAGCAGGTATTTAGAGCTCCCATAAGGATTGCCCACCTGGGCACTCCAAGGTTTTGATAGGTATATAGTATAGAGATCAGAACAGATACTGGCTACTGTGGAGTAGATCCAAATATTTCAGACAACAACAGGATTTCAGGGAATTAACTTCAAAAAGCAATTCCAAACTTGGGGTTGAATTAATGGCTAGCAAGCTTTTGAGAAACAAGAAGTATTTGCTGCGTTAAAAAATGTGTATGTATGGATTCAATTGTAGCGGGGATCATGCATAAGGTAAGCTATAGTACATCGTGTGTATTAAGTCAATAGGAGCAGCGAGGGGTGTATGTATTCTATTTCATTTCAAAGTTCAAGACCTCCAAATTTTGATTAATCAGATCTCCAGATCATTCCTTTTTTTCGCCCGACTTGGTTTCGTTTGATTTGGCTTTGGCTTCATCTTTCTTCGCTTGCAGCTGTTCGCTCACTTGAACAATGGCACGCTCTGCCTCCAGTGCCAGTTCCGGCGCTTCGAATATGGTTGCTAGCTTTTTGGCATCGGACATCTTCAATAAAACTCGCTCGTCGCTTTTTTCCATATCCCCAACCATCTCATTTGGATGTGCGTCGATCGGGGTATTGTCGAGAACATATGATACGCGCTTCGCGTATAAATGTTCTAGTTCAGGCAGGGAAATGGGTGCGAGGAGGTTCTTTTTCACAATAAACTCCAGATGGCGCGAACCGTTCAATGCTATCAAGAGAACATAAGTCAGTACATTTGTTGAAGCTCAAGGTTAAAGTGGTTGGCACTCACCCCGCCAGTGGGACCAGCCTCGGTATGCAAGATAGAAGAAAGGAATATTGGGAACTCTGCATAAATTGTCAGTCAACCATTAGATATTTCACAATTTAAAGGGGCCTGAAGCACATACACCGGAATCAGACCTAGAGGTGCAGTAAACGGCGCAATTCCAAAACTCCACATCATCTTGTTCTTGTGGAAAGCCTGGCGTTCTGTGGCTATGGTTCGCAGCAGACCCGGTATTTTCTCTGGGCGGACGGCATTTCCTGGATATAACAGCTCGATTGGCCTGGTTCCGTGCGCTTCATCGATTCTCTGTTGTGAATTGAGCGACGGAATACTCTTCAATCCCCATTCTTCAAATGGAATCCGTTGTTGAACTCGATTACCCCATGTCACTAGGTGCTTCTTCCACCCACTCTCGGCCTCTTCCCACTTGGCCCATGTTTGAGCAGCTTTTGTTGTAGCGCGATCGAGTATAGATAATTCCTTGGGAATATCTTTTCGCAGTGGCCGAGAATATATTAACGCTCGTCGGGTCGAGATCGGGATCAAGAAGAGTCGCATGGTCGCGAACGCGGGGCCCCTTTTGGCAGATTTGGTGGAGGAAGGCTATCGGAGATGAAGAACAGAAAATGAGAAAAAGACAGGAGGATATAAAATCATGCCTTTCAATATGTTGGTGTAGGTGAAGCTTGTGAAGAAGCGGGACAGGATTCTGCATGAGCACAAGAAAAAGCAGGGGGGAAACGTCATTCCGCGCGAACTTGGATCCTCGGCGTGATGAATCTTGGCGATCAACACTCTCCCTTTCCAACCTCGTTCTTTCTGGAGCTTCACCCCTCCACTTCCCCCCCTCCCCTCTTGGTCCCTGCTTTATACTGCAGGAAGCTCAATTGGTGGTATTTCAGCTTTGATTTTGGCTTGACCGGTTGGTTATGCGGGCCTTGAGGTCATCGTCTGCTGCCTAGATCCGAACCTTCCTGCGATTGTCCGTCATGGAAACGCAAAGCTCCAAAGCTGAAGCCCCAAGCGGTGTCTTCAATGAGAAGCTGCCAGAAAGCATTCCTGTAGCAAAGGACTTCTCGAATACAAACCAAACTCATTTGAGCATCGATACACATGCTGGCGGGCTCCGGAGTAGCATTTCCAATTCCCCAGCTACGGCAACTCGCACGCCCGACACCCAGACAGTCGATGAGATAAACCACTTTAGATCTTCTGCTGCCCGTACCTTACCCGGTAAGATGAATAATATTGCTTTTGTTGAAGGTTGAAGTTTTCACTAACAACGAATGTGTATAGCTTGGATCCGGTCAGTTGAGGAAGTCAACCAGGAAGAAGGCCATGACGCTACAGCAACAGATCGTCTATTACCCTCCCAGCCTAACGATGCCTTCCTTGCCCAGCATAATCATGCTCCCCACGAACCTTCACGGACCGACTACTTTGGGGATGCCGATATCGAAAAGGCCTCGCCGGACTCCGGCCGCCGCGAGTCTCGCTGGAAAACCTTTTCTCGCACAATTCAGTACCCTCGAGAATCCGGCAAAGAGTATAACGAAGTCACCGCAGAATGGATGAATGATAATATGGGAAACTACTCGGATCCGTGGCGAGGAAATGACCTGGAAGGTGATAGTCCTGAATATCCTTTGCATAACACTCCAGCCCGGCGTCGCGAAATCTGGTTCAAACGGTTCCACACTTCACTTCTGCGGAGTCCGATCGCGCCGCTTATGCTGCGTTTGACGGTTTGGTGCTTCTCACTCGCTGCCTTGGCTTTGGGTGGATCTATCCAGCACTACGCTGATAAAGTTCACTCTCGCCAGGGGCCGTCGGCCCTCATGGCCATCATTGTTGATGCGGTGGCTTTGGTTTACCTTATTTACATTACTTTCGACGAGTATACGGCGAAACCACTAGGCTTGCGATCGCCTTCTGCGAAAGCACGTCTTATTCTTCTTGATTTATTCTTCATCGTCTTCGATTCCGCCAATCTCAGTCTGGCATTTGATTCCTTGTCCGAGGTTACGGGAGCGTGCACCGAGGCAGAAGTCAACCGCACTCTCGATCCTCGGAATAATCAAATCTGTGTGCGACAAAAGGCTCTCGCTTCCGTTTTGCTGATTGCCTTACTTGCTTGGTTAATGACATTTGCCATTAGCGTCCTCAGGTAAGACATGGTTCAGAGAATTATGTATAATGTTGCATCAACTAATAGTAATATGTATAGACTTGTTGAAAGAGTGCGACATTGAGATTCTTGCTCTTGAGAATGATCAATGTTGTTTCTACCCGCCCTTGGGGCGACACATCGTTGTTGTCGCAACTGGAATCGATTTAGACATGCATAGCAGGACCATCATTCCCGTATAATGGATCCTGATTAAACCACGACAGGTCACGAATTGCTGCAACCTTGCTCTCCCTCATCGGCTTGCCCATAACACATATCCCACTCCTTATTATATGGATACGAGCCTACCATTTGAAATGATTCCTTCCCCTCATCACTCAACAAGCGGTGAGCGACACCTGCTGGCACTATGATCAAATCCTCATGCTGCACACTTGGTTCAAACCGCTCGGGATTCTCTTCGCCCCCGAATCATAACCGTGCCCGCCCGGCCACCACACCAAGGACCTCATGCGTTATAGAATGGAAGTGGGATTGGCTATACATTGTATAAGTCCACTGAGGTTCAACTTCGCCTAGTTCCTGAAGACGCCGCTGAAGACCCGAAGCTGAGGCGTCAAATGCACCTTGGTAAACCACTTATGCTTTACCTTGGATCGAAGTGTTGGGGAAACTTCCCCCCCCCCCATGATGGAATTTGCCGACAAATTACCTCAATTTGAGAGGGTTGGTTAAAAGTCATATTTTGCGCTGATAGTGTTGTTATTTCCTGATTCCTATCTTTCTATCTGATCTTGATCTTAGTTGAACAAGCCATGATCCCATGACGTCATTTTGGTGTTCCATGAGTACATCTCCGTCTACTATGGGCGTACAAGAGGCAGTGTGACCTGCACGACCTGGGGAGGTTATCCACTCTGACGGCTGACAAATCCCATATTGGGGGTTATACGGGGAGTCTTTCAAGCATTGTTGCTTGCATATGTCAGGCGCAGAGATGGATCGATCACCTGTTTACCAGCAACAACACTGATTTAGAAGAGGTTGCTTTCTAGATATCCTCATAAAGAAAGATTATACAAAAGACATAGTGAAATGAACAGATATAGAGATATGATACGTAATGATTGCTTTTTGTAGGAAATATCCGTAATCCTTCTGCTTGTTTGAATTGTAGTCATCATCGTCCAATCGCCGTCTGCACTAAACTCCGTAGTTGCAAGCAGAAACGCGCCCAGCCCCTTCACCGCCTTCGTCCCCACGCTGGATCACCCTTCTCAGCCTCAAGTCTTGCCCGCCACATCTTCTGCCTGATCTCCTCAATTTCTCCTTCTCTCCCGCTTTGGATCCTGAGAGGTACCCTTCGTTCTATCTCTACCGTCACTCTGTTGGCGTTGGGCATCGTTTTCCCCTCTCCAAAACGCATATCTTGCTGAAGAGTCCTTCCCAATAACGTCACTTGCTGCTCGTCAACCGTGGCGCTAAGTGTGGTCTTCAAGAAGTGACCATCCAGTACGCGCTGCTCCACAAGATCTCCCTGAGTTTTGCTATTGTTTAGAGTCGTCTGCTAAACCTTGATGTCTAGGTGCTCCTCTTAACACATTTCCTTGACTTTCTTGCTCGATTCCGCCCCCTTGACACCATGCCGCCTGTTATGCCCCAGACACCTCACAAGGATGACCTTGACGAAACGTGAGCCTAAGATACCTACCCCAAGCGTGGAACAGATCAAGTATCTCATACTAACTATGGGTTAGCTGGTCGTTCTTGGAAGATGGCATCAACAGCGTGATGCACAAGCTTGAGGAGGGGGTTGACATGAAGCATGTTAGTAACCATCCAACATACTGAGACCTCGCTATACTACTGGAATAATGACTAACAATCGATACTAATTCTTTAGTACATGGCTCTTTACACGTTTGTCGCGCATCATATATTAATCGTCCCATCTCGTACTCACAAATTCATTAGGGCCGTCCACAACTTTTGCACATCACAGAAAGCCGTCGCGAGCAACCAAGGATTACAAGCCCACCGAGGAGGTTCGTCGCTTAAACGCACTCGCCTGCAAACTTCCCTGTCCCAGAAGACAAACAGGTCACAGCCACAGAAGCTAACTACCCCTCTTGGAATAACAGCACACCTTTTGGGCGAAGAACTCTACAAATTATTGGGGGAGTATCTTTCGCGCCATCTCCTCGAAGTGCACCAAAAGTCGCTTGCCCACGCCGAAGAAGCGCTACTGACATTCTACATCCGGGAATGGAGTCGATACACGACCGCCGCTAAATACGTCAACCACCTTTTCAGCTACCTCAACCGACACTGGGTTAAGCGAGAGATCGACGAGGGAAAGAAGAACGTGTACGACGTGTATACATTGCACCTGGTTAAGTGGAAGGATGATTTTTTTGAAAATGTCCACACTAAAGTCATGGAGGCCGTACTAAACTTGGTTGAGAAGCAGCGAAATGGCGAAACTATCGAACAGTCCCAGATTAAGAGTATCGTCGATTCTTTTGTATCGTTGGGCTTGGACGAAAATGACAGCAAAAAATCCACACTTGAGGTCTATAGGCACTATTTCCAGGTACCGTTCATCGATGCAACAAGAAGGTACTTTGAGAATGAGTCAAGACAGTTTGTGGCGGAGAATAGTGTGGTGGAATACATGAAGAAGGCAGAGGCTCGGCTTGAAGAAGAAAAGGCCCGCGTCGGTCTTTATCTACACTCCGATGTTACCAAGAGCCTCACAGAGACTTGTCTGGATGTCCTTGTTACTGCTCATTCCACTCTTCTTCGCGATGAATTCCAAATCCTTCTTGACAACGAACGCCAGGAAGACCTTGCTCGCATGTACCGACTCTTGTCACGCATCAAGGAAGGGCTGGACCCACTCCGATCTACTTTCGAGAGCCACGTGAGGAAGGCGGGTCTAGCTGCGATCGAGAAGGTTGCTTCGGAGGGCGAAAATTTCGAGCCCAAGCTGTATGTTGATGCCTTGTTGCAAGTTCACACACGGTATCAAAGCCTTGTGGATGAGGCATTCAACGGTGAGTCCGAGTTTGTGCGTTCTCTCGATAATGCCTGCCGAGAGTTTGTCAATCGTAACCGTATTTGCAAAACGGCTACAACCAAGTCACCTGAGTTGCTGGCGAAGTATACAGATTCCCTTTTGAAGAAGGGATCCAAGGCTGCCGAGGAGTCTGAGCTGGAAGAGATGCTTGTCCAGATCATGACTGTTTTCAAATACATTGAGGACAAGGATGTATTCCAAAAGTTCTACTCCAAAATGCTGGCAAAACGTTTGGTGCATGTCAGCTCTGTCTCCGATGATGCGGAGACGAGCATGATTAGCAAGTTGAAGGAAGCATGTGGATTTGAATACACCAATAAGTTGCAGCGCATGTTCCAAGATATTCAGATTTCGAAGGATCTCAATGCCAACTACAAGGACCTCCAAGATAAGGTTTTGGATGATGACGACCGCAAGAGAATGGTGGATGCTCACTTCCAGGTTCTGGGAACTGGATTCTGGCCTCTTAATCCACCCAACACCGCTTTCTCTGCACCTCCAGAGATTGTGAAGACCGCCGAAAGATTCCAGAAGTTCTACTTCGACAAGCATAATGGTCGTAAGCTGACATGGCTGTGGCAGCTGTGCAAGGGCGAGGTCAAAGCCAATTACATTAAGAACACCAAAGTTCCTTTCACATTCCAGGTGTCCACTTTCCAAATGGGTATCTTGCTTCTTTTCAACGAGACAGACACTCTGTCATACTCCGACATCCAAAAGGCTACCAGCCTTGCTCCTGAAGTCCTCGACCCTAACCTTGCCATTTTCCTGAAGGCGAAGGTACTTGTGGCGAGCCCCGAGGGTGCCAAGCCTGAGACCGGCACTACTTTCTCCCTCAACTACAACTTCAAGAATAAGAAGATCAAGGTCAACCTCAACATTCAGATTAAGTCGGAGCAAAAGGTAGAATCCGACGACACCCACAAAACTATCGAAGAAGATCGGAAGCTGTTGCTCCAGGTAAGCTCGACTGTCCTCTTTTATACATCGCCCATTCCATTCTAACTCCATACCAGTCTGCAATTGTCCGCATCATGAAATCCCGCAAGAAGATGAAGCACGTCCAGCTGGTGCAAGAAGTCATCCACCAAGTCAAGTCGCGCTTCCCACCCAAGATCGCCGATATCAAGAAGAACATCGAAGCTCTCATGGAAAAGGACTACATCGAACGTCTAGACGGGGACGAAATCTCTTACATTGCTTAATCTATCCGAAATCCCCTTCATCTCTACCTCTCCTATCTCTACATAAATCTCCTCATCGCATTTACCCTTGCTTCCTCATCGTCTCCCCCTCCCGACCATCCCTTCTTGCTTACCTCGTGGCTTTTTTTTTTCTGGCATCCCGATCACATGTTTCCCTCTGCATTGTGGTTTATCTATTCGTTCACAATGATGAAGTCCAATCCATCTTGGTTCGAGAAAAGGCTGGGAGGGTATTGATTCTGCCGGAAATAACAAAGGGAGCTACGGGCACCAGATCGACGCATTGTGTCCTTTTTTTTATTTTATGGTCCATTTTCATCATAGCGTTGAGACGACAGATCAATGATAACCCTGATTATTCTTCAAGACACTAGCTGTTCTTGACATGGATTTCTTGCTTTCGATTTGTAGCTTGGTCACCTAGATAGCGTAAATTGGGTAATCGTTGGCCACCTTGGCTAAAGCAGAACTCCAAACTGTCAAGCAGAAGAAAACACAGGAGTTCTGGATATATGCCCACTGCATATTGCACTTCAACATCATCTCCTATACCAATCAAAAAAAGAAAAAACCAGTGGCTGCGTGGGAGGACCTCGGGAACAAAAGAGAGTATATAAAATGACCTGGGACCTCGGGAGGTGAAATGCACATTAATAGAGATGCATCGAGCGAAATACACATTTCAAGCTAGAATCCAAATCCAAACACTGGAATTCACAGTTCATCCTCACTGAGTTTGCTTCCAAATGACACTTCGTTGTTTCCCAAAGGAATTATTCCCTCCGTTTCCACAGCAAACTCCACTAGGCAGCTCTGGTATGCAATATAGCTCAACGAGTGCCTTTCGATCCCAAAGCGGGTTTCGATAATATGACAACAAAGAGAACATACGATATCTATAACAGATCTGAGCTGCATGGGCAAGAAATAGGAAAGCCACTCACAATATAATGGTCGGGCTTACGTAGACGGACGATCTACGGACAAGGCTGAGTTCGGCCCGGAAGGTCGAGGCTGACAAGGTTCCCGCTTTCCATCTATCGGAGAGTCTACTCCGAAGCCTCGGAGAGACCTTTGTAGTCAATTTGGATCCTAGAATCATTTTGACGGAAGGAATTTAATTGCGTGATTGATTGAAATGGGCCAATTTCCCTTGCAAAAGACTCTCGCCTACTACTATAAAAGGCAAGCCCCATGGAGCTAAAGATTCAATCTACTCATTCCAACCACAGCCTGAGCAATGGAAGCAAAAGAGACCGAACGTGCTGGCTTCCTGCTAGATGCGCAGAAAAAGGCCATTCTCCTCTTTGAGGAAATCGAGCGCAGTCTCATCCGCCCCGGCGTGAGCGAAAAGATCCTGAGCAAAGAAATCCACCAATTAGGCAATGAGCGATTCGGCGTGCGAACCCATTGGCACAAACGAGTCGTTCGAAGTGGACCCAACACTCTGAGTCCCTTCGCCGAGAACCCTCCGGACAGAATTATCGAGGCGGATGATATCCTAGTCATCGACCTGGGCCCCGTTTTCGAAGAATGGGAAGCCGACTTTGGTCGCACATTCGTCCTTGGAAACGACCCACACAAGAAGAAGCTTCGCGATACGCTCGAACCTGTATGGAATGCTGTCAAATTGAAGTACCGGCGGGATCTGTATATGACAGGAGCACAGCTGTACGACATCGCTTGTAACGTTGCCGAAGAGAACGGGTTTCAATTTGGCGCTCACATGGCCGGACATATTGTTGGACACTTCCCTCATGAGCGGATCCCCAAGGATCAGACTACATTGTACATCACCACTGGAAATGATGATTCAATGAACTATGTTGCAGCCGATGGGTTCAAACGCCAGTGGATTTTAGAGGTTCATCTGCGCGATCCCGTCCGAAAGTTTGGAGGTTTCTATGAGCAGCTATTGACGATCGGCTAACCACGAAGTTTGCTTAATTGGAGACCTTTCTGGGAGAGATAACAACATATGGTCCACTATTTTGCATTGATAAACTGACCCGTGGATACAAACGCCAGTGCGAGAGATCAACTACTATAATCTCTTAACCACGGGGGCGTTTTCACATAGTCAGAGCAAGATTCGTGGATAAAAATAATAGAATTACAAACATGGATTTCTTTTATCACTGTTGACAGTATAACATAGGGGTACAAGAAGCCAAGTTGCTAAATAAAAGCTGTGTACAGAGCCGTAGTCTGCCATCCATAATCGCTACCATGCTTCGATTGGCTGTAGGACTTAGGGTGATTCGTTCGCTTTATGACCCACTCGCCAACGGGTACGTTAACAACCTGGGGTAATTGAGTCAGCTACTGCCACTGCTCCCTACAGGTCAATCCTGCTCCCGGCTGTGTAGTCAAACCCTATATCTGAATTTTCATTTCTTTCATCGAGCTGTGATATTCGCCAGGCTTGTTAAATAGCAACAAAATGACGGGCAGAACGCCTGTCACGCCAGCAACGTCGGCCCAGGCAAATCCCGAGTCAAGCGGGGCCCCTGGCCGCATCTCGTAAGCTCCAAGCGCTGGAGTGTCGTGCATTATTAATAATAAATTTCTAGATGTGAAAGATGCCGCAGAAGGAAGGTAAGTTTTGACCCGGGAGTGACGTCTACTAACAATTACGTGCAACGATGACTGACGAACTAGCGACAGGTTAAATGTGATCGCTCCCGACCATGCATGCAATGCATAACGGCAGATGTGGAGTGCGCATACCCTTCATCTACCAAAAAGAGGTATCGCGAACTCGAGTGACTCAGAAATACACTATCCCGAGACTCACAATTGCACATTGTATGCTCATAGGCCAATATCTCGATCTTATACGAACGCGCTTGAAGAGCAAGTCGCTTCTTTGGAGGATTTTATCACGAGTTTAGCTAGCTCTACTCACGTAGAGCGAGATCGGCTACTTGAGAACTATCAGCATTCATCGCTCGAACATCTACCGGCTCAATCGAGCGGTTCAGGGCCTTCGCCACGCAGTGGATTATACAAGGGCTCGCAGCTGCGGATGGACAACGGTCGTATCACCAGAATTTTTGGGGAGACAAGCTTCTATCCCATAGCTCCTCTGGTAGATGAAGAGCTAGACGAGGATTTAAGACCAAATTACCAAGACTCGAACGGTGCTGCGCCAAGTACAAGTTATACAGTTCCTGCCATAGGACATACACAGCTCACGCCTCAAAGCCTAGTCTGTCAGCAAGCCATGTCGGCCTTTTTTCAACATGCATATTACCATCACATGGTGCTTTATCGAGAGTATTTCCTTCGCGACTACAAAGCCGGTCAAGGTCCATATTACTCCGACCTTCTTTTCTATGCCATTGCTTCGATGGGCGCGTTGTTCTGCACAGACAATACTACGCGGGAACTATCTGAAGTTCTTTATAAGCGCGCTACTGAGCTACTTTATGGTGGAGCACTCAATGCGCCGAGTTTCACCACCGTTCAAGCGCTTCTGCTTCTTGGGCAGCGTGATGTCGGATGTGGTAACCATACACAGGGATGGCTTTTGACAGGTTCATAACTTACGACTCCCATAGTCAAGACATTCCGACTAACTAGAGTTTAAAATAGGCCTTTCATTTCGAATGATTCATGAGATGGGTCTTCATCTAGATCCGAATCACTGGAAAACACCTCATGACTCGGAGGTAAGATGCGAAGTTCTTCGACGAGTATACTGGGCCTGTTTTATTGCAGACAAGCAGTTGAGTCTGTACTTTGGACGACCACCCGCCCTTCACCTCAGTGAAACGGATGTAAACGACTCCGTTCGCATCGCCTATCCTCCCGACTGGGACCTCTTGCTCAACCAGTATATCATGAAAGACACTATGCGCACACAATATGAAGACGGTGTTGCATTCACCAGCTGTTTTACACAGCTTGCAAATCTCTCCAAGATTATCAATCGCATTATCACGGAGATTTTTGAATATCGCAAGAATATTGACGCGAGCATCCAAGCAGCATCGACACATTCAGTCTTTGCTGCACTGACCAAATGGCTGGCAGATCTTCCCCCTAAGCTACATTGGAATCAATGGATGAAGAACACGGTACCGCCGTATATTCTACACCTCCATCTCTATTACCATACCGTTGTAATATTGTTGTGCCGTCCACCTCGACAAATCATGTCTCATCATGTTTCTGCCTTCAAACAGAGCTTTGATATTTGCGAACAATCACTCAACGCAATATTCCTTCTGTTTGAAAAACACAGAAAGGATTACGGTTCTAGACCTTTTCCTATGACATGCCTGCACACCATCGCTACTGTGGTCAGCATGATATTGCTCAAATTACAGGTCCCAAATTTGTCTAGCGACATGAATAAAGCCGTACGACAATTGGAGCTTATCTCAGATATCATTGATAATGCAGCCAGCACATGGCCTAGTGCAGGTCCCATACAGGATATAGTAAATGAAGCTCGGCAAAAAGTGACCCAGAGTCAGACCTCAGAAGATTCGGTTTCTTATAATTGGGAGAATTTAATGACACTCGACTGGTATGTCTATTTATTTGAATCGAGCTCTGTATCATGCGGGGACTGACACTATAACAATTGATAGGCAGCTGGATCCAAATGCAGAACTCAGTTTGCCCACTGTATATGAAGAGCAAAGTCAGTTTGAAGTGTAATTATCATCATTTTTTTCCACATCAGATTTCCAGTTCCACTTATAGTATGTCTCCGGTTTTAGGATCATAGATTATGTACTAATTCACTCTATGAGAACAGTACGCCGACTCCAGGAGGCCGGTCGGAGCCCCGTCGGAGCCCCAAGCGGGATTTTAACTCCAAAAATTCCGATCTGTATTCCATGCTGATTTACTGTGGGAGCGGACTTGAAGATCTTGAATACCTCTTGCGGCGTAATGTGGACGGGGAAGGAAGTCCGACAGCCCCCTCCGAGCTGCGTCACTCCACCTCCAATCATCCAATATTAATTTCATAAAACGCCGTGCTCTAACAACTTTTTATCATTTAAATAATTCTATTTTCCATTCAACATAATATTTTCTAATTGATCAGATTTCTTGCACCGCAAGGATTAACTCGACATCATGGCCTCAATCACGCCAGACCACACGATTATTTACAAGCGCGTAGGTGCGCTCGAGATCCCCATGGATATCTACTTGCCGAAAAAGGTGGGAAATGCACCAGTTCTGCTCTGGTTTCATGGTGGCGGTTTACTGTAAGTTCATAGTCAGTTTCATCTGACTACAAAAGCATTATAGGTAAAAGGCTAGGCTAACGACAAGTTAGTCAAGGACGACGGGACCTAGTTTCTCCTCACATGCGAAATGGAGTCCAAACTTATGGCTTCATCTGCATCTCCGCCGACTACCGCCTCACGCCCCAAGTGAGCGTTGGCGATGTCTTTGAAGACGTCAAAGATTGTATTCAGTTCATCCGCAATGATCTCCCCGCTCATCTAGGCGAGAACATCATCGATGGATCCCGACTTGCCGTTTCAGGGAGCTCTGCTGGAGGCTTTCTCAGTCTCCTTGCAGGTCTCTACATCGACCCAAAACCACAAGTCATTGTTCCCTTGTATCCAATCACAGACCCACTCGGTACATTTTTCACCAACTCACAACCTGCACCAAATGGACGGTACTCGGCTTCGACAGAGGAGTTGGCTGAATACCTTGACGTAAATGCGTCGCCTATCGCTAGTAGCGGGAAGGTACCTGGTGATCCTCGGAGCCACCTGTATGTGTATATGCTGCGGAAGGCGAGTCTAGCTCAGCTCTGGGGCATTGCTGCCGGTGATGAAAGCGCTGCGGGCCAGTACAGGATCTCGCGTCAAATTCATCAGCATGCTCTGCCCCCAGCGTATGTTTTACATGGAGATGCCGATACGGCTGTGGGCGTGGAGCAATCGGATGAAGTTGTAGGCGCGATGCTGGGGTGTGGATTAACGGTAAAATATGAGCGGCCTCATGGACAAGACCACTTTTTAGACAATGGAGATGGCTATCAAAATCCAGCACTTTATGAGTTCATCATGCAATACCTATGATTCTGAAGGGAGAAAGAAAAAGAAATTGGGAATGAGAAAGCGTTGGTCAAATATTGGGGTTTCTTATTTATTCTCCGTTGTCATATGCGAAGCTCCCTTCCTCTCCTAAATCGATGCCTTTACATTAGCTTCATCATAGATGAATATTCCTGTATTGACTATTGGGCCTGTTGATCTCCGAAGATCTTCTAATTAGAAGGGAAGGGTACACCCAGAACCCTAATTTGGGGTGGACCTAGATAACTCTCGCGAACACCACCCGAATTTATCACAATTTTTTCCAAGAGACAGTTCGAGTTTCTCAAACGGTTCTGAAGCGTATGAGTACCTTGACTGGCTAGAGAAATGTTATGCTTGCATGTCCATACACCGGTTGGGCACTCATCAAACCACCCAGCAGGTAGATCTCCAGGGGGCGCATCACCCGGATTAGGCGCGTCTGGTACCATTCTGTCGGTCGATAGACTCAGTTCGGCAATAGATAATTCATATCTCAGTGGGTTATCTGGCTCAACATTCATAGTCATGGTAAAATACAGGGTCAAGGTCGCTTCGGATTCAGGAGTGAACATGAAGAAGGGATACTGAAGATGGGGAATACTTTCAACAGCACCAATAGGCTTTTTGATTCCCACAGATCCAACACCTGAACGATCAAGATATGGTAGAATGGTATAAAATGGTTCACATGGTTTATTGAGCGTGCTGAAGCTGCGTGCATTTAATGAAGACCTGCCGGCCGGACTCCACAAATCCCACAAAGCCCGCGGGGACTTCCCTGGTCTTGATTGGAACATGAACGTAGTTGAAATCTCCCACATCAGAGCGAACCTCACGGAGTGCCTCTCCATCAAATGGAACGGAACCTTCAATCAATCGATAGAGACATAAACTCGAATATTATCTTGCAAATCTAGATGACCCGATAACGTAAAAAGTTGAACCCATTCAAACTCAGAGGAGACAGTCCAATTGACAGGCTGTGTACTAGCATGTGAGTACTAGAGCTCAATCCATCTGGGAGAGGGCCCAAATGGCTCCAACGGGGGAACTTTCACGCCAGCAAGTCGTGCACGCCGACACGGATGGGTTCGGTCATTTTCTTCGCAAACAAGCCCAGTTTTTATGCCCCTCTGGCCTTCAACAGCGATGTCAATCCATCCCATGATTGGACTAGCCTTTTGACGTGTCTGGACATAGCATAGACCGGGCACCATATCACGAAATGGTGCGATCATGCCGTACTCCCATCGGCAGCCATAGTGTTGTTGACTCATGGTATACTAGTATTCAACTTCAAGTTGGGACCAATCGTTTCAAGTTCGTGAACCCATCCACCTGGGCAGTGAGCGATGGAGCCTCGTCATTGATAAATATCCCCCGGTATTCACACTAGGGGGTCCTTCGCGTGTGGTAACTTCTAAAGCCCAGGGCTCCGGGGTATGCTTTGGAGGAACATCAGACCAGTACTAGTAGTGGAATATAAGCATCATTTCGAATCCAACTTGAAGGCAGCGGGGGAATTTTTGGTGCTGTGACCAAGCCTTGTCTTCATTCCCCGCAGACTTGAATTCCCCGCAAATGCTCATCAGTGGTACTATTGCTTCAATTACGGTGCCTTTAGTTAGATAATAGGCCAGCTACAGCAAAAAGCGCTTCTTTGATTTTATCATTCAACTTGGGATTGAGGGGACCTGGGAAGAGGTCCTGGAGGCTCAGGCTCACAAGAGACTGAGAATTGCATGGCAACTTAAAGCATTGAATGATCCTCTAAATATGCATTGAATTGTAATAGCTTTGATATATTCTTATTCGTAACCGGCAAAAATGCCCACCAAACCAATAGCTCTACCCACTCTTCCCAGGGTTCAAATCAACTCGTAACCCTTCGTCAGGCGAAAGAGGCACAGCAGTAAACCCATCTTTATCAGCAGGAGTAAGCTTTTCGTTCTCCGCATGCGAGAATATCACCTCGGAATCGTGATGCGGGACTTCAGGTTCGTAAGCAGGGAATCCCTGAGACAAGGGGGACTTGGGAAAAGGAGCTTCAGCATAATCGGACCCTTCGTCGGGCTTGTATTCGCCGCTCTCACGACGCAGAAGAATATTACTCCATCGCTTTCTCCGGCTGAGACTACGCGTAAGTCCCTCGCCGTCTTCGCTATCGCGTTGTTGTTGCATAGAGTGACGACGGCCGCGATCGGACTCAGTCGTCTCCGTTACGATGGGGAGAGGTGATGATGCAGATGTACCTGTCTGTGTTGAGTTTGCGTTTGAGTTTGGATTGGGATTTGGGGACGGGCTGCGCTTGTCCTGCCATTCTTTGCGCTTTTCGCTAGCCCAAGAGCCCCATGAGCTGAAGTACGCGCCGGCTTTTTGACCAGCAGCGCTGACAGAGGCTTGTGCTTGGGTGACGTCGATGGAGGGCCTTTGGCGGGCCGCGAACCATCCGGCTGAGCCTTCTGCTGGAGAGTTCTCTGAGGCAGGTGGTGGGGAGGCAGAGGTATCAATTGATGTTCGTTGAGATTGAGCAGCGGCCTTTTCCTCGTTACGTTTTCTTTGAGCTTCGCGCATAGTTTCGATATCCGACCAGAAATTATTGAATGCCGCACTGACTTTCTTTTGACCGGTTGCAAGTTGACGGCTAAGCGCTTCTCGACCCTCACGGACACGTTCGTCTAAGTGTAGATCGGCTACTTGCTGAGATAGACGGCGTTGGATATCCTCCATTGTTAAACCGCCAGCACTTGGGTGGCGCGGCTCAGTGATTGAGAACAGAAGAGCGTCGGAGGTGAGTTTGGAGAATAAGGCATAATTTGAAGTTTTCTGCCACTGAGTTAAGAACTCTGTGTTGAAGTCGAGAGCAGGGTCGCCTTCAATGTTGAAAGTTTGTAGTTGTGTCTTGCTTCGATTGGGTGAATCACCTGATGAGTACGCAACAAGCTCTTCGTGGTACTTCATGCTAGATAGGAGTGCGAGTAGATATTCTTCGAATTGGAGTCGAATGAACTCTTCTGAGCCCATGAACCCGAGTGTCTTCGGTCGTGACGGGTGGGCGTCATCCCAGGTTTCGTTGACGATTTGAGTAAGAACATCAATCCAGCGTCTATCGGCCACAGATAGGGTTAGGGCCCTTTGAAGAGGCAGGGACGATATGTTGATACTATCTTCGTCAAGCTATAATAGACGGATGTTGACTTAGAATTATGCACTTCATCTCACTCAGAAAGTGGTCTTTACTCACATTGATTAATATATCGCTATAGCGATCCTTTTGCTGCAAGAGCAGAGAGTTCGTAGAACCCACAACATAAGACTTCGTGCCGTCATCAGCCAGCAGATCCAGCTGCTGCAGAGGAGTATAAGGTCCAAACATGCTGCCCTATAAGATATTAGAAAAAACCCATTCGAGTTTAGTCCAGAGAAGGCGAAAAATTACCTTTCCAAAAATCTGTAGTGGCAAGCCCATATAAGCCAATACTAGCTGAGTTAGCGCAGTTCCTTGAGTCGAAAATATGTCACCTTACAAGATTCTCGATCACTAGTTTTAAGAGACGTAGGCTTTTCAACGTTTTGCGCATAGCTGTCAAAAGCTGGGTCTGCACAGTCCTGCAAAGCATTTATCAATCCTGGTATTAGGGATACAAGAGAAAATTGTATCATGCATAAGCGTTCACAGCGGGTTCCGAAAAATAGCATCTGCGACATCAATCAGTACGGACTTTATACAGGAATACCAAGAGATCATATCTACCTTGGGCTGCAATAACAATCCCTTGAAAAGCACCAGAGTTTGATATTTGAACTCGTGAATCATCTCTCGGAGAGATAGTCCTTCAACTGTGTTAGCACATGCCCAAGCAAGATGAATGAATGCGACAAACCCAAGTTTTGATCTTTCGGCCCATCATTGAGTAAACTAATAACCAGTCCCTCTCGGAATTTCTATATTGAAATTTAGCAAATATTCCACCATCGCATCATCAAAATTCCATACCTTTAAAATATCAATGTCTGAAAAGTCCCTATTGCACCAAACAAATATCAGCGACATATTCCTCTTCTGCCATACCTCCTCATCCCGAAAAGAATACAAGGTCCTTGGGTATAGGAATACAGAGCATACCGCTGCGCAAACCATGCTGTTGTTACCACAGAGAGCTTTTCGCGCAATTGTCCAACTCTCTGCGGGCTATGTGTAACCACCACCACGGCCTTCTGTACAGTCGAGCGAGTCACATCCGGGTGTCGATTAATCAGGAGTTTGGCGTCGATCTGGCGCGAGCAGGCGATACCAAAGAGAGAAGTAGCCGGTGTCTCGGGGGTTTCTGAGCGGCGCAATGTAAAATATGAGAATTCCTCGGTCGATCTAAAGTAGGCCGTCAGCGCATTGTTTTCGGACCCTAAATTGCGGGGTGATCGATGCAAGGAGGGCGTTGCGTTGACCCATAATAAGAACGGAAGGTGCGGTGTAGTATTAATGTAGTATATTCAGGGTAATTCCATACAGATGTGCGCCGTCTGATAAGGCCATGAACGGTAGCAATGACCAGTCATTGTCGATGGCTGGGTTCGTCCCCTCATCACTGATGCAGTGTTCGATTTCGGGTCCTCTGTCAGTCAAAAGAAGATAATATTATGTTAGCCGGGTGTATCGAAGTACGAGCAGTTTGAAAATAGAGAAACAATGAGGTCAACAGCATTTTCGACTTACCGGGCATGGTGGAAATCAATCACCAGTACAATCGGATCTTGTTTATGCGGGACAGCCATCGGGGCGGTCATGCGGGGATCGCTAACGTGCAGAATTGGGGAATGGAGAATGCAAGGGTCACAGATGCTCTCCAATGGAAACTCTGGACGTAGCCATGAACCGAGCGACGAAAATTTGACTTGAAAAATGGACTATTGCGATCGTCAACAGGGGAATTCAAGGATCGATGCGATACGGTTTATCGCTCACGTGTTGATTGTCGGCGGTGTGTGCGTGCTGATCTGCAATGGAGTTTGGATTTGGCCGCATTCAAGTTATTGGACCCTTCAAATGTTGGATAATTACTCCGTTTCAATAGTATGTATAGTTTGTTTAATCTATTCATTCTCTATTTGTTTTTTTTTTGTTTTTTTGGCTGATTCAAAACATCGTAATTATTAGCTTTAGTTCTTGAATACCGTTTACTTCAAAAGACTCCTCCAAAGGCAGTAGAGTCGGCCTATTTTCCACGTAGCACCACCTGCATGTGCATGTGGGCAGTAACACACTCAGTTCATCCTGATTCGCCTAATCACCACCCCGTTCTTGACGACGCCGAACGAACTATAGACAATGGACAATGGCTTCCGGAAACAATACCACACAGGAAAAGAGTTAAAGCAAAATAGTATGATAAAAAAGGATGAAAATGAAAATTGTAAAAGATCAATCACGCCGAATCTGCATAGAAACCCCCAGGTATATGGTTCTGGCTGTATGCCCATAAGGAACCAATGGAAAAAAAATAGATAACCGTAAAAAGAGACTCAAGATACGAAGTCAGGTCCTCTGTTTAGATTTTATGCGAAAGGTGGCACGCCGGCCGCCGCCGCTGCACCGGGAACCAAAGCCTGGCCCGCCTCGGTGCCTTGTTCGATGTTATGGAAGTCAAGGATTTCGGAGTACCTGTAGTAGATTCGAACGCAATAAGTAATTGAATGGCCAAACGAGATGTAGCCGTGACTTACATCATGATTTTCCAAGTATCCACCGGCAGGTCGGCATCATTAAATGACCAATCAAACTTTTCTTGGGCGACAGGCTCGTCCGTAGGATCGTGGTAGGGGGCGAGGTACTCGTGCGCCAGCGCTTCTCCGGCCCGGATTCGCTTCTTAGGGTCAAACACGAGCATCTTCTCGAGCAAGTCCACAGCTGAAAAAAAAAGGCATTGTTAGTATGGATTTCAGGCCTAAAGGGATCGACGACTGAGGGGCAACTAACCATCTGCATCAGCGTTTCGGAACTTGTTCGCAAGATTTTGGCGTTCGCGCTTTGGTAAGGACTTGACGAATCGCAATGTCTAATTTAATTAGCATGGGTTTCTCTCTAGTAAAATGCCTAAAAGCTGCTTGCAGCTCTTGGAGGTCTCAAGACTCACGTTCTCGCTGCAGATAGTTTGGATCACATCATCTGGAGGAGTACCAAGGAGCTCGGTGATAATAGAGAATTGGTTGACATGGTCCTTTCCTGGGAAAAGTGGCTTGCCCTCCAGCATCTCAGCGAAAATACAGCCGGCGCTCCAGATATCAACCTCCACATCGTACTTTTGCCAAGTGAGCATAATTTCAGGAGCTCGGTAGTAACGGGTAGAAACATAACCAGTCATCTGAGGATCTTGAATTCGGGCCAAACCGAAATCACAGATCTTGAGATCACAGTTCTCATTAATTAGGATGTTGCTAGGCTTCAGGTCACGGTGGACCACACCAGCGGAGTGCACATATTTCAATCCGCGCTATCAAGTTGTCAGTGATAGTGCTCGCGAAAAGTTCCTAGCCATTTCGGAACGTACGAGGATTTGGTAAAGAAAGTACTGAATGAACTGCTTTTCTAGAGGGCGAGAGGTCAAGAGGCGGTGGAGGTCGGTTCCCAAAAGCTCGGTGACAAAGTAACTGTGGCCATCAGTAAGAAAAGACAATCCTCCATAGACTAAGCGCCAGTCGAGCAGAATCATGAAACGTACATATCCTCAAGGGGAGAGATAAAGATGTCGCTCAAACTGATAATCTGCGGATGATTGTGAGCATACGAGCACCTGACGCGCGCCGCCGCGTTCCAAAGTGGGGGTGGTCTAGACTAACATTCTCGTGGCGGAGATGTTTGAGGAGCTTGAGTTCTCGGTAGGTACGTTTCGACAAGACAGGCGTACTGAAAGGCTTCATAATCTTCTTGACAGCCACAGGCTGGCCAGTCAATTGGTCTCGCGCTGAGCTAATGGCGGGCGCATAATTGGATTAGCGGCGTGATCGGAATGAGGTATGCGGATCAAAGCAAATCTTACCAGACCAAGCCAAAGGCACCCATGCCTACCGGCTGTAGGTCCGTATACCTAGAAAAACTTAGTCTCGATGGTCTAATGCGTCTGGGCCAGATGATTCGGATAATGCGCACCGACTGGTGATCTCAAAGGTGGTACCGAAGATCTGGGATCGCACAAATTCCGCCATCTTGAAGGTGGGATGGACAACGAGCCGCAAGATTCAAAAAGAAGGTGGTCGGAAGATGAGGTTGACAAAAAAACAATGAAAAAGCAAAAGACAATCGGAGAAGGAAAGGGGCACTAGTGGTGGGCTGGATGAGAAGTGGTGTGGGGAAAGGCCTTTCAGCACAGCAGAAAACAAGGACGATGACGTTCTCGATGGTCCACGGTCTGCGCAGGTTTCTGGACCGGATGACTCAGCTGGGGGCCACTTTGGGAAAAATTGGGAGATTAAGTGTCTGGACTAATGATTGATATATTGGAGATAGGTGGGTAGGAAAAGATAGATAAAGCAGAAATAGAAATAGAAATAATAGGTCTGAACAGTCAAGATGATCTAAATGTATATACATACTTTTACTACCCCTCCAAACATCGCCCCTCTCAGCTTTCCCACCCTAACAAAGTTGCATTCCATACATATCCAGTTGGCTACTGATCATTTTCTGCTTGGCTAGAATGTATTTTCTGTTGGTCGGACTGTGTGCCCTGTTTCCAATTTCCAATCCGGGTTTTTTGGCCTCCACCAACCACGCGGCCACGGCTAGATCAGGTCCATTACATCGCCCAGCATGGGTTTATCCGTCCATTTTACTCCATGTAGTTTAAGCCGTAGTAGTATGTCTGCGGAGAACTTAAATGATGGCTATCACCAAAATCTCTCATGATCTTGCCATAAGAGGCGATTTAAATATACTGAGCTGTACAACTGTACACCTCCGTATCTCTATGCCGATCATACCTTTGATAGAACTATTTTCGCAAAAAAAAAAAACAGGGAATCTTGAACTGGAGCGGACACCGAGAGCCTGGGACTTGCCGCGCTTAGCCCGGGCACTACAGCACTTCAGACTCCTTACACGTTGATTGATGTACCGTGCGGCTGCCATTCGTGGCCCCAAATGCATCCTGACTCGAAGGCTTGGGCCCTCCGCCCGGGGGGACCAGACCGCATTTTATCATGGTTGGACATGGAGATATTCATCGGCGGACTGCGCGTTGTTGCAATCTGAATTTGGTCTAGGCTGGGAAATTTGGCTGTAACAGGTACTACGGTAATGTACCCACTAGTCTGGAGGTTGTATGTACTTATCCATTCAGATCGCGCTGAGGTCGGGGTTACCCCCTGTCAGCACAATGGGTACATCCATTGAGGTACGGGGTACAATATTAGCTATATATAGGATATCTGGGATCTCGGAGGTGAAATCCGAATCGCTTTATATGCATTCTTTATCCAAGGGTTAGGGGCATATTCAGGTACTTATCATCTCTATTTTGGAGAAGAACGGTACCAAATAATACTAGTATATAGAAATGTAGTTGTTGAACTGATCCAAACCGCACTTGAGTTATGTAAACGTATACATGAAGTACCTGTCATATCGAGATTTATGCTCGAAAATAGAAATGGTGTCAGCAGAAATATCGCAATCAACATTCGAGCAAATAAAAACCCAAGGACTGGGCAAGGCCACATGTGAAACAGCGAGATTAGACTGGTATGGAACGATGCATTAACTATGGGGCTGGAATCGGGGATGTTTCATGCCCAAAAAAGAGGGGCAGAAAGATGACCCAAACACAATTGGGACGGTGGCAGATCTCGGACAAAAGATATTTACGATCTAGCTTTACTACTGTAGGTACCACATCTACACCGCAACCTTGAGACTTTTACACTTTGAAGGTTTTAGTTTTAGTCTTGGATTGTATTGAGTATTTTTCCGATGGAGATGGGGGGTTTTTTACCACTGAAAATAGATGATTTAAGATTGCAGAAGCTTTAAAATATTAATACAAATAATGCATTATATTCAACCTGCGACGATCGATCTTTAATCCTTTATTGGAACTGATCTTATGTATGACTGTCTCTCTTGTGGACAACAGGACCGTGGGAGGCGTACACGTGACAAGTGCCTAAGGCCCCCGTTAATACCGTTAATACGACGCCCCAGTGAACTGGTACGAGTTGCCCAATAGTCCGCGTATTAATTACCTCTAGTCATACAGGCAGGTGCCCGTGCTCATAATAACTGAACCTCCATGTGCGTCACGACTCTCCACTTAAACCGAGCTCCGGTGGGTTTTCCATACGAGCTGTCAGAGAGCCCATTTCAATGGTTATACAACATGACTTCCGAGCCTCAACCGTTTCCCTGAAGCCCTGGAGACATTCTACTTATCTAGACAATGCAGAGATAAATCTGGCTTACTCGGAATGGAGGATCAATGACATCAATGTGGCATTCTGACCTCATTATGGCCCCGTTTGAATACCAGTTGCCCCCTCAAGCACGGCCCTTGGGGGTTGTGTTTTTCACTCTGGAGAAGCCAACAAGCGAAAAGGGAGAAGGAGAAAAAATGGGCAAATTTTACCGTAGCCCCAAAACCCGAAAAACGAGAAAAAAAACCACACGCAAACTTTAAGCCCAGGCGGGCATACTCCGTACCCGGGGAGTTGTTAGTTGTAGAGAGAAAGAGACAGCAACGGGTCCGCGGGCCGTAATTTTGACTTGTAAAGAAAAGAAAAAAGCAAAACTCAATGACGGTAATTACCGGGCAACATGTAAGACTCACGTTTCTTTACCCCCATAATTCCCTCCTGGCATCTCCACTAACCCCAGCATGATGATGTCGCACTGATTTGATGTCTTTCCTTTGAACTTTCTCTCACTACCGACAGCGCCGACAACCTCTACCACCGAACAAAGCTATATACACCCTGTCCCAACGTCAACCTCATCGACCCGGAAGAGACCCGACCGCCCTGCTCCAGATATCATTAGCTCATCGGCTCATCTTCGACCGTCGCAAGTCCACCGGAAACCCTTTGAACGTTCACACCCCCGCCTTCACACCGAAATCCACATCTCGCAAATTCCCGCTCACCGCAAGCTCCCCGCTACCGTCGTCGCCAGACCACACCGATTGTTTCATTCCGTGCGTGGCGGGACTTGTTCAAACTAGCTCAGGCTTCGGCCATCCCGGTTGACACCGATCGCTTTCTGCACGCGGTGGACGAGGTCTTATTTTTCCTTGCTGGTTTAGGATCATAAGGACCATTCGTCACCATGGGGCAGTGTTTCAGTACCGAGAACACCGATGATGCGGAGCAGAAGAAGAGAAGTCAGATGATTGATAGGAAGCTCGATGAGGATTCTAGGCGGTTACGAAGGGAATGCAAGATTCTCCTACTAGGTCGGTGGTCATTTCCTTTTCCTGGAGGACACTTGCTCTTGCACAAAAGCAGAAAAGTACAAGAGAGCATTGGCTGACTTTTCAATTATAGGGTCCGGTGAAAGTGGGAAGTCCACGATTGTGAAGCAGATGAAAATTATTCACCAGAACGGTTACACTGTCGAGGAGCTGGCCCTTTATCGCTTGACCGTCTACAAGAATCTACTTGATTGTGCTAAGGCGCTTATCGAGGGGTATAGGCTTTTCAACCTTGAGCCTTCCAGTCAAAAGGTCAAAGACTACCTCACTTTCTTGGATGAATATCATGTCGACCCGGACCCCAACACACCACTGGATAACAAGGTCGGAGATGCGGTGACATATCTATGGAATGATCCATGCACTTCAACAGTATTGGAACGACAGAATGAGTTTTACTTGATGGACTCAGCTCCCTAGTAAGCTTCATGTCTTTTGTTTTTATGCGAATTCAGCGCTGACAATGAACTAGCTTTTTTGATGAAGCAAAGCGCATAACATCCTCAGATTACATACCCAACGTCTCTGACGTCCTGAGAGCGAGAACAAAAACCACCGGTATCTACGAAACTCGATTCCTCATGGACCAATTAAGTATACAGTATGCGCAAACTCTACCTTCCCTCGAATTTGATTCTCGCTAACAAACCATGCAGCATGTTCGATGTGGGCGGCCAACGAAGTGAGCGGAAAAAATGGATTCACTGCTTCGAGAACGTAACATCAATTATCTTCTGTGTTGCTCTGAGTGAATACGATCAAATGCTGCTGGAAGAGAGCAATCAGGTATGATACCTACTCTATACTGATAGGCAATTTAGCTAACATTTTGGCAGAATCGTATGATGGAGAGTTTGGTTCTATTCGACTCAGTCGTCAACTCCCGATGGTTCATGCGAACGAGTATCATTCTTTTCTTGAACAAAGTTGATCTCTTCCGGCAAAAACTCCCGCGATCTCCGCTGAGTAATTATTTCCCTGACTATTCAGGTGGTAATGATGTGAACCGCGCAGCCAAATATCTTCTTTGGCGATTCAATCAAGTGAACAGAGCACACCTCAATCTCTACCCACAGTAAGTTTGTCCGATGAACCCGTGGGATCACAAGTCATGTTCTAATTGAATACAATTTCAGCCTCACGCAAGCAACAGATACTACAAATATTCGACTTGTCTTTGCGGCAGTCAAGGAAACAATCCTCCAGAATGCTTTAAGGGACTCCGGTATCCTATAAACAGCCAAATCGCTTTTACCACCTTTCTAATTTTTCTCGCCATTCTTATCCCATCTTCATCTCTCAACAACTACCTCGCTGCCTTTTTTGGCCTATCCTCTGTTTTACGATTTAACATACCCCATTTCGACTCTCGATTGCTTCCGTTTTGACTTCGGCTTAGTCCTAGGCGTTCATGGTGCCATTTTTTCTCACCCTTCTTGGAAATATCCCACAGGCGCTGATTAGGTGATACCCCCCAATTCTTTGGTATCTATGGGAAGGCTTCTCAGATTTCTTTACTCGAAATGGATCTTTTGGACTCTAGTATCTCGGGCAGGATTGGGGAAAGGGCTCTCTACCGCCTATATCTTTCCATTCTATTTCTTTTTTCTTTTATTCAGGCTCCATTTGCTACACTTCCAACACTTATAACGAGATATTGATATTCTCATTACGTGCGTGTATGCACACGGTCTCTAACTTACTCAAAAAGTCAAAACCGATGAACCAAATCTCGACCCTTGTCTTCACTGCATGCTTGGGTTTAGGAGGGTGTATCACTTTATATATTTGGATCCGCCGTTTGGATCTTGCCACGTCTGTTTTTCAGCCTGTCTGATGCATTGTATGGCGGATTGAGATTCTATTCTGTGTTTTAATTTTTTCCCTGTGTTTTTTTCCGCCTATTTGTAGGGCTCTTTATTTATTTTATTCTCAATGCGTTGCAGCAGCGCCTTCGAGCGATTTGATGCATATGATGTTTACCTAGCTATCTGAGCTTTATGTACTCTCTGGTTTCTTTAGCGACCAGCTCAACCTTGAACAACCTACTTTTATGATGTTTTGATAAATCAGACAGGGAGAGCTTGTCTGCAATGATAGCTTTGCTTCTTTGATTTCATTTCACTTTTTTACTTCGTAGGAGAGATCTTGCCATATAATCTACTAACCACCGTTAAACCGTTAGATGTGCGTGAGTGGAGCCTGAGACGATCGACCGGAGCCCGTTAGTCATAGAAAGAACGCCTCTCTGTACCGATCAACCCGGGCACTGGTAGCCCCTCATTAACTCACCATTCGACCATGCGCCAATCTGCAGGAGTCATCAGGTGAGTCATCAGGTGGCCTGATGCAAGACGGGCCATTTTGTTGGCGAAGAGTAGATTTCAGCTCTCAAACGAGGGGAAAGCAAGGAAAGACGCAGCACGGACCGCGCCGAAATGTATGGGGAGATGACAGGCTCGAGCACCCGATAAGATCCAGACCATTATCCACCCGAGCTCTTTACCTGCATCTGACGTATGAGAGCTTTAGGCGGGGGAAAAAGAGCTGCAAAATATCGAATATACGAAACATAAGATGTAGTAGTTGAACTAATGAACTCAAAGCTGGACCACTGAATGGGAAGGTAAATGTACCTGAGAATCGGGTCCCGGATTGGGCAATCTTCGCTCGGACGACTTGTCGTGTCCTGCACTTCCGAACCCCTCGCAAGAAACAGTGTCACCTTACTGTCCCCTCTTTCTCTTTCTTAACATTTTCTTCCTCTTTCTTCTTCTTCTTCTTTTTCTTTCTCTCTCTATCCTCGTTCTGTGGATTCTTCGACTCCATACCCTGACCTTTTTTCCTTTGTGCTTCTACTTGTTCTTTCTTCATCATGTCAACTGAACCACGCCTTGAACGTCGTCCTTCCGTCGGAGCTCCCATTGCCGACCTTCAAGGTCCTGTAGGACCGGGCTTCAGTCGCCCAAAGCATAAGCGGACTTTTACTGGCTTCGGTGCTTCGGATATTAAAAGTGTCGAAGCTAGTATCCCGGAACCACTGAGAGAAGCGTGAGTCGTTTCTACCCTTTAGTTCTTGGGAGACGAAAGCTGACTTATGGGCTGTCTTGCTATGCAGATGGCGCAAGCATGTAAGATTTCTCCCGAGCTTTAGGATTACCAGTTGTTCGAACTAACGAAATGCAACCAGTCTGCGTCCGAATTCACTACCAAGGATGAATTCGAGGTGAGTCCTCAGAGCTTTATAATATACATTCCAAGCTAACCTGTCCTGCTTTTCAGAAAGAACTTGTGCGCCACATCGAGACAACTTTAGCTCGCTCGCTGTACAATTGCGATGAACAGTGGGTGTCTCATACCGTGCATGATATCTCGGAATGTAATTGCTCACATTTTCTAGTGCCGCATACTCGGGAACAGCGCTTGCATTTAGGGACCGATTGATAATTGAGTGGAACAGAACTCAGCAGCGTCAGACTTTGACCGACCAGAAGAGAGTATACTGTATGTTATGTCCGCCCGAGAAGAATTGGGACTCCGTGGTCGTTTTGACTGACTGTCTATAGACCTTTCTCTTGAATTTTTGATGGGCCGTGCCTTGGATAATGCCATGTTGAACGTGGGTCAGAAAGAGTCTGCTCGAGGTTCGTAAATTTCCCACAACTACAATGGAAAAATATCAAGGGATTTGTTACTAACTGTCTTGATAGAGGGATTGAAGGACCTTGGTTTCCGCATCGAGGACGTTATCAGTCAAGAGCACGATGCTGCCCTGGGTAATGGCGGTCTTGGACGCCTGGCAGCTTGCTTCTTGGACAGCATGGCAACCCTGAACTATCCTGCATGGGGTTACGGACTACGCTACCGCTACGGAATCTTCAAACAGGAAATTATCAACGGATACCAGGTGGAAATCCCGGACTACTGGCTCGATAATAACCCTTGGGAATTCCCACGACACGAGATAACAGTCGATATTCAGTTCTATGGTACTGTACGCAAGTACCAAGACGAGTCTGGCAAGCTCGTGCACTCATGGGAAGACGGCGAGATAGTCCAAGCTGTCGCTTACGATGTACCTATCCCGGGATACGGAACGAAGACAACAAACAACCTCCGACTTTGGTCGAGCAAAGCCAGCAGCGGTGAATTCGACTTCCAGAAATTCAATGCTGGTGATTATGAAAGCGCCGTCGCAGACCAACAGCGTGCAGAGACTATCTCGGCTGTTCTGTACCCGAACGATAACCTCGAGCGAGGAAAGGAGCTTCGCTTGAAGCAGCAGTACTTCTGGTGTGCTGCTTCCTTGCACGATATTGTTCGTCGGTTCAAGAAGTCGAAGAGAGCGTGGAGCGAATTTCCAGATCAGGTAGCCATCCAGCTCAATGATACCCATCCCACCATGGCAATTGTTGAGCTTCAACGCATTCTGATTGACATCGAAGGTCTCGAATGGGATGAGGCTTGGAACATCGTGACCAAGACTTTCGGATATACGAATCACACTGTTCTCCCTGAGGCCTTGGAGAAATGGTCTGTTCCTTTGTTCCAAAATCTCCTTCCTCGACACCTTCAGATTATCTACGATATCAATCTCTACTTCCTTCAGACCGTTGAGAAGAAGTTTCCCAATGACCGTGAAATTCTCTCCCGCGTCTCCATCATTGAGGAGTCTCATCCTAAAATGGTGCGAATGGCTTATCTGGCGATCATCGGATCTCACAAGGTCAATGGTGTGGCTGAGCTGCATTCAGATCTCCTCAAGTCTACCCTCTTCAAGGACTTCGTGGATATCTACGGACCGGACCGCTTCATGAATGTCACGAACGGTGTCACTCCTCGTCGCTGGCTGCACCAAGCCAATCCTGAGCTCTCTGCTCTGATCGCGAAGAAGCTTGGAGGTCATGAGTTCTTGACTGATCTAACTCTACTGGACAAACTGGAAGCATTTGTCGATGACAAGGAATTCCGAGCGGAATGGTCTAACATTAAGACCCAGAACAAGTTGCGCCTGGCCAAGTTTATCCAGGAAACAACTGGATTTAAAGTGAGCCCAACCTCCCTGTTTGATGTCCAAGTCAAGCGTATCCATGAGTACAAGCGTCAGCAACTCAACATCTTTGGAGTCATTCACCGCTACTTGACCATCAAGGCAATGTCGGCGGAAGAGAAGAAGAAGGTGGTGCCTCGTGTTTCCATCATCGGTGGCAAGGCTGCACCTGGCTACTGGATGGCCAAAACCATCATTCACCTTATCAACAAGGTTTCGGCCGTTGTGAACAATGACTCTGATGTTGGTGATCTGTTGAAGGTCATCTTTATTGAGGACTACAATGTAAGCAAGGCAGAGATTATCTGCCCCGCTTCGGATATCAGTGAGCACATCTCTACAGCCGGAACAGAGGGCAGTGGTACAAGTAACATGAAATTCGTCATGAATGGAGGCCTGATCATCGGCACTTGCGATGGAGCTAATGTGAGTTTCTTCCCTGTAACAGATACATAGACAGATCAACGTCATATGCTAATACCTGATGATTCACAGATTGAAATCACCCGTGAAATCGGCGAACACAACATCTTCCTCTTTGGAAACCTCGCTGAAGACGTAGAGGAACTCCGTCACCGTCACTTCTACGGCTCCTTCGAGCTGGACCCACATCTTAAGAAGGTCTTCGAGGCAATCAAGAGCGGTACATTTGGAGATACCAACGAATTCCAAGCATTGATTTCATCTATTGAAGAGCATGGAGACTATTATCTTGTGTCTGATGATTTCAACTCCTACATCACTACTCATGAGATGGTTGATGAGGCGTTCAAGCAGCAAGATGAGTGGCTTGCTAAGTCCATTACTAGTGTTGCGCGCATGGGATTCTTCTCAACTGATCGAGTTATCAATGAGTATGCGGATAGTATCTGGAATGTTGAACCTCTGGTTGTTGAGGACCAGTGAATACTTTTTGCACTGGTCCTATTTCTTTCTTTCATGGTTTTCTAATATCGCCTTCATGGACCTAATTACTCACATTCATTGCATGGCAGACTTGAGTTGCATTTTTAGTATGATTGAATTATCATAACTTTCCAATTTATTCAACTTTCTATGGTTCTGTTCTCCTTATTTCCAATATTTGTATTCTTGGGTCTATTGTATTTGCCTCTATATGCATCCACGTATATCAGCTGATATCTGACACAGCTTCCTCCTTTTAAATCTCAATATTTGAAGGGCAAGTATATAAAGCGAAGGCTGGAAGAAAAGAAAAGAAATATGAAATAGAAAAATAAGAACCATATGCTCATGCCGGGGATATCATGATGGTATCAAACAAACACAATCCCGCGCATTAGTAGCCATGATAACAGCTGTCAAGAGCCAAGAAGATAAAAAGGTCAAGATAAAAGATAATAAGAGGCGAAAGGGAAACATCAATCATGAGCCATTAGACTTCAATTTCATTCATCCCAAGCCTCAAACACCAACAGGCTCCTCCACCCCCTCATCAATAGTCTTCGGCACAGCATCCCTCGCCTGAGGCTCCGAAAAAGTCTCCGGCCAAAGAAACATCTTCTCCTCATTCGAAGGCGTAGCAGCAGCCATAAGCGTCGGCACAGCCTCTTTACTCGAAATCCGTCTCCAAAGGTTCGCTCTTGGATTATATCTCACAGGCTTACCCACACCACCCGTCTTCTTCTGATCCTCAGCACTAATCTTTTCAATATCCTTCTTGATATCCGAAAAGCTATCAAAAGGCGTATACTTAATTCCCTTCTCAAGACAGTATTGTTCTAGTCGGAGTCCACGTCGGGCAAAGAGGACATCGGCTTCACTTGCTGCTGCAAGATCGGAAATACCGTCGCCAATGAAGATGATTAGGGGCATTTCGTTGGGGAGGCATTCTGCTTGGGCAGCTGTGCGGGCTTCGTTCACGGATAGGGCTTTGTCGTGTCCTGCGTCTACGTCATGGCGCCAGATTGGTTTCCAGGTTCCGTCTTCGTTGAAGGTTGCGTCGTTTGCGACGATGTCGATTGAGGAGGACTGGATTGAGGAGGGGTTTGTTAGCTTTGCGCTTTGAGTTTGTTTTATGTATGATTTTGTGAGGCAAATGAATTGTGGATGGGATGGGTATGTAGTTACCTCTGCTTCACCGAGGAAATTATCGAGTACTCGACGGAGGACAGGCTTTAATCCAGCGCTTATCACGTTGAAAGGGAATCCATTTGCAACGCAGTATTGGTGGAATTCTTTGAAGCCGGGGTCCAAGTCTAACGATTTTTCCATTACGACGAATCCGTCGTCGAAGGGAATGGTTAGAGATCCCCACATTTCATCTGAAATGTCGCGGAATGCTCGGGTACCGGCTTTGATCTCCTCTTCATATTTAGCGCGGGCTTCTGCGCCGCAGCCGTGAGCGTCGACAAGAACATGTCCTGTATCTTGCATGCAGATTGTGCCATCAAAGTCTGATTCAAGTTTGCAATTGTCAGTTTCGAGTTCGCGCCCGACCTGACCAGATAGTAATTTGCTAGATAACATAACATACCAGAGAAGATGATGATCTTTCTTTTTTGAGAAGGGGCCTGCTCTGCTGGCTTGAAGTTGGAATTCGTCATTTTGAGATGGATTTTGTAGAGAAGGAATTGGGTAAAAATTTCAATGAAGAATTAAAACGATTAGAGTATACTAAAATTTAGGAAAGAACAAGTTCTACGGGCAAAGGCAGATTACTTATTAATTGTACGGAAAGCTAACTTTTCACGATGTATGGATCCGTGGCGAACCCAGAACAAGATACAGGGAGTATGACGTAGAAGTTCCTCCAATATATCATAGTGGGTCGTTGGTGGAGATGATATCGCGGGACTCGAAACGTGCTGGACTCGGATGGAGAGTCGGTGCCACTGCCGAATATATGGTTTTTAATTGGTCGGTAGAGACTGAGGCTTGGATCCAAGCCCGAATTTACCGAGAAAAACCGAGATGAAATGGTTTTCGAAGCCGAAGTTCTATGCGGATTGGTGGAATCTGCTGCCACGGTGGGGAATTCGATCATACAGGGGTTCCAAAGATGTTTTCACACCTCGTTACTTTCACTGCTCCACACCGCCTCCTTTTTTACAATACGTGACATTAATATCACTATCTTCTTACAATCATCCACCCATCTACCCAATACAGTATGCCTATTTTACACCGTGATCAAAGACACGAGATTGTAATCCTACGTGATAACGGTCTTACATATCAGCAAATACACAAGAAGACTGGTTATACTTATAATCAAATACGTTATTCTTTACGTGATTCAGTTGATCTTACACCACAGAAAAAGAAGACCGGTCGGCATCCAAAGCTCTCTGAGAGAGAACTCGATGAGCTTATTACTTGGATACGCAGCTCTCTCGAACGTCGAATCCTTACTTGCGAGCAAATCTGTCGTCTTAAACAGCTCTCTGTCTGCTCCGAAACCCTTCGAACATCGCTTAAAAAACGTGGAATGATAGCCTATCCAGCAGCCCAAAAACATCCAATTAAAGATACCCATCGAGTCCAACGTCTTAAGTAGGCTTACGAACGTCAGGATTAGGGATATGAAGATTGGAAACGTGTTATCTTCTTTGATAAAGCTTGGGTTAAATCCGGCTGGCATCGAATGCCTTATATCCATCGATTTAAAGACGAACGATATCATCCAACAGCTATTGTTCCTCAAACAAATCAAAGATCAGGAATAATGACTTGGGCTTGTTATGCCGGCAATAAAAAGGGCCCATTAATTATCTGGAATCCAGCCTAGGGAAGTATCAATTCTCAAAGTTATATCGATCATATTCTTCCAATTGTTCGTCGCTTTAACGAAGAGCTTTGGGAATCTGGTATTGATGCCTTTTTTATGCAAGATAATGCTGGTACACATAGCTCTTATCAAACTACGGCAGCTCTCTATAACTACGATATCAATATGGAAGATGCCTGACATCCTTCTGTCTCTCCGGATTTAAATCCACAGGAGAATATATAGGATTAGTTAAAAGACAATATCTCAAAGCAATGTAGTATTGATAATATTGCTCCGTCACGACATCATATATTACATTGTTATATCGAGACAGCATATGAACATCTACCAGAGCAATTTCTAGAGGATCTAACACAAAGTATGCCACGGAGAGTAAGGCAGGTGATTGAGAGGAATGGGGGTGCAACAGATTATTGACGTTGGGAGGTTTGAGTGTAATTTTACTGTACTTTACCAATATTACCGGCAGAAAAAAATGTAACTTGGTGTGAAAACATCTTTGGAACCACTGTATCCAGGAACATGCTTGTACGTCGGATACTGTACTACAATATCTTGGGTATTGCGGTAAATAGGGATTTTATCGCTTGGATTTATGAATGTCCGGTAGTGTTTGACGATGGGTATTAAATATTCGGCCTAATAGAAGAGTATACACGACCTTGAAGTTGGAAGAAAGGCCTCTGTCGTCGAAGATGTGGGTCGAACGGCGCGGCGCCTTTAGCGGCTTTCACTCCTCAATTCTCCATGAACTATATTACTATTGCGCTTCTCATGTCTGCAAAAATAAAAATAGACTTTCCAAAATCCATAATTGCACCTGGGACATATTTCACTATTTAATTCGCTCTAAGGGTCATTTTGCGCCTCGCTGACGGTATGAATTGGCTCTCTCTCCTCCTCACGAACCATCTTCTTCACTTTGGTGCAGACTTGGAGAGACATAAGATCCGGACGACTATAATGGCCAACAGGATCGAAAAAGAACTTGGTCGCCGTGATCAAATCCAAGGGTAACTCCCCATAAATGATATCTTCCGTGGTGCTTTCCACGGGCTCAGTAAGTCGTCGTCCATCAGGACCAAATATAGCAGAGCAACCTCCACCAGGCTTTGTCATCGGGGGTGCAGAGGATACTTTCATCTTCTCTATACCACTCGCTCCGAGGATTTGACTGCAATGAAGGACAAAGGTTTGTGACTCAATTGCATATGTCCGTGACACAGTTTGAGAACCTGCAGCGAAACGAAAATCAGTAACAAATTCTTCTGAAAATGGACTCGAACCCATCATACCTTCTTCTGTCATGAACCACGAGCTATCACCCCCGTCATGCGGGTATGGGGTTGGCCACGCCGCAACATGAATATCTTCTTGTTGGGACAATGTGTGATATTTCAATAGTGGTTGGATATGCTCCGCGCAGGCTAGTGAACCAACTCGTGCAAAAGAAAGGTCTGCCACACTTGAAAGACATTCACCCGAGGCATCGCCGAATATAGTACGCTCCATGTGTGTAGGCTTCATCTTGCGACGGTGGAACTTGATCTCCCCATCAGTACCAATCATGACCTGGGCAATGTAGAGAGTGTGGTTCTCCTTCTCCGAGAAAGATAAAGATACAGCAACCTCATTATCTCTAGCACAATTTCGGATTTGATTCATCTCTGGGGAGCCTAGACGGAGAGAGTTCTTGGCATAGGCGATATTCAACCCTACATCAAGCATTCGCGCCCTGTTAGGAGTATAAGAAGTTAGATATCGCTTTAAGTTCATATTTCTGTTTAAGACTCACCAAATCCAGCAAGGATAGCCTGGTATCCAACATTCAGGGAATGCGATCAGCTGGGCATTGTTTTTCGCAGCCTCCGAAATTAATTCGCAAGTCTTGGCCACGCCAGCAGCAAGGTCAAGCCATGCGGGCTCGGCTTGGGTGACTGCCACTCGAACAATATTTGCTGACATGATTTCTTCATATGGGAAATGAGTGTTCTAGTTTAAAATCTTCAATTGATGCTGAAATCTGGAGGGGAGCTTCGCCGCCTATTTATTTTCGCGCCCATTTTAGCCCCCACTGGCTAACTTTTTGATCCTTCGCAGTAGGTACCCAAAAAGGGAATTAAAAATCTTTTTCTGAAAGAGATATTTCTTTGTCTTCAACAAGTGCCTCGTAAGTTCCTGTACTATCTTGCTAATCGGGATTTTGAATTAATTTCCGATAAATAAGCCTCCTTTTCCGCCGCCGTAACTATACTGTTTCCAGCGTAGTGCAAAGAGTGGGGTTGCTTCTAGTATCAATTCTCGGTAGTGAGTGCGAGTTCTCTCCAGGGCTGACATGCTGCTTCTTTTTGCATATTGGCATGGACCGATGGGACAACCCATTGGAAGCAGGTATGGAGTCTTGTAGTACTTCAGAAACATAACATCCACAGAAATACCAAAAGCTGGATGTGGATGACGAATCAACGGTCTTTGATATCAGAAGCGAACCGAGCTCTCTGTTCTATACATGTTAGCAAATGGGCGGAGCTAATAAAACATAATGACAGAGGCCAGCCTGAGTTCGTCTATAAGTAGCTACATCTCGCATGGCTTACTGTGTCTTCATTCAATCAAACCAATCTTTTCTACATTCTCAGTTCATATAACCAACGGGCCCTGACTCTAGCTATACAAATCATGTCGGCTGTGAAGATTTCCTCCGAGGAACCCTTCGTCTACTCGACTTTTGATCTTCAAATCCTTGAGTATGAAGATATTCAAGCCAAGAAAGCTCTTCAAGATGAGTTCGATTCTTTAATTGCACCCCATGCAGCCTACATCGACAGACTTGTCCAAGATAGATGCGCCACACCCAAAGGGAAAACGATTCTTTGGCTCAGCTACTGGAAATCTCAATCTGACTATCTGAGATGGTGGACCAGCGAGAAGGTTTCAAAATTTTGGATCAATCTATCACCTTCCGCAGGAATGTGGAGGGAAGTCATGACTCCAAATGCATCCAGAACACAACATATGACAACCAAGAGTGAATCTATCGGACTAGGTCACCTTGGAACACAAATTTCAGTTGGAAACAAAAGCGGATACTGGGGATGTTATCGACACAGAATGGCCGCCTATTCGAATGATACGTTCACATCACCAATTAACCATGACCTCAAAAATTGCTCGCCTGCGCAGGATTCTCCCAACGGAGATCATCCTGGACGTGTCTTTATTACCCACTTCCCAGACAATATCTGTTTTGTCGTTGAAGGACAAGGCCATTCGGACATCACGCCTGATGAAAAGGAATACTGGCATGATAATCTCGAATCATATACTACGCAGTGGATGGAAGCTTTTTTCTCTGCTAGTCCAGAATCAGGACACTGCTCCAGATTTGTGTTTTCAGGGATTCCACGCCCAAGGCACTGAACTATAACAAGAAGGTTCAGCTATTTTACTTCAAAGATCTACGGCACATGGAGCGAATCGGACGAAGCAATAAGCAGCATGTAGAGTTGCGTAGTCGTTTCATGAGAGCTTATGGTCCTGGGGGGGGGGGTGTTTAGTTCTACCGGAAATATTGTCCTGTGGGTTGAGACAACTGTTTTGAAGAATGGGGAGATGGAATGCGAGTATGTGGGGCGTGAGGAGGGAACTGGCTGGATGGCATGGGCAGGCAATCCAGAGTTTCATGTTCAAGTTGAGAAGGGTTCCTACATTCTATGAGTTCATGCACCAAATACCAATTTAAGCCTCCATTACTTCCAAGGTTCAAAACATCGATATGGTAGAGATTTATATTAGATAATGACATCATGACATCTTTAGCTACACCTTGCTAAATATGCTGTGGCCAGGATAAAACTTCATTTGGAAATTGGATATCCAGGTCGGCGAGAAAGTCGCATCCAGACATCATGTCTGCAAAATGACCTGTTCTCAGAAATTATAAGCGATCGAGTACATTATTTTAACGGGAACGGTGTCACCAAATGTAAAACTCACCTGGAAAGTACATCACGGTTGAGGTAGGTCCTGAGTGGCTAGGCCCTGTCTCAGGATCCCCTAAAATATAGTGTAAAGCAAACGCAGCTCTTCGAGCCTCCTGAGAGCTATGACTCTCTCGTCGCCAGATGATCTGTGAGGTTCTCAACAACTCCTTTACCTTAAAAAGATCAAGATCATTGTTCTCGGTGCCAAGATCAGAACCAGTCTCTCGAACACCAATTCCAAACTTCCCAGTATTGTTCTGAAGATAGAAGCACAGAATACTGGTAGCAAGCAGAAAATCATGAAAGAATGATGCCGTGAGCCTCCACCGACACTTATATAATCGTCCATCAGGTTTAGTCTCCTCATCAACAAGATGTTGTAGCTCCAGAATCTTCATAGCAGCCGATAAACATATATTTCGCGAAAATGAATACTCACCCTGCACTGAATTGGTCTCCCTCGACTCAGAAATAAGCATGAACCTCTTATGCAAAACTATCTTCAATCGATGAACGCATATCTCAATCCAAATTCTTTTCATGAGTATCTGGGCCGAAACAGCTAGTGAACATGCCATCCCATTCCACCTCATAGCAGGTGGTAAGGTAGTCTTGACTTCATCTATCTGCGTATCAAGTCCCAAGACAGCATGGTAAGAGTACGGCTTCGGCTCCGTCGATGCGTCCGCCACTTTAGCACCAATGACAATCAATCTTACCTTCGTCAGTGTGTAAAGTGTAGGTGTCACCTCTGTCTCGGGACGAGATGACGGCAGCTCAGTACAGCCCTCATCAAAGTCTGAATCGAAGAGATTTCGTGGCTCAGAAACATCGATTTGGCTTTCCTTTATAAATCGCGCTAGTCCCATTTGCATCGAGATGTTGAAGTCAAGTTGCACGATCAAAGCCCATACTCGTCGTCGAACCTCTCCTGCGAAAGGAGAGATGTTAGGGAAATGGGATGCGTCGCGGTGATAACCCATCTGTGTAGCTATTGTGACTATTGTGCTGACTAGGATGCGAAGACCAGATGCTGTGTCTTTTGATGGGAAAACTTCTACCATCAGATAAAGGATCAGGGTCTCTAGGACGTGGGGTCCACCTTTTGTATAGTGTCCCAATATTAGGCAGTGGGTGATTTTTTCGCGGAATAAAGCTGTTTGCGTGCTGGTTTGTGAATGTTGGTTCTGTGGATCTGCGTTCGAGTTTGAGTCGAGGAAATGATGCTGAACTTGAGCTGAGAGACACATCATGGTGAAGAGTAGACCAATCCATATTATTGGTGTTTTGCGAGGGCATTTCCAGAACTCTTCGTACTGTGTTCATGCCGTCAGTTGAGTAGCAGGAGAGCAGAGATCTGAATAGTTACCTCTCGCAAGAACTTGCCGCTGTGCGGAACACCTAGGTTCAGGCTCTATTAGCGCTGTGAAGCATATCTCGTGGTAGTTTATAGTGTGTTCAAGATACCTGATGCCATATCTAGGTCATTAAAGTACCGTGAGATCAACCTATCCACCACAAGTCGTGGAGGAATAGCCTCCAGTATAGAATCTATACTGATAGTTGACGAGGCGCCAGTATAGAATAATTGTGGACCAGGAAACCCAGCACAGGCATGGGCATCATGCATAGTCAGCGCGCTATGCTCATCCTCTTGCTCGAAATGATCTCGAAGTTCAGAAATGCTATCCAATACTGCTGCCCAGTGCGCGCTACTGACATAGCTAGACTCTGAGTTACGCATACGTATATTTCCATAATCAGATGGAGAAGGTGAGGCGTTGGGTGGAGGATTCTTCGCTCCTTCATCAAGAGATTGATCTCTGTGTGTATCATTTGGCCAGCCGACATTGTTAACGCTATTTGGTGTTGTGGCTCCCGGTCGAGGATTGGATGTATTTTGCTTCATTAGACCAAGGACGAGGCCTTCCAGTTGATTGATCCGATCTTGTACATGGGCCGGCCCTCGGGCTACTGTGGGTTGAAGAGTATATGCACATGACGTACTTAATCCTCTGCTTGCGCAATTACTGCACGGGTGTAGGCGATCACAGCGAACTCTTAGACTTATATTAGAATTCACTGACAATATGATATTAGCTCTCTTGCTTACTTTCGCTTCCGACATGCATTGCAGCTCAGTTGGGGTTTGTCCCGACGTCTAGATGGGGGCGGTCGCGCTGTAGCTACAGGGCCTCTTGGTTGTTCAGTCCGTGGCCGCTGTGATGATGGGGATTTGACGAAGTTTTCCATTTCAGACATGGCTCAAGTGTAGGAAACACTGTGCTTGAATTCATGACATGCATCGAAGAAAAACATGCAGCATTGTGCCCGCTGTATATGACCGTTGGCTGTTCGGACATCCGCGGACTGTCGCGATGGCGCTAGGCCAAGATCCACTGTTTAGCTGTCATAGTCCGCCGACCCTCCGAGTATGGGCCGACCCTCCGAGTATGGGTATTTCTTCCGTTTTTCTTAACATAGAAAATGAAAGCGAATAGAACGGGTTGTAGAGTGTCAAATCCGATGATGTTCAATGTTCCCAGTGGTTGAAGTGGAGCAACTGGTAATTCCTCGGTTGAACTTGTTTGCTTCCCCATAAACTCTGGGGTATCACATGTCAACCCCGTCATCCTCCTTCCTGCTTGTTCTTGTCCACATTCTTGTTCCTCTGATACTCTTTATTCCTCTATTATCCTTTGCATTTTCTTTTAGCGATAGAAGAAAACCACCCTTCTTCTTCGTCCCAAGTTTGGCCATGCCCTTCTCCGACTCTGGCTGATTTTGTCGATCGAGTCGCCATGCCCGTTCCGTCTAAGCTGCTGCCGCCCAATCGCTCCGTCAAGCAGATCCTCTCCAGCCTCACCTCTCTCTACCTCCAAAACCGCACACGAATCTCACGCGCCGTATACCTTGCTCTCTTCGCAGCACTTGCGAAGCGAATCCATAATGCTATCTCCGAGCAAAAGGCCGCCTCCCAGCAGATCGAACAGCGGAGACGTCCCGGCACCAATAGTCTAGGCGATGACGAACAACCACGCAAGAAACGGGTGGAGATCAACCGCGAGTTCTTTAAAAGCTTACTCCGGCTCTTGAAGATTGTGATTCCCGGATGGCGCAGTAAGGAATTGCGACTGTTGGTGAGCCACAGTGTCTTCCTCGTGCTCCGGACACTTCTCAGCTTGTATGTCGCGGAGCTTGATGGCAGGCTCGTGAGCAACCTCGTGCGGGGCAAAGGGAAGGATTTCTTGCTTGGCCTTTTCTGGTGGATGATTGTAGCTGTTCCGGCAACATTTACAAACTCTATGGTATGTCTTTCATGAATGTGTCAATCCAAAGACACTTTGCTTTACGGCACTGTTCATGCGACCGTTGAGGAACCCAGTTGCTAACGCGATCGCTCTCTTACTAGCTTTCCTACCACCAATGTAAACTCGCCCTAAGCTACCGAAAACGCTTAACCGACTACATTCATGAGAAATACCTGTCAAATATGACATTCTATGCTATCTCCGCCTTAGACGATCGGATCAAGAATCCCGACCAACTGGTCACTGTAGACGTGTCTCGCTTCTCGGACAGTCTGGCAGAATTATACTCCAACCTGGCGAAACCAATCCTGGACATGGCTATCTATAACTACTCCCTCTCAAAGAATGTCGGAGGCGAAGGCCTATTTATCATGAGTTTGCTGGTTCAGCTCTCGGCAAACGTGATGCGCATGTTGACACCACCGTTCGGAAAGTATGTCGCCGATGAAGCCCGACTTGAAGGAGAATTCCGTTTCCTTCATTCTAGGCTTATCGACTACAGCGAAGAGGTCGCTCTGTATCATGGTCACGAAGCTGAGAAGGATACCCTCGATAAGGGCTACTTTACCCTGATCAAACACGTGAATCGTATTTTGCGACGACGCTTGTATCACGGTTTCATGGAGGATTTCGTGATTAAATACTTCTGGGGTGCGCTGGGCTTGATTCTCTGCAGTGTGCCAGTCTTCTTTAAGATCCCAGGACAGCTCGCACATACCATGGGGGACCGAACTGAAAGTAAGTCAAGTCATATATGATTGTAATATCGGTCAAATTGTATTCAAAGCTAACCACTTGATAGACTTCGTGACCAATCGACGCATGTTGCTGTCTTCATCTGACGCCTTCGGTCGTCTTATGTTCTCTTACAAGGAGATTTCTGAGTTGGCCGGCTACACTTCGCGGGTCTCATCCCTGCTAGAAGTCATGGATGATTTGGTTGCGGGCCGATTTGAGAAGAAATTGGTATCCTCCGCATCAACCGAGGGCAACGCGGCAGTCCTATCTGGCCGTGGACAGGTTATGGAGAGCGATTCCATCGAATTCACAGATGTACCAATTGTGTCGCCCAACGGTGACGTTCTAGTCCGAAAGCTCTCTTTCACAGTCCACCCGGGCGACCACCTCTTAATCGTTGGTCCCAATGGCTGCGGAAAATCTTCCCTATTCCGCATTCTCGGTGGTCTTTGGCCTGTCTACGGAGGCTCAGTAAAGAAGCCCCCCTTCCAAGATATTTTCTACATTCCCCAGCGCCCGTACCTATCCCGTGGAACCCTCAGACAACAGGTCATCTACCCAGATGGCGTACGTGAGATGCGTGCAAAGGGTGTTACCGATGCAGATCTGTATGAAGTCCTGTCTGTGGTCGAAATTGCATCTGTCGTTGATCGCCCCAATGGCTGGGACGCGGAGGAAGAATGGCGCGATGTATTATCAGGTGGTCTGCAGCAGCGCATTGCGATGGCCAGACTATTCTACCATCGTCCCAAGTTTGCCATTCTAGATGAATGTACTTCCTCCGTCACCCTAGAGATTGAGAAGGTCATGTATGAGACGGCCAAGAAGCTAGGAATCACTCTCATGACCGTCTCACACCGTCGCAGTTTGTGGAAATATCACAAGAAGATTCTGCAGTTTGATGGCCAAGGTGGTCATATCTTCACCGGGCTCGATTGGGAGCGTCGGTTGAAATTGGAAGAGTAAGCCCCTCGCCCCTATCTTCGTTCTACTGTTCATCTTTTGCTAACCCGTTGATAGTGAGAAGGAGGATCTTGATTTGCAATTGCGAGCTGTGCCAGAGTTACAGCGACGTGTAGAAGAATTGACAGCAAACTAGACCAGAGAATTTCCTCTTTTCCATCTTGTTTTATATCAGACCTATGATTCCCTTATTTTCAGTTCCTCCCAGTTAGCGTTCCAATATACTGTCCTGTAACATTCCTTCTCTATTGCCTCAATATTATACCTTGTCATTGAATACCGTTGGTGAACTTGGAAATGAGAGTTGGCATCGGCTAGATCTATAATACTAAGCTGCAGGTGAACGGCCTTGGTTTGAAGTGTAGCGATAATGACATGGCAATTCGTTTCCTGTATCAATACAGCTCTCATTGAATGCTTCCGGTTTACACCCATTGATATCTTCAGACCTTCAGCAAACTTAAGTCGCGATGTAGGCTGAGCTATTCGACCACACACATAAATGTTTGCATATAAAATACTAGTAATTACTATCTATATCAACGATAAAATCCGAACGCCGTTTGTTAATAGTACAAAATCCATCAAATTCTTTCGATCCCCCCCCCCCCCCCCCCATTCGTGCCTCTATTATTTCTTTCCTTTCTTTGTTTTAGTTTTTATACGCCATCTAGCTCCATATATTGGCATGTAAATGGCGCCATTCATCATTCAATTGCTCTTTCCATCATCCTGAGGATAGTCGTTTATTTTGCCCTCGTTCGCGCTGCATCGCCCACGCCTTGATTGCGATGTTCAAAACCACCAGCGACATGATGAAAGCTGTGAAACCCATTGCCACTGTGAATGTAAGCATGGCGTCTAGCTCATAGACTTCCATGACTTCGATTACTGGGCGGGTCTATTCAATATTAACAAAATGACTATATCGTGTTTAGTAAAGTAACTTACACTTAGCATGAAGATGAGTCCACCAGACATAAGACAAAATCCAGCAATGATCTCAGTGGGAGGACGAGCCGGAAGATAAGAAGTTGGCGGGAGCAAAAACAAAAGAAAATATGTCATTCCGCGAGAAATCGCGAATCCAACAAGCATATTACCCCATTGTTTATGCACCATAGTCGAAGTCATGCTGTCCTGATGATGCGATCCCATCATCGTACCCAGAAGAAAAATAATAAGAGCCGGCATCGGGTTAAGCGGAACGCCCTGTGACTTAGGCGGCTTCCAGTTCTCATCATCATTTTCATAAGTAGGGCATCGTAATAAAGTGTTGTTGAGCGTGTCGCGAATACGCCGGGATTCAAAGAGCATGCCAACAAGACCACCACCAAAGAACATAATAGAGATTGCGACATGTTCCATATCAGCCGGGGTCCACTCTGCTCCCCATCCAGACAGATGTTCTAAGAAAACATTGGTAATGCCGTACAACCATATCACGAACGATTCCACAAATTCGCCTGAGGGCACCCTTGCTTTCCAGCCGACGATATATGCTGGGGGTTTCTTGTTCCAGGCCCACCCTAAGTCTGCCCAGGCTCCGACAAACCGGCCAACAGTAAGGATACCATACCAGAAAAATATCCCGCCTTTAATAAAGTGCGCTAGGCCATTGAAGACGTCTTTCCCGTGGAAGATGCCACCATAAGTGACAGCTCCTGTGGCAATAGCAATAAAGCCGAAGGGAAGAATGATCCGATCAATCACATCATATACAATGTTGAAAATGTGTAGAACGCGATTCGAGACACCGGTCGAGAGTTTTCCATGCCTGGACTTTTGGATGAACCGATCGACGATATTATTATAGAACCAGCCACGCAAACTAGAAACTTTCGAATAAAGTTCCTCGGGCTTTTCCAAATCGTCATACTCGGCTTGCGACTCGTATACCGGCGATAAAGGGCTGTGTATGGAAGAGCTATGTTCAATTTCCGGGCTACTGTCATGGGGCAGGTACTCATGCTCATCGGTAGCGACAGGGAGGAAGGTAGCATGATCAAAAGATCTTGATTTCGACTGCTGGGAATTGCCACGGTGGTTATACACAAATAGCAAGCCCATAACGAATTGCACAGTGATTACGCATGTCACGGTCCAGCCAATTTTGTGATGGGCATTATTTTCGTATAGATCGGGAGTTTGTCCATTGTAGACCATTCCGAAGAGCAAGCCGAGGGCATTAAAGACCAGGAACAAGAACTGTAGCGGGAGCGCAAGGCGGGAGCGCCCAGTACTAAGTAATACGGCTGTCATGGAGTTAGTCGAATTCAAGGCTTGCAAGAACTCTAAATCGCTTACCTGGAGGAAGAACAAAGCACCAGGCAATAATCATCGCTGCAATGTGCGCTATAATAGTGGTCGAATGCTGGCCATAAGCAAAGTAGCTTGTAGGGCCATTGCTTTGAGAACTTTTTGAGACGGAAGTTGTTGTAGTTGCAGCTGCACTAAATGTATCGTGCATTTCCATGCTCATTCCCACTCCCATGTCCATATCCATTGAATCATCGTCGCCATGGGCGATTGCAAGGGCTGCGAGGAAAAGTGTCCCGTGGACAGCTCGAGTTAATAGCTGCATGGGGTCGACAAATGGCCACGAATCTTGAGAGGCGTATTGAGGAGCTTGCCGGAGCTACCACAGGTCTAAATGCGAAGAGTGCTCCAATCGATGCAGAATATTGAAGCTCTGTAGACTAGTGACGTAGCGACGCCAAATCCCTGACAATCAAACTGCCTCGAACCTGCAATTTTTGACAGTCTCAGAGACTCGGACTATTCGCTTTAAATGGCCAGTAATCTGCGCTCACACAATTAGGTGACCTAATAGTGGTACTGGGATTAGGAGGTATAGAATTAAGAGGGAAATGGAAGTATAAGTGTGATCGTTGTATAGGTAAAAGAAGCGGCTCGGCGGAACAGGGTGCAGAGAATTAAAACTCAAGGACAAAGCGCCAGGTTTAAAAAGCGCCGCAAACTATTAAATCAAAAATAGAATAGAAAAAGACAAGAAAAGGGGCCCAAAGGGCTTCAGTACTGGTTTCTAATGCTTCGGAGATGACGGAGATAAGGCAAAATGCGTCTCTCATCCAGCGATCCAGCGGTTATCCGGCGATCATCCAGCGAAGATCTACAACCACGATACTAGCACTAGGTAAGATTATTGCTCTACCGCAGCTGCCTTTTCTTTGTCCAATGTTAATCTACTGCATGTTTTTCATATATCATATACCATAACCCGACTGAGGTCCCTCCCAGAGCCTTCGTGGCTTCCAATACTATGCGATATTCACATCGGACAATAGGTTATGCCAACTTCTATAGCAACTTCAACATTGATACTTGATGAAGTATTATCCTGTATTCAACAAGAGCAGTTCTTGGGAATGCATAAGATGTAATTGCCGGGCACATTATACTCATCATAGCTTCATGACTTCAAATTGTCATTCAAGTTCATTCCTGGCGGAGCTCTTCGGATACTTCACGGCTCTTGGCATGCATTGGCCAATATTCCTTAAGAACCTGTTCCGGTTACCACATAATTTTACACCCAAAATTGAGGCAACCACGTTACTATTTGTAGGCCTTCATATCTTATTCGCTAGTATGAAGATTAGGCGTGAGATAGTGGGGGTCGATCCAACCAGCGAATCAGAAGCAACAGCGATATCGCGCTCCAACCAGCGGAACTGGCCAAAGAACCGCTACTTGTTGCTTTCGGCATTTCAATGGACATTGAACTGGATTTGATCATTATAGACTACAAATCTAGTCCTGGGTCTAACGGGCCGTGAAGTACCGGTGGTGACTAGTCACCGCCGTTGATCTTAATGGAGAATATCCAATCGACCGTGACAGCAGCACGCTCGCATGCAACTTCGACCGCTCATATCAAGCCTCGACGGGCAGGCGTGCCTTGTGTACGATGCCGCCAGATGAAAGTGAAATGTAATGCTAGTCAAATATTCCCTGCGTCCTGCTCGGCTTGCACTAAAGCAGGTGAGCGGTGCGCTATCGATCCTTCGTTTAAGAGGACATCCAAAAGGAGGTAGGTAACGGGTCCATTTCCTTAAGTCGTTTCATCTCTAATTGAATATAGTCTGAAGCTCCGCCGGAGCTATGGGCAAGAAAATGAAAATGGCAGAATTGATCCTGTCTACAGGACGCCTCAGTCTGAGGCATCGGGTACTGAGCCGACGGACCAATCCTCGAGACCGAGTGGACCTTTATGTACCTCGGATTCATCTGCAGATATAGCAGCTATAACCGCTGATTTACGCCTTGGTGGAAGGAGGTCTGCTCGATTCACCCATGAGGCAACCGGTGTTAACTTCACATCTAACGCTGTAGCAGAATTACTAGAAGAGTACGCAGTCCTGTAGCGTTTTATCATGATGATGTTCACCCGCTCACCTTGAACCAACCTTAGGTACTATTCTCACATACACCCACGATTCCCGCTACTACTTGACCTTACCTGCATAGTTGATAGCTACGAGAAAGCGCCTCTACTATTCTGGACCGTGTTAGCCGTTTCAAGCAAAGACTCAGAGAAGTATGCATCCGACTACGCCCGGCTACAAATTCTCCTCAAGCAGTTAATAGCAGACATCATCCTACTCGGGACCCGGTCTATCTACCTTGTCCAAGCGTTACTTTTACTTTGTGTGTGGTCTTTCCCGCACGAAGACATGAATAAAGAGCCGTTTTCAATGTACGGTGCTGTTGCTATTTCAATGGCCCGATCTCTTGGTTTGCATCGTCCACAATATCCATTTCTTTTGTTTGCTGCGAAGGCATCAGAGATTGGAACTTTGGAATCTCGCACGGTCACCTGGTTGTCTTGTTTTATCGTTGATCAGTGGTAGGACCTCATCCATTTGACTGTTGTTGCTCTTTCTTAGTGGGCTGTTGGACTCGGAGCTCTGACTGATTTCTCTGTTCTCTGTACTATAGGCATACTGCACGATTCGGGGCACCAGGTTCCATTAGACCTGACCATGCAATTCTTCAATCTGTGAATGTTTCAATGCCCGGTATACCAGAAACGACAAGGATACAACTTCACATCGCTCTTGTTGCTTCGAAGATTTCATCTGCTCTAGGAGAATGCGAGACTTCAACTACTGGGCTCATGAAAGACCCCCTCCCGCTAGTCCGGGTATTTGAAACCGAGCTGTCCATGATACAAAACAAATACTCAAGTAAATGGTCACCAGCCGATGAAATATCATTTCTCGACGCCCAACTAAGTCTATACTGCTACGTTCTCGAACAAAAGACTTCCTCGCCTTCCTGCCTAATAAACCTCAATTCAGACACCGAACTCATAACCCAAAGCTGTATAACAGCAAAGCAACTCCTAATAATCCTAACCAAATTCCCGAGCACACTAAGACAAGGAACACTCCATATACTACGGTCAGCAAGCTATGCAATTTTCTTCCTTTTGCGTATTCTCGGCACAGTCCCGGAATGCATCGACGAGACAGATATAAGAAATACAATACGACAGATCTTCACGTTGATGAGGGAGATATCTCAAACAGCGAATGATAGACGATCTCAGTGTTTCCGGGTATGCAGGATAACAGAGCAAATGATTGATTATGAGGATTGGGATAAGGAGACGCCGTTTTTGGGTAAAGCTGAGTCGTTCATGGGTAATAATTTTGTTGCAGATGTTGCGGCTAGAGGGATGATACAGGCGAATATGAGACATGCGGCTGCGCAAGCGGAACGTGAACGTGATTGTCGGGAAGATTTGAGGGATGTTGCAGTGGAGGTGGAGCCAGGGTTTGATCTTAATTTCTCAATCTGGGATCCTATGGGGTGGAATTTGAATTGGCAGGATGGTGATGATTTATTATTTCTTGGTGGGAGTTTGGGTTCAAGTTGATCGATGTGATTGGTATTGCTTGCGCTTGCCCAGGCGGTTTAAAAGATTTACTCGATACTATGCATAATTATATTACCAGAATGACGCTGATATGATGCCTGACTATCAAGTACCAACAGCCTGCATCTTCAATTGACAATGAGGAATCTCCATGCAAAGACATACCATGCTCCTGGACCAGTTAGCAACACCTCTGCTAAAACACGAAATGAGTATTTCCGCCATATAACTACAAGCTACATCTTGAAGACTGTATCCATAAAGAGAGAAAGGATGTAAGATGTAACAGCCAGACATGTGAATTATAAAGATCACTGCACCATATCAAAATCCCTTCTGAAAGATTCATTATCGTAAATATAGCCATTGATCACCGCATCCCAATCCGTTAATAGCATAGCACCCGGCATTGACAAATCTGAAAATGAAAAAGGATCTTGACTAGAACTTCCCTTAGGCTGTTGGCCAAACCCAGGAAGACTAGTCGTTTCATATCCTGTCGCCGTTGAGCCACTAGCAGGAAATGCCGTGTTTATGGCATCTGGAAGCTGCCATCCATCGAATTGAATATTGCTGGGCGGCTGAGCCCCGACAGCTGCGGTGCCCACAGGAAGCCCAGCACGTTTCCTGACCGATAAAGCTTGATCTCGGAGCATGCCAACATAGCGCCAGATGCTGCCGTGATTATATTCGCCCTGATCCCCCACTGAGGAAGCTTGGAAGTTCAATTCGTGAGGAAATAGCTCTTCGACCAGAAACCAAGCGCGTTCTGTCTCAAGTCTGCCGTGATTGGAGCTGCTACAAAGACATCGCATAACGTATGTGAGAGCGTACCATTGTGTATACATACTGAAAAACCAGTTGAATTTGGAAGCAAGATCATTTAGTAGCACATGACTGCTTTCTAATGCGTCACAGGCCAATGCAAAAGTCTGCTTGAGAGCTTCAGAAGTCCCCTTGTCATGTGTCCTATTTTTCTTTTGCATAATAAGCTGCTCTTGCAGTTGGAGCACAAATAGTACTTTCTTGCAAGCCATGCTGATGTGTTGCATTGCGATACGCGGCAAGCCAGTGAGTCCTCCAGACCTAGGAGATATACCAAACATCTCTTGTAAGCGATCATCGAGATCACGGATATGATTTCGACCATCCTCAATATCTAGCAGAGGGTTTGCAGACCCCATCCCTTGGGCGTCAACAATTGGACGTACCCGCCGGCACGACTCTGCTTGAATTAGAAAGAAAGACATTTCCGTCCAGCCTGTTGACGCTACAGGCAATTGTGTCATATCTGGATAAATTTGATTGTCATTCAAATTTAATGGGAGTCTCATTCCAATATTTCTGATATCAACGGCAGGTTGAACTCCCTGGTCCTCTGGGGCACGTGAGTCAAGCACACACAGATGCCACCAGAGGCGGAGGCGCATTTCAGTTTCAAATGGCTTCATTCGAAGGCTTGCGTCCTCTCGGTATAATCCAATAGATTGAGCTAGCCGGATTGCCAGCCCGTTAAGCACCCATGCACTTCGGCCGAGTTCGTTGGCTCGTAGACAAGTCTAAATTGGCCCCGGTCAGTGAGATGAACTGAATGAATGGTAATTCTCGATCAATCGCAGGTTGATTTTTGATACTCACTGCATAAATAGCAAGAGCCTGTAATGACATAATTTCAGGGCGACTCGTAAGTTCAACCACAGTAAGAAGTCGATCCAGGCACATCCTGTATTGTTTCAAGAGCACTGATATATCCGCAGGTTGTAGGGTGCTAGACTCATGACTATTGTCGTGGGAAAGGGCTGTGACAGCAGCGTAATATATGGCCAAAGTCAACACCAATGTTGAGGATGATGCAGAGCTAGGGTCCAGAATAGTTGCGAGGACAGTAGATTGAACGGTTGGTATATGCAATATTTTGACGACTGGATCGACTGACGTGACGTACACATTCCACAAGCGAAGAGCCAGCTGGGTGTCAGGATATAATTGGAGCACATCAGCAGATATCACCAGTCTGTTGGTATCTAGCTGCGCAACAGGTGTGGGAGAAGTCCTCATATTTCTCCAGGGATATGAAGGTGTTGATCCTGAGCTAGGAGGATGAGCGAGTCTAATACTATTTTCCTGGCAGGCGCTTGATATTAGTTTAATTCCATCACGTAAGATAGTTGCTTAGGAGAAGAAGAACTGAGTGAACTAGAATAAGGTGTTCAGACTTGCATCTTGGTGTGAGGAAACGACGCCTGAATTGTCTGCTACTTGGCCAACAACTCGCTCTTTATTCCACAATAGATCCCAGGTCGAGTTGCCAGGCCGTCGATAGGAGCCACTGAGGTTAGCAGTCCCAGTTTCGTTGCTTTCTACACCGGAATTAGCCTGAACTTGCGTTTGTGACTGGCCCTCATTTTCACCACTCTTCACAATAGACAAAATCAAGCGTTCGAGTCGTTCCAACGAGTTGGTGATATCTTGAAGAGTGGGAGTCTTCTGTGTCTGGCGGTGATCTTTGGAAGGATAGACGCAAGGAATTCGATGCTTCGAACAGTTGACGCAGGGGATTCTTCTGTCACATCGCACTTTTCGGCTATGGCAATTTAGACATGACCGTGCCATTCGCTTCTTATTATGTGGGGATGATTCCTGGGACGAATGCGGGTTGTCGCTGTTTCTCGACCCATCAACAGGCTGGCTTGGTGCCCGGTCCATTCTGGTAGTCTTCGGGATTTACCGGTACTCAGGGTCCGAATAACAATTCAAGGTAGTCATCAGTGCGTAGCATGTGTGTTCACTGGAAGACAACGACGTGCTCGGCTTTGCGGGGCCGATGGGTCCGCGCTTACGTACTTTGATAACTGTCTCCAATACTATGTACGCGGACAGCTCGGTTCCGAGATACCGAGAAGCCTATAGTGTATCAACTATACCAGAGGCAATACTAGTATGTAGCAACACCGATTTTGGGACCCACGAAGTATATAAAGACCTCGCGATGCCCCGTCAAAAAAGCGAGAAATATGGAATAACAAGAAAAGCAAAAGATTAATCGATATCAACCTTACACTTTCTTCTAAAACCTACAGTTCAGATTCCTTCCAAACCGTTCACCTTTTACGCATCTCTTGAAATGGCTCCAGCAGGATTCAAAGTGATTGTTGCCGGCGGTGGTCCTGTAGGTCTCACTGCTGCCATCTCTCTAAGCAAAGCAAACATCGACTTCATTGTTCTCGAGAGGAATGCTAGCGCAGTCATCGATGCGGGCTCCAATCTCGTTCTCTCCCCCATGAGTCTGCGCGCATTATACCAATGTGGCCTTGAAGAAGATCTCAAGCGCGTTACCAGCCCTCTCGGTGATCTTACCCGTACAGATCATTCGGGTCACGATATTGGAAAACTTGACATCTTCAACCACATAAAGCATAAGTACGTGATCAATTCTCTCAAACCAGCAACAGGGCTGAACTGCCAATTGCTAACTACATATAGCCATGGTGAATCTCTCCGTGTTGTGAGCCGTCATGATCTCACACATGTGCTCTACAGTAACCTACCAGTGGATGCTCAGAGCAAGATCCTGACAAATAAGAAGGTTTCGCGAGTTGAGACAAACGACACTGGTGTGATAGTTGAGTGCGATGACGGGACCTCATACGATGGCACTTTTGTCATCGGTGCCGATGGCGCTCATAGTACTGTCCGTCAGCTTATGAGGGAGATCGCTGTCGCTTCTGGTTCCGACAAGATCAATGCAAAGCAGCCTTTCCTCACAACTTACAGAGGATTGTGGGTGCGCTTCCCCAGGCTGCATCTCGAACCTGGTGTCACCAATGAAACCCATGGTGTCGGTGCCTCCACCCAGCTATTCTGTGGAGAACAGTCAACTGTCGTTAGTGTGTATCTACCTTTGGAAAAGCCTACTCGTGATCGCATTCGACATACCGCGGAGGACAAAGAAGCTATTATCAGCCAATGGGGTCATCTTCCACTCACTCCGGACGGCAAAGTCACTCTCAAAGATGCTTATGAGATGCGGTTAGAAGCCGGCCTAGTCAGTCTAGAAGAGGGCGTAGTTGAATACTGGAGCTTGGACGGAAAAGTCGTTTTAGTCGGTGACGCAGCTCACAAGTTCACCCCTAGTACTGGCATGGGCTGCAACATGGGTATGGTTGATGTTGTCGTTCTTGCTAATGAGGTTCGCAAGGCTATGCGTTCCTCTTCCCATGTCTACCCAACACCTGCAGAGCTCGAGGTGGCTTTTGAGTCTTTTAAGAATATCCGCTATGACGTGGTAGTATCAGGCTGCAAGCAGTCTGGCACAGCTACTGCTGCTTCCACTTGGGCTAGTAGTATCTCTCAGCTGGTGGACTGCCACATTGCACCTTTCTCGTTCGTCCAGAAGTACTTTATGGACCGCTCCGCTCAACAGGTTGCCCAGACACCAGTATTTGACTATATTCCTTCTCAAGAGGTCATGCACGGAGCAGTACCGTGGAACAAGAGCATGCCTGATTCGAAAGCTTGATTGAGAGTACGAAGGTGCTGTGTTGGAGTTTCTAGCCCAAAGATATCAGCGATCATGGTCAATCTATAAACATCAACAACAGACTTAAGATAGAAATTTTCATTTGAATTTACATGCCCTTAATTATATGCCCTTGTAAATGTAGAGAATCCTCGCATTCGCAGCTGCAAATTTAGCTTACTAGTAGTTGGCAGACTGGAAGCCTCGGTATACATCGAGCAGAGGACCTAAATCTAGATTGGACATAGTAATGGTGGTGCAAGGTGCGATGTGAAGCACCCCTCGCCCTCCAAAGTTAGGGGTGGAAAAGCAGCCGATTCTGGGGTCAAAAGCCGTCATTTCCGGCGTTGATTTCACAAATCCTCATATTTTAGATATAAAAAATGCTGCAGTTGGGTATGACTAAATCTCAAAATAATAAACAAAACCGAGAAAATGTACAAAGACTGTGCTGGCAATGGAACAGAACAGACAAAAGGATTAAGAGACAGGCGTTAAATGTCAATGTCAATATGGATATGAATATCCGTTGAGTATAAAGAAGAAGTGAAACAATAGTTTCACGATGGAGATGACTTGCTTTCAGAATCGGTGGAGTCACTTTTCCGATTCAGGTTCGGAGACGGACGTAATCCACTGTTGATCTGTGCAGCGATCTGGGATTGTTTGAACTTTTCAAAGCTCTCTGCGTCTTGTCGTTGAGCAGCCCATAGTTCATCAACGGTATTACCGAGCTTGGCAAAGGCATCGTTGCTGTTAAATGAGGATTGAGCCTGTTGCTCGTGGAGACGCTCCAGTTTCTCGCGTAAAGCGACGAGGTGTGAGTCGTCGTCTTCGTCGTCGCCTTCTTCGCGCTCGGGTGGGTTGAGGAAGTCGCGGCGGAGGTTCTGTCCTAGACGATGGACGTGGCCTTCTTCTGAGGTCATGGCGCGAGCGTGGAGAGAGGTCATTGAGCTGGTTCGGGAGAGATGAATGGCGTATTGGTCGGTTTCTTCGTCGTCGATGGCGTTTTCGTTGTCCATGACACTTCCGCTCAAATTGCCGTTGAGGACAGCTGAGCCATTCAAATCCTCTCCAGAGTGTTGGGAGCCGATATCTACTGGGGCAGATGAAGGTGCGGGTTGAGGAGCCAAGCGAGTTTCAGGATATTCATCCTCGAAGCGCTGGATCATTCTGTGCAGAGTGAGATCCAGGAATTGGAGACGTCCTGTAATGAATTTTAGCTTAGAACATGAAATAAGATGTATGATAATATAGAGCTTACTGTAGTTAGCATCGTTACCAGCTCGGTCCTCGCGAATCAGAGCTGACTGGATCCGAGTACGAATATTGCGCGCAGACTCCAGCAGATTCTTTGACATATCGCGTGGCCTCTTGGCAACAACGCCTCTAGATCTCGGGCGACGGGGTGTGGTAGTTCCACTGGTTGGCACTGAATCTCCTGGCATATCAGATCCATGGTGATCGAGGTTCCCAAGACAAACACCCAATGCCTTCACTACACCCGTACCGCCAATGACATAGTCCTCATCAGGAGCGACATCATCCTCTTCATCAAACGGCTCCTCCGCACTAATAGAGTGACCCACAATGTGCTGTAGAATTTCAGGCACTGTGACATCTTTAGATGGAGGCAATGCAAGTGCTTCCGGTATATCTTCCCCGATAGCAGCACCCTCCAGGTTTCGAAGAGAGTACGCCACAATCTGCGACGCAAGTGCCTTCACAACCTCATTGTTTTCTGCAGTGGGAACTTCAATATCCACAGCGATGATTGTACCCGAGACGCGGACAGCAGCCATCATAGATGCGTATACCGCACATGCCTCTTCCTGAACAGCAGGGTCGGTAGCAGATGCCAGAGACGCAATCTGGGGGTTTTCTAATATGTTCAAATGGCAAAGGCTTGGGCATTCAGGTAGAACCTCTGCCAGGCCAATAATATGATCAGGTGATAAATTGACATCAGCAAGATGAATGCGTTTGAGTGATGGCATCTTAGGGAGGAAACGACGGAATGCTCCAAGAGCGTTTGGTTGGGCTGTAAAGAGGCCAGGGTTGTGAGAGAAATCGATGAAGCGAAGGTTGTGGACCTGGGTGAGAGCTTGCAAGAATGGAGAGATCACCGTAGGGTCCAAGGAGCAATCAGCCAAACTGAGCGCGTAGAATGCTTGGTCAGGCTCTATAGCATCTGCAATGAGGTCCAGATCGTTCTTGATTGGGTTGCCTCCGAGGTCAAGTCCTTCGCATTGTCCAGCTCTAACATACTCAATGATATGCCCGAGGCTTTCTCTTGTCACATCGTTGTTGGCAAATCCTAGTCTTCGCAGTCCCATCTTAGTTGAAGCCTCGCAAATCCGTTTCACTTGCTCGCTGGAAGGCTTGCATTCGCTCATCAAGAGTTCCTCAAGGTGGTCCCCACTGAACCTTTCAGCGAGGGCACATGCAAAGGTATCACAGACATCAGTGCAAGATGACGAGCTCTGAGACCCATCACTTCCAACGCGGGGTTTCGGAAAGGGAATGCCAGAAAGATCAATAGCTTTTAATGATTTAGAAAGATGAACGAAGAGACCAATATGGCGCCATCCGTCACGGCCAATTTTTGGATTGTCTTTGAGTGAAAGCTTTTCCACAACACCCCATCGCTCAAACTTGAGACTTGGTGACTCGAATTTGCGATTGCGCTTTCGACGGTATCGCATTTGTTCCACGGTCTTTGTAGATAATAGCGCAGAAAGTATAGCTCGAACAGAAGCATCGGTCAATGCACAGTTTTCCAATAGGAGCTTTCGAACGGGTACAACTGCGAGCCAATCGCTAAGCGTCGCAATATCCTGGGGCGTCATAGGAAAGTTACTGAGATCGAGCGCTGCAACAGTACCAGGTGACTCTGCTAGAGTGGACGATGGTGAAGAGATCTCATCAACCACTCGCTTGAGGACCGGAGTCTCTCTGAGCTGACAACAGCGACGGTAAATCCGCACCGGGTCTGTCGTAGGATGATTCTGGGTTTTGGATCGTGGAGCACCAGCCACCGGTGGCCGAGCTTCATCCTCATCGTTTTCTGCGTCGAGTTGTAGAGGTATCGAGCCGTTTGCCACGGCTTGTCTACGCTTACGTTCTTTACGCTCTTTGCGCTCTTCTTCCGATCGCTTTTTCTTTTCTTGTTTGCGGGTTGGATCCTTCTTTTCGCCATTCGATTCAGGGTCTGCAGGTTTGGGGGGGGCCGCGGAGGTCCCCTCAGTTGAGGTCTCCGTTTGCTGGGCACTCGGAGGACTGCTTGGCTGGGTGGTCGTTGAAGGAACAAGCGCTGATGCTGCCGCCGGTGTCGATGCTGGTGCGGGTGCTGGCACTGATGCTGGTGCTTCCTTCTCAGCCACTGCAGCTTGGTTATTTATCAATGCCTTGGCCTCTTCTTTATCCTTTTCCTTGGCCTCCACCTTAACATCTGTCTTCGCCTCCGTATTGGCATCCGTCTTCGCTTCCGCCTTCGCTTCAGTCTTCGTTTCAGCCTTTTCATCCGCCTTCTTTGACTTCTGCCGATTAGACTCAGGCAAATGCTGCCTCATCTGATTCGTAGGCGGAGCATCCTCATCAGAATCCCGATGCGACAACCCAGCAATCTCCACATCAACACAAAACGCCACCCTATGCAATTTCGCCTGATTCAAATCCGCAATCTTACACCGCTCCCGGTCCTGATCCAGGTTCATCACCCGACGAGGACAATTCGCAGCATTAGGCGGAAGTCTAGGCAATCCACCCGAATTTGATGAGAACTTTCGAAGAGCATTATGAATAAACGAGGGACCCTTCGGCGACGAAGAAGTAAAAGGATTCGAATTTGAATCGTCTTTCTTTTCCTCTTCCTTGTCTTTTGGGGAGTATGCGGCGCCGAACGGGTTCAGATCTAGCGGTCCAGTTGCCTTGGGGCTTGCGGGGCTTCCTTTCAGACTAGATTGCGATGGCGGGGTGGAGCCGGAAGAGAACTTGGAGCTTAGGCTGGATATCCATGAGTTTCGACGGCCGGTGGCTGGTTTTGGTACTGTTTTGGCAGCTGTCGGGGCTGGTGTCGTGGATGTAGAGGAGGAGTTTTGGTCCGCGGGAGATTCCGGTGTTGGTGTTGGTGTTGGTGTGGCTTTTGTTTCTTCTGGGATTGAGTCGGGTTGTGGTTCGCGCTTTGGAGCTGAGCTGTTTGAGGATGGCGGACGGGCTGGGCTGCTATTTGATCGAGTTCGACGGTGCGCTTTGGAGGGATTGGGCGCTGAGTCTTTCGTGCTGGTGCTGGTGCCACTGCCAGTACCAGTACCTTCAGGCCTGCTGCTTCCCGTTGAAGTGACAGATTTCGTGCGCGAGAGATGATCTAAAGGAGAGTATGTATGTTAGAATCAGTGTTCCTCATGTAAATGTCTCTTTTCTTCGTTCATCTTCCTCTTCGGCTTTTCGCTCTCCTCTCTGTAACCCCTCTCAAGCTAGGGAAACCCCGGATCACCCGGCGGGCGGAAGTGGGACTCTCACCTTTCTGAGAATGATGAAGCCAGCTCACATCCACAGTTTGAACACCCTCCATCTTGAGCCTTGTTCTTGTTCAACTGTTGATTATCGCAATAAACAAAATATGAGGGCAGAGGGCTGCGGGAGACCCTGTAGTATTTGCGGGTGGCCAGCTATGTGGCGTGGAATTATCAAATGATGGGGAAGGCCTTAGTTCGGATGACGCATAGTTGGCTGATCCCCCCACTTCTTCAAAGATCTTCGACCGAAAATGCCACAACGATACCCAGTCGGTTATGTAGAATAGTAGTATGAGGCAGTACAAGGTAGGTAACTCGGAAGGTATGCGACCAGCGGAATTGCTGAGTCAATGCAAGGTTCGAGATACCACTACAGATGGTAGCAAAGCGGTCTCACCGGAGAATGGTTCCAGGACAACATGGTGAGGTGGGCTAGTGAGATAAGAAGAGAAGAGGATAGAAGTTAGGAAATCGCAAGAAAAATATCCGAAGAGGAAAGAGAACGAGGCTATTGGAAGCGACCGGATGTGGATGAAGCGATTAAGGTGACATAATCGTGTCTTTGCCCCGGGAGTTGTGGAGTCTCCACTTCTTTATTGGCTTTATTGTATTTATAATTATAATTATGATTAACCTTGGACTAGCTAACTCTGGATAACAGAATTTAGAGAACTCAGACTCTTTACAAGTAAAAACTGTCAAACTGTAAGACTTAGTGGACAGCACGTGAGGTAACATACGAATGATCGACTCCGTTCTGATTGAAACCCTCCGTGACCGGCCAGAGTTCAATGATAGGGGAAAAACCTAGTAAAGTGGGTTTCAGCAAACACGAAAAGTCGAAAAGTCACAAAAAGAAAGACAAGAAAAGAGAGAAAAGGGTGGGGGAAAAGCCAGTTCACCCGATCATCGGGCAATGAAAACGGCACCGGGGTTGATCTAGTCTCTTTCCAACCAAAGAGGACCTAAGAGGACCCCTCTTTAATTTCTCTTTAATTCCTCTTGAATGGAGTAATGACTCCTGAATATCCACTATTTTGGACCTAGCATTGTTCATTCCGTTCCTAGTAGATCCATAATTGCATATACAATACACACCGACACAGACTAACAGACGCCACCGAGCTTGATCATCAGTGACGAAGTTATTATTTGCAGAAAGAAAATGGTAATGTAATAATGGTGGAGAGAAGGGGTGGATGGGGGATGGAGGAGAAGTATACATATAAAACCACCCCACAATACAAAAAAAAGAAGACAATAAATACTGTAGAATGAACCAATGAAACAATTAAAAAAAAAACTCCAGTCCTCCCAAGATCATCAACCCTCGGAAATAAAATAACAGAAAAGGGTTCTGAGACTCGGGGGAATCCGTAGAATAACATAAAACGCCAGTCTCTATGCAAATCAAAAAAAAAGAGGAAGAGAAAGAGAAAAGAAAAGAAGAAAAGTCATCACGGCATCATTCCATCCTAATTCCGCCCATCCCCGTAAATCCACACTTCTATTCCGCACTAGAGGTATGCTTGAGGATCTCCCAGCCGTACTCCTCTTCGGGTCTTTCAGGCTCCATTCCGAGGGCGTTACGGTATGCGCGAACCTCATTTTGCAGCCCAGCGACAATGCTAACGGGCATCTCATCCTCGTCCGATCGTAACCGATGGGCGTTTCGAATCATCTCTGCACACCGCATCGTTTGGGTATGCCAATAATCGCGGTCCAGCCGACTCTCCAGATGTGCATCCCGTTCCGCCTGTAGGAGATTGTTGTAATGACTCTTCTGATATAAGAAATGCATGTTGTTGTTCTGACAGTAGTTGCGGATCTGTTCTACCATTGTACCCACCCCAGACTCGTAGTCTCCAATGAGTTTGGTGTTTTCGGATTGTTCCCGCTTCAGGTCTTCAACCGTTCGCTTCTCCTTCGCGAGCGCTCGTTCGAGTTCAGAGATTCGGGCAGCTACCGGTAATGTTAGCTACCGATCGATGAATTGGAGAGGGGCCCAGTTGTTATAATCAGAGCGAGGGCGACGGTAAAATGTCTGAAACGCACCTGTGATTTCACCATTGACTTGTTGCATTGCAGGACTAGCACCTTCTGAAGACCCATGTTTCTATTCCGACCGTGTCAGTTTACACTTAGACTCACTTCCCCCAAACAGAATTATTGGAACCTCCTCAAGACGTACCATGATTTCCTCAGCACTTGTAACAATATTCTTAGTGACCTCTCGGTTATTCTTCAAAACCTCACTCAATTCCAGCACCATATCGTAGAGATGATGGAGATCCATCTGGTGGCCCGCATTCATCGGTCCATTTCCATTCATCGCAGCCATGCCTGTTCCATTCATCTGGTTCGCCGGGTGTGGGATTGCAGGCGGCAGGGATTGCACGGGTTGGCGAGGGACGCTGCCCATGTTAGGGGTACCAGGGGAGTTGTCCACGTAACCCGAGAACAACATGCCAGACCCCGGATTGCCAGACATTCCTGTACCGCTGTTCATCGACATATCGGCTTCCGCAAAGGCTCGGTTCAATTCCTCGAGTTGAGGATCGTACGGATGAATAGGATGTGAGGTGCCGTTTTCCTCGTCGTAGAAGGAAGCGTGATTTTCAACGCCTAAGACCTCCTTCTGAAACTTCTCAAGGTCACGCCGACTCACGTGGGTGGAACGACGGCGGTGCCCACGCGTAAAAGGTGCCTTGGAAGGGGAGGGAGGAGTAACACCCTCGATGATGGCGGCACAATCGAGAAGCTGGGCGGGGTGGTCAATTATCGCGTCTTCGTTTTGTTCAAGGAGATGGCTGTCGTGAATGTAATTGATGGGGGTGGCCACACCATGCCCGATCGGGTTAGCTCCCCGCCCGTTCAACCCGACCAAGCGCTTCATCTTATCCAGTGCACTCATCGATTCACGCTGAATCTCGGGTTCTGGCACTGCAGCAGCAGTCATCGATCAGGCATGTTCTGACTGTGTCGCCTCTATGGGGGGATCTGCGATTTTGTTTCCACTCAAACCAGGTCCCGCGCTTAGGATGTAGGTGTAATCGAGTCGATGACGGAGACGGAATGAATTGCAAAGGAACCCGTGAACTTTGTCTCTTCAATCGCACCTGCTGATGCTGCTGCAAACCCATGGAAGACGGCCTGATGCCTGCAGTCGTAATAGTTAGCTCTGGAGAGTACCTTCCTCCCCCGCTTCTCTCCTTGCACTAGCTCAGTCTTATAGAAAATGTGTTCGTCGCAATCGAACTAGCCTACCGAGGACAACCAGTGGTACTTGACGCTTTTACAAACCATGCGGTGCTAGGTTCAAAATCCATTTTGCATGGACCAGGGTTCTTCGCAATGTGAGGGATGTGTTTTAAAAGAAAGAAAAGCCAGATAACAAGAAAAATAAATCAAAAATAAAAGTAAAGTAGAAGAATAAGTAGATAACAAAGCGAAAGACAAAGAAACATTTCATTAAAAAATTGATGTCATTCAAGTCATACATCCAAGTCCATAAGAGCTTCCACTCTGCGATCTGACCCTGGAAGCAAGTATTCTTCCCCACCTGAGACCTCCCCACCAGGTTTCTGCTGTGCAATCCGACCTCCAACTCGAGCGACCAGCATACGCATCTTCTCTAGTTCCTGCGCCAAATCTCCATCGCGCGTGACCAAATTAGGCTGAATATCTTGTTGTGGGTCATTGAACGGCTCAAGTAAGCGATGCAAATGTTGAAGCTGATCGCGTCGTCGCTGTCTTTGTTGCCGCCGCTGATCTAGACTGGCCAGTCGTTCCCGAAGATGCTGGTATCTGTACAACGGAGTTAGACGGGCGGGTCTCCAATCGGAGAGAATCCTGCCTGATGGATGGGAAGACTTGCCGTGCATTTTGCTCGTCGTTGGCACCCTGCGACTCTAGATCTAAGGGTAAATTGACAATGTTCCTTCAGAACTTGTCAGTATAATGCAATAGCGAGATTTTGATGAGAAGAATCGGTGTAATCATACATGTGCCTCGATAGATCTGCTGTTTTCTCGACTCCTTTCGCAAATGCAGCTCGGCTCTGAATCTCTTGACTGACAGAGGCCCAGTACAGATTGGCAATTTGGTGCGCGACATGGTGAATTGCCTGGGAAGGATATACCACACGATTATGTTGCTTGGCTTCCCAATTGACTACACGGAATTAGCATCGAATAAGTAAGGAAGACGGTGGGCAGAGCTTTCTTACCTTTGTGCAATACGTCCTGGATCACCTTGTCAGGCAGGGCTCCATCTTCGGTCTCCACTGCATAGTTTCTCCAATCCTCTGGGGGTTCGAGGTTTTCGGAGAGAATCCGGACCTGGTTCCAAATGAAGGTCGACTTCAATTCGGATATTGTTCGCGTTGAATCCATCGCTCCATCGCAACAAAAAGATGTGGATTATGAATTAGACTCGCGGAGTGGCTTCCTTATCTGCAGAGCGCGTCTCTTATCGATAACGCGTCGATGATTTCTATTGGCTGACGAACACCTAATTTGGTATTAAAGTGGGTCTAGTCCATGTACATATACAGCACCAATGTTGAGAGACGATGCAATGAATAGATCGTTCGCTAGCTAGTTTACTTTCTCTTTCGCTATTACCACTAGTATATGCTCTTAAGTCCGGAAATATCAAGGATTTGATGGCACTGGAAAAATGCATTTCAAAGAACTCGAAATCTCTTGGATTTGCAAACTTTACCTATCCGCAACGTGAATAGTATATATTTTGAGAAAATAGGTGGCGAACACGCTGACTAACGCGACGCCCACTGAAGTGGGAATTTTAATGATACTGCATTTATGAGAATTAGATATTTAAAAACGAGATTGAGAAACCTTCGTAGAGCCTTTCATGAATTGCGATTTAGCAAAAGCCTACGAAAAGAGAGCTGTTGTGACTGGTGTATGGGGAAGAAGATCCCTCGGTCTCAACCCCCACGTACCTCGGCAATAAGACCGCATCCAGCCCTGAAGGGTCTCGATCACTTCCCAAGCAACTTGAATACCTCTGTACATTTACTTGGTTGTCAACTCTCTACATAACACTCGCGGCATATTATTCGAAGAAAAGCCGACATATCCCTGATTTTCATTCTCATGGCAGACAACCAAACTCAGCGCCCAGTGGGGCTTCTTTTCGACATAGGGGGAGTCTGTGTAAGTCGGCATCAAGACCAGCTCTAAACTATGCATGATAACTAACAAACCGTCAGGTTGTGTCTCCATTCCAGGCAATTCTAGATTATGAGCTATCTCAGAACATCCCCCCTGGATGGGTGAATTTCAGCATATCCCGCAGCAAGCCTGACGGCAGCTGGCACAGGCTCGAACGAGGCGACATCCCCATGGATGCCGAGTTCTTCAAAGGCTTCAACGAGGACCTACGGAATCCCACATTCTGGAAGGAATTCCATGAGCAACTACAGAATAAGAAAGGCGCCAGCGGCCCGGCCACAGTCCCACCACTCCCTACCGTGGATGCTGAGTGGCTTTTCTGGGAAATGATGAGGATATCTCGCACTCCCGACCCGTATATGTTTCCAGCTTTGAAGAGACTCCGAGATTCAGGCAAATTTCTCATGGGTGCCTTGTCGAATACGGTGAAGTTCCCCGATGGACATCCATACAATGATGATGTGTCTGGTGTACGATCTCAGTTCGACTTTTTCATTTCCTCTGCGCATACGGGACTTCGAAAGCCTGATCCACGGATTTACGAGGTGGCGATTCAAGAGATGAATGATTTGGCGCGAAAACGAGGACTGCAGCCAGTTCAGGCTGCTGATATTGTTTTCTTTGACGACATTGGTGAGAACTGTAAGGGGGCGAAGAAGGCTGGTATGGGTACTGTGAAGGTTACCTTGGGCAAGATTGAGGTTGCAGTTAAAGAGCTAGAAAGAATCACTGGCCTTGAATTGCTGGACAATGATAAGGCTCGACTTTAGGCGGTTTAGCATGAATATGGTGCATTTTCTTTTCTTCTCTTACGGGAGTTTCAGCCGTTTACTAGGGACTGAAGATGGAAATAAGGCCAAGTGGTAGATAGACAGAAAGATTGGAGAATTAAGAATTAAGATACAGCAGGATCTTATTACTGTTCCATCGTTAATCATTAAATTGAAGCGATGTGAATTGCACGTAAGTCAATGTATGTAGTGGACCCACACTACGTAGCAAAGTCTGGGTTGTGGTCCTGAAGCCGCGACTATTATGGTGGTCGTCGACGGTCGTCGCCAACCGCACTTTTGAGTTGCGGGATGCAGCCCACGCTAAGCGAAATCCCCCACAAAGAATCGCCGCACCACCTCGAATTTCTTTTTTTCTCTCCATCCGTCGACATCAGTTCTCAGCACCGACAACCGTCATCATGGTGAGTGTTACTGCCATTGCAGATGGTTGAAACATACCATTCTGCATTTTTATTTTTCTTTCCCTCCGTTTCAACCGGAGCCGGGTCTTTGCAAGATGCTTCGGACGACAAAATTCTGAAGCGCTAATTGCTGACTCGAGGTTTTTATTCTTGTAGCCTTTCACCAAGAACGTCAAGAGCGATGCCTACTTCAGGTAAGTAATTATACCCACCAAATCTCATTTTCGATGAGAGAAGAAAACTTTTACGTTGTGATTTTGTTTGAGAGATGAGGCTAATTTTTTGACCCCTCCAGCCGCTACCAGACCAAGTACCGTCGCCGCCGTGAGGGTAAGACCGACTACTACGCCCGTAAGCGTCTGATCACCCAGGCCAAGAACAAGTACAATGCGCCCAAGTACCGCATGGTCGTCCGTTTCACCAACCGCGACATCATCACCCAGATCGTCTACTCTGAGATCTCCGGTGACAAGGTTCTCGCCTCCGCTTACTCTCACGAGCTCAAGCGCTACGGTATCAACCAGGGTCTGACCAACTACGCCGCTGCCTACGCCACTGGTCTGCTCCTTGCCCGCCGTGTCCTGGCCAAGCTCGGTCTGGATGAGCAGTTCAAGGGTGTCGAGGAGGCCACCGGTGAGCACACTCTCACCGAGGCTATTGAGACTGATGACGGTGAGCGCCGTCCCTTCAAGGCTTTCCTTGATGTCGGTCTCGTCCGTACATCCACCGGTAACCGTGTCTTCGCTGCCATGAAGGGTGCTTCCGACGGTGGTGTCTTCATCCCCCACTCCGACCGCCGTTTCCCCGGTTACGACATCGAGACTGAGGAGCTCGACGCTGACCTGCTCCGCAACTACATCATGGGCGGTCACGTCTCTGAGTACATGGAGACCCTCGCCGATGAGGATGAGGAGCGCTTCAAGTCCCAGTTCGTCAAGTACGTCGAGGATGAGGTTGATGCCGGTGACCTTGAGGAGCTCTACACTGAGGCTCACGCCGCCATCCGCGAGGACCCCCACAAGAAGGATGAGGATGAGGGCTCCAAGAAGACTAAGGAGCAGTGGAAGGCCGAGTCTAAGAAGTACAAGGTCGAGAAGCTCACTCACGCCCAGCGCAAGGCCAACGTCGCCGAGAAGATCAAGCAGCTCTCCGCCCAGTAGATTGTCTGCTAGTTCTGACATGTCTGACGGTTCGCTACTGTTTCTCCAAAAGTTCCACCAAAATTTCATGAGGGGACTGGCTTATTGCCACTCGGCGTTTGTTTTTTGATTCATGCACATACCACTTCTGTTACGTTTTAAGGAGGTTTTCTCGGAGCAATTAGTTCGGTGTTTCATTCAAGGCAATTTTCCTTTCCACAGCTCTAACTGCTCCAATGTCCATGAAATCTCATCGTTCCCTCACCAATTTCCTTGCTAGTACGCCCTTGGTTTGGTTCCGTAATTATTTATTGTAGACGGGAACCAGTAGGTGATATCCTCAATGTAGACCAGTAATTCGTACAGTAGAATTCGAAAACAGATTACCCCTTAGAAACTCACCCTTTCTTTCCTTGCACTAAAACTGAAGTTGGTCAGAGAAACCCACCACCTTTTCTTAATGTACTTCTGGTGGATCACCAAAGTTACCGTAATGACGGTTTCCGCCATTGGGTTGACCATACTTACTGCAACGCCCCGTGGCTATACTAGTCAGAGCACCGGATGAAACGTTTCCTGACCGGTGATCCGACCTTGGAAAGACGACCAGCCCCTGTCCCAAAGGTCCCAAGGAAAGCCCATCGGGGTTCGGCAGGAACTCGAATCCTATTCCCGGTTATCTAGATGGCCGTTATACACCGTAGTAGGAGTCCGGGCATACGTATTACTGCCCTGTCTGATCGCATTTTTTCTAACCCGGCCACCTGTCATCATGGGAGTTGCTTCGGATGTTCTCTACTTTGCTCTTCATCCGAATCAACTAGGAGTGCTGGTTCAATGGTGGGTCGAGAACTACATCAAATGCCCTCTCTCTTGAATGACTGCCGAGGCTTGCTGACCCTGGGTCTATCAATCCCGCAGGAAACTACGACATGTTCCCATACATAAGAGAGACGAAACGCAAGAGTCAGCAACAGCCAAAATCTGCTTCGAATTCTTGGATCAGACAGGTCGCAGCTTCAGCCCCGTTGTTAAAGAGCTACACCCTGAGCTACTTTTGCCAGTATGCGTGTTTTACCTGATACTGCGTGGCCTCGATACGATCGAAGATGATACATGAATCCCCTTCGATGTTAAAGAGCCACTCCTTCGAAACTTCAATGATTATCTAGATCAAGATGGCTGGACGTTTACCGGCAATCGCCCAGAAGAAAAGGATCGCGCGCTACTGGTGCAGTTTGACAATGTCATTACCGAGTTCAGGAAATTGAAACCAACTTACCAAGCGATTATCAAGGATGTCACTGACGAAATGGGGAATGGTATGGCTGATTTTGCGAGAAAGGCGGCTCTCGGGGATGTGAGCGTGAATTCTGTGGAAGAGTTTGACCTCTATTGCTGGCATGTAGCCGGAATCGTTGGCGAGGGTTTGACTCACCTCTTCGTCGAGGTCGAGATGGGCGAGAGTACCCTGATCAATCACTCACTGTATAGATCAATGGGTCTCCTCTTGCAAAAGAACAACATCATCCGCGACATTCGTGAAGACTTCGATGACGGTCGCCGGTTCTGGCCCAGAGAAATCTGATCCAATCACGTCGACAACTTTGAAGATCTGTTCGAACCCAAGTATCTCAGGAATGCGCTTAATTGCAGCTCTGAAATGGTCTTGAATGCTATCAAACATGCATCTGACACTTTGTCATATCTTGCGGGGTTGCGTGAACAGAGCGTGTTCAATTTCTGCGCGATGTCTCAAACTATGGCTTTGGCTACGTTGGAGTTGTGTTTTCGCAATCCGGTGGTCTTTGAACAAAACGTTAAAATCACCAAGGGGGATGCGTTGCAGTTGATGGTTGAGTCTAGTCAGGATCTTGAGGGCGTGGTGAAGGTCTTTTGTCGTTATGTTCGTCGAATTCAACGAAAGAACGACCCCGAGGATCCAAATTTCTTGAGAATCAGTATTGCATGTGAAGAGGTTAGTTTTTCTACAACTGATGAAGGGTTGTTGACGATAGCTGACTTGATAAGATTGAGAAATTTGCCGAGACTCTGGCGCTCGAGAGTGTTGAGCTTGCTCAAAAAAAGACCGAAAGGAAGGAGCATCAGGCTGGGCCTAATGCTGGACAAGTGATTGCTGCTTTGGCAGTCGCCTCAATCTTTGTATTGGGGATTTCCTGGCTCATAGCCCATAGAAGTTCGCTTTAATCTTGCATAAGCTTCTACTAGATAGGCAGAAGCTTGGAGTAGAAATGTAGGTATATTCCATATTGAATTATCCTGCGGGAGAAAACTTGCCAAATTTATGCAGAGAATGCAAAGAAGGACCACATGTAAAATGGTTGTTTACGACTCAGTCAATTATAAATTAGGTTGTTTGAGGTACGGGCTCAGAAACAAGCTGTGAGTGTCGGAAGGGTAATCTGTTTTCGGATGTATGGCCATGGGGCTTTGCAGCAAGTATGGTCAACCCAATGCCGCAAACTGTGATTACAGTAACTTTGGTGATCCACCAGAAGTACATAAAGAAAAGGTGGTAGGGACTTTCTCTAACCAATTTCAGTTTAGCGCAATCTAAGTAGGGCACTGGGAAAGAAAGTGTGAGTGTCTAAGGGGTAATCTGTTTTCGAATTCTACTGTAATGGGATATAAGGCTTGGTCTGGTTACTGGTGACTGCCATATCGATGGGTCTCAACAAAACTGCCATGAACTGTCCTCAGTCCTTCGGGATCAAGAACTTTCAGCATCTGTCGTCAATCAAATATCCTGTCATCAGTATGGCGGCAGTAACATTGTCCGCAGCCCTGTAATTACGTATCAGAATATTTTCGGAGCCATTTGATGCATGTAGTAACTTACCCATAGAATTAATCAACACGAAAGTCGATAGTTCACTGCGTTGTGATTCCGGTCTGCCAGTGATGAATGCAATAAGCTTGAGATGATAAAGACTGCCGAGGTCGCTATGGGTCCAAGCGATGTAATCAAGACTGCTAGAGTTGATGATGTCGCTGAAGACATGCTAATGCAACAGAACAGACTGGGTTAAATAGTAGATACAAGAGGACATATGTACAATGGTAAGCTAAATATCTCATTATCTCAAGAAATGAGTTGAAGTCGAATTTACAGCTTTCCAAAAGCCGTTTATAAGGGATCCCATCGCCGTCTAATCCCACGCGCAAGCATCGCAGGGTCCTTTTCCGAAGGAACAAGAGGCACAATTGTACTCGCACGCCGCGCAGGAATAATCTCAGCAAAATTAGGCGCAAGATGAGCGGGAGGATCAGAATAAGGCGTAATGCCGCGCTCGATAATTAATTTCACAATGGGGGGTGAGTCGCAAATTCCTGCCATTATGTCTAAACCTGAAAGATCCGTGGCGCTATTAAGCAAAAGGCGAAATTCGGTGACTTTTTTAAGATGCGCTGCTAGCTTTAGGCCATTGTTTATATCGGATGGATATGGATTATGCTCGAGCAGTAATTCAATGAGAGGTTGACTTTCATCTCTGAGAAGAGCGGCTTCAAGAGGACATTTATCGAGAATGAGGAATCTTCTTCCGTATTGTCGGGGGATGAAGGCTCTTAGGCTTGGATCGGCTCCTTTGTCCAGTAGGAGTTGGACTATATTCAGCGGCTGTGGCGCGAACTTGAGCGCAGCAAGGAGTGTAGTTTCGTATCCGCGGGGATGTTGAAAGTTGATACTGACGCCTTCTTGTGTTAAAAGAAATTTCACACGTTCCATATCACATTTCTCAGCCGCGGCCCTTAGCATCCAGTGCAGATTTTGTCTCAGCGTTAAATTTTGAGAAGGTCGCTCCATATATGGAAGATTTTGTTCTTTTTGAAACAGATCATCTGCAATCTGATAATGACCCTGCATTGATGCATGATCGGTCGCCTGCATATCCTGAATATCTCTAGCGAGAATACCTGCCCCCTTCGCAATAAGCATTTGTACCAGGTTGAAATGCCCACCGCGCGCAGCGAGCATAAGTGGGGTCCAGCCAGCCTGGCCTCTATACTCGATATCGACTCCAAGATCGAGAAATTTCGCCACAATGTCAATATGCCCACTTATAGCAGCATATGATATTGGATGTAATTTTGGTATCGCTCCTCTATGTGGTGATGGCTGGGTGGCTCGGAGAAAAGGATCTTCGGCCACTTCTAAGCGGTAATTCGACTCCCATTGAACACTCATGCCTGTCGCAAGGGCAAGTTCTAGAGTTTTCATGTTGCCAACACAGGCGGCCCAAAATAATGCTGAAGATTTTTCGTGGTGCACATTGTGATGATAAAGATCGGCGTTTAACATGTGGTAAAGGCGAGAATTGCATTGGACAAGCGCATTCCAGTCGCATGTTTCCAGTTCTTGTGTAATGTTCGAAAGAGTTTCATAGGGCAGTCCAAGTAAAGACATCCTGGAGTGCACTGGCAGCACTGTAAGTCGAAGGAAGACTCTGGAAGAGCACACTGGTTCGCAGGATGAGTCTACCTATAAATGTGGTTCCAAGGCGCGTCGCTCTTGTATGGCATGAACCGGTTCCGTCCCTGGTCCCCACATCCCAATGGCTCTCCCACCGCCAGGGACTCCACCCCACTCCTCGTAATCCTCGAAATGCAGCGTGGTGGGTCCCCTTCCTTCATTTTCAAGTTTGAACATACATTTTTTTGAAAAGAAGTTGCGGTCGCCTCGTTATGTAGTTTAGTCGTTTATTTCCAGGCTTTTTAAGCTGCCATTAGGAAGTCACCTGACCCATTACACGCTCATTATGGACGGAAGCGAGCTAAGCCTATTTGGGACGAATGAGTATTTACTAGGCCTCGAATCCTCAAAACATATGACTTGCAGAATGGCAACTACTCAAAGCTCCGTCATTTCTTTTATGTCTCCAGCTTGAGATTATCTTCATGATCATGGACTTATTGTCGCCCGTTGATACTCTGTGCTTAGCGTTATGTAACCAACAACTACTGATCGCCCTCAAATTTGCAACTACGAATATAAAGGGTTCTCGTTTGCGAACCAAGTTCAAGTTCCCGAAGAGAGTTTCACAAGACCGGAAGAAATAATAATTATGTTTTGGATGTTCTCGACTACATCCCTGGCGCAGCGTCGATCGAACCAGTCCAACCATGTCCTTACCCAAATGTTCGAAAAGTCCCACCGGAGCTTCAGCCCGGCCCTGCATTCAATAACCTATCTCCATGCTATACGGATATGAATTTCTCTTTCATTCATTTGCAACTCGCTATGAGACGATTCTACTACAGACCAATGTTTGGAATTGAGGCAAGCTCTGGAGGTCTATTTCATACATCCTTTCAAAACACATGAATTCAGGCCATCTGACACTCTCTCCAAGTACCTTAAAACCTCATCGGTTATCTTCTTTTACCCTTTTGATTCTTCTTTTTAAATGCTTTCATTTTTAGGAACAGTCCAAGCTCAGGCCATTTTTTTTCCACTGGTTTCTAATAATTTCAGTACTTCGTCCGTCGACATACAGCTTCTGTTACGTTAGGGAGGGTTCTTTTCGACGCAATTTCCTCTAGATGTTAAGGCAAATGGAGAAACGTCTTTTATGAATACTTTAGATTACGCTAGCTAGTAGGTCCGCACTTTTTAAAAAAAGAAAGAAAGCTTATATCTCGAAGATATAGTATTTTAAGAAAGTACCTACTGTCCAGCCTGGCGATATCCGGGATCTATAGTAGGACTGCTGTTGTGGGCCAAAATGAGGCCTTTCCCCCTCTGGACACTATACCCCCGTAAAAACACTACTTGTGATAGGTGATAACCAAGTTGTAGATAGAAGCTCTGGAGTTTTATTACATACATTCTTTCTATCTAAACTCCGTAGTCACTATAGTGCTGAACAGTACACGAATTCAAATTGATGCCTCAGGCCACAAGACCACTAGCCACTGAGAGCCCAGTTTATTCCACATGAGGTTTAGTGCCTAGAGGACTCATGGCTGGGCATCTGGGGTCGTTTCAAGTTTCAACGACTGACCATAACCTTCCAACATTCCCCACCCCTGTGAAATCATAAGCATGAGGCTCTTTCTTATCAGACACGGAGAGTCGGAGCACAATGTAGCCCAAAAGTGGCAAGTAACCATTCTACCTACACGGCATATGGGCCATCCCCCACTAACATTACTATCAGGGCGGGGATCACCGATTCGGCCCTCACAAACCATGGCATGCTGCAAATTGAATCTCTTGGAGAGTACTTCAGCTCTAACGCCATTTATTTTGACCGTATATTTGCATCGGATCTCAGCCGCGCACACATCACAGCAGCCGGCATCTGCAATCAACAGCCGAAAGGCGAGAATGGAGAACGCATTCTGACACCCATTATATCTGGCTACCTGCGAGAAAGGTCTTTCGGCTCGCTAGAAGGAAAGCTCTTGGCTAATACATCTGCAAAGCCTGAGACTAAAAAAAAAGAGAATGCGCAGTCTGCTCCCTCCAATGATTCATCTACTCCACATGTGGAGATTGAGTCGGTGGTTGCAATGCGACAGCGTGCTATCTCATTTCTGAATGAACATATTTTGCCATCGCTGTTTGAGTGTCCAGATGCGGATACAAACGTGGCCATTGTTTCTCATGGCGCGTTCCTGCGCGTTTTTTGGAATCGAATCGTCGAACTCTTCGATCCTACGAGCATATCCATAGACCCCAACAGTAATTATTGGAATGATGGGCCAGCGGCGTTCATATTGCCAAGTTGGTCCAACACGGGCTTCTTGCAATTGTCAATTCAACCAGGCAAAGAAGCTGCGGGGCAGAAGACTTCTGATCCGGACATCCTCTTGAAAGGGTGGGCCGTGAGAATTGTTGCTGTTGATCGCAAAGCGCACCTTGAGGGGCTACAGCGGACTCGTGGTGGAATTGGAAGTGCTACGCACGATTCTTCACAGAAGAAGATTGATCAGTTTTTCAAGAACTAGATTATGATAGATCTGAATACATGAACCTCCTTCTTGTACTGAGCTTCAAGGCTGCCGAAAAAAGAACATTGGACGGTTTAGGTTATGTGGCCCCCACAACCCCAGTAGCAGCCCCGGGGGCTAACCATCCGGGGTCTCATATTCCATTGCGGGCCAAAATGTAAAGCCATTCGGTAAGAAGTGAAGATCTTCGAGATTTCCAAGGTACGGTAATTCCTTGTTTGAGGCTGATGTGGTTGAGAAGAATCACAACCTTTCAATATCCAATAAAAGTGAAGAATATATGATACACCCATGGGGGCCAGAAGCCGCATGCACATTCAACCCCTGCATGCCCCAATGTAACCCCTGGCCCTGGGGCCGCTATATGGGGATCTGCTCTCATTCGCCCCAAATTCATACCCTTTCAAATCAACATAGTAGCCACTGACGCCAATGCTAAACGCGCCATGAGAGATTAGCCAAACAACGAAGTATAAGTAGGAATTGAACAGACTTCAAAGCGAGAAAAATTATAATTCCTCAGCAAGAACACAAATCTACAATCCTTTTTTTTCGCTTGACTCACACGGCGAGCAGAATTGCCATATTGCATCTTATCTTGCAATCAATCCTTACATCCTACCATGAAGTTCATCTTCTTTCTTCTAGCGGCTGCTGTCGCGACTAAATCCCCACTTACCAAGCGTGATGAGTGCAAGGCTGGTATGTGAATCTTCCTATGCATGGCTCGTTGTAGGCTGGCTAATTATCTTCAATATATAGAGGTTTGCTCTGACGATTCCGATTGTACACACTGTGGTGACGGTTGGAGCTGTATCACACTACCTGTCACAGTAGATGGAAGCACTCAAATGTGCGGCACTTACGGCTAGAAGAAAATGATCCAAGGAGTGAAGAATACCGAGGGTGATCACAAGCCAGTCCAGCACCGGACAAGAGGTGAGAACAAATTGAGATAGTTTTTCTTTATTTCAGCCAACGGGCCATGAAGCTGATATCTTTTGTACATAAATATCCCGAGGTCATGATGCGTGGATAGCTGGTATGTGCATCAGCCCGATGTTAGAACCAGAAGCTCCAACTGTGGATAATCATTGTCAGAAAACACTATATCAAAGAATAACGGGCTCATATGCATACATAAATGCTTTTCTCATCAATGATATGGCTAGTAGATTCAATCGGTATAGAATACTTCATCCAATACTTTCCACCACCCAGGTCCATCAGCACTGCTCACCGCACCAGGAATAGGGCTCTCCTAGTTTAAGAGCACGGCATTAGCTTGCAAGCGCCAGCGAATTCAACCATTGTTTATTATTGTGCACGTACCTGCATTCCATCCGTCATTGCCCACCATTCCCTGACCTTTGGATTGGCTCGCATGTTCTCCATATCGCCTTCAAAGTCTGTGCCGACGTACTTAAAAGTGGAAAAGAGGGTACGGTCATTGTCGAAAAAGATTGAGTCTAAGGTAGTACAAACATTAGATTTCAAAGCCTCAAGTCCGATTCAAATCGCAAAGAAGAAACTTACAGTCTTTGATGTTGCAGTCTTTGATTTGTTGTAAGACCTCAGGCCACACATTGGCGTGGCATTCCTTGTATGCTGCCACAGCGGAGGGCTTAAGGTGCACAATTTGGGCAATGCGGCGAACTGAAGACATGTTGATGGGGCTGTGATGAATTTGAGAAAGGTAACAATAGCTGATCGAAATGAGATGGCAGAGTTACCACTTTGTCATGCCCCGCGATTTCGCCGCATCATTAGCCCGCCATCGGGGACCGCTAACCCGAGCCCGAAGCCGTGTCTTGTGGGCTTCGGCATGCCGAGTAAAAGATGCCTAATTTATCCAACTTGACATCTACAATAAAATACAAAAGGTTCCAGAAATTTGAGGTATCGTGGTAAATATAACATGATTGTCATTGAAAAATTATAAATCCTATATCTATGAAATCGCAACAGTCTTTGCCACCGGTCGAACCCAACCGACAGCTACATTCGCAGCTAAAGCAATGGTGCCCATGATCCACATGGACCGACCATACTGAGACTCATTATATCTGAAAATGATGGCAAATATAATCCCACCAAGATTTCCGAATCCACCGACAATTCCAGAAACAATGCCTGTATCAATAAAAATAGAAATTAGCACGAGTTGACAAAAGCGATTCCGGGCGATTACCCGAGGGAGATACAACTCACCATTAGCATAAGGATGAACATGAGGAACCAGCCCAAAGTTCGCTCCATTGGCAGCCTCCAAGAAGAAAGACATACCGGCTATAAGCCCAAACATAGTTGCCTCTGTAGTCGGGTTCGCCAATCCAATAGCTATTAAGAAAGCACCCGTAACAACACCCAAGAAGGTTAGGAGGACTTTCTTGGACCAAACACTCCCTGTTGCACGGAAGACCCAATCCGCTAGAAAGCCACCCGCCGGGCGGAATAAAATATTGAGAAGGCCAAACATTGCCGCCCATCGGCCAGATTCAGTTTGACCCATTTTGGGGAAATTGGCCCCATAGTATGTGCCCAGGAAGGAGTCTAGTGCGAGCTCGGCACCAAATGTGCAACCATAGGGAATCGCGACAGCCATTGTTGAAAGACTGAATGCAACCCTGAGTGCCTCCTTGCGAGAAGGAGCAATGACGATATCTTGTTGGAGAGGTGACATTTCACCTGCGGCCGTGGTCTCTTTGTTCGAGTTGTCAGGCTGGGGTGGCTTCTCATTCTTCTCGACATCACTTGTCATGCCATTATAAAGCGAGGGGGAAGTTGAAGAGCCAGCTGAAGGGCTGACAGAATTGATGTTGACTATATTTCCATCTTTAGAGATGGTATTTTGGGTCTGTTCTCCTACCCAGAGATGACGCTCAGACCATTTTCCGGTCGGAGTATCTTCGCAAAGCACTAGCATTCCGATAGCGACAACAGCGATGATGATAAATGGTACGACATATGCCACGCGCCATGCCTTATGCGATGAGAGGCCCCGTGACGAGACAAGAGAGTCATAGATCGCTGGCATGAGGAAGCTAAGTTGTTATTGTTAGTCTTCCAGTATCAAATTTTGTCGATGATGTTTCATGGTACGTACTAAGTGATACCTCCACCAGCATTTCCCCATCCACCAGCTAGGGAGTTGGCGGTGCCAACAATGCTTTTGTCAAAGAATGCTGTGCACCAAACTTGACATGGAACGAATGTGCCGCCAAGGATACCGATGAAGAATCGCAACGCAATCAAGCCATTGGGCGTAGTAACGAGACCGGCCATAGCTGTTGGGATCGCTCCGGCTAAAAGTAGTCCCACGAAGACCAACCGGGGACCGAAACGGTCACATAGTGGTCCAGCAATTAATCGAACAACAAGACTAGATAGTATGTCAGTGTTGTTCAATATCTAGGCTAGGGTTGTATTCGTGAGAGCTTACGTTGCTAGGAGGGCAACAATATTCGAGTTTGAAACTTGAATTTGTGTCATATGGAGATCGGCTTTGATAGTATCGGTTAACTAGTGTTCATACGGAGTCAGTAGATTTCTTAGTGGTTTTTGTAAGCAGCATGTTCTGCAAGTGAGGATCTTAGCAATCAAACTTACCAATGGCGGGAAAGCATACCATGACAGGAATGCGACCATAAATCCCAACCAAGAGAAAAAGAAGACTCTCCCATATTTATCAAATGGATTGAATATGGGAATAGACCTTGCTTTGTGATTGCTAGGGTTAACATCTGGCGAGGATATGAGGAGCTTGAAAAATTTGGTAGCCATGACTGTGGAGCAAGAGCACTCAGAGGCCTCAAAGTGTATGAGAAGATAACACTAGTCTAGCTTTCCGAGGTCAGCAGAAAGAAATAAGATCTCCGACTGTTAATCTTGCAAAGAAATGGAGACTCCGTTGGCAATTATTTCAATATAAGTGGGAGTCGGAGGTTATATAGGCGAATTTAAGGACCTCTGTAAGCTGAGAAATAACATCGTTCGAATATGACCAGATATTAAGTTCGTATATATGGAAAAAGAAAATACTAAGTATCTCTGATATATAATTAATAGAAAGCGGTTATCTCTTACACGGTAGTGACACATTGTAGATCATGTCGGCAATGCATGGACATAGTGATCTGAAGAGGCAAAGCGCACCCGGTTTTCCCCAGCTGGAACCGGATCCATCTGCTCCAGGTAACAATTAGCTAAGTTGAACAGGCATTGGTAATATCAATGCTTACTCCATAGTTAGTATATGTTAATTAGTACTACATATAGTGGGGATTAAAGAAAAATAGTGATGAACTACGAAAATTCGTTGGTCGATATGCATCGAGAACCATGGGGCTTGGGTGATAAGGATACTTTTAAATAACTCCGCGGACCTGCGAAGATTCATTAGGCATAGTTACTGGAATCTGCACAAATATAGTGGATATCATTGGACTGGGGGTCTAAGAGTCCCGGGGTTATTGATAAATAAACCATCTCTCATTGGATAAGAGCGGGAAGAAGATAGGAACTGGGGCTGGAAACACCCACATGTGGGTCGGCAGGACATTGATCAAGCTAGGTTATGAGCTCCGCGGAAGTATCATAGTTTATTTTATGATCCTTATCGCAAAGGGAATAAAACCCAAAATGAACCGAGTAGCTGGTCAAGGTATATCGTACATATGATGCCAAGTGCCTAGATGGTCGAAATCTAGTGATGACATATGCATAATGTATTTGCCCTAACTCAATTTGATCCATGTACCAGTTAATTGCCGGACCAATAGTCGTTGACTAGCTCTAAAATTAGATACCAGATTACTACAAGTATCTTTAGGCCTACATACATTTCGATCAGTAGGTTGATACCTTCTAGTATTAAAATACTTCGGATACTATACTAACAGGCAGATTTGAACATTATCTAATGTTTATTAGAAGGTAATGAAGAAAAGTAAATATCTCCGTTTAACTACTGGCATAATGCCACATTATTTGAAACATGTCATTCTTGTTGACTTTAGTACATAAAACGCTGCTAAAAAGAACTCGAAGTAAAATAGAATCACAACGCCCATAATGCAACAGACTGAACTACCTACCAGTCAATACCGTTTGCTGGTTGTACTGCAGGTTTATTCAATACTTCACCATCCGCCACCTTCTTGCCCTTCATTCCCTTGTACCTCTTATCCATCTTCTGGAAAGGATCTGGGGCCTCCCCCTTCTTGACTTTCCATTTCTCAGTACCAAGAACAGAATCCAACTCTTCAACTGGGGGTAGCTTGATATAAATCCAACCATCTTCCCTCTCTTCAACCGGAAATGTAGCAATATTCATACTTTCATCATTTGAGCAACGACCTGCCTGCTCACCGTTGAGCTCGAAGTTGCGTTTGTGGTAGGGACAAGAGACCCAATACTTCCCCGCATCATCATCACCAACCAGTCCATCAGACAACACAAATGCACGTTTATGAGGACACATCTGCTGTGTTGCGTAGAATTTCCCTTTGATCTTGAATACTGCGAGCTGAGTATCTCCTCGCTTGACATTGGCCGATGAAACCTGGGGCGGCTCATCGGAGAAGTGGTTTGCTTGAACCACAGGATGCCAAACGAGACTGCTCCATTCATGGCCTTTGAAGTCTTCGGTTGCTGAATCTTGTGGCCAATATGTGGGACGTTCCTGTGAGCGCTCCTGAACAACTTCGACTGTTTCTAAAGTCTCGTCTGTGTTCGCAAATTGTTGGAAGTTCTTGCGTCGTTTCGGGTCTTTGACTGTTTCTGTCCACTCGCAGAAATAGCTTTTCACAAGTTCTTGCATCTGTCTTTCCATGTCGGCACATATTCCGAGTTTGTCATCGAGAATAACCTCTCGCAGGTAGGCGATACCACCTGGAAGATTCTCAATCCATCTAGCTGTTCTTTGCAGCTTGTCGGCCGTGCGAATGTAGAATATGAGGTATCGATCAATGATCGGAATGATCATCTCTGGTGGAACGTCCTTGATGAGCAACTCTGAGTGACGAGGCTTTGCACCTCCATTTCCGCCAACAAAGATATTGAAGCCTTTCTCGGTCGCGATAAGACCAAAGCTAGGCAGAATGTGGTTAGCATATTAAATTATAAAGCAGAATAGGTTTAGAGCTCACTCTTTATTTTGCGCTTCAGCACATTCACGTACACAGCCAGACACAGCACCCTTGAATTTATGAGGTGCTCGAATACTCTTATATCTTTCCTCTAGTCGAATCGCCATGCCAACACTGTCACTGAGACCGAAACGGCACCATGTCGTTCCAACGCAGCTCTGTTTATACATAATTAGAAAGTGTTGAAAGCCGACCGCAGATAATATGTTGATCTCACCTTAATGGCACGAAGCGCCTTCGCATATGCATGACCACTCTCCAATCCCGCATCGACCAACTCAGACCAAATGTTCAATAAATCTTGTTTCTTCGCTCCAAACATATCAATGCGCTGAGCTCCCGTGATCTTGCAATACAGCCCGTATTTCTTCGCCACGGAGCCGATTGTAATCAATTTGTCGGCACTGATCTCCCCGCCAGGAACTCGAGGCACAACAGAGAAAGTTCCATTTCTCTGAATGTTTGCCAAAAACTTGTCGTTTGTGTCTTGTAACTCGTTATAACCTTTATCCATGACGTGTGGGTTGAAGAGACTGGACAGAATCGATCCGATGGCAGGTTTGCATACTTCGCATCCGAGAGATTCTGGTCGATTTCCAGCTACTTGCATAACCTCGACAAAAGTCTTGAGTTGTTTGACTGCCATGATATTATAGAGATCTGCCCGAGAGTATGGAATATGCGAGCAAACTGTCATAGTTAGTCAATGATTTCCAAACTTTTTAGCGAACGCTACTATAAACTCACGATGATTCGAAACTTCATGTCCCATTTCAAGCATTGTCTTGTTGAATATGGATTGCACCAATGGCATACAGCCACCACATCCAGTTCCTGCTTTAGTACAGGATTTGACTTGGTTGATAGTTGTGCAGGTTCCGTTTTTGACATTCTCAACGACATCGCCTTTAGTCACATTGTGGCACGAGCAAATCTGGGTATCGTCATCGCTATATAGGTCATTAATGAAATTTTGTTTTCTCAAGCAGACAAGGCAAGTTTACTCACAGATCATCTGCATTCTCATCGCCATCTTTTTGAGCGCCAAGAATGAATTGACTGGGTGGAACCTCGAGGACCTTCTGGCCTTTCACCATTTGGTTCAATTTGAGATAATCTCGAGTGTCTCCGATCATCATACCACCAAGTAAGTATTTTCCATCCATAGTGAACAGATACTTCTTGTAGACACCGCCAAATGGATCTTTGTACGTCAAAGCTTTCACAGGAAGTTCATCCTCTTGCGATTTATCAGTAAATCCGGTCTCAATGGAGGGCCGATCACCAGGAAGAAATTTCGGCCCATCTCTATCTGCAAAGAAGTCTCCAAAAGAGGCGACATCAACTCCGAGAAGTTTCAGTTTCGTGCTCAAATCGGGTCGAGTAAATTGTCTGCGGGGTTTGTCGGGGTTTGTAAGGTTGTATGCCAGTACATCTGCCATTTCAATTCCAGGAGCAATGATTCCAAAGGTTTGGTTCTCCCAGCTGGCACATTCGCCTACTGCATATATGTCTGGTATTGAGGTTTGAAGACTGAATGACTTTAGTTAGCATAGTAGTAAACATGCGGTTTATTGATCAGGTAACAAACCTCTCGTCAATAACAAAGCCGCCCCGCCCTGCGGATTGGATTCCAGCCGAAAGTCCCAATTCATCTCTCGGTTTGACTCCGATCTATAGCGCAAGTTAGAACCTTCCTGTAGTTTCAAGTAACCGAGGAACCTACAGCGAAGCATATACAGCAGCAATCGATCTGCTGCCCATCTTCAAAGGTGATACCAGTCACATTATTGTCAGAATCGGTATTGACAACCGCAACTCGTTTTTCAAACAGAACCTCGAGTCCTAGCTCTCGAATTTTGCGAGTGACCAAGTTTCCTGCGTCAGCATCTAGTTGTCGTGCAAGCACCCACTTGTTGCGATCAATCAATTTGACGTTTCCAAAGTCCTGGAGATCTGTCAGAGCCTTGGCAGCTTCCAGGCCTAATAAACCACCTCCAACTGTCGCAGCAGCCTTGCCTTTGTTTTGTGATGCGAAATCGATCAGACGCTCGAGATCAGAAATGGTTCGATACACGAAGACTCCCTTGGCATCGTGGCCGGGGGTCTGAGTAGGGAGGACAGCATCGGAGCCAGTGGCGAGTACGAGAATATCGTAGGCGATAGTATGGTTGATTGACGTTCGAACCGTTTTTTCTCTGGGGTTGATCTCCGTAACTCGAGTATTGAGGTGGTAATCGAAAGCTCTTTCTTTGATTGAGCCATACTAGTATCACAGATTGTTAAAACAAATTGACAGGGTAGTCAGTTCGAAATAATTTTGCACTTACCCATTCTTTAGAATTCAGGTAAAGGTCTTCAATTTTGCGATGTTCAAAAAATGATGATAGGCCTACACGATTATATGCGACGTGTGCCTCTTCACCAATAACAACAATGTCATACTGTCGCTGGGTGTCCTGCTTGATGATTTTCTCGCTGAATTTGTTAGTCTAAGACCTCAATTGAGATGATACTAGGATATTCCCTACATCAAAGAAATGGCCACCATGCCCAAGCCAACGATTACAATTTTCTGGCGCTTCGAATGATTTGTATTGAAGCCGGGGCTGGAACTGCGGTCAACCGGCTCTCCATCTCGCAAGCCATCTAGTACACGCATCATCTTGGAGGGTGGAAACGATGGCGAGATAGAATATGAGATACGGGCGCAGAGTAGTACATATTCCAGTCATGGTTATATTTTAAGCTAAAAAAAATAAAGCTTTTCGAGTACAGCACCTGCCCACAAAAGTTCGTCTACAGTCACACAGCCAAGCATTACGGGAGAAGTAGGGCGATCATGATAAGCACTGACACCACAACCGAACGTCCGCGGAGATCGGTCAACGCGATAATACCGATGCTGTGATTGGTCGACAATGTACTTCTGATAAGGGCATTTCTATTAACTTTGATAGCATCATTCCACAATATTTCAAGAAGACACGGTGGGTCTGTGACTAAATATGCCGACAATTGCCACTGACTATGAATCTGACCCGCGGAGATGTAGTAGACCCTTTAGCTGGAGAGGAAGTAATCGGATAGAACACGATGTACTACTCCATTCTTATCCCCGCGTTAGCAAATCGGACGTTTAATATTCAAGTTCGTACGTTATTGCTGATAATGAAAGCCAAATCAGAATACTAAGACTATATTATCGGCCTTCTCATTAAAACTGGGTTCATTTCTTCTATAAATCATTATATAAGCAGAATGGGTCTTGAGTGCTTCGAGGAAGAAAAATCATAGCAACGTCTATCATGTCCAACACAATGACAACAATCACACAAACAATCGCTGTTAGCGATGAAATCCTTTTCAAGACGAAAAATATCAATAATATCACATTCCATGACTTGCCAACACCCGAAGAACCAGATATTCCCCTTCCACCTCCATCAGTCAACCCGACCGAGATTCTAGAACTCGATAAAGCAACACCAGACAACCATGTTCCTCGAGATCCAAGACTTATTCGATTAACGGGTGTGCATCCGTTCAATGTTGAGGCTCCCCTCACAGCATTATTCAAAGAAGGTGTGTGTATCGTACAGAATGGATACCTGAACACTATGTAACAGTATTTTGATGGATGGGCTAACCGAGACCTTTTCAAGGTTTCCTGACATCTCCCGAATTATTTTATGTCCGCAATCACGGCCCTGTACCACAGGTTCGAGATGAAGATATTCCTAACTGGGAAATAAGTATAGAAGGGTAGGTTTGATAAACTTGTTCATGAGAAGAAAGTACTAACATTAGTCCCAGACTAGTGGAAAACCCTATGACTTTGAGTTTTCGAGATATCCTACAGAACTATGACCAAATCACAACCCCAATCACACTCGTCTGTGCCGGAAACAGACGAAAAGAACAAAACACAGTGCGAAAGTCGAAGGGTTTCTCATGGGGCCCGGCTGGACTCTCCACGGCTCTGTGGACTGGCCCTATGATGGCCGATGTGCTACGCAGCGCGAAACCACTTCGACGAGCGAAGTATGTTTGCATGGAAGGTGCCGATAAACTGGTAAGAGGTTTTTGTTGATTTGATCTCATGTTTAAAGTAAAGCTAACTGGGATCCTAGCCCAACGGATATTACGGCACATCGGTTAAGTTAAATTGGGCCATGGACTTTAACAGGGGTATCATGTTGGCTCACAAGATGAACGGCGAAGACTTACGGCCCGACCATGGACGACCCTTGAGAGCTGTTGTGCCTGGACAGATTGGCGGACGAAGCGTCAAGTGGATCAAGAAGCTCATTGTGACTGATACACCAAGTGAGAATTGGTACCACATTTATGATAATAGGGTGCTACCGTGAGTATAGAGTGATGTCAGGTACCAACGCATAATCTGACATTAAGCAGTACAACGGTATCACCCGAGATGGCTGCCGAGAACAAGGACTGGTGGACTGACGAGCGGTATGCTATTTACGATCTTAACGTCAACTCCGTTGCCGCAGTTCCCGAACACGAGGAAGTGTTAGACCTGGCGACCGCTGGCTCGTCATACACCGCAAGGGGTTATGCATATGCCGGGGGTGGACGACGAATTACAAGAGTCGAGATTTCTCTTGATAATGGCAAATGTAAGTCTTTAGCAGTCTCTCCGTCTGTACCTGGATGCTTGCTAACCTCCGTTTCAATTACAGCATGGAGACTCGCCGATATTGAATACGGTGAAGACAAGTACCGAGACTTTGAGGGCGATCTGTTCGGCGGCAAAGTCGACATGTGGAAACGAGAAAGTTGTTTTTGCTGGTCATTCTGGTCGCTAGATATCCCGGTTCCAGATCTAGAGGATAGTGGCGCTCTGTTGGTCAGGGCTATGGATGAGGGAATGATGGCGCAGCCTCGCGACATGTACTGGTCTGTCCTGGGTATGATGAACAACCCTTGGTTCCGAGTGAAAATTACAAAGGAGAACAACCGTTTGAAATTCGAGCACCCAACTCATCCTGTTAGGGCTGGTGGTTGGATGGAAAAGGCCAAAAAAGCCGGCGGTGACCTAACAAATGGCAATTGGGGCGAGAGAGTCCAAGGAGAAGCCCCAGTTGAGGTGGAGCCGGTGAAAGAAGTAAATATGAAGAAAGAGGGACTGAATCGCCAAATTGATTTGCAAGAGTTGAGGGCAAACAGCAGTGCCGAGAAACCATGGTTTGTAGTAAATGGAGAAGTGTATGACGGAACAGCATTCCTTGAAGGCCACCCGGGAGGTGCAATCAGTATTACAACGTCAGCTGGACTGGATGTTTCTGAGGATTTCTTGGCCATTCGTCAGTATATTCCAAAATATTGAACGCAGGACATAGCTGACATGTAAATTTTTACACAACAGACAGCGAAACGGCCAAACTAATGATGCCTGCATATCATATCGGCACGTTGGACAAAGCTTCTCTCGAAACCCTCAATAATAACGCCACGGAAACCTCAAGTGAACCACGTCCAACCTTCCTCCAATCAACCGCATGGGGAAAGATGAAACTTTCCGAAATAAAAACCGTGTCCTGGGATACTCGGATCTTCGTCTTTGACCTTGAGCACGATAAGCAGACTCTGGGACTGCCAATAGGCCAGCACCTAATGATCAAGGTTCCGGACCTGGCCACGAAGGAATCAATAATTCGATCGTACACGCCTATATCAGAAACAAGTCTGGAAGGGAAGGTCGAGTTGTTGGTCAAAATATATTTCCCGACTGATGGCATTCCTGGGGGAAAGATGACCTTGGCTCTTGACGCTCTCACTTTAGGAGCCGAGATTGCCTGTAAGGGTCCAACCGGTCGTTTTGAGTATCTCGGCAATGGCCGAGTTACAATTAGCGGCAAGGAGCGCAAAGTCCGCTCATTCAAGATGATATGTGGTGGAACAGGTATCACACCCATATTCCAAGTTCTGCGTGCCATTATGCAAGATCCTGAAGACCCGACCACGTGCGTTGTTCTCGATGGCAACAGGTTGGAAGAAGATATTCTTTGTAGGGCTGAGCTTGATGCCTATGTTGCTTTGGATAGTCGGAAATGTACGGTTGTACACACTTTGTCCAAGGCAGCAGATGCGTGGGTGGGCCTTCGTGGACGAATCTCCGAGAAACTCATCCAGGAATACGTGATGCCTGAAGAAGAAAGCATGGTCATTCTCTGTGGGCCGGAGTCAATGGAAAAATCAGCTGCCAAGATTCTCCTTGACCAAGGCTGGGCAAAGTCGGATCTTCACTTCTTCTAAGATGGGACTTGTAGTAGGTATACTATGCATAGATATGGTGTTTGTGTGGTTTTTATTGTTGTCATTCAGTCGTTGGCGTTTGTCCTTCTAAAGCTGTTGGTGTGTAACATGTATGGGGAATAAAGAGAGCAATTGAGAAGAGTGACAGGGTTTTACGCGATGGATATAGCAGAATCGCGATCAAGGAAGAATTATAAACATTCATTAATCGTACAAGTCGTCATTGAGTAATCTATCAAAGATCAATAATATTCTTTCATTTCCAATCTCACGCGGAGATGTTCAAAAACACTGGTCGGATCGGTTCGCAACCCAAAGAATGCTCCTGATTTGATCATAGATTTCGATGCACCCTTGCCTGATTCAAGGCCACGCAAATAACCAACGAAGGCCGATACCTGCTTCCTGAATGTAGAATACAAATGTAGAACCTGGCCTTCATTCTGGTGACGAAGACCGCTATTGCCATCTGCCCTTGAAATCGGAGCAAATGCAAGGATTGTGCTGAAGATATTGTCCAGCAATTTAGCAGCCGCCGCATGTCGTTTGCTTAGGAAAAATGCGAAGAGCATTTGATCTAGTATGTCTTCGTGCAGGTCGCGGAGGCGAGGCACAGAGTGGGCGGCCTCGATCGTACCATCAATGTCACCGCGGTTGAGACAACGTTCGATTCTATCGAGTGTGCGCTGGAACCGGTTCCAAATCGATCCAATTCCAACGTGGAAGCAGTAGTCACTAATCGCGAGAACAAAGTGCTGAGCATCAATTCGAAATTTCTGAAACGAGTTCCGTATATCACCAGAAAGAGTGCCTCGAATAGTAGAGTCGCGGATGAGCCCCTTAACAACAGAAATCATTCGAAGTAGACGAAGTAGATGCTTGAAGAGGCGATCGTATTTCCCAAGTGACCGAGCCGTGATCAGGGCTTCAAGACTTGGAGGTGGTTTATACTGAAGGCGAAGAAAGTCAAGGGCTTCTATCGCATTTGGGTCCCGACAACGCTCGATTTCTTCGCCTGTCAATTCTCGAATTGAAAAGCTGAGACCCCCAGGAAGCTCGTTCTCTTTTTGAGCCTGTGCTGTGTCAGATGCTTCAGGGTCTCGTTCGGAGAAGTAACAGTCCCCAAGTAGACCGATAAGGACAAGACGTAGTTCGGAACTTGCAGGTGGCCAATTATCACGGCTTCCCAATCGCAAGCCTGTGTAAACACCACTCCGTACTACGCCAGACTTGCGTTCTCCACTTTCCATTTCCGGATCGAACAGAGAGTGGGAAAGGTGTGATGCAAATGAACCATCCCCTAGCAGTTGAAACCGCCATTGTAGATTCAAATGATGGCGAAGGCGATGCTCCTTGAACAAATGGTGGAGACATGAAAAGTCAACGAGTTTAGCCTGACATGTTATCACCGGTGCAAATGAAAGGTAGAGTTCTGATGCTAGCTCGGGCCCAAAGCGCGACCCTGCATCACTGAACCCAATTTCACCTTCGGCCTTTTGAAGCATCCCACTGACTTTGTCTTCAAATATAGGCTTGCCATCCACTGCAGACCCTGACACACGATTCTCATCGTCTATATCAAATAGTTCAAATGTGCTTTGAACTATTTGGTTACCGTCTGGCTCGGCATCTTGATGAAACTCTGGATCTGTGGGGACTGTCGAGGACCCCAACTTGTGATATCGCAAGATCTCGGCACGAAGATTTGCCTCGTATTCCTGGGCCTTGCGTTGTATTTGCTCGATTTCCTTCCAAGTAGTCGCGCAGGTCAGATGAAGATGACCAGCTCGAAGAAGAACATCATGACGCGCGATGGGGTGGTGTGGATGTGACTTTTTCAGAAGCCGTAAACTCTTGCCGCTCTCAAAAATCAACTGCGCTTGGTCATCGGGAATGAACGAGGGCATCTGGTCCCCCCGGAAGGAGTATTCCGTTCTTGAGAGTCCAGTCCTGAATTTGATAGGATCATCATATTGTTCGACTTGAATAAATGTGTTCCCGTTGGTAACCAGATCCTTGAGTGCTGGTGCTTCCGGTCGGAGTCCAACCCAGCCCTCGATAAATTCTAGCCAAGGTTCAGTGATCCGGACAACGATTTCTTGCACAAGATTCTCCATCCAGCCATATTTCTGGGATAGAAAGGCCGCATGGTTCACTACTGTCGAAATTGTTTCAGCGTCTGATGTCGTCTTTTCGGTCGCTTTCACAATATCCACCAAGGCTTCGATCAGGTCGCCGCAACGATGAAACAGTATAGTCGCCTGTAACATAGATACAATACCAGCGGAACGTCCAAAGATTTGGCGCTCGAGGTTGGAAACGATCACGGCAATAGTGCTGCGCAAAGTGAACACCGATGACACATCCTTCAACTTGCTCTGTACATTTCGCGCAAATGTTCGCGCGCATTGCATATTTGTACCGCACCGTATCACATTATCCAAGACAGTATCTGTGACTGACTGACTCACGCCCGAGACGCGGAAACTTGTCAGACATTTCTCAAACTTCATAGTCTGAGGATTGTAACGAAAAAGCGGGGAGCTCCATCCGAGGCCCAGGCGCAGGAGACATCTCACAAAGAAATCTTCCCGGATCAAACGACATTCGCTTCCTTGGATTTTTCCGTGGAATCTATCGGCCAACGCAGCATCAAACCCCTTTGCACCCGACTCGCTGAAATAGGCCGACACGGGCTCTTGAAATGATCTGTCCTGGAAGTGCTCCCATGATTTAAGAGGCGCGACGAAATCAGGATCTGTTCGAAGAGACTCCGGGGCCCAAATATTATTCTCGAGATCTAGCTCTTGTGTTTCATCTGTTGACGCGCTGGACCGGGCATCTATGGAAGGTTCAATGCTCGAATTGACGGAGGACTCCGGGGGTTCAACATCATTCGAGAAGTTCAACTTCCATATGGGATCGATCTTATCGATGGGGTCGAGGGATGTCGCAAATAAAGATTCCGGAATATCTACATGCCAGTGATCTGATTAGTATCAATCACTTGAACCTTGGAAGCTCATATGTTCTGCACCAGTCACGTACCAGACAAGCTCGCGTTCCACGGTAAATCGTCCAGAGGCTGTAGAGCCTCTATGCTAAACCTTGAAAGCCTCCAAAAGCTTTCGCTAGAGAAAGGATCGGGCTCATGTTCGCCGAGTTCCATTGTGCGCCCATAACCAGGGCACAAGCGTATAGAATGTCAGACGCGTTGGACTCGGACTAAAATCATTGGAGCATCGAGTCCCGCGCAGCGAGAGGTTATCGTGCACGGACCCACCGATAATATGCCGCCGATAACATGTGGTACAGCCGCCACTTGGGCTGATAGCCTCTTCAGTCCCAAGCCAGGATTATTGATGCCTGAGGACTAATTTAAATGCTCATTACATTTAGACTTGAATGTAGGACAGTGGGACTAGCTAGGCATAAGATTGAATGGTATGAATAAATTCGAGTTTTTCAACACTTCTACCAATGTCAGATAAGTCTACTAATAAGAAGAACTTCAACCCTGATATCTCCCTCAAAGTACATAGCGGAAGTCTTTGTTCTCAAACTCCGTTTGATCCTGCATGCCAGCTTCATTACTTCTAGCCTTGTCGGCCGGTCCATAGAGCCTGTCGCGGCGGCGATTAATAATAAACATATAGCCTATATTCGTCAGCTTCATATATCCACAGTTTCAAGTGTTTGATGAGATTATTCATACCAAATAAAGAGATATGGCATGCAAGCTTGATTGCGTACCCCACCAAGAGGCCTACGCTCGCGCCTTTGTATTCAGGAGCTTGAGATGGCTTCACGACGAATGGTCCAGCAAAATTACCCCAGCAATAGGCAGTGCTACGTTAAGTCAGTATCTTTTATGAGTCTGCATTCCATCGGATGTAGAAAACTCACAATACAAGAGCATTGGCCATTGCTCTGTGCGTATAACCAGCCATGTTGGAAGATATCGTGACCAAAGAAACAGCAAAGCCAACAGACTGTGCATTCACGAGCCAAAAGCAAACTAGTCTGGACCATTTTTCCTCTCTTGGTAGATATGCTAGACATGCAGCAGCAACGGTACAGAGAATATTAGCAGCCGTCGAGGTCAATAATCGAGAGTTCGGCACATTCAAAGTAATAGTGCCCCCGATAACCAATGAGACGATGACAATTGCATCGCCAACTGACTTCAGCTCAGTTGTCTTTGTCGTCGAAAAGCCCATATCTTCAATAATAACCGTCGAGAACGAATTGACAACTCCATTGGGAATTGCAGCCGCAAATATAGATATAAAGAGTAGAATTGCTTTGGGATCACGGAACGCCAGAAGGCCCTGCTTTACATCATATGCTTTGTTTTTGATACCTGTTTCATTAGCAGCAACGCGCTTAACAGCTATTATCCGCTCGTACTTTGTCAAGAAGAATGCGCTGGATGGTGAATCGGGTAGAACGAAAAAGATCACAGCCGCCCAGAGACAGGTCACTCCACCCAGTATATAAAACAGAAGCTCCCAGCGTGCTGGAGAGAAGTCTGCTGGAAGCTTGGCAATTCCGAATGACATGTAGGAACCGATTATCCCAGCCCACCCAAGGGCTGAGTACCAAATACATGAACGGAGTGGAATCTCCGCTCGTGTATACCAGAAACCAGTCATCAGAGTTAATCCAGGGGTAACGGCGGCTTCGAAGATGCCCATAATAAAACGAACAGCCAGAGCACTTGAGAATGTTTGACATTGCGTCAAAATCAGCACCATAATGCCCCATACGAAACAGCTCGCTCCTAGAACCCGTTGAGCTGGGAACCGTCCGACGAGCCATCCACAAGGGTACTGGCCAAAGAAATAGCCGGCATATACCACTAAAGTCTTTTTAGTGTCGTCTGTGCTATTAGAAAGAATGTTTAAAGGGCTGACTGACTTGCAGAAAGATAGTTAAATTGATTGCCCTTCAGTCCCAAGGTTGTTTGATACCCAAACAAGTTTGCATAATTCAAGGCTGTTTTATCGATAAATTGCAATGCTTGTGTAATAAGAAAGATTGGGAGAACGATAAGGTCAATCTTCCATCTCACTTTCGAGTTCTATTTCCTCAAAGATGAGCCACTGCGTGATCATGATCACCCTTATCAAAACAACACCCACTCACATCTTTTCTTGAGAGCTCGACATGTAATCCTTCCCGATATTCTTTATAACCGACTGCGGTTTCCTAAGAGATTGGAAGAGAATTCATCAGTTTTCATATACATAAATTTTTATTGAATATTAGGAACAACATACCTCAAAAATCGAATTTGCCTTTGCATCTTCGATATCATCGACTTGATGAGTCTGCGTAGAACGCATCTCTTCTTCGATGTTCATGTTGTCGAGTGTATTCTGCTTTCGAGACATGGCGATTCCCCTGAATGATTTCCTGGGATTACTGCCCCGCATTCAGAGGGTCTACCCCGGCTTATAGAGCATTTCTCATCAGGCTCCCCGCAAACTGGGAATTAGACTAAGGAATACGTTAGCGAATGGGACCCCCACACTTACCCCACACTAAGCATGCGGCTATTTGTTCTTCCCCCCAGATCAGGATTACGGTCGGCAAATGCCCGAAGCCACTAATATCTGAGCTAAGAAGTCAAAAAGCAGCAGATCAAGATCTATTTGAACTCCAAAAAATGAACTGAAAAGTAAAGTTTGGATGTTCGGTTGTTTGTCTCTGATGAGGATCGCAGCATTGAAATGAATAACCTCCGGAGTTAGATTATTTCAAAGTCGGTTGTCTTTCGCCATCAAATCAATGATATCTTAGGTTTCATTTGTTAATCTCATTGGACTCAAAGTCCGGTGTAGAAGAACCACAGTACTTGTAGCCAGCGGTTAAATTAAATTTGGATTATGATACTACCGAGAATTACACTCGACTTATACTAATATCCCCGTTCTCAAATTACTAGTACATAGTTGATGAGCCGAGACCTTTCATAGACGGACATTCACAGAGTGTGTATGTTTCAGTTGCGTATCATGTCTGGTAATTCTTCAATGCCGAATATGCTATATTTTCTGGCGAATAAGCTAAATATAAATCGAACGTCCCAAGGTTTCAGTAACAGCCTATTTCAATAAGCCAAGAGCCGTACTCTGCCAAGCTATTATGCACGCATGCCTCAGCATCTGACATCAGGATCATGATATCGCGCAAGGTGTCCCTCCTTGGCATTATTCAAACAAGATACTATGTTTCTTTGGGAATCTTGAAGGATTACTCTCGACACTTTGAAGTAGGGCCGAAGTCTGTGCCCCAACCTTGAGTGTTTAATATTATCTGCTCTAGATGGTAACATGCAAGTTTTTCACAAATTTAAACCATCTCTTCAATTTCGTTAGTGAAAATGAGCCTGTGTGCTAACTGTGCAATCCTATGAAAATAAATGAGCTTGACAAAGCTTGGAAAAGCTTGGATCGAATCGATAAGCTTGGAAAAGGCTTGGTTGTCTTTTGACTTCCCTATACGCGATGCCGAGAAAGAGATGTTATCACAGCTCAATTCCAACAACCACGCCTCAACGACAATCTCTCTTGGCCTGCCAAGTGTTTCCTAAAATAAAAGAGCAAACTTTCTAATCTCGGGGTCTTTCGATCCCTTTTCTTCCATATTTGGAAATAACAATGATACTTCCGCCTGCGGAACTGTTTCAAGATGGCAATGTATCGGGGCCTTTCGCCGCTGAACTTCATAAAGCACCCAGTGCTATACGTCTATGAATTCCGTTCATGGTAAATCTAAGTCCGCCAAGCTGCCAAGCTGCCAAGGAAATGACGAGAGGCCAAATATAGAAATCATCAGCGATCGCGGGTGGCCGCGTTATTACCCCCGGGCTATGAAGTTGACGCAAATTCCTTGTTATGCAGAAGATTGGATAAAAAGGATTACTAGTGCTCCTGTGATAAACCGACCTGACGTTATTTGCTTGGGGCGATGGGGCAAATTGAAGGCGATCTACGACAGCGGGGCGATGGGTGGATAGCTGGGACAATTGGGGTCCAACATAGCCTCACACGAGATTCTAGTATACGAACAACTTTCGGACCCAATATTTGCAACTATAAAGAGTTGCTGTCAAGGTCAATCATGTTCAGATACAAGCAAGAATTAAAATATATCTCGATTCAACTCAATATTTAAGATAAATAATGGCAGTCAAACAACCCTTCGACTTCACTGGGGAGGTGGCTATTGTCACAGGTGCTGGATCGCGCATGGCCGGTAAGTTCAACCCAAATGCTTCATTCTTGTTAGACGTATTTGGTAGGACTAATATAGAGCAGGCGAAATTGGCAATGGGAGAGCTACTGCCATTCTTCTTGCTAGACAAGGCGCCAAGGTGGCCCTACTCGATTATAACGTTGACTGTGCGCAAGAAACAAAACGCATGATCGACCTTGAGAGCGGCATCTCGGAGGTTGTCCATGCTGATGTCACCGATGAAGAGAGCTGCAAGACTGCAGTTGCTAAAACCATTGAGCTCTTTGGAACAGTGCATAGTCTTATCAATATCGGTAAGTTTTTTCTTTTCTGTTGTTAAAAGGTAAACAGATCATTTACTCACAAATAATTGTTCTAGTCGGTGTTGGGGGCGCAATTGGAGACGCTACCAATGTTGATTTGGCCGCGTGGGAACGCGACTTCAAGGTTAATGTCACAAGTATGGTCATGATGAGTCGATTTGTCATCCCCGAAATGAGAAAGAATGGACGAGGCTCAATCGTCAACATGTCCTCGATCAGTGGAGGTTAGTTCTCCTGCTCCCGCAACTCAAATCAAGGTTCTGACATCAGACGCAGTTCTCGGTGGACACCCAACTTTACCATACCCCACTACCAAAGGGGCAATCATCCAGATGACTCGAGCTATGGCTTCTCAGCACGGTCGTGAAAATATTCGGGTGAACTGTATTACCCCAGGAATGGTTTATACTCCAATGATTCGGGGAACAGGAATGACAGAAAAGCTGCGAGAAGCTCGGGCAAATCAGAATCTTTTAAAGCAAGAGGGTGACGCCTGGGATGTTGGCTATGGTAAGGTTTCATTGATCAAGATACGTGATAGTAGAAAGTCAGGTTCTAATATCGAGTGTGCAGCAATTATGTTCCTTTGTAGCAAGGAGGCAAAGTGGATCACTGGTGTGATTATGCCTGTCGATGGTGGTGTAGGTCTTCTTTACCTCCATTTCAAGTGGACGACATGATTGTCTGATCGGATCTGAGCTGATTTTTTTTTATCTATTTTGTGTAGACTACAGCAGGAACTTCAACACCGCCGGCGGTGTCGACTCAAGCACTTGCAGAGACAAACAAGAAAACTCCTATTATTAACGGGGCTTGAGTCAATGGCACCAGGTGTCAAAAGGAGTCTTATTGGAGGAACGTTCTAAATTTCGAATACATAGTTACCTGAATTCAGCCTGAGTTTTGTGCTGATTTTTGCTGGTCAAAGCCCGCGATTTTGTAAATCTTAGACGGTTGTAAACAATCGAATCTCTGGGAAGAAGCACTTGTACTTGAGAGTCAGATTGGAGAAAAGGTCGCCATTTTTGCAGAGTTGGGTCGCAAACGAAGATAATAGACCATTTGAAAAAAATTGAGAGTAGGGAAGTAATTTGACATCTGGAGATATCCGTTGTGATTAAAATTGCATGATGCGGAATAGATCCCCCAGGTTGATTGCCTGGTAATGCTACCATGGCTATATCCGTCCGTAGCCGTCCGCCCGGTCCGTGAGCGTCAACAGTTCACTTCAATGTTTGGAACTGAGCGCAGTACGATTGAAGTGAAGTTCAGTATTGCAAGCTTGGCCCACTTACGAAAATATAGCGTTCTCAACCCGTGTACGGGGCGATCACCGGGAGAAAATCACCTTGGCCGTAGATAACCTTTATACTGTAAACTCTACATCGATAGAAAACATGAGGTTCTTCTGTTCTGCTCAAAACGCGTAGTTCTAGGTGACGGAGAGCTCGATATGAGCCATTGATTTGCATGGATAAATTTCCGCGTATGATCAACCGATAAAACCAGAGATACAAGCCGGAATGAGCGGAAACTTTGCTAATTTGTGTAAGCATTGAACTCTTCACGAAGAAAAATTCTCTTCACCTTCGCTCCATAGGCCGATAGTGTTTTCCATAGCCAGGTAAATTTCCATTAGCCCAAGGTTCTGTTCGGGGCGGTCATATGCCTCTTCGGTGCGATGTACAAGCCCATCAGTGTAAGTGACATAGGCGCATCGATTTTGTATAAGCCTCATTACTGCGGTAGTGCTGGTGGGAGTTTAGAGGATGGAGAAAAAGGGATTTCCTCATCGTCCTCTTTTGCCTCGATGGTTTCTTCTGTGGGGGTCCAGCTGCGTGGACATATCCTCTCGCTGATGTGTTTGGCATGCCATTATCTTAGACATTTTGCAGCTTGGTGATGACAGATCGAAGTAAGATGTAACATGGTTCTTGGTCCAGCATATACACAAGGTCTTATTGGGTTGTGGGACTGGTGTCGGTAATAGTCCTGGTTTGTTGATACCAGAGAGTTCGACGCCGCCTTTTGCAAAGTAAAATTTGAAAGTGATCGGAGCCACATGAAACATCGGTCTGCAAGTAGTGTATTCCAAGGTTGTCTTTTGAAATCGTATCGGCTTCAATATCTGTTATGCCTTTTGCTTGAATCGGAGCACCCCAATTCCATGTGCCGACCGATCCCCATTACCCAGCGGTGGGGAGAGATCGCGCTTCATTTTTTGACGGACAATTCGGCCGCATCTCTTTATGACAAGCGCGATTTCAGAAGGCTGCTCGTAGGGGATATACCATAGATTGAACATAGTATCTTCAATCATTCATAATTTGTATAGATCGTATTTCAGATAGAGAAGATTTTCAGACTTTAGGCATTCCAGTATTTGGGACGCTATGTTCTCGAAGGATACTCGAGGACTTGTTAGCGAATTTGAGTCGAGACCGGTAAGTTCTTTTGAGGGTTTATCTTGAAAAGTTGGCCTGTTAGAATGAAAGTCCCACAAAGGATCCTCTTTGGTTAATCCAGAGCCTAAATTGACCCATCTTGTGATAATGATAGTGATCCGATGGCTGAGTTCGCAAATTTCAGTATATGAATCTGTATTGCATCGGAGACACGTCAAAGTGGTGGGAATTTCTTCTCTTGTAGTACCGAAAAAATCCAAAATTGTTAGAAGAAACGTTTTGTATTTGATATGACCTATTTCAAAGTTATCGAAGTAGCTATCAGCCCCTGTTTTCGCAATAAGATCTGAAAGATGTGGTTCGTGAAAGAGAATGATATCTTGCATTCTGATATAGAGGCCTAAAGGCTTTTTGTAGATTCGTGCCTCTCGTGAGAATAGTGTGGTCAGATAGGACCAGGCTGACGCGTTAGGATATAGGCGGACTTGCACGTAAGACAGAATCAGTACTAATTCCACACTGCGGGCCAAAATGAAACCTTTTTAATAGTAAGTTCTAACTGGAGGAATGAAATACGGTTATCAACATGGGCCAGACTATTATGGGTTCTCATTTGGAGCTCAAGATCTTGCCATTTGTATGACTCGAAGCATGGCAGCGGTCGATGGCAGTGAATAAATCCCAAATGTTTCCCGCATATTCCAAAGCTTTCTGATCCGTCATATCGATGAAGAAAATCCCACATATCATAGCAGAAGTATTCTGGGTGATCAATTTACAATCTTCTCAAAGTTGAGCATTTATCCGGAGTAGAAGACAGGCGACTTATTCTTTCTGGGCTGTGGAGTAACTGAAACATCTGTGATTGCATAGCGAGAAGTAGATCAAATGTGTGGGAAAAGCTTTAGGTTGAGCGAGCGCGAGGAAGTTTGAAGGAGTAAATTTAATGGTCATTGACTATAAGCTAGGGTAGTCGCTACAAAATGATACTACTGAAATGTTGAGCCCCGAATCTCAAATTAGATCGGTGGTCGAGACTAGGCAGAAAACGGCGACTGTGGCTCCCGCGAAGCCGCGGCGTGCAAAACAGGTACAACTATTATTCGTTCCACCCGGCTTTTAAACTATCTTTTGACTGGGCCTAAAATTAGTAAAATAGTAGTACCCAAGAGGTTCTCTGGCTTATATAGCTAAGAATGTTTTAAAGCAATATTATTCAGAAAGGTGGTATATTATTAAGTAGCACTGGAGCCCCATTTCATTGAGTTTGGTTGTCGACTCGGAATGACATTAAACATGCATTCAGGCATCAACAAGGCATCAACTTAACCATTTTGGGTCGTGAATGATGTGAACCCCGGTGGCCGCTATACCCCTTCAAATGTCTGTAGAGAGCTCAATCGTACCTTACCAGCTCCCAGCTCTTTACCTCATCCTTTAACCCACAAACCACTCCGCCCGGTTTGTTTTTTTTTGAGTCTCTATAACAGCTCTCAAGCATCATTATGCCACCACGGAAAAAGGCCAAGCGCGCGCACTCCACCACACCGCAAGCTGATGCAGCGCAATCGAGCGCGGACACGCCCGGTTCAAGCGACAGCGCTGGAAAGCCCGAAGCGGACTACGACATCCTCACCGACCCATGGACCGACGAACAAGAGACCGCGCTGTTAAAAGCGATCATAAAATGGAAGCCTGTGGGTGAGTTGGCTCATTCGGCTGGTACGCGATGGCATTGACGAAGCTAATAGGTGTCTGTTAGGTGTACACAAGCATTTTCGCATGCTTGCGATCGCGGAGTTTTTGAAGAGCCAAGGATACGGACCTATTAATGGGGACCATTTGAACATTCCCGGAATTTGGAAGAAACTTGGCACACTTTATAACTTAGAAGCTTTGGATGAACGGGTGAGCGAGCTATCTTGATTTGTGTGGTGCGTTGGGCTTTGCTGATGATGTTCGTGTTTCAGGAGGACTCGGTGATCGCAGATTTAAATGAAGACGAGGATGGCGTGAGCGAGCGCTACTGTCCCTTCGAATTACCTTACGACGAATACGGCGATATGATGTTCGAAAGGCGGCTGGCTACAGAGGGATCCTTGTCCCCCGTCATGAGTCGTCATGCTGACTCTCGACGAGGAAGCACGGTCGCCGATACAGATGGTAAGAATTGAGGATTTCTTGTAACTTTGACGCGCAGGAGACTCACACTTTCACAAACTAGAAACACGCTCCTCTCCCGCGCCCTCTCGTGGGCGCAAATCCACCCGCGGTACTCGTCAAACAGCCCGAGAAACTCGATCGACCCGACTGCAGGTAGAGGTTGGCCCTGGAAGCCAGGGGAAAGCATCCGATCCTGAAGAAGAGTCCGAAGAGGACACTGGCAGTAATAAAGAGGAGGAGGAAGATGAGGGAGAAGAAGGCTCCGATGATGAGAAGGATAGCGAGGGCGAAGAAGAAGCTGAGGCTGAAGCTGAGGACGAGAAGGGAGGATCTCGGAGCACACGAGCTCAGACTTCTCGGACAAAACAAAAGGACAGCAAGTCTTCAGCGGGTACTTCTACTCGGAGAACTGGTCGGCGGCGTTGAGACGATGGCAGTCCGGTCTTGATTTTGAATTATAGTTTTGATACCTGGACATCACTGAAACTAGGAGTTGGCGCTTGACTTCACGGGTGTCTGTATGATTATCATGAAAATCTGGAGTCTTGTATTTTTAAGAGCATACATATAATGAATCAATTTCTACTTATGGAGATACCAAGCGCCTCTGCCAACACTGAAGAACATACCGCTGGGTAGTAGTAAGCCTACATACATACTTATTCATATGCAAGTCATACTAGTACTTGCCCACTGGCAGTACTACTAGTATACCCATACACATTTCTTCTTCTGATGCTGCTTCCTTGCATAGTCTATGAATAAAAAACCACCTGCCTATCTTGTCTTTACTTTGAGTATAAATGTAATGTCAGAAGCAAAGAGTCGATGAATATCATCCTCTAGCAAAAAATACCACTCAGCCAAATTCCAGCTTGGTCAATAGCTGAAGCTCATACTTATGCTCTACTATGTACAGCTAATAGTACTAGTACTACTCCACAGATTTAATCGGAGCCCTAAGAATCCGAGTCGAGATGCCAACCCCATATTTTTAGATTTAGCCTAGTTTAGGAGTGAATGGTTCTTTTATGTTCAATAACCCCCAGGGCTGATGTTATTTGTTATGGAATATTATCTTATATCTCTGTTGGCTTTATGTTCATGATCATATCTTCATGTCGATAGTCACAATTTACTGCTTAGCAGCCTCTATAGAAGACATTAGTAAATGTATATATTGTGCAGAGGATTCGTAGTGGTTAAGCTTACCCTTGTGGACATCAGCCTTGACATCGTGCTTCTGCTCGTCAATCTTGTTGCCGGCAGCATCGAAGGCAGCCTGGGCGCGAGTGGTGACGCTGGCATCGGAGTTCTTAGCGGTGGTCTTGTTGGCCTCCTTCTCGGCAGTAGCACCAGAGCCCTGAACGGTCTCGGCGACGTAGTTGGCGGCTTGCTATAAGGGGATATAGGTTAGTAGATGTCATCATGGATTAAATGGAGCAAAGAACATAGGAAGCTCGACTAACCTTGACAGTCTCCATTTTGGATAGTTAGAAGGTTGGTTGAGAAGGTGTAGTAGAGTAAATAGTTCTTGAGGTAGTTGATTGATGATTCAAAGTAGTTCATGGGCTCCTTGGGCTCTATTTATCAATGTAGGTGGATCACGCCACAAAGTCCATGACCCTGCTTTTTGACGATCGAGATCGTGAATTACGAATGCGCGTCATGATTGATAGAGTTTATGATTATTCGGCTCGTTCTGGATGACGGAATCTCTTCCGGTGGCTTTGCAAGTGGCTTGTGTATACCAGATTAGATGCTCTTAGCGGCGCATACGAAACCGGATTTTCCAGATCTCCGGGATGAAGTCATCGTCATCAGTCTGGCAGGTTCGGGGACCCACAACCAACAAAGTCTTGGTTGCAATGTAGTACCACGTTTAAAACAAACAATTGACATGTGATGTTTGATGTGTAGTGTTCAATGTTTGTTAATTGTTTTGTACAGTTGGAGATGTTTTTTATTCGTAACTACACAAGTAGGTATATTTCGATCGCTATAGGAAGTCTAATGTCGTTCGAGAGGTACATGGGGTAAAAAAGCTCAAAAGGTCATAGTACAGTAAATCCAAGTAGCGACAAATTTACAGGCGGTTCATGATAGCCTCGGCATACTGGTGGGTCTTAGCGGAACCACCAAGGTCACCAGTGAGGGCCTAGAAAGACGGTTGATTAGCATGGAAATTATTAGGTTGGAAATCTGAGAAGTGGTTTTGAACTTACCTTGCCCTCAGCAAGAGTGTCGAAGGTAGCCTTCTGGATGCGGGCAGCGTGGTCGTGAAGACCCATGTGCTGCAGCATCATGATACTGCTAAGAAGCAGAGCAGTGGGGTTGGCAAGACCCTTACCAGCAATGTCGGGGGCGGAACCGTGAACAGCCTCGAAGATGGAGCACTCGTCTCCAATGTTACCGGAGGGGGTCAGACCGAGACCACCGATGAGACCGGCACACATATCGGACAGAATGTCACCGTACAGGTTAGGCATGACAAGAACCTTATCGTTGTAAGGAGTGGGGTCGGTGACGATCTTCAGGCACGAGTTGTCCAGCAGCTCAGCGTCGAACTCAACACCGGGGAAGTCCTTGGAGATATCGCGGGCAGTGTTCAGGAACAGACCGTCGGACATCTTCATGATAGTAGCCTTGTGCACAACGCGGACCTTCTTCTTGTTGATGGACTCGGCATACTGGAAGGCGAAACGGAGGACACGCTCGGAGGCCTCCTTGGTGATGAGCTTAATGCTCTGCACAACACCGTCAACAACGACATGCTCGATACCGGAGTATTCACCCTCGGTGTTCTCACGGATGAGAACAGTGTCTACACCATCGTAGGGGGTCTTGAAGCCGGCAATGGAACGGCAGGGACGGACGTTGGCGAACAGGTTGAAAGTACGGCGCAGAGTCAAGTTCAGCGAAACGTGACCCTTACCAACGGGGGTCTGTTGAAGAAAAGGTTATTTAGTATCTCGTCGCTAAATATATGCCAATCGTCGTAGGTGTGGGGTCGATAACATACGGCCAAAGGACCCTTGAGCGCAACGTAGTTCTTCTCCACGCTCTTGATGGCCTCGTCGGGGATAGCGGTCTTGCCATCCTTCAGGATGGGGGTGACATCCACGGGCTCCCACTTGATGGGGGCCTATATGGAATAGCTTAGTATCTTGATTGCGGCGCAAATTCACTGTTTCGGATTGCGACAAACTCATACCTTGGCGGCCTCGAAAATATCCTTAACGGACTGAGCGATCTCAGGACCAATACCATCACCCTCAATCAGCGTAACAGTGTACTTGCCCTAAAATTCGCGAACGCAATGAATCAGTATTGAGATTGTATGATAAAGTTGATGGTCGTGGAAAAGTTGGAAAAGTAAACCGCGCAATGAGGGATTGCGCGGTTGGCACCGGCCCAAAGGAAAAAAAGGGAAAAAACGAGCTTTGGCGGATATCAACGTACATCGGAGCCCTTCTGGCCCTTGAACTTGGCGACGGCATCATCGGTAGGGGTAGCAAAACCGCGAATCTAATTAAAAGCGGCGAAATGGTTATTCAATTGCAAAATTTGAGCAATGAGAGGAGAGGGGGTCCGCAGTACCTGCGACACGGGGGCCACGAAGCTGGGGGTGACGCGGACAGAGCGCAGACACTGGCGAGCAGCAGAGAAGTTTCTAGCAGCAAGCATCGTGGAATATGTCCCGTCAATCGGCCTTAAAAGCGAAGGGTGGGAATGGTAGTAAGGTGGGGAGTTCGTACAAGAAAGAGAAGAAGGGGAAATGCTTCGGGCAACAGAAAGAATCGAATGTTTCGGCGCCGCACCGATCCGGCGGCTTCTGGGTTCACCGCCTTAGCCGAGACCCTGGCGAACGTTTCACTTCGGCTTCAAGATCGCCAAAGCTATGATCTCGGTCTCAATGGCATTATTGATGATTATTCTATTTGAAGCGATCTTGGTAAATGGCGTCGCTTTTGAAGAAGCAAATCATCGTATTTATTTTGTCAAAAAGACGCTATATCTCTATATATCCACAATGCAGACATGAAAGAGTCGGGCGCTGTGCTAGTAGATTTTAGAACAGATACTACTACCAAGCCCCCTAATCAGTTAATTTCGGACATCAATAAACCTTACTGGTTGGATCATAGGAAACCTTCTAATTCCCCGAGAAACACAAAGAAGCCGACATCCAAAAGCTCTGGTCCCTTTAGCTCGATCAGTCTTTGAACTCATGAAATGAATCAAGATAGGAGACTAGGTAAGTTCAGAGAGGCTCTTGGTTTATCTATCTCACAATTTGTCCATATACTCTCGCTAGGCGTGAGGCATTTTTATTGCAGTTAAAGCTACCCGCTCTAGTTCTGCCAATAACCCCCATTCTAAATCTGCCTGTCTCCACTTTGATTGGGATGCAGCTATCAATCAGCTAAGATCAGTTATGTATGGGAAAACCAGCTGAAGATAATGTACATGCAACACAGTGATATGACCCATACTTAAGGAAGTACCCTGTGTCTACACATGCTCAAACCTTGCTCATGTCATGATATATATTCCATTAGGGGAAATGAAGCTGTTTCTCTGTAATGAATGATTAGAATAATATTATAAGAGTTCGCATAGTGTTTTTCATCTATTGGAAAAATTTAACATCTCTTGTGTTTGCATTAAATGAAGTTCTTTTGGTCTTCAAGCTCTTAGATGCAGACATAAGCTGCTTCTCCATGTGGGCTACACACGTGCGGTGAACAAGGCGGTGAACACTGAGTATGGCCATATGTCCGTCGAATCGATTGCTATCGTTCCCGTACTCCACTCCAAACAGTTGAACTCCCAATGCCATACCTGGCATCATGTCCGACCTTGATGTTGCCAGACACTACAACCTACCATCCGAATATCCCGAAGAATGGCCTACAGCACTAGACGAAGAGAATGCATCAGATGAAGAGCCCCTTGAACGGACCAGGTCCCGCCCCCGCAAGTCCCGCTATTTCGCATTGGAACGAACACCCAGTGATTGGCGAAATGGCTACGGCTCCCGTCGAGGAAAGGAAACAAGGGAGAATGCGCAGAACGATGAACCGGATCCGCTAGGCAGAGGTGATAGTGTCATGCGCATCTTAAAGCAGAAGGGTATACGACTGGAAGAAGAGAGCGGTAAACGATCGCGCTTCCTACTTTCGTCCACGTCCTTCTCTCCCGCCCTTTTTCTCTCCCAAGCCCACCACTCCGACTCAATTGAATCGCTCATCGCGGGATTGGACCATTTATCTCACTCCATTGACCAGAAGTCGGCGTCACTGAAAGTACTGGTGGAGGCAAACTTCGAACGGTTCGTTCGTGCTAAGGCAACCATTGATAGTGTCTATACAGAAATGAGAGATCAAGGAGTCGCGAAGGAACAATCTCTAGCTCCGCGTAGGTCAGGCCATTTCCGAAGCTTGTCAGGGCAGCGCGGCGTATCACCTTCTCCGTCAAATATCAGCCAAGTTGCTCCTCGCAAGACCGCCCTCGTCAAAGAAAGTGAATATGGATTGAAAGGTATCCGAGCTCCCCTCGTGGAGGCGTCTGTCAAAGCTGAAGAAGTGTGGGGCCCCGCACTTGGAGGACGTGACCGGGAACAGGTTCTTAAGTCAGTTATGGAAACAATGGAAAAACAACGCGATGTATACGAGATTGGAAGTCATTTGTCCAAGTCCATTCAGCAGCGTGACTACGATTCTGTATTCGAACAATACACCAAAGCCAGAACATTAGCAAATCGGGCGAAGAGTATTGTGGAGCAGGCCTCCAGCTCCCGTCGGCAACTATCCGACCATGAAGCGCATACTATCTTGGCTATGGGACGGATGTGGTTAGATGTGGATGAACAAATCCACCTTTTCAAGCGCGAACTTTGGAGGCGCCTTAGTGATGCACCAACAACATCCACAACAAGCACTGCCACAGGCCCCGTTGAGGAGCATATGGAACTGATCGGAGCCCTCCTTGAATTAGGCGTTGATGATAATCCCATTTGGACGTGGCTTCACAGCCGCTATGAATTCCTCAAGACAAAGATAGTTGCCTTTTGTGAGCGCTGCAAGGTCGAAATTGAGATTCTGAGACGCAGACTTGCTGCTGAGGAGAAACCTAGCGCTAAAACCGTGGCCTCCTACCTACGCTTAGCGCCTCGTGATGGTTCAGCAGACGTTCAAGAGCGGCTAGATACGGATCACGTCATTGAGCTTTGGGACTGCATCAAAACATATCTTGACCGTCTTCTCTCCTCCCAGGGTGGCTTGGTGGGTGAGCTACTTGATTTCTGGGAAGTTGCACATGCATTCATAGATGGAAGTCGCCAAAGACTTCTTCCTGTTGGGTTTGAGGGCGAGAGCCGTAAGCATCACAAACTTACTCCTGCCAATGTGGAAGAGCTTGAGAGAGGCGCTGTGGAACTTGTCAACCTTATCCGAAATAATGTGCTTGCACTTTTCAACGAACCGCCAACAGAGGATATCTCTCTGCTCTCTTCTCCCATTCCGCCGAGCCCTACCACTCCAGTATCTCATGGTGTCACCCCAACAGAATCTCGATTTAAACTGGATCCGAAGAACTTGCCGATACTCGCGCCACAGCGCGGAGAACACTGGGAAGGCTTTGCATTCTGGCCACCTTTCTCCAACTCCCTGAGTGGTGTTCACTACCTAAGTAAATTCCTCGTCATCGTTGGTACAGCAGCCAGTGAGATGGCAGCTTTACGGCCGGTCAGCACTAGCGGATCGACTTATGATCTGTTGAAGTCTCTGGTGAGCGTTGCCCGTGAAAGATCTGCCCGGATTGCATGCACTGCATGGAGCAAAGATGCGGAGGTTTGTAAGATGCTTGAGGACTGGACTCGTGATCCTGAGAAACGAGATCTGACCAAGATGCCTGGGTTATTTGTCGGCTTTGAAAGTGCAATCCTTGGTGGAATGCAGAAGATTCTTTATATTTCTGAGGCCATGAGCAAGTCTGGAACCGTTGACGTTGTCACCCAACCGCCAGCGAAGCTACTTCAGATGGTTCGCACTCAATTTGTCTCTAGTGTCTATAAGGCTCTCAGTGGGTTAGTTGAGAATGCGGAACATGCAGAACTCTCAGATGAAGACAACGAGTGGGTTATTACTCGCCCACTTATGGCAAGTCAGGCTCTCGACGCTGCTTTGTCGGTGCTGGCTGCCGACTCTGTGAACTCACAGGATAGAGTAAGTTTGATATCCCCATCTTTTAAGACGTAAGTGTTAACCATGCCACAGAACGTGAGGATCCTCCTTACACTTTCAAATCTCAAAGCCCTCCAATCCGAATATGTGCCGCAATTAATCACAAATTTTGAGGTCTCATTTTCCGTCAAGTTGACCGAGGAAGGCAAGACGATCCGGGACGTCTTGAAGCAAATTGAAGACCGGCTCTTCCAGTCGTACACGACACCAACCATTGGCCTATTGACCGAGACAATTACTACTGGTATCGAATCTCCAGATTGGGTTCCCCAAACTGATCGCCCTGATCAAGTTCGCCCTTACGTGTACAAGACTCTGTTGGCTCTTGTTTTAGTACACACTGAGATCTCAACGACCATCCCCTCGACTGTATCTGCAGGTGCTAGCCGCGCATCACCAAATTCACCCACCTCACTACTTCACGCTGTGCTTACCCACTTGCTGGTTCAAATTTCCACAGCTCTGCTTAATTCTTTCCGGTCTCGAGACAACTTCGCGCTTTCGGCTCTTATGCAAGCCACACTGGACACCGAATTCATCGCCCAAACCTTATCCCAATACTCTACTGAGGAAGCATCTGGAATCCAGAGCCAGATCTATGTGGAATTGGATCGTCGCACAACTAATGAAGCTCGCGCCAAATTGCAGGCCGACCTGGGCGAGCTAAGAGTCGTACTCAAACGACTTAGAGACCGGACAAAGGGAGAGTTTGCCTGTTTCCGCAAGCCTCGATCTGGACACAAACACACATCTACATAGCGTTCTATTTAGTAGCATAGCACATACTGTAAAAGATTCATGAAATTTTGTTCTTTGCACCGGGTATCAAACAAATGAAATTAAAATGCAAGGTGCCGCCATACTTTTGTTTTTTGTGGACAATATTCGTTCTCAAGACTGTCCAACAATCCGCTGTACTCGATCAAGCAAGGCCTTGCTCTCCCTTCCTAATCTCCGTTTCCCAAACTGATCCGGTCGCTTCGCACGAATCATCGCCTCACGTTCCTTCACCTTAGCATCGCGCTCCTTTTCTCGTGCCTCGGCAAATTTCCTCCGCTGCTCCGCAATCTCCATTTCTTTCTTAAAAGCCGACTCTCTTGGCTTTCGCTCCCTTCGTTGGCCTTCCTGCCGCGGGCGCCACTCGGCTTTAGGCTTGGGCTCCGGTGCAGGCGCAGGCGCAGGCGCAGGCTCATTCAACATTGCGACTCGATCCGGGTGAAGTTCTGTAGAAGCAGGGTCCGCAGCTTCGTTCGTTTGCTCCTCGTCGGCAGTTGCATATACGGATTTAGGCTGTGTGGCGAGTTCTTCGGCTTTAATCTTGGCGTAGGCCTTTTTCACTTTGGCTTTTTGAATGAGATCGGACTTGAGTTTTTGGGCTAGAATCCAGTTATTATTTTAACAAATCACTCGTAGTGCAGATTAGTTGAATGGGAAAATCGCTCACTTTTGCGTCGATAGGTGCCATCGGGGAGATTGGCAGGGCCTACGCTGAAACCTTTGCGCTTCTTCACAGCGCTCTCCGTTCGAGGTTCTTTTGATGCATTTTTAGCATCGCGGGTACGTATTGGTGCCATTTTTGATTGACGTTAAACCTGCTTGGTCTTGTCCGTGAAGTTTGAGTGGACGTTGCTGGGCAGTTGGTAGAAGAAAAGGAAAAAAAATTGGCGGCGATCGCGGATCCGCCGAGAAACCGATAACAAGCGCCAGTAACGGTCTGGATCTCCCGCTTTACATTTTTATACATAACTCCTAAGCTAGTTGATATTTCTACATATACTATATGTATATGTATAGCAGAGGATTAAATATTGCATGAGATCTTAATTTTCTAAATCCTTTCTCCAAATTCAACCCCATAATTAATAAGGATTGCAACCTTAGCAAACAGCCCCATAATCAGGTGATCTGCACCTTATCGACAAGAGCATATGATTCATCCCGAGAGACGGCATGACATGATACATTCCCAAACCTGGAGCCGTTTCATTTCTCTCCCGGATTTCCTTTCCGACACTTACTCTCCAGGTGTCTCATCTCTTTATATTCTACCAAAATCTCTGTAGAGTCAAAACAGAAACCGCTATCTTCCCTACCAATCATCAGGGGACTTGCATTTCAGTGACATATACCCGTCCAACAACGCACACCGCATCCCGGCTCTTCGCATCCCAACCACCCCACCTCCAATAGGGCCCTGGTCTGGTTAACTGTTTGCCACGTTGGGTGGCCCCTTGCGATGACCGGTCTAGTGCGTTGGGCCCTATAGCTCCATTAAATCCACGTCACCATGCCTCTTTTCTCAGATCCGGACCGCCGACTTTATTCCGGCTGGTCTGGTGACTTCTCCCAGCATGATCAGTCTGCCACAGGGTCCTCTCAGCAACATCTATATGAGACAGATCGGCAATCTGAAAGTGCACCTTTTACCATGGAAAATTGGCAACCACCGTCCGTAGAGGACTCTCCAACAAGACTGTGGAGCAGTGACGAACGACAGGAGCTTATACATCGGATCAAAGAATCTTCGCCCTGGAGGCTTCAATACAAGGTATGTTAGTTCTCAATAAGGGCCTTCTTTATGCCACTATAATATTATCAAAGAGCTCTCCCCCTTCGTATGCTAGGAGCTTGCTAGTTGACAATTTATATAGTCGCAAAATAGCGACAACAGTAATGAGGTCTGTATGTCTCAAGACTCCCTGGAGGAGGACAAAGCAGAAACCGGGGTTGATGGAGAATCATCCACATCCCCAAAGTATACAGAATCAATAAACCCAACAGAGGAACTAGGATCGCCGGCCGATATCCAAAGACCCCGATCGGCGTTGCACTCGGGTGATTTCCGTGAGGGCGCTGCAGATGCTCTTCCGCAGTCGCCTCGACCTCGGTTTGCAGAACCCAGTCCACATTCCCCATTTCCTCATTTAGGAACGTCCCCCACGACACCATGGTTTGGGGCATCTGCTTTTTCGCCTGCCTTAGGGCAGGCAAATCCCTTTGCCGAACAGCAACGGCCGGAGCTCGGTTTACAAACCCGATCTAGGGCACCATCGCTGGGATCATTCTCGTCAAGCTACGTCCTCAAGGCCCCAACGAGCCCTCTCGTTCAACAAGCCAACAACACGGATCTAGACTTTTCTCCTGTCGACCCAGTAGAAACCCCTGGACCAGCGGATAGAGCTAACCGACGACGGACCCTACCGCCTGAAACATTCAGACATCTCCAAGCGCCCCCACCTAGTATGCGCGCTGTGAACATCCAAAACCCTTGTTCTTCTGGAGGACATGCTGGACTTTTCCCGACCCAAGGTTCTCCTCGGCGATCTTTGACATCGGCATATAGCCTCCAATTGGCGTCGACAACAAACATCGCTGCTTACCGAGCGCGTAGACCGTCACTTGCGTCCGAGGTATCTTCCAAGCCGCATGCACCCATGGTTGGATCATATGAAGAATCGATCTTGCGCGGTCGAATGTCCATGAACCCATCCAAACCCCTGGACTTCACTGCACAAATAGGTGTCTTAGGGAAAGGCAAATGCAAGGGGAATTTAAGATGCCCTCCGCACATTACGGTTCCATTCCCAGCCGTTTTCTACAGCTATCCGACTTCAGGCAATGGTCGATCCATCGCAGATGACAGTCCGAGCCCCTATGTGGGGCAGATTGACTTGGAAAATTCGCTTCCCAAGGAGAACCCCAACACGACCCGGCGTCGTAGACGGAACTATAGCCCGGCACCAGCCCCTGAAGACGCAAACGAAGATAAATCCAAAGTCCCAGAACTGCTTGGTGCAGAGACCAGACGGCGCAAAGAAAAAAAAAGCCGGAGAGCAGAGTCTCCGAAGTGTCCCCCGGGCGGATACTATCGAATTCCCCAGCAGGGCCAACTACAAATCATCATTAAAAATCCCCACAAGACAGCAGTTAAGTTGTTTCTGGTGCCATATGATCTCAGCGACATGGAACCCGGCACCAAGACCTTCATTCGACAAAGAAGCTATTCGGCTGGTCCGATCATTGATATGCCACTAAGTGCTCGAAAAAACTACGGCACCGATCGTCCCGAGGCTTCGTTGAATGTCACCGAAAACCCTCAAGATAAGCCTACTCTCCGCTATCTAATTCACATAAACATCTGCAGCCCTTCGCGGGGTCGCTTCTATATACACTCGAGCATTCGCGTGGTTTTCGCCAACAGAGTCCCAGACGGCAAAGAAAAACTACGAAATGAGATCCAACTACCCGACCCGCCCTACAGTCCATACAAACCTACTCGAGAGCCCACCCTATCAACAGCTAGTGCTCGAATGGCCACCGAAAACAATCTTCGCAGACGTAGTGCAGGCCAAGGCACTATTCCTTTCCTTCGCCAACACGTCTCATCACCGAGTGATGGAGCTCTGCACTGGACAGCAGCAGAATTAATGGGATTCCAGGAAATGCCCCAGAACTTTCGGCCGGCCGATACCGCGCTTTACAATAAGCTCAATAAGGGCGATGCTGGGTATGGAGGTCACCTTGTTTCTTCCCAGGGTACATCGGAAACCGGCGAAAGCCTTCTTGCAAAAAGACTTCGTGGCCTCGATGTCCACTTGCAGGAGTCGTATGACCGTAATTGATGTTTTAGCTGAGCTGTACACATTCAAAGACAGCCATCAACAACCTCATCAAGTATTTATACTGTCCACCTAGCGACGTTTAGGTGACGAGTAAAACCAGCAGAAAGCCATGAAAGTTCATTGTTCATTTCATGTTCTTCTAAATGGCAATAACAACAATAGTCGCCAGGTCTCCCGGCGACACCTATTCAGATATACTAACCGTCACAGTTTGATTCCTACAGGTGAGTTGCTGTTAATAATACATTTCATTCGCGACTTGGTGGTCCGACTTGCACAAAAAAAATTTCCTTTTCTTTTTGTCTTTCATTTTTCTATCGCAGATGTTTCTTCGGACCAGGATGACAGGCGCCTTGGCTGTTGAATATATATACCCTCTCGTTCTTGACTATCTTTACTTTTCAATATTACTCCCATTTGTGGTCTTTTCCATGATATTTGCATTCCTCGGCGTTTTCCTTCTCGAATGTCCTTCCTTTTTCTACCAAATTAGTAGGTACCTAGTTCACAGCAAATAATAATATCTTCATTTTCGAAGTATTACTTAGGCTGGTCTTTCTGCGCCTTCAAAGTTATAACCTTGGAATCCAAGTCTACATATTTCCCCAAGGTCAAAAGCCCATGCAACTTGAAGAAGATTGATACGAGAATAACTTGAAATACTTAAAAACTTTTGAAGGATCAACCAGGGAATATGATTGAGTATATATATCCTCGGAAAATACCAGACAAGCGCTATTATTTCTATACATACATAGACAAGCTTCAATGTTTTGCTGAACTACTACACGTATCCATATGAGATACACAAAAATAGTCCACCAAGCATTTCAAAAACAACTTTCAAGCAAAAGTTTAGCCAGCATGCTCGACAATCTCGCTCACCAGAACACCATCTTTAATGTAACTCTTCAGCTGCTCCGGCAAAGGACATTCCTTAGTATCATCATCAGTTCCCTCCTTGGGTGGAAGCATAATGTTCACAGCACTACACTTGCTAGTGAAGACCTCAGTAGCCAAGCTCTGCTGTCCGAGATAGATAGTAGCGCCATCGACCTGGTCCAGCAGGACAGTGGGGACTATACCATCGATCTGAAGCGCAAATTTAGGACACTTGATGATATCCAAACTGCTAACAAGGGAGTCGACAATAATAGACAGGCCAGTACAGTTGTCAATAGCGATAGCATTTGCCTTGCCGTTAACCTTAACAATGCTCTTATTGCAACGCGAGATCAAAAGAGACTGGTTCTGTGCCGCTGAGACTTCGATAATCTCATCCGGAGCCTCGAAGTTCTCAATCAGCCACTTGTTACCCTCCAGCTCCTTACGGGGAGGCTTCTTCGTGCGCATGCTTTCCGGCTTGGGCTTCTTGCTAGGGGCCGGTGACTTGCCGCGGTTGGCGCTGGAGCCTTCCGGCGCAGTGGAGCCAGCACGCAGAGAAGGGTTCTTGTGCGTCATCTCGGACTTGTCGACCTTGCGGAGGCCAGAGGTGATTTGTTCACCCTGGTTAAGCTGGTCGAACACGGCGGACATGTCTGATCCCGGGGCTGAAGGAGCGGGTGCAGGTGGAATGCCAGGGGGAGGAGGGGGAGGGGGAGCACCACCGCCAGGGACGTTTAGAGATGGGACAGGCGGGGGAGGTGGAGGGGGAGGGGGAGGAGGAACGGGTCCTGCTCCAGCTGGGGCGCCAGATCCGCCCTTGATCTGTTGAAGGGCCTCAAGAGCCGAGACCCCGGACTCGTTGTTCCAGGTCAAGCCACCTGGGTAGTACTTTGTGAGGTAGGCCAGAAGCGCTTTGAAGATCTGGTAGTATGCTTGGATGTATTCGACGTGTGTGCGGTCTCTGGGGAAATAATGTCAATTCTCTAGTGTCCAGGATTATCCAAAATATAGACGTACTTTTCTTTGTACTCCTTCAGCACATTGTTGCCGTAGTATTGGATACCACCAATGATCTCCTCAATGAAAGCAGCAGGCTTGGGTGCAAAGAACCAGCCCAGACCCATGGTCCCTTCCGAGATGGCAGTCAAGTGGTTGGATAGCGGGGAGGCCCGGTTTGCCTCACGAACGTTATTGATTTTATCGGAAGCCTTGTGGAGGTCGGTCATAAGCTCTGCGGGCTGAGGCTCGGGCTTCTTAGCCTTCGTTGTGACGTAGAGGTAGGTGCGCTGAGCCTGGAAGGCCTGAAGGACAGCTTGAGACTAAATGGAGCAGGGTCAGCGGCCAATCTCTAGACGTAACCGGAGAGGGGTTTTAAAGATAGTACCTGCTCTGAAATCAGTCCTCCAATCTTCTCACCCAGATTCGCGAACTTCTGGACATCATCCTTAATGAAGATGTCGAAGTCTTGGATCTGCGGCGGGAGTTGAGCGGGAGCTGGAGCTGCGGGTGGCGGGGGAGCAGGCTTGGGAGGCTCGGGAACTGCAGGTGTAGCAGCAGCAGGAGTACTGCTGTCCTTTGGAGAGTTGGGGTCATCTATGGACATCGCCATGTCCTCCAAGCGGGAGGTCGCCGCCTCGAGCCTATTTGATCCGTGGTCAGTCGCAAGTTTCAGCGCAAAGAGGAGCCTTGCCCAGAATTGAGACAAAACCGTGACTGGGCATCAAAGTAGAGTCCATGTAGAAATAGGAAGCCATACCGCTTGATCAGGGTGGTGAAGTTATGCATATGGCCGCTGCTCGCCATGCTAGGCAACACGTTGTTCTAAAGGGGAGAACGAAACGGGGCGCAAACGAAGCCGAAGGATAGTGTTACTTCGGCAAGGGGTCTAAGAAGGACCAAGAGAAAGAAGTATCACAAGGCTCAGACCCTTGCTAACGTTCAAGTGTTCGAGTGTTGGAAGGTGAAGGTGAAAGGAGTTCAAGTTGTTCCCCGAGTTCCCGCAGCTTGGCCCAGCAACGGTACCTAACGTAATTACTGAAGTCTGGCTCCACACCTAGGCCTCCGCCGTGCACTAGTGTAATATCTTTCTCTGACTGCAATGATAGACTGGTTCAATTATTGCTGGTGAATAGACCTCATATTCGCTACCATGACCACGACGAATACAGACAATGCTCAATTGGGCGAAGTTGAGTTTTGTACATTGGGGATGTTCATTTTAGGTACGTCGTCAAGCTCTTATCTCTATATCCAGACCCCGCACCCATGTAACCATGCATCAGGCACTCATGTTTATTTTTATGTATAGATGATATTGAGTTTGGGGGTACCAGACCAGATGTCAAAAATGCTCTTGGAGGAGCTGCCTCCTTCGCGGTCATAGGAGCCCGTTTGGTTGCAGGATCAGAGCATGGCCGGTCTGTGAGTTGGATAGTGGATGTGGGTTCAGACTTTCCACAAGAAACTCTCCAAGCGATCAAATCATGGGGAACAGACTGTGTGATCAGAGAAGACCACAGTAGGCTTACCACAAGAGCATGGAATGGATACCACCCGGACGAGAAACGAGGTATATTGTCTCATTACACCCATGCTAGAATGCAGATCTTTAACTGTTGTTATATATAGACTTCAAATACCTCACTCCAAAACTGAGATTGGAGCCCCATATGCTATCAGACACACAGGTGTGGTCTCGCACCTTTCATATGGTTTGCTCTCCAGCACGTTGCATCTCCATTGTAAATGATATCCTTCAACGACGACAGAAACTGCATCAAGCGGGCCAAGCACCGAATACTGAACATGCTTTGGAACGTCCCATTTTCGTTTGGGAGCCTGTACCTGATCTTTGCACTCCCGAAGAACAAGAAAAATTCTTTGCTGCAAACAAGGTTGTAGATGTGGTCAGTCCTAATCATCTCGAGTTAGGGATGATGTTTGATCAGCCTGGATGGACCCAAGAGAGCGATAACAGCCAAAAGCTGGTTCAGACGATTCTTGATACCGGAGTTGGTGTTAATGGCGATGGGTGTATCGTCATTCGAGCAGGCAAGGAAGGGAGCTACGCTTACACAAGGGCCCAGCGAGTCTGGCTTCCCGCCTACCATCAACCTGGTACTCTGGGTGCTACAGCAGTGGTTGACCCTACCGGCGCGGGCAATTCTTTCCTTGGTGCATTGGCCCAGGGAATGATAACAGCAGGCCGGGAGCCTTTCGACATCATTGACTCTACTATGTCAGGCTCGAGCAACTGGGAGCAAGCTATGGACTCCTGGGGCCATGGTCGCAATCTGTTAGGCGCACTTATCTGCGCAACAATCGCTGCCGGCTTTGTAGTGGAACAGATCGGTGTGCCCGAGAAAACCGTGGAAAATGGGAAAGAACTTTGGAATCAAACTGAATTCACGGAACGGGTCCGCCTATACATGCAGCGATTATACAAGACATTTGAAGAGTCTCCCCAGAGACACCTGTTGGCCAATTGATCAACGGTTGGATGAGGAACGCCCTTCTATTTTCGTACAGCCAGGGAATGAGGAAATGATAGTAAAAACAAAATAAAAAAGAAGATGTCCTGTCACGCTGTTAAACCATCCCATGGCTACCAAACAGCATATGGTCCTGTTCTCTATGACTCGTTCTTCGCGGCTTGCTGTGCCTCGTGCTCTCGGATCTGGCGACTCCAGCTAAATTGTAAAGAATCCGAATGTCAGCATTGAAAAATAATCACTTGGAAGGAATTGACGTAGGCGTTGTCGGGGATCGAACTGACTATCGGCTAGGGAAGAATCTGCCAGGCTCGGGCATCTTGTCGCGGTATTCACGCTCTGCGCTGAGGCTGAAGGCCATGCCAGCAATGCCAATGACGAAAGCACCCATGATCGCAGTGTTGACCTTCCAGTTTGCTGGGCGGGAGTACCAACCACCGGCGGGGGACCAGACTTCCTTGGGGTACCTGTAGAGCAATGATTCATCAGTACCAAGCATAGATATTTCCAGATGACAAAACATACGCGATCTTTCCACCACCACCCATTGTGAATGTGGAATTGACGGGGTCGTTGGGTGTTTAAAAGGAGGGACAAGATGGGGTAGGTCTATCTTGCGGTTGGAAGCCGAGAGGGCCGTTCAATTCGAAGGTTGAGCGCCAAGCCTTACATGCCGTATCTGGACTAGCGTGTACTCACACGACCACCGATCCCGTGACTTAGAACAATTTCTCTTTTCTCTCCCCGTGAATTGGCCGCATGCCTCCGAGTCCCCATCCTTCCATTGACGCAGCGTGGGCCCATTTCGATTTCATTTTCTGTTTTTGTTTGTGCTTCGTATTGCCTACGGTCGCCTAAATGAAGCGACTGCAGCTCCAAAGATGGAGCAGTACAGTCCTTTCGCCGCGCGCTCGGACTAGCAACAGACTGCATCAACATCTCTGCTCTTGGAGTTTACGGCATCAATCGACCGTCGCTGCTGTTCAAGAATCAACACCCGAACTGAAGTACCGTCTCGAAAATGCTCACAAACGTAGCGCCCACCTTCAATACCCTTCCCCCCCGGTAAATGCCGCGTTGGATTCCGCCAAACTTGCCTCCCTTCACGCTCGCCTTTACCTTCCCTCTCGACTACCTCTCCAAACGCTCGCGCGAACATTGGTGGACGCTTCAGCGGATTCTAATGTCGACTTCAACAATGAATCGCTCGCCACACTTGGTCACGATCTTCTCACCTATTACACCTCCGAACACCTCCTTTGCACCTATCCCCGTCTACCTCTGAGCGTCGTTTTCGCCGCTATGTACGCCTATGTTGGACCTAAGACCCTCGCAGCGATGTCGAAGGAATGGGGTGTAGATCTCGCTACACTGCCCGGTGGAGAAGTCGACCCTGGTTATCTGCAGTTCAAGCGAGTTCCACCTGGAACCGTACTGGATACCGAGACCGAAAAGAACGGACAACGCAAGAATTGGAGGAAGACAGTCACCTCAAAGGTTGTCTACGATGATGAATTTGGTGATCCCATCAAGGGTTCGAGCAATTCGGGCGTGGGTGTCCCTGCTGAGTTAGCCCGTGCTACCTCTGTGCGGGCTCTCATGGGTGCGATCTACTTGCACGCCGGCCGCCCAGCTGCCAAGCTTTTCTTCGAGCAGCACTTCCTCTCCAGAAGCTTGAACATTTCACAGCTGTTCAATTTCTCTCAGCCAGCCCGTGATCTGACCCGTCTGTGCGCGCGTGAGAACTTCGAGAAGCCCGTCGCCAAGATTATCAGCGAGACTGGTCGTCTTAGCAGACACCCTGTCTTTGTCGTTGGTATCTTTTCTGGTCAGGACAAGCTGGGTGAGGGCGCTGGCGCCAGCCTGCTTGAGGCTCGTGAGCGTGCCGCCCTTGCTGCCCTTAAGGGCTGGTACCTCTACAGCCCTCTCAATGTGCGAGTCCCCAGCTCAATGGAAGAAGAAGGTGCCGCACCATGGAACCCCGCCCACGTTGACCTGGGTGAGGTGATCTCTTAATGGGTGTGCGTATGTCTTGAAATAGTGTGCCCAATTACTAGAGGCACGGTACCATATTCCTTCATGTCTTCTTATTATTTTTTATTTCCTGCTCTTTTTCTCTCCGGTTTGCTGTGATTTTGCATGGGAAGCAGGTCCGTGTGGGAAAAAAGAGTTTCTTCTCCTGTCTTTTGCATGACTGGATACTGTATAGTATGGGAATTGCGATTCCTTCGATTCACCTGGTGTCTTTTTTATTGGAATTTCTTTTGTGTCATCATTGTCTCATTGTGCCTTGCTTATTTTCCCACGTCTCCTCCCATCTCAACTATAAATTGGTCGATACCAGGGATTGACACCGTGTGATTTTGATCTCGGCACCGGTGTATAGAGGTGCCCTTCGATCAAATGTACTACATCAATAAAATCCAAATTTCAAAATAAACTCTGATATGATTGAACACTGGCATGAATCTAGCTTCTTTCAATCATTATACACATCATGAAATAGTCAGATCTACGCTTCTGGATTCACGACTTCGTCTTCCCAATTCCCACACGCCTTCTCATGATCTCCAGGAGCATCCTCACCAGCATCAAGCCACTTACCATATTCCTCCCATAGATCCGCAACTCCAATTCGAAAAAGACTTTCCCAAAAACCAGGCTGAGCCTCTTCCTTATCATCCCCCTCACCCAAATACCCAACCCGCAATAACCGATCATTCACCATCCCAATAGCACCCCGCCCAGCCCATACATCTTCAATCCACGCCAAAAAGTACCCCGTCTTCTCATATCCAGCATCCCATTTATCCGCCCTGTCACCCGCAGATTGAGGTTTCTTCCAATGAGGCGGCGCAAGCCCCGCCTTAAGTCGCACGAAATCCGCAATCCCCTCTATCAAGCCACCCGGTGGACCAGGGATCTTCCGCCCACCATCACCAGCAAAGGGAGGTGCAGTATGCTGATAACAATGTACAAGTTCATGCGTCAAAACACCATGTAACTCGTGCAATGGATTTGAATTTTTCGACGATGTACAGTGCTGAATATACGGAAGCGACAAATGAATTTCTTTATGGTCGTTGTCTAATTCCGTTCCTGTGGTGTAGGCCACACCCCCAAAGTCTCGAAGAAAGATAGTAATGGATCTAGTTGCAGGTATTGAGGGACGAAATCTAGGTCTGTCTTTGTATAAATCTTCCATGGACCTATCTGGACAAGGCCATTTTGGTGAAGTGTAGATGGATTGGACGATACTGTCCAGAGCTTTATCGAGGACTGAAGCTAGGTCTGGGATGAGAATGAAGAATGAGCTGGATGCTGGATGTCGTAGCTCTTGTGCGTGAAGACGTATCTTTGGTCGTGATACTAGAATTTGGTGGTCCCAGTCATCTGAGTTGCAATTCTGCCAGCGGTCTCCTTCCTTGTGCTCTGATGACCTTTGTGACTTGTCGTTGGGTCTGGAGGTTGCCGTAGGGGCTGCACTTGAACTTGCAGTGAGCTCTGTCATGATAAGATTCTAGTTTGAGGATAAGACGAGATATGCCAAGGTGATAGTCCGGTTGAATGTCTAGGAGGGTTTACAATGTTGGAGGCGCTGGTTCATGGGCCGAGATCGGCCATGGGATGCGGAAAGTGGGGAGCTGGGGCGGGGATAACGCGCTTTGGGAAGAACGCCCATGTCAATTCTCAGGGCTCTGCCTGTTGCTGGGTATGGCTCTATTCACTCTTTAAAGACTAATATAGAGGCTAGGAAGAGACGTTATATTGGAGATTATACAGAGAAGAAAGATGTATGTACACCAGTTGACCTGGGCATTATATCATATAGTATAGAACACCAACTTCATCAGACAGTATTTTATATTTTAGAAAGTAGGTAGTAGTAGGATGCCTCCAGCACTGGAGGGCTATCTAGTACTCAAAAGTAGGGCACGGGAAACGGATAATGTTTAGCTCTCAGTAGACTAACGAAAGTCAATCTTATGATGTATCCCATCTGGGGGCATCAACAATTGAACCCGCTTTGAAGATGGTTGCCCTTTGCAACCACGAGATAAACAATACAATATTGGGCTTGACCAGCCCAACCAACATCAACTCCGAACCTCGTGTTTAGTATCGCGAATGAGGAAACTAATTGATCATTGACTATTTTCTCAACACTTTTTTACATTAACCCTTTTCCGATCTTTACCCCTTGAGTTCTCCTTCGGAGCGCATCAGTGGAGACCCTAGCGCTTATCCGCGCTTATCGCCCCTTGTTGTCGGACTTTCCCTCGTCAACACATCCCACCATCCACGGTTCGCGCCCGCACCCCTGACCAGCGCCAACACTCGATTGCTTCGGTACGTGGTCTGGATTACTTGATTATACCCCTATGTGTCCTTGATTTTGCGCTTTTCTCTGTTTGGAGGCCTGGAGCTCTTTAGTGATTGCGGCGCTGTCGTGATCTGAGACGTCACTTCTCCGCAAACACATTCGGTTGGAGCCACGTCGTGAAGTGGGCGCGTTGTTATATGAGACTTGTATCGCTGACTAGATATCAATAGACTATACTAACCTCGTGTCTCGATTTTCGCCCTCGTCGCAGCTCGTCGAAACCGTCCGATCTTCTTTCTGCACCATCGCCGGTGCCATCTCCCATGACCTGATTGAGAAAAAAACACCCTTTCGCTTTCGGTTTTCAAAATGGAGGCCAAGGCTGCAGAGCTCCTGGCAGCTTTCAAAAACCCCAATCTTTCAGTCGATGCGAAAGTTGCCCACCTCAACGGCATCAAGTCCGATATCAAACAAAAAAATGTGCCAGAAGGTGCTATCACAACGATTTTCGACACCATCCGCCTCGCGATAAACTCACAACACTATTCAGTATGCAGTGGAGCCTTTTCAACGCTAGGACATCTCCTGAAGCGACTTGCAATTCAGGATCAGCAACAATGGATTGTGTCCCAGGCACGCAACTTCTACCCCGTCCTGACAGAGCGACTCGGTGATCACAAAGAACGCATACGTGCCCAGTCAGCATCAATATTCACCGATATATGGCCCTTGGCGACCGATGAAGTGGAATATTATGTTCTGGGACATGCCTTGGTGGGAAAAAACCCCCGAGCCAAGGAGATGAGTTTGCTCTGGCTTTCAAATGTCTGTTTCTCCCCAGTGCTACTTCCGGGGAAAAAAGATAATTGTCTAATTGTTTCTATAGATGACCAAAAACCATGGTCTATTGTTCCGTCAATATGTGCCGTCTTTGGTGGCATGTCTAGAAGACGCGGACAGCGCTGTTCGAGATACAGCAAAAGCAGTCGTGATAGATTTGTTCCGGTGTGTAAACCTGCCTGAAAAAAACTACTAACGCATAATTAACGTCCTTATATAGAACTGCTCCCTCCAGAGCTAAGTCAGATCTACAGAAGCAGCTGTCTACCCGCGGCGTGAGAAAATCCATTGCCAGTGCTATTTTGTCAGGAATAGGTCTTTCCGAGTCGGAAACCTCAAACCGACCTATTTCTCGCGCTGATCGACCCATATCCGTGATGTCATCACGGTCCCATGCTGTAGATCCGCATGACGATGGTCTGTTTGTCAAAAATTCGCCATCTCCCATCTCCAATCATTCTAACGACCTGCCAGAACCGGAATATTCGAAGGCCCAACCAGGTTCCTCACGAGGCCAAGCTCGGCCGATCCCTTCGACTTCCACCGATGCGCCTCCCAGACCCAAGACCCCTGCTGAACCGCCGGCTCCTCAAAGCTCATCTCCAGACGATGACGGGCTAGAACCACTCCTAGTTGGATCGGCTAGGGATGTTGATGATCTTGTCCGTGATATCGCTCATTGGTTCGATGGTAAGGAGTCAGAGGATAATTGGATGAAAAGAGAGAAGAGCGTGATTCTATTTCGAAGGCTCACAAGGGGAAATGCGCCTCATGACTTCTCTCAAACCTTTGTTCAGGCTGTAAAGACCCTACTCGATGGATTTTTCAAGGTAGTGAACTCGTTGCGGACTACTCTTTGCACCAACGGGAGTCTTCTGATCCAGGATATCGCTCGTATCTGTGGCCCTAAAATTGACCCTATGGTTGAAATAATCTTGCAGAACTTGCTCAAACTATGTTCCGCGTTGAAGAAGATTGCAGCACAGAGTGGAAATACCACCGTCGATGTGGTCATTGCGAATGTCACCTTTAGCATTCGAATCTTACAGCACATTCATTGGGCATCTCAGGACAAAAATGTTCAGCTACGTCTTTCTGCAACTGGATGGCTCAAGACCTTGATCAGTCGACAAGCTCACCACAAAAGCACTGTTGAACATGGCGGTGGCGTGGAGCTAATTGAGAAATCTATCAAGAAAGGTTTAGGAGATGCAAACCCCGGAGTTCGCGAGCTAATGAGAGGAACATTTTGGACTTTCTCTAGTGTTTGGCCCGATCGAGCGAATGTGTATGTATTAATCTCTTCTTCTTCCACTGCAGGTTACTAACTATATGAAAGGATTTTGTCAGACCTTGATGCGAAATCACGGGGTCTTTTGGAGAAAGACCCGGCAAATCCCAATGGTACACAAAAGACAAGCGCATCAAGCAAGGGCCCGGCGGTGGGCGGCCGTTCTGCTCTGAAGGAAGCCATTGCTGCTCGTAAGAAGGCTCAAATGACTTCTCGCCCGGAGTCTGTCGAATCGGCATTCACTGATAGCCATTCCTCAGAGCCCACATCTAGACCAGCGGTAAGATCCGTTCCCACCGGCGCCCCCCTTTCGTCGTTGTCCTCCGCGCCAATGAGGCCCGCCATGAAGCCTCGCCGAGCAGAACTGAGTCGCCCTGCGACTGCTGACCCATACGCTCGGCGGCCTGACCGACCGGACTCCAGAGCCCAGACGGCTAGACAGGGAACAAGTTCACCGCGCTCAGTAAGGTCCAAGCCTTCAACACCTTCATCAAAGCCTATCAATGCGCCTCGCCTTCGACCTCATGAGTCAGGACAGGCTGGTGGTACTACTAGAAGCAAGCCCAAGAAGCTTGACCTCTCCAAGTCCAAATCCCACGGCGATCTATCAGCAGCAGCAGCAAGTCGCGCACGTAGTGATTCTAACGACAGCATAGTAAACCAAGCCCCACGGCCGGTTGATCCACGAAGCGCATATGAAGAACCGAACTCACCAGCTCCTGTCGTGTTGGAAAGCCCTCCGCTTTCTGCGACACGGCGTCCACCTCACCCAAACCAACAAGTCAGTTCTGAGCGGGTCTCTACCCCAGAGCCTATGAGAGAACCGGAATCCATGTCGCTTGAAGATCCTATGGATATCCCTTCCCCACATGAGGAAGTAGATGCACCAGGGTCTGACGCTCCATCTCCATGGATCAACGCAGACACAGTTCCTTCTCCTGAAAGTCCCGCAAAGACCCAGATGGAGGAAATGGTCATTTACGAGGACCCAGCTACTCCTGTTGCTGCCGAAAGCCAGACATCGAAGATTGATCCCGTCGAAAATTTCACGCCAACAAAATCCCCCCGCCGTGCAATTCAACATGATCTGGCACAAGATACAATTGTCGCTGCGCCAGTGGAGTCTACCACTCCAGCCAGAAGTCCAGCCCCTGAAATGGCTCAATACCAGAGTCTATCCAATGACGGTTCTAATGAACCTCAGTTTCCATCTCCGGTTCGAAGGACTCCATTGCGAGGTAGCCCTTCGCCCTCGAGGAACCGAGCTCCAGCGACACCATCCGAGAACATTTTTGGTAGAGACTCTATTTTGAGGCAGGAGACTCCCACCAGTGTCCCTGAAGAAACTCCTAGCAATGAGAACGCGATTGCACAAGTTGCTAAATCCACAGAATATCCCGCGACCCCACGATCGGCCGCAAAGCCCGGTGCCCTAGAGGAAGTCCCATTAAATGAGTCAACGATGCGGCCTGTTGATGTGAGAAACCGCTCTTCTGAGCCGACATCCCAGTCATCAGTGGACGAGTCTCTTCGCCGAAGCCGTAAATGGGCAGAGCGCCACCGCAGCCCTAGCCCCCGGTCGAAAGACCCCGCTAACGCACGTGAAATGCTTCCCAAAGCTCTTACTCGCATTGAAACTAAGACCATGGATATTTCCGGCTACCGCAAGCTACAGGGACTCATACAGTACCACGGAGAGGAAATTGTATCTCGCGAACAAGATTACTATGCGGTATTTGATGCTCTACTCGGCGAGCTAGAGTCGGCACCTACCAGTCGCAAAGATCATGATGTGAAGACACAAATTCTTGCTACTATTAGATCCATGCTTCTCCGGACTAGTGAGCTCTTCCATCGATATGATATCCCCGTCATCGCGGCGATCGTTCGAGCTCGTCGACACTACGAATCAAACTCCCATTTCGTGACTTGTCTGGAGGAGGTTGCAGAACAGCTAGCGTGTCTGGTCCCTGTCCCTATCTGCATTCATGGTGTCCTTGAAGGATTGAAATTTGAGAATGACGCTCAAAGCGATGAGTCATATCGATCAATCATTCTAGGCCTCTCCACTATCAACCAATCCCTTTCGGAAAGCCAGATGGACATCTCAGATGAGGACCTCGCTCAAGTTGGAACTGTTGTTAGCCGACAACTCAGCCATTCCCGACCCGGTGTGCGTAAACAAGCCACGGAGCTGGCTACGCTGCTGAACCTCAAATTTGGTCTCGACCGAGTTCAAAAGATTACGCCTCAGGCTGGCGAGGGCTCTCTTAATCTGCTCACATATTTCATGGCTCGGCGGTCTCAATAAGGGGACAACATGCTACTCTTGACATGCCTCTTGGCAGTTTCTTGCAGATACTTATTCATTGCTTCATATCCTTTTATTCGGGCGATTTTGTATTTACTGGTGCATGCTGGTTGGAAACCTTTACTGGAATATTGGACATAATAAAAAGTTTTCTAATGAGAAAGACCCGCTTTTAAACTTTGAACTCTTCCTTCCTGGCTTCTTTATAGATACAATAGAAAATTAAGAGACCCGGAAATTAGGATGGAGTAGATGGCTCGTCGGGTGGTTGGGTTGGTGCCTTAGATGTGTGCACCCACCACTTAATAGACCACTGCCACATACTAGCTCCAATTATAGCGAGCAAAACTCTAAGAGAAGTGCAAGCATGATATGATTTGTGTGCCCAAAGCCTATGATAGCCTAGAGATTGTTAGTTGTGTCTCTTTCTTTCTGTCAGGGTTGTTAAATAATAAGTACCAGCAGTAATACTCAAGGCAGGCACGATAAGAAGAATGGAGGACATGATAAAGGTGTTGAAAGTCAGAGGAACATGCTGGACCACTATAGAGAGTGGGAACAGAGAAAACACAAGAAAGAAAAAGTGAACCAAGTGAAAATAATCCCGGTACCACTGGAGTTCTTCACTCCAAGTGGAAGAAGGGGTTAAACTTTCATCGGTTGTCTTTTTAGCCGTTGAGTCCACCATGCCGATTTTTGAAGCGACAGGTTTGTTGTAACCTGTAGGTAACCTGTAGGTAGCTCTGGTGTACGTTGGCTCCGTTCACCATAAATGGGCTTGTGTTAATCCTTATACGTGGTCGAAAAGGTCTGTGTGATGTATCGCAGAGGCGATTCAACACCTTAGGTGAGCGCTGATCCTACATTATTGACCGACATGGCAGAACAATGTAATTCACATGCAGTAACCTCAAGCTCGAGGAAAATAATACAGAGGCCGTTCAATGCCTGGGCTTACGTGAAACCTACTTGAAAGGCCCTCGCAATTCTTTTTGTAAGTTGTGGCTGATGAGCTTACACCTTGGGATAACACTCCAGTAGAACGGAAGGGGCACGAAGTTATTTTCCTAACCCCTTACGTCAACACAAGCACTGAGCTATTTTTATGAATCAGCAGTCTTTCAGCTCCCTGCTATGTATTCTCTTCGAATACTCAATCGATAAGTTTCCCTACATTCTATCATGGATTCTTCAACAGACCCTGTCGACTGGTACCAGGACCAAGTGGTCTTTCTAACTGGCGCGACAGGGAGTCTTGGAGGATGTTTGCTTTACAAGCTGGCAGTCCAATTGCCAACCAAAAAGATATATATTCTCTGTCGTGGCTCAATGCGCCAGGCAATAGAGAAATGGGAATCATCGATGCCCGAGCAGACAGATGAGATCCTGGATACAGGAAAGGTTCATTGCTTCAGCGGCAACATTACCCAAGAAAACTTTGGATTAGCTCCGCACGAACTGGAGACATTGCAGAATGAAGTAACTGTCACAATCCATGCAGCTGCCGACTTTTCCCTCTTTCAGGAGCTTCCAGTGACTATCCGTTGTAATTGTTTGCCAGTCGTTATGCTGGCCCAATTGCTACTTTCCTTCCAGAAAATCAAAGTACTTTTGCAAATATCCAGCATCTCAAGCCAGAGCTTCTTGTCTGGTGGCTCTGTGTTTGAGGATGTCAAAACGATTGTACCCGATGAAGAACCCCCTCAGACGCAACTAGCAGATATTCTAGCGACGGGACATTCACCATACACTGAGCGTTTTATGGCACCCTATGCGCAAGCTAAATATCTGGCCGAGAAGCTTTTGTTAGAGCTCAATACCAATTTTCCGGTTCTCATAATCCGCCCTTCAAGTATTGGCCCTGCTATTCGAGATCCGTACCCGCTATACGGCCCCGAGGGTGCCATTCCTCTACACACGTTTTTCCAGGTGCTTTTGGAAGGAGGGGAGTTCAGAGAGTTCGACGACCTCAAAGAATTTCCCCAGGAAGTCGTTATTGACGAGATCCCGGTCGATATTGTGGCCAATACATGCCTCCTCCATCTTGCTGCAGGCACAGCTGGAATTGTGCACGCCGGTTCACAATTGTACATTCCTGTTACATTTGGCAAATATATAAAGCATGTCCAGCGGTATGCGCCGAGATCGCTTGTGCAGAAAGTGGCCAAAGCGCGCTTTGAGAGAAACCTCAACTTTGCCAGCCAAGCAACGGATATGCTCCAACGTATTAATAAGGATTGGCTGATTGACTGTTCACGGTCCATGGACCTGAAAGTGACGGAGGGACCCATCGGACTGTCCATAGCCGAGCATGATTTCGAGGCTTTTTCTCGCCGGCGGATTGAGCGGCGCGCACGAGATATGGAATCATGGGTCAATAATTTGAAGGCATCTGGAATCTAGTTCAAATAGATAACATTGAAAGCAAAAAATTTCGGATTCTAGTTAGATTTCTCACTCAAAATTGAAGTCTAAATATTTATTACTAGCCTGTTGCACGGATACAGGGGACGATACTTGTATATCTGAGCGTTGTAGTCCCTCGCGCACGGCTTCTCTATCTTCGGCGCCAACTCTACTCCAATTCAAGTTCCAAGGTTTGACAATTTAGGGAATGCTCAAGCTCTCAATTCTCACCATACTTAGCACGCAGATGATTTATTGTGACTGTAGCAAGTGCTCCAACAGTACCTGCCTTGGATATTTCGGCCAGACTAATCTCCAATCCTAGGTTGCGACGTGCCCACCCTCGGATTTCAATGGACATCAATGAATCGATGGCAATTTGCGCAGTTTTCACATCGTCCATATCTTCCATATTATTCATATGTTGGGTGATTAGCCTCCCGAGCTCCCGCTGGATAGTTATCTCTGTTTCTGGCTCATCCAAGATAGCAGGGTTTTGTTCCACCTTGGCAAGAAGAGCCTTAAGATGGTCATTTGTCACTTGAGCATGCGTGTCTCCGATGGACTCAATGTTGCAATAAAGAGCATATCGGATGTCCCTTGCCCATGGGATGCGAACGGTCGCGTCTGATGAATGTTTTGTAATTCCCGTTCCAACGAGGACCGGACTCGAAACGAGATCCTTCGACTTGCACTGAGCGATCGCAACCTGTAACCCCTTCATCACTTCACCCTCACTCATAATATATGCTGATCCTGCTCTGATTGTTTGCAAGACTTTCGGATCCCGACTGACAAGACCAATATCTTCTACTGGGCCTAGTGCAACAGCTGAACACGGGAGACCCAGTTGTCGGCGATAATTGGCAAAACTATCAAGAAATGTGTTTGCAGAAGAATAGTTGGCCTGTCCGGTGTTTCCAAATATTCCACAAAGCGAGCTGAATAGAACGAAGAAATCAAGGTTCTGTCCCTCAACGGCGTGGTGGAGGTTCCAGGTCCCAGTGACCTTAGAACTAAGGGAGGATGTCCATTCATCGTAGGTCATATTGGCAAAAGTGCGATCCTGATAATGTTATTTAAAATTAGCGCTGAAGGCTTGAAGATTATTGCAAGATATTTTCTCACATTAAGTGCCATGGACATTTGGAGAACACCCGCCAGCGGCTTGATACACTTCGCGACGGCGCTCTTAACGTCCGGCAACTTTGTGACATCTCCTCTCACACATGTGACGTGACATCCTTGAATTTCCAACTCTTGCATGAAATCACGATCTTGCTTTGAATGACCAGCAGAACGAGATAGGTAGATCAGATAACGAGCACCATTCTCTACCATCCAGGTAGATATTGCCCGTCCTAAACCTCCGAGGCCCCCGACCAGTAAGTAAGAGGCTTGAGATGAAAAGGAGAGATCAAGTTCAGAGCGAGAGACCAAAACGTCCGCGAAGGTTTGTGGCATCTCAATCAAGATCTTCCCCATGTGAACGCCTTGTTGCATATATCTGAAAGCATCGAGGACCTCTTTGGCTTGGAATTTCTTTACCGGTTGGATGGGCTTAACGTGTCCTTGCTCATACCAGCTTCCAGACTTTGCAACAAGATCCATGACAAACTGAGGGCATTCCTCACCCAACTTTAAAAGATCCACCCCATGAAATGATCGATTACCGGCAAAAGGAACCATACTGAGTGTACCATTTGTAAGGAAATCCCGCTTTCCCAATTCAATCATCTTCCCTCTAGCCGCAACACATTCCCATGAAGCATGTAAGAGTTCTCCAGCCAATGAATTTAGAACGAGATCAACCCCCCGTCCTTTAGTCTCACGCATAATGTCTGGCAAAAATGCGCTACTGCGAGAATTAAAGATGCGATTCCGACGTATGCCAAACTGGTCCATCAGATATTGAACTTTGTCTTCGTTGCCTACCGTGGCAAAAATCTGATCCAAGTTAGCACTATCTGCTCATCACATACTTTTCTGTGTGCTGAAACTCACCTCTGCGCCAATATGTTGACAGATCTGAATGGATGCCAGCCCCACGCCACCACAGGCCGAGTGTATTAACACAGTCTATTTCATTAGTTAGCTCAGTCAATGGCAGAAATATGATGGTAATCGTACCTGTCCCTTTTTAATTGACCCTAGTTCAATCAAGGAGTACATGGCAGTTGCGTATACTGTCGGCATGGTTGCTACCTCATCGAGAGAAATACCAGTGGGAGCTTTGAAGCATTGCTGTGGGGATACGATAACCCTTGATTGGAATAGCCCGGGGCTGATCAAAGCTACATGATCTCCAATGGAAAGGCCATCCAAAACGTCAGCTCCTATTCGACGGACCACACCGCTGCCTTCAAAACCAAGCTCGTCTTTATCCCCCACAAGTCCCATGGAAATCATGATATCCTATGAAATTATTAGTGCAGCTCAACGTTTTAGTATAGAAATGAAGACTGGAAATACCCGAAAATTGAGCCCTATATATTTAATTTCGACCTCAACTTGGTCATCTCTTAACTCTTTTTCTGCAGTCTCAACCCAGTGGAGAGTATCAAGAAGAGCATATGTTTCGAGACTTAGCCTTGCCAAGCTCTTTTCGGTCACCTCAACGGATGGAGCTTCATTGTCGGCCAAAGAATCCCAATAACAGCGCCCAATATGAACAGATCCTCGTTGACATGAGAACTCATACTCGAGATTCGGGTTCCCTATCTCTCGAGACACTTCTATAATGTCGTGAACCTGGCACAACGAGCGTGCTGCAGTGGTGTCGAATATGTCAGACTCGAATATTGAAATGTCTAAGCCCATCTCATGTCTAAGCGTTCGAGCAAAGCCAAAAACGAGCCCATATCGTGGATCTTCACAGCTTAGCTGACAGGATTTAGTCACCCAAATGATTCGTTGTTTCACTTCTGACATGTAGGCTTGGAGACGCAGAAATTTCTCTTGGTGCATCTCATACATGAAGGGTTCTTGAATGTCCATAAGGAAGATAATATCTTGATCAGCTGGTGGCTTGCCTTCTAGAGTGCCCCATTCCACGGAATAGCTTCGTTCACGGAAGCTAGAAGCAACTTGACAGGCCCAAGGATCCTGCATGTCAGTTGTCACTAGATGAACCTTTCTTCCTTTACTGACCTGAGGGAGTATTCTAGATATCATGGTGAAAGTATGTTGAAAAGGGGGTTCATGGTCATAAGCATATGATTCACTTCCTGTAAATCCAGTCGCACGTAGCTCATAGTCCCATCTTTCCGGTGAAACGTACGGTCTGTCTGCTCTATCATCGTTCTCACCTATCCACCATCCAGGAAGAACACCCTTTATCTGTGTAAGTCTAGAGCCAAACCAAGCTGAAGGGGAAGAAAATACCATGATGAAATCTGTTGTCCGAGTATCTAATTTTTGTTAGCCCAAAGCTTTTCTCAACGAAGCTATTCGGGGTTTTACATGGATGGAGTTCATGTAGCATCAATTTGCCATTGGGAGACATGAGCTTGTGAACATGTCGCAACGTGGTTTCCAGGTGTGGCGTAGCATGCAAAACCTGCCCTTGACATTAGTGGTGACGTGGCAAGGGCTCAGTCACAGGAAAGCTCACATTTGAAGCGAAAACTAGATCAAATGAGTGGGGCTCAAATCCCTGCTCTTCAGGATCTCGTGAGATGTCGAGTACCTTAAATTCAAGACTTTGATGACCAACAAACTTATCCTGAGCCGCCATCGTGAACCCAGGGGACAAGTCGGTAAAGACATATTTGGCGTAGAGACAGTCACCCTGTGAGCTTTTAAGGCCCTTGAGAGCTTTCATTGTCCCACTTCCTGTCCCGGCGCCGATTTCCAAGACCCGCATTCCGGGATTGGCGTGACCAAGGAGTTGAAAAGTATGGTGCCAGGAATCAACGTGAGCAGGTACCTCATAATACTTTGCCAGCTTGTCTTCTTCCATGAGAGCATCCAGAGGCACCCGCGTGCCTGTTGCAAAATCAACACAGCTCTTGTAGACTTCTCCCGTACATTCTGCCACACTCCAGTAAACTTCATTGTCTTTGTATCGTGACACAAGATCCTTTATAATGCACTGTCTATCTCCTGAACTCATTTTGACCCAGTCTTTGATTTCTGGATATAGCAGTTCATGTCCTGACCGCAGTTTGGAGGCCTCTGCATTGATCCAGGCTTTGTATCGGGTCATATGAGTTTCAGTAGGAGTGATGTCAGCAAGCTTGTCAGCGGTCTCAAGCAAATACAAGTATCCCAATCTCCCGAAGTCTTTCCATGCTTCATATTCTCTCCCTGGTGGTTTGGGTGGAGAAAGCCATGAATTGGGTGGCATTAGGTCAATGGCCGGTGACCATCTGATCTCGGCAGTGAGTGGGATACGCGACTGATTCAATGAGTGGTCTTGTACGCTGAAAAAGGCAGCATTGCGAAGCGATAAAAGTTGGAGACCATCAGAGATCAAATTAGCGTTACCAAGCAAATTGCCGATGTTGTTTTTCGCAAGGCTGGCATCTAGCTTCATTTCCGAAGCTTGACCTCGGACATAAAGATGGCCGATGGCAGCTGGAATAGCGAGACTATCAATGCGACGTGCAATTCCGTTTGTCAATGCAACACTCAGAAGTTGCAGACATTGATCGATAACGGTAGGATGAAGCGTGTACCGACTTGAGCAGAGATCTGAATTACTCGTTGTCGTAGCATCGGCTCGAGGCTTAACTGGATCGACGAAGATATCCTTTAGGCCTCGAAACCTCGCCCCGTAACTGAGACCTTGTTTGTCTAGAGCTCGATACCATTGATTTGAGTCAACTGGGCGGATATTGCGCTTGATTTCTTTTACAGACGGCGCGTGATCATAACGAGACCGTACTTGCCCTTGACAGTGTTTTGTCCAACCCGTGCCATCGTAGGCAATGATACTGAAAGCATACCATTCAGAGTCGACCGAATCATTATAGCTAATTGGCCTGAGTTGAGTTATTATCTCGGACACCACCTCGTCTTTTAGCAGAAGAGGTGATTTCAATGCCAGGTTCTTTACGGAATAATCCTCCACCTCGGGATTCAGCTGTCGAATAGCTTCACCTGCCATGGCAACATACCCGGCAGCAGGGAAGACGATATTGCTTTGTAGGACATGATCCCATATCCATGGAACATCTTCTAATCGAAGAAGATTTCTCCAGGCTGGCTCTAGATCAGACGACTCGGCCACTCGGACTCCAAGAATCTCGTGATGAGGCGAGTTTTGATACCTCCATTGGGTTGCTAGCCGACTTTCGTGCCAATGCCGAACTTTATGCTGCCAGGGGTAAGAAGGCAAATCTGTAAGTAGTATTCCATTGCCATTTGCCTCAGGAAAATTGATGTTACCACCATTTGCAAACACGCAACCTAGGGTGTGAAGTAGCTGAGATCGAGAGTCATCGGCATACCGTGTCAATGTCGGAATGTAAGCCGGATCTATCTTAGGACGGACAGACTTGAATATCTGCCTGAGGGGTCCTGCAAGAGTAGAGTGTGGTCCAATCTCTAGGAACTGGTTTGCAATCTCCGAAATATCAAGAATTCCCCGGACAGCGTCAGCAAACAGAACGGGTGACTCTAAATTACGCCGCCAGTATGCTGCGTCCAGATCTTGAGGATTTGTGATAATGCGAGAGGTCACAGTAGAGAACAATGGTAGCATGCTTTCCGAAGATTTCACGTAGGCCGAAATTTTGGGCTCATATTCAAGGCCTGCGTCAAGCATATGATCTTGAAAGTATTATTCTCAGTGAGCGGGCGCGGTTAAGGAATACTAGGATTAATGAAACTTACGTGAGTGGTAGGCAATTTTCACCTTGAGCATTCTACATGCAACGTCTGGGAAATCGCTTTTTATCTTTTTCGTGATCATGCGGATTGCTTCAGCATCTCCTGACAGTGTGACGCTGTCAGGACTATTCTCACAGGCTAAAACGATACCAGCCTGCAAATATGGTGAGATATCAGCACGACCCATTCCGATCGCAACCATTGCACCTCTACCCTCCTGAGTTTTGGCTATTTTGCCTCGATAGTATGCGATAGCAATGGCTGATTTTGCAGTAATCGCCCCCGCTGCATACGCCGCCGCGATCTCGCCACTTGAATGACCGACAACGGATGATGGCTCAAGCCCCATTCGGCGTAGCAAGTTCACAAGTCCAATCTGTAGGGCAGTACACAGCGGTTGAGAATATTCGGAATTGTTGACACAGCTCTCGCTCCCCTCTCTGACCAGCTCATCTGAATCCTGTTTTAGCTTCTATCCTATCGATGGAACAAGAGATGTCACTTACCTTTTAATGACCACCCAGGAGGATCTTCAAGTTCTTGCATCACCCCATCTAGTCTTTGAATGTCTCCTTGGAAGCTTTCGAAATTTTCCATAAGATCCTTTCCCATACCAGGCCACTGGGCTCCTTGGCCAGTGAAGACAAAAGTTAAAGCCATGGGTGTGGCTTTTCCAGTTTGGAAACTAGCTGCATCTATCGGCTTATTGGCATGTGCCACACCGAATGCCCGTGATTTCATGTGATCACGCCGTACTCCTAATGTGTATGCCAGGTCTTGAAGCAAATTTGAATTTTCATTGGCATAGCGACTGACCCCCAGAATACGCTGCTGTAGCGATTCGGAATCTTTAGCGGATACGACCAGAAGCCGCGAGCTATCACAAGGCAAGTTATTCTTTTCTCGCAGTGTCTTCCCAAAATATTCAGTCGTGGATTCTAGAACCGCATGAGCATTGGAACCGCCAATGCCGAAGCAATTAACGCTCATACGCTCCTTGCGGTTTGTTGGCCAATGCATCACGGATGTAGGCACCTGAAGATTGGCTTCTTTGAACGGAATGGAAGGGCTAGGAGTATCGAAGTAGATATTTGGAGGGATCAAAGAATGCTCCAGGGAGATAACTGCTTTTATTAAGCTAGTTATGCCAGATGCTCCCTCAGAATGGCCGACGTTTGGTTTCACCTGGCTTCATTAGCTTTTCCAACCGGTAGCATGGATTCAAAGGTCCCCTATCAACTCACAGAGCCGATCACTGTTCCATTATTTTGAAATAGCTTAGCGACAACGGATACTTCTGCCGTATCACCAATTGTAGTTCCCGTTCCATGGCATTCGAAAAAGCCTGTCTCGGTAATATTTTCAATCCCTGCCTTCGCGTACGTCTTTTTGATAAGACGCTCCTGTGTGAGAGATCCCGGGGTAGTGATACTAGGCGTCCTACCATCGCAATTGGTTGATGTGGCTCGGATAATTGCCCTAACATGGTCCCCATCACGCACAGCATCACTAAGACGCTTGATGTAAACTGCGTTGATAGCTTCACCCCTGCCATATCCATCGGCTTTCTCATCAAAAGTCCTACAAACCCCACTTGGCGAAAGAACCATATTATCAGACATTGTTGTCGTCATTGTCGGAGCAAATATCAAATTGGTGCCCGCTACAATGGCTGAAGAGCACTCTCTTGAATAAAGCGCCTGACAAGCCTCATGAAGGCCAACTAGAGAAGACGAGCAACCAGTCTGTAATGTCATGCTATAGATCCATTAGCCGAATCCATCTATTTCTAAAACAATCGGATCATCTTACCTAGGCCCTTGGAAATCATATTCGTAAGACACTCGGTTAGACAGTGCGAACTGGCCAGTTCCCAAAACGTGGTACCTATCCGTGTTTTCAAAGTCTTTGCTGGCCAATTCCAGCCAATCCTCCCCATATACACCAACAAAGCACCCAATATCCTTGCCTCGCCAATTGGTCTCTCCGGCGCTCTCAAGGCACTCCCAGACAACTTCCAATAGTTGCCGCTGCTGTGGATCCATGCGTGCGGCCTCGTAGGGCTTGATCGAGAAGAACTCCGCATCGAAATTGGCAGGATCATGTTGAAGAAAATATCCTTTTTTGGTTTTCACCGAATGAGGCCTCGAGTCACTATAAAATGAATCGACATTGTACCGATTCCCAGGAACTTCGCACAATCCATCTTTTTTCTCAATCAAGAAATCCCAGAATTCATCGGGTGAGGTTACTCCTCCGGGAAGTCTCAAAGCCATACCCACAATAGCTATTGGCGAGCAGTGGCTCTGTTCGGGCGTGGCATCTGCTGCTTCAGTCGACACATGGTCTTTGCAAAGTTTATTGTGCTTGAATGGCTCCTTTCCTCTAGCCTCTTCCACAATTTGGTGTAGAGCATCACCTCTGTTAGGCAGTCGTACTTGAGAAGACATTGCCGCTTATTTTTCTTTTCAGGATATGTGGCTGATTGAGAGCTGAAATACCTCGTTAGATGTAATGCCCATTGAATTAGAACAAAACTCAAATGAAAATTGAGAACCTTTGCAGAAAGAGTGCAAGCCAGCAGATGAAGAGCCCCACCATGCAAGGAAAAGGAGGAAACGATGCTGTTGATGAAGATTCATGCAAGGGGGTGAGATGAGTACACTGAAAATGGAGCGAGAACTAGTGAATAAACCATCACTTAAAAGTCAAAATGTCAATTTCATAATTTTTTATATCACACAATCACCTTCAAGTACATAATTTTATCAGTTCAGTGGACTCTTCCGACTAAAAAGCCGCAGCTCGTCGCTCACAACATTGAGCCAACTGAGCATCGCGGAAGATATAATCAAGATTCAAGGAGGTCCACAGGCGATATTCACCTTTTATGCTTGTCTTTTCGGTACCCAAATGTTATCTCTTATTCCTCTCATTCACTGCAGAATACAAATCCAATATTTCCAATCTATATTGTAGATCGGTGCCGATATTTGTCTATAGTAGCCGATGCATCGGCCCGTACCCCCGGCCCCAGTACCTCCTAGTGCTTCACTCGCACATTCTTGTTATGATAAAACTTCCAAGATTGTTACCCCTTGTTTATTTACGTACTTTTCTCATATTTAACGGCCAAAAAGCGGCAGTACTAGCCTGTCAAGTTCCCTATTCATTTTCTCTTCGTTCTAGAAGATCAAGTCCTCTCACCAGGAACATTTTCTTGACCACTTTCCAATTGTTCTCTTGACCTCAACATGCTTGCCAAGCACTTTTTCTTCGCGATCGCAGTTGTTGGCAGTGCTTTTGCCTCTGTCAACAGCGAGCAAGCTGTTGCTGATATCCACGAGTTGACTCGCATGACGAAAATTGCCAAACGCTCTCTCGAAGACTATAATGGGGGGATCCCCGGCGCATACAGAATTGCGAGGTCGGTATACAATGCCCACACGTCTGCGGAAACAGCACGGAAGAGCATGGGTAATTCCGATCCATTAGCCGATGATGATAGCGGTCGCACACTGGACGCATATAATCAATTTTACCCAGTCCTACTTGATACTCTTCAAGTCGCGAAGACTAAAGTAAGCTTGGTTTTAGCATTCTACTTTATACACATCATTGCTGACGCACACTTCTAAATAAGGCTCCTGAACTCAAGAAGACTGGCCTTTCATACCCGGCTCAAGGTATGATGGCCAACCTTTATAATGAGAAAACCAATTTTGAAACCGTTATGCACGGCCGATTGTCCAACAACCATAGCCGCATGGTCCAGCCGTCGACAGAAAAGGTCGACAGAGCTTTCAAAGATACCTTGGATGCCTTGAAAAACTAGAGATTTCTCGGGCAGGTTGCCTTGAAGCATCTGCACTTCGAATATTCAAGGGAAGGGCTGCCCCAATGACGCTGAGGACTTGAGTTCCTACTCGGTAATATCAGATAGCTACCTCCGTTATTGATTCAGGCTTAGAACAATTGAAATCGGACATCAATTATAATTTATAATCGAGATCACGCGCTCACATCAAGTGGCTTCGTCCGAATAAGACGACTGCTTGCAGATGCCTAAAAGAGTAACCTTGGGAAGAACCCAAAACAAGATATGTCCCTCCGCCGCTTAATATTCCAAAAACATTAAAAGTTGCGAGTTCTTGTCTTTTTTCCGCTTGATTTTCCTGTTTTGGTATCCCGACCTCGGCAATCCTGCCTTCGGCTTCTGCTGCGCCGAGTGTTTTCCCCACGTCGTGGAGCGAACAAGATAGCTGTGACGTTGATTTACCCCACGCCAACCCACATCTGCCCCTCATGTTTAAGAGTTAGCCCAACTGTCCCATTAAGGGCAGCCTCGAGTCGGGGTATGGCTCGGCAAAATGGATATCTATGATAAATATAAAAGGCCGCCGAAAGGCATGGTCACAATGCCTCCACGGTGCGTCTATCTAGCTATCACATCCACAACTTGAACTTTCCAAATCTAGGATCTACCGTTATGGCGACAACATTGACAGGCGGAAACCCGCATATAGTCACACTCCCAAAGACACCTCCTACTTCTACTGCAAGCCCTCAAGCTATTATTCAACAATGGTTTAATGCCCTACAAACCAAACTGTCGCAACCGGACTCTATCGATTTGACAAATATCTTCCATTCTGAATCATGGTGGCGCGATATGCTTGCCCTAGACTGGGACATGCGCACTCTTCATACTGCTTCCGAGATCCAAGACTTCCTACGCAAGCGCCAGGGCCAGACAAATCTATCTAGCTTCAAGCTGCAAGACAAGGGCAAATGGATACCGCGTGTGGAGCAAGTTGTTGATGGCCTCACATGGCTCTCTAGCATGTTCTTTTTCGAGACTGCAGCTGGAAAGGGAACAGGCATGGTCCGTTTGACACAAAGCGGTGATGGCCATTGGAAGGCGTATGCGATTTACACTTCCCTACAAGAATTAAAGGGAGCTGAGGAGCCGCTGGGAAAACGAAGAGCGGAGGGAACAACTGAGTCTATGCCCGGCGGGCTAGCTGGAGGAACTTGGATTGAGCGAAGAAAGAGACAACAAGAGTTTCTGGATGCGGAGCCCACAGTTCTGGTCGTTGGAGCTGGTCAAGCGGGTTTAAATATGGGTGCTCGTCTTCAAAATCTTGGCCTCTCGTGTTTGATCGTGGACAAGCATGAGCGTGTTGGTGATAATTGGCGCAAGAGGTATCGTGTAAGTAAATTCCGCTGTGACCTTGATTAGGGGATTTCAAGATCGTAGGCTAACATTGATCTGGACAGACCTTGGTCACCCATGACCCCGCCGAGTTCACCCACATGGCGTACCTTCCCTTTCCCCAGAACTGGCCTCAATTCACACCGAAAGACAAACTTGGAGATTGGTTTGAGGCATACGCTAGCATTATGGAACTGAACGTATGGGTCCAGACATTCGTCGTTTCTGCTGAATATGACGACGCCTCAGCTGAATGGAATGTCACCCTTTCTCGTGGCGATGGGTCTCAGCGCACACTGCGCCCACGACACGTCGTTTGGTGCACAGGACACTCAGGAGAGGCGCGTATCCCCAGCTTCCCAGGACAGGAATCTTTCCAGGGAATCTTGTATCATGGTAGCCAACACACCGATGCTTCTGATTCGGATGTTCGCGGGAAGAAGGTCGTTGTCGTTGGCACCGGTAACAGTGGGCACGATATCGCGCAAAACTATTATGAAAATGGAGCGGATGTCACTATGTTGCAACGAAGTGGAACATATGTTATCACTGCTGATAAAGGTGTTTTCATGATGCACGAAGGTTTGCATGAAGATGGCGGGTATGTTTCTCCTTTACTTTTGCTTTTACCGTGGTTCTTTGTCCAGGTTGATACTAACTGATCGGATAGTCCGCCAACGGAGGAATGTGATATAGTCTCCGAAAGTCTACCATTTCCCGTACAATTCGCACTGAGTGTACATGGTACAAAGCGATTTGCGGATGCCGAAAAAGAAATCTTAGATGGACTGCGTCGTGCTGGCTTTCAGCTTGACTTCGGCCCAGATGGTGCCGGTATCTCGCGTGCATACAATACTCGAGGTGGTGGATATTACATCGACGTTGGTTGTAGTCAACTGATAATCGATGGAAAGATTAAGGTGAAGCATAGCCCTCGTGGCATTACAGGTTTTGGACCTCGTGAGTTACGACTTGAGGATGGCAGTGCCTTATCAGCCGATATCGTCGTTCTGGCTACTGGGTACGACAATATGCGCACTACTGTGCGAAAGGTTCTGGGTGATAAGATTGCCGATCGGTGTCAGGATGTTTGGGACCTGGACAGCGAAGGAGAGCTCCGTGCGGTATGTTTTTTCTCTTGTCTTGTTTTGCCGACTATCTTCCACCGTGGGCTTGTACTGATCATCATTCAATCGTGGTATAGATGTGGCGCCCAAGTGGACATCCTGGCTTTTGGTACTTTGGAGGAAACCTGGCTCTGTGCCGAATTTACTCTAAATTCCTTGCTCTTCAGATCAAAGCAGTTGAGACTGGACTCTCGACCGGAAAGCGTTATTAGCAAAGAGCGAATAAGATATAAGACATAGTATTGATAGAATTAGATGCAGAGAAATGTAAAGGTTCAATACAACTCCATGGAGTATCGAACAAAGGCCGCTTGTATTATATTTCAAATACTAGGAACATATCAACCGTTTTCGCAAATAATAGCAAGGTGGATTTAATGATGCATGCTTATATGTACTGTTGGTGGATGGGAGTGAATATTGGTGCCTCACATCCAAGGCAGCCGCAGCTTTTGTCCACCGTGTGGAGATGCCGGAGTTAACGGATATTGGCGGCGAAACAATGTGATTGGCTGACGTATACTTACCACCAAAAGGATATACTCGTCCACCGCACAAAATCCGAACAAGAAGGTGATAAAACTGGTCCTAGGAACAGCTTTTTGTTACATTATTATAACCAAGATCCAAGATTAATTGAAATCCGCATAAATATCAAACAACACGATCTCAATTCAAAAACATGGCTGCTTTCAAGACATTGCCCACTCGCCCGTTAGGCCGCAATGGGCCTCTGGTTCCTCGACTCGGATTGGGGCTTATGGGTGCTAGTGGAATGTACGGCCACAATCTCTCAGAAAATGAGAGATTCGAATTGCTAGATGAAGCATACAAGCGAGGGGAAATATTCTGGGATACAGGCAAGTCTTCTCATGAGAAGAGACATTGGTAGTTGAGACTCCTAAGAACATTACTGACTTCGTTTCAAAGCCAACGAGTATGGCGACTCTGAAGATGTTATTGGAAAGTGGCTTGCCGCGAACCCTGAAAAGCGCCAGGACATCTTCCTCGCAACCAAATTTGGTATTCAAACGAGCCCCACGCCTCCCGGGTTTAGCTTCAACTCTACGCCGGAACATTGCAAGGAGGCCATTGAGAAATCGCTCAAGCGCCTTGGAATACCATTTGTCGATCTATACTACGTTCACCGCTTGGATAAGAAAACACCCATTGAGAAAACTATGCAAGCGATGGTCGAGCTTAAGAACGCCGGGAAGATAAAGCATATTGGATTGAGCGAATGTAGTGCCGAGTCATTGCGGCGTGCATATGCGGTTCACCCAATCACTTGTGCGCAAATGGAATACAGTATTTTCTGTACAGACATTGAGTCGCCCAAGAGAAAGTTCCTGGAGACAGCACGGGAGCTGGGCGTTGCCATTGTCTGCTACAGCCCACTTGCAAATGGGCTGCTAACTGGGAAAATCCGTTCACATGAGGATGTTAGCAAGCCTGGTAGCAAGCTGAATTTTTTGCCATGGTTTAAAGAAGAGAATTTTGAGCAGAACATCCGTATTATCGACCAAATTGCTGCCATTGCAAAGGCGAAGGGTATCACTATGCCGCAGCTTGCTCTTTCTTGGTTGCTTGCTCAAGGCGATGATATCTTTCCGATTCCTGGTTCTTCGAAGATTGAACGTCTGGAAGCAAATCTGGAAAGTCTTTTTGTGAAATTATCAGAGGCTGAAGAGAAGGAGCTTCGTCAATTGGGTGAGAAGAATGTTGGTGGTCGGTTCCAGGAGACAACTGGCGTTGCATTTGGAGATACGCCAGCTTTGTAATCGCAAATTCCATGAGTAGCGCGCTATTGAAAGTTTTCATTTGGTCTATTTATACAGGAATGAACAAATTTCAGCTATGACCTCTGTCATCATCTGGTTCAACGTGTATCCAATTGTCAAGCCATGTCATATCAACTCCCGGGGACCCCAATTCCCAGGTTGTCGGCCAGGTAGACGGCTGAAATTGTGAATCATCAAAATTTAAAGTCTGCTCTTCTGGATATTTTTCCAATAACCCTTCCCCTGCACTGGATTGATATTCTGCGTCCGGCCTTTGAGGTGCTCGCGACGAGATCGAAACAACACCGAAATATGGAAAAGACAGTCGAAACTCAAGCGGGCTATCTGTTATATCTTTTATAGACCCTGAACTGGTCTCGCCCTCGGTGCATGTACTATAGTAACCCCCGTTCGCTGCATCTTCTTCAATTTCCATAAACCTTCTGACTTTGCTTGTGTGAAAATCACATTGAGGATCTTCCAGTGTAGTTGAGATCTCACGCCAAAGATTAAGAACCATTTCAATTGTCGCAAGATCATAGGCTCGCATATGATCAAGAAAATCCGCATCGTCATTACCATGACAAAGAAAGTGAGCAAATATCAGCACGACGCAGCAGAGAAAAGCCTTTTCATCAAGTCCTCTATATGAGGGTGATCGACGGCAATTGCGAATTCGAAGATACCGTATCAATACTTCACGACTCGCCGATGCCGCAGCTACCTTGCTATAATTGTAATCGGCTTGAACAAGCGCTGTGAATTGATTATAAATCAGATAGGGCTGATGTGAAAGGACTAGCAAATAGTACTGGTGCATTTGCGCTAGAACTCTGGGGGCTGTTTCTGGGGTCTGATGATCGCAAACATCGTCCAAAGATGGAACTAGCCACCAATTCGTTGGTAGGATTCGTGTTGCCTTCTTCAGCTGGCTGTCAATGGATTTAGTTTCTTTGTAATGCCCATAAAATTGTGTCTCAGGTTCCTGAAGTCCGGTAATGCGCTGCATGCGAACATTTCTGACAATTATGCGGCCAGCCACAAGAGTGTGTATGCGCTCTAATCTCTCCATCGGAGAGCTAGCAGATAGTCGAGCTGCGCTAGCGAAAGAATTATTGGCAACTGAGAACGGAACACCGAGAATGAGTGATAAAAATCGGTCGCTGTACGTAATTTGAAACCAAAGACGCTCTGCCCGACCACCAGACTCTTCTGCCAAATTTGGAAGACCAATAGTCTGCGCGATCGCTGCCGCGCGACGTTGAATCTCCCATGCACTCCGGTAGTCACCGCTCGTAGCATAATAACACGATTGAAGTATCATAGTTTCTAGGCCGTCAAGTGACCCAACTAAATAATCTTGCGAAATGACAAAGTGGGATGCAGAGTCCACGTATCGCTTCGCAACTTTGTCGAGGGGCTCATTCATCCGTCGTGTGAGTTGTTTAGACGACGAAGGCCCAAATTGCTTTAAGCAAATGGCGAGCTTGATAAGCATCTGTGCAAACATAATTGGATGCTCGTTTGACGCGGGCTGAAAATAGCCCTGATCCATTATTGTGATACTCATCGGATCGTCCTTTAATTTCTGAGCCAATTGAAGAGGAGACGCGAATAGCTTTTTGCTGCTTAGAATGATGGAAGCCGTAGCCTGATCTGGGAATATTGAAAATAAGAATCCAGTGAGAGAACGTCCTCGGGAGAGTCTTTCATGGTTCACTGATCGTAATGTCGGCAAGTTCCCGGGGTTCCTTTGTTGTAGCACTGTGCTTGGAATCAATTCCAAGTGGCCTTTCCTTTCCTCGACCAGACGATGTACTAGAGCCTCTACTTGATCAATACGCTGACCAAGCTGGCCATTTTGATTGGCATCGGGGTCAGCGAACTCTTGGCTAATGCATGTGAGGCCAAAACGCTGACAGTGGTGACAAATGGAGGTGGATTCTAGTCCGAACTCGCATCGCTTCTTGCGGCGTTTGCATTCCCAGCAACTTGTCGTTCCTTTGCGCACTTTTCGTCTTTTCAAGTCATTCTCTTTAGTATGAGATGCATCAGTCGGTGTGTTTAATGTCATTTGTGGAACTTGATACGTCCTCATGGAACGCGTAGGCAAGAGAAGTGAGAAAGGGCAGCCTCACCTCAAATGCTGGCGCCCGGTTAAGGCCTCCGCCCTGATTGGATGGCCCCCACTTCAAAGGGACCCACTTAGGCTCTGCTCACTATAGCGTATATGGCTTTTTAACTAAAGGGTGACCTTACTTTCTATATGTATTTTACTGGGATAAACCTGAGGTTTTGAACGAGAAAATATGTTTGAAATTCAAGGGTCACATGTAATAACAATAACATCTGTCTAGTGGCGGCCAATCTGAAGCTGAGAAGGGAATCAACGTCCATCCTTAGACGCTTCAATGTTGGAGCTTGAACATCTTAGACATACACACCCGACTTGATATCTTCAAGAAGTGTTGGTCCTGAAGGTTTCCAGCCCAGTTTTCTTTGCGTCTTTTCACTGGAAGCTGGATTATCGGAGCTGACAGGATAGACCATGAAGCCAGCAAAATGCTTCGAGGCAGCTTCAAAGTCCTGGGAAACCGTGGGAAGACCCAATGACTGACCAATTGCTTCAGCAATGTCTTTCATCGGAACTCCAGTTTCACCAACAGCATGGTATCTAGAACCTGCAATGCCCTTCTCAAGAACCAGGCGGTACAGACGTGCCGCGTCGAGACGGTGGACAGCGGGCCACTTGTTGAGTCCATCTCCAACATAAACCGACTGGCCATTCGTGCGTGCAATCTCGGTGATTGCTTTGATAAATCCTTTGTCCCCATTATCGTGAGTTGAGGGTGATAGGCGAACACAGCTCACACGCACGCCGCGCGAGGAGCAATCAAGGGCCTCTTGCTCAGTACCAGTACGGGCACTGAAGAAAGTGTTGGCCTCTGGGATTGCATCTTCGGTGCCAAGCTGACCTTTTGGCAGGGCCATCGTGCCTGAGGTAATCACGAAAGGCTTGTTGGTCCCCTCAAGCGCATCGACGATACTAAATATCGCATCGCGTTCGACCTTGGCGTTCTCATCGAACTTGGTGAAATCATGATTGAAAGCAAGGTGAATAACGCCATCCGCCTCTGACGCTGCAGTCTTCAGGCATTCGACCTCTTCAATAGTACCGCGAACTACCTTGGCGCCCTTTGCTTCCAAAGCTGCAGCTGATGTTTCCGACCTTGCAAGGCCAGAAACCGTGTGCCCATTTGCAAGAAGCTCTTGAACGACAGCTTGGCCAACGAAGCCAGTAGCACCAGTGACAAATATGTGCATATTGAATTGGCGCTAAATTGGCATGGGAATTTGAGAAAGAAGATCAGACAGGTAATATATAAGTCAAAGCTAGAATGTTTCAAAGCTGATAGATTGTTCTGATAATTTTAAAACCTCGGAGGTCAACAGGTACTAGTATTTATATTTGGTCGTGGAACTTCAACCGACGGAGATATTGTTCTTAAATCCATCGGACAAACAAACCCTGGAGTGTCCATAATTAAAATTACCTGAACCCTGGGAGCTGACCTCGACTTGACCAGCATTTGAGATCAAAGCGTTCATTTACTGTGGATATGCCAAAATAGTTACGACGAACCTTTCGCCTCCTCAGCCTTGTCCAAGCAATCCATTCGATCTCGCTATCCAGTAGCGCGATCAGGAATACGGCAGAGGGTTAGCGCATTTTCCATACTCACCAATAATATTGTGTTGGTGGAACAAATAGTGGAGCCCGTAGGCGCTCATCCCGGAGTTAAAACGGTGGAACCGAAGCTCGCTCGCTTCATCCACTCCGGCGCATAAGAATATCCTCAATCGATTCCGGCCCTTCACCAAAGGCTACTGCTGGCCAAAAATATTTCTCGAATCAAATTGACGAATAATGAACATGACATCAAATTCGTCGGAACTCGGAGCACGCGAAACCCGACAGCGTCGGACACATACGAAATCGCGCCGGGGTTGCCGAAACTGTAAGCTACGGAGAACCAAAGTGAGTAGCCGATTATCTGATACTATGAACAGTCACGAGAGACAAGTCTAAAATTATGCTTTAGTGTGATGAAGGGCAACCACAGTGCACCAAATGTTTGTCATTTGGTGTTGTTTGCAATTACAACCCGTCCCATGGCGCAGACTTAGAGCCAAGTTGGCAGACTACACAGAGCAAAACTAAACAACTACCCTTCAGTCAAGTTTTTTTTAAGGCAAGACCCGAAAATTTAACGATAAGCCTGCCAGTGAGGGTTGGCGATGGCCCTCGCTCGTTTACGATGGACCCAGGTAGCCTGGCTCGTTTGGATCGATTCCAGAAAAGGACCGTCTTCACGTTTGGAGGCCAATCGGCCTTGAAGGTGTATCAAATCGACGTTATCAGGCTTGCAGTTAAGGTAAGAGTCTTTGGATGATGATATACAAATCCTTGATTTAATTTAATACTCTTCAGCATCCTTTTTTAATGCATATAATCCTGGCCATCACAGCAACCCATGATCGCTATCTATCTGTGACGCTGAATAACAGCAAAAGGTCCCTTGCTGAGGCTTACCATAGCGCTAGAGGTGCTACGCTTCTGGTTGAAAAGCTATCTAACCCAATCATATACGAAGATCGGGATGCCCTATGGGCATCTGCTGCCATGCTAGGAATCGCTAGTATGACATCTGTTGAAGCATCCGATCCAGCGGAAGCATGGCCGATGAAAAGTTTTGGCTCATCGGATCTTGACTGGTTAAATATGGCTGTGGGCAAAGAAGCAATTTGGCGAGCAACGAATCCGCTTCGACCAGACAGCATCTTCCATGGAATGGCAGATGACTTTCGTGCTCTCATGCATCGCCCACCTCTGAGGGGGCTAGAAGAAATTCCAAGTGACTTTATCCATCTACTATTGTTGGATGGACCGGTCCCCTTGGATAAGAATCCATATTACACTGCTATTTCTGTGCTGTCTGGCTTGTGGCAAGATACTTGCACGCGAGATTCGATGCCAACGTACATGGCATTTCTCAACTACATGGGCTCTTCCTTTCGCTCGTTGTTGCTGCTGAAAGATCCGCGAGCACTTTTAATATTTGGCTATTGGTATGCTTGTATGCAAGGTTCGCAATGGTGGGTGCATAACCGCGCACAATTAGAGTGCCAAGCAATATGTCTCTACCTGGAGAAATACCATGCCAGTGATATCGATATCCAAAGGATGCTAGTATATCCGAAGATGCGATGTGGTATTGGAAGTTGAACTCTCTCCTTTTCTTCGACAACATTAACAAACCAATTAATATACCGGTTGACTTTGCTATCTTTCGGGTTATGTCAAATAACAAAGATACTTTAGAAAGCCTTCATGTAATTTGAGAATCTACCTCATTTAAATGGACGCTAGAGGATTTGACGTATATCCACATGTAAGCACTCTGTGTTGTAAATATGCCTTTATCATAGCGTATGCAGATTACTTTCCGAAATAGGAAATAGATTTTCACTTAACACGTGACCGGAAAGTGCCTTCCTGAATGGTGACTCAATCGCCGAGTCCAAGTCCGAACACGAACAGCAATGACAACTCTGAACATCATAATAACAACAGATTCTTGTGATCGGATAAGAGACTATTGTCCTAAATTCGGCCATTTGATGCGTCACGAACCAAATTGCCGTCAAATCTACCGTAAGCAACCTTTGCTGCAATCATGAGTGAACGCGGCTCGGAGATCGTGTTTCGTGCGGAAAACATGCCGATCCGATTCTTCAAGGCATGTCGGTGGTGTCGTCGACAAAAAATGCGATGTGATGCGCGTCATCAAGTCCCTTGTTTCCGCTGTCGTTCCACAGGTCGAGATTGCATTTTGGATCCAATTGAAGACAGCCGCAGACGTAGTGAACGTCGCCGCAAAACAACCCCTGCCCGGTGAGATTCAAATGGTTTCTTTCCGCTACGACTGCATCAACGAGCTAATTGTCATAGATATAGCGGGTCAGCAGTAGCTTCTCCACTGGATCAAAGGAGTGGGTTCCATACTCCTGTCTCAAGAGAGCAGGAATATTCTCCTGTGACAGGTCAGGACGTTAGCTTTAATGCTTCTATTGACTCTCTTCCCGATTCTTCGACCCTGAGGGAACTGCGTCGGTCTGTTACGGCCGACCACAACGGCCCGGATTCGCAGCAGTTGAGTCCCAGTGATATGATTGCACCGGTATCAGCGGTTCATTCTATGTCTGTGAATCTACTCGACTCGAATAATGTAAGCCAAACTAATGGGTCTCCAACGCGAAGCTTCACTCACTCATCGGTGCAAAGATATTCATGGAGCACTCAACAAATAGTGACCTGAGAGGCGATATCATCGCTCGTGGCATTGTCACGGAAGAAAGAGCAAGGGTGATGTATGAACGGTATGTATATCAATTCATCACGCGGGCCAAAAAGCCATACATAGCATCGAGCTGCACAGATACTTACATTTGTCACAGATTTACAGGGGGTAGCAAGAACTATCTTCCGCTATTTGACCCAATCCGTGACACCTTTGACTCTATTCGATCGCGATCATTATTTTGCTTCACGGTGATCATCTATCTGGCTAGTCGAGCAGTTATGGACTTGCGCACAGATACCCACATGCAACGTGTGTTGCAAGATGAGGCACAAAGATTAGCTGAAGACAGTTTTTTTGAGCGTCCAACAAAGCTCGAGACTGTACAGGGAATGATTCTGCTGGCTGCTTACTCTGAGAAGACCTGGTTTTCAACTGCTCTGATCTTACGTACCGCTCTCGACTCTGGCCTTGAGAAGTCCTTAGACACTTTAATTTCACAGGAGAATGTACCTCGAAGTTCGCTTGCTGCATCGATGGATGATCGTCAACTCGTTTGGCAGACACGGACTTGGCTAATCAGTTTCACATTGGAATTGGATGTTGCTTCTGGAACTGGCCGAAAATCGCGCATCGGGGAAGTAGACATCACAAAACTGCGCAAATTTCTTGATTATCCACTCTCTTTACCTTGTGATATGCGCACTGTTTGCATCATTGAGCTTCACCAACTCCGAGGTTAGATCAAGCAACCCTCACCAAACAGATTATCTTCTGACTCAATACAGGTCACTCGCGTATAATCCTGGACAATGCCGGAACGGTCCGTGACATAGTATCTACTGAATTGCCTGCTATTATGACTAGGCTCCAGAATTGGTGGACTACCTGGGACGATATCCATAGCAGTAAGTTATCTCAAGGCGAGGCACGCCTTCTTTTGGAGAAATTAAATTACTGACGCGGTATGAAAGACAATGGCTTTCATGCGGGAGCATTTCAACGAAGTAGCCTCAAACTGATGCTCCTATACGCAAGAATATTTGTTCTATGTGCTACTCTGGCACGCATTCAAAAGCTGCAACCAACTTCCGCCAACTCTGAATCAAATATCATCGACCAGAATGTAATGGATTTGTGGAAATCGCTGGTCCAAACAATTATGGAGCAAATGGCATTTTTAATCACCGAACCGGCATATCGGTGCCAATTCCCTTGGGCTCCAACTTACCCAGCCTTGACGATTGCGTTTGTTAGTAAGTCATGCGCACGCCTTCAGACATGCCCCGAACTTTCGGCATGCAGCTAACACGCAACTAGCCACATTTGCACTCCGCATTGCGAGATGGCGACCCAATTTAATTGATCAGGATTTACTTCTTGAGCGAGCAGAGAAGATATGTGATTTTTTGAAGCAACCACCATACCCAGATATTCACCGCACAGTCTCAATATTTGTGAATTATGCTCGAGCCCTCATTGTCACTCAGCGTTCTAAAAGCCACGATATTGCGGATGGGCCTAATGTATCTGAACAGGGTGACGGATCCATGCCATCCTATCAAGGTCCGGATAGCCCCATGGAGAATGCCCCGCCTTTGGCCCCTATGGACGATCCTCGGTACAGGCCCGGCACGGGTGCGCCGACTGATAAAGACCCAAACATGGTCACAATGCCAAATAATGATCCAGCTGCAGTTCCCAGACCGTCCCTTCTAAGGCTACCAGACACCATGGACGCTCCTAATTGGACTATGTCTAATTCCATCGCGGATTCCTTTGGTCTCTTCGAGGATGGACAAAACGACATATTTGACTTTTTGCCCATGGTTCCTTCTTTACCCCAGTGACACTTCCAATTCGTCACGCGAAATATGATAATAACATACAAATAATCTTGAAAGTAATTCATGAATTATTTGAGTCACAAGCGTTTTCCATTCTAAGAATTTAAAGGCCTATAGTTCCTGCCATGCGGGCCAACCTTGGTCGTAGAGAAAATCTTTCAAAAGTTGGGCAGTAACTTCGTCTACATTATCGATACATCACATGAAATGACGCATTCAACGTGTCAATTTGAAGCAAAATATGACCAAGAGAATGTTGACAATAAGAAATCTAGGCGTCGGAGACACCCGTCAACAAGCCGGGTCCTGGCCGGCGCCGGCGTTCTAGTACCCTAGTACCCGGTCCCGGACCGGCGCCGACCCGCTAGTTCAAATTTTGAGGTATAGCAGCCACCTATTGGTGTGTTGGTAAGTACTCAAACATAATAGTTTGGAACGCTATGCATGGACGAGGGGCCAGATGCCCTGAGTCAAGACTTCAGACAGAATTTTACTCTCCACTCGTGGCAATGGGTGGTTCAAAGGCTACTTTAAATAGGACGGTTCTCGCATTGAGATTGTGTCTGAATAGAGACATGGTTCACTGGCTTTCATTTGTGATTTTACTTTCTTGAATTTGCATACAAAATGGAAAAAAGTTTAAATTGTTCAGCAATAGATCGGAACATGGATACTAATTCTTCAGGTGTGCTCGACCCTCATGTGACTTACATTGTTTTTTATCCTAACACTGGCTGTTTAGACATGTCTACCACCTCTCCTACAGGTTCACAAATCGACTTGAAGTTGGTGGATATGGCAAACTACACACTTGTTGAATTATCTTCCAATGAAGTCTTAGTTGAGTTCCAAGAACGGTCTACTGCAAACCCAAACAATTGGTCCTTCGTAAGCAATATCATGTTAAGATTGTTCAGCAAGAAAAATAATAAAACAAGACTAACAAACAGAATATCTACTAGAACAAAAAGTTATACAATGCAGTCATCGGACTGCTCATTGTACTCAACAGTGGTATATCCTCTTCACTACCTAGCAATGCAGTTCCTACCATCATGGACGACTTTGACATCTCAGGAGATGGGCAAAAGGTCTTACCAACCGCCATTTTCCTGATTGGATATTGTGTCGGACCTTTAGTTTTCAGTCCAATGAGTGAAACTATTGGCCGCCAACCGATTCTTTTCTGGTCGTTCACTGTTTTTGTCCTGGGAACACTGGCTTGTGCTTTTGCGCCTAATTGGCCTGCGCTGCTGGTATTTCGTGTCATTTGCGGTACCATGGCTGCTGCACCACAGACTGTAGTCGGAGGTGTATATGCGGACTTGTTTTCGGATATGCAAAGTCGTGGGCGGGCAATGGCATTATACATGGCCGTGAGTATAATCTACCGGGCTATTTGTCATCCATTTAATAGAGCTAATCGTGTGTCCAGGCCTCAAGCTTTGGCCCTATCATTGGCCCGATCATCTCTGGCTGCTCAGTTCAATATGGTTGGCGCTGGACCTTCCGAATCGATGTTATCATCTGTGGTCTAGCCTGGATTGGCCTTTTTGGGCTTTCTGGTAAGCACTGTCTACTTCCCTCTCCATGTCACACTCTAATAATTCGACCCTCAATAGAAACATTTGCACCCGTACTTTTGAAAAAGCAAGCTGCAAAGCTTCGAAAAGAATCCGGATCCAATCGCTATCTATCTCCAGTCGAAGTAAAATCCGATGCGGCCTTCACTTTAACTCAGACGATCATTCGGCCACTGACTATGCTGGCTTTCGAACCAATTATTCTTTTCACATCGATATACATTTCACTGGCATGGAGCATGGTATTTTTTTACTTCCAGGCCTACCCTATTATCTTCGAAGGTAAGTCCCAGAGGCCAATGCAAGTTTTCCCTAGACTCAATATCTAATTTCATCCAGGAACCTATGGCTTTGGTGTCGCAGATACCTCTCTCACATATATTCCTAGTGCGTATTTTCCATGTTCCCAAACTTCATTACACAGATATCTAACAATATGCAGTTGGCTTCGGAGCCGCATCGTCATGCCTCTTCGCCCTCTACTACGACAGCTTATACAACAAAGCCAAGAAAATGGGAAAGCTATGGGCATCTGGTCCAGAGTCTCAACGGCTCCCAATGTCTTGTGTATCCGCTCCTTGCTTAACGATCAGTCTTTTCTGGCTAGCATGGTCCGCAAAATCCAGCATTCCCTGGATTGTACCCGTACTCTCAGGCATAGTCTTTGGACTCGGGTATCAAACCACATTCATTTCTCTTTTGACATATGTCACCGATGCGTACAAAATCTACTCGGCTAGTGCATTAGCTGCATCTGTGATTATGCGAAGTATCGCTGGCGCACTCTTCCCTCTCGCAGCAGACCCACTATATGCCAAACTTGGAGTGGCATGGGCTACCTCTATACTAGGGTTTGCTAGTTTGGCTTGTATTCCGATTCCATTCGCACTATACTACTATGGTCCGTGGATCCGGAAGAGAAGCCCGTTTTGTCAGCGATTATTGGAGATGGAGTTGTTGAAGGGATCCAGTGGAACACTAACGCCTGAAGAAGTTTAAACTTGAGGGATGATATGATGGTCACGACAACTTTATTCACGTGTTGACGCTTCGTTTTTGATTTGTTCCGGCTTGCATTTTGCATTTGCATATCTAATGGGTGTTACTTAAAACTTATCTAGAATGAACATAATAGCTATTAATTCACATGCCACGAGAAATCTTCTTATTTTCACCTTCATCTCAAGATGAAAATTCTTAGGACTAAATGGAAATTGTGATTGACTTCTTAGTGAGAGGCAGCAGGTGGGTCTGAGCTTAAGGGCCGAAGGGTCGCCGACCGGACCTTCGCTTCGGCCGTTCAAGTTCCACTTACGCCGAAGCAATTTTGAATAACAACCCCCTTTATCCCCATTAACTAAACATTTTGGGGACTTTCGGGGTTTTTCTGATTATTAAATCTTGTTTTGGTCAAAGAATTCCTATTGTTTTGGTATTTCTGCCTAGCACAATGCCAACTGAAGAGCTCAAGCCCGCACCTTCACTCGAAGGCTCGGGAGAGACTCTCAGTGAGAATGCTCTCGAACCTAAATTCACATATGCAGAAGCCCCTAAAGGTTCATGGGCAAGCGATCCTGCGCTAGATGGCGGTATAACTGCCTGGCTGGTAGTATTGGGTGCTTGGTGCTCACTGTTTTGTACTTTCGGCTGGATAAATAGTATGTTCTCCAAGATAAGTCAACAGTAATTGCGTGGCCACTGTGAACGGGTTATACTGATTGACCTAGGTATTGGGATTTTTCAAAGCTACTATGAGACATCTTTATTGAGCCAATATTCTTCCAGCACAATTGCCTGGATTCCCTCCCTCCAAATATTCTTCATGTTTGCTATGATATGTCCCCCCACTACGCTATTCTAGCAAAGAGCAGGATTCCAAATTAAGATTAGACTAAATTGACAAATAAAAGGGTCCGATTGTGGGAACACTATACGATAGATTCGGTCCCCGATATCTCATCCTCGGTGGCTCATTAATCCATGTCTTCGGCTTGATGATGGCATCCATATCCAAAGAATACTACCAAGTTCTCTTATCACAAGATGTATGCAGTGCGATGGGAGTCTGTGCAGTTTTCTAGCCTTCAATGAGCGATTCCCAGCTGGTTTGACAAGAAACGAGGCGACGCATACGGAATCGTTGCAACAGGATCTAGTCTCGGTGGCGTTATCTTCCCAAGCATGGTTAGTCGACTGATAGGGCAAATTGGATATGGCTGGACTATGCGAGTGGCCGCATTCCTCATTATCTTCCTTTTACCAATTGCCAGTCTTACTGTTCGATCTCGTGTTCCTCCGAGACCCAGTACGATGAGCAAGGAAACCCTCTTAAAACCTTTCGACGAATTCAAGATGCTCCTTGTTATTCTGGGCTTCTTGTTTTTGACATTCGGTGTCTTCATTCCAATTGATTACATAGTTGTCCAAGCAATGAGCGCAGGTATGAGCCCTAATCTCGCGGAATATCTCATTTCCATGCTCAACGCAGCAAGGTAAGTTTTGGTCGGGCTCTCTTGACTTACAACTCTGGTTAACTCCATTCATTTAGTCTATTCGGACGTATGTCTGCCGGTATTTCATCTGACAAAGTCGGTCACTATAATGTTCTCATCGGCGCTTGTGTATTGGCTGGTATCCTCGTCCTGGCATTGTGGATTCCTGCTGCAAGTAATGCCGCTATTATTGTTTTTACTTGCACATTTGGATTTTCTTCGGGAGCCTACGTCTCTTTGGCCAATGCATTGATTGTGAAAATCTCTCCCTGTCCTGAGATTGGGCATCGGACAGGATTACTATTTCTTTTCTCGTCATTTGGTGGTCTGACAACTAACCCGATTGCGGGTGCAATTTTACAACATGATGGGGGCTCATACACTGGTATGAAAGTCTTCGCTGGTCTTTTCTTGCTGGCTGGAAGTGTGGCAGTCCTGGCTGCTCGGTTGCATTATACTGGTCCTGTAATTAAAGCGAGGTTCTAATCCCGATGGCGTTGAGGTTATAACCTGCTGTAGCTAATAGATACCCTACTCGATGTATGAACATGAATATGGATATGGTTTCACACTTATTTAGATATTCTCCGAAGGTTTTTGCATACATACGGTTATTTATTGAGAACACAGTTCTCAGTAGCATCTCTTTTATTCTGGAATTTGAAATCCAATACGTTTATTGTATCAGCGATAATGAATAAAGATCACATCACACGAGTTCTCTTCGCCGGAGGAATAGAAGACGAATTTACATGCCAATCAACAATACATCCTTCCAAGTTGTCTCTCAGATTACCTTCACAGCAGCCAAAAATGAAATATTGTGGCCACTCCTCCTTTACCCATTCCTCCTGTGCTGTTGCTTCCGGGTCATCGTCGTCGTCGAAAAGCGACGAGTTGTCATCTGCCTGAGGTTCCTCTATATGACAATTTGTGTTAGAAATTCCATCGCAGTGAGAAACCAAAAAGATTCTCGATATAGTGGCAGTCATTACCCGGGTGGTAGCTGCATGCTGTGCTCGAGTTCGTAGTAACATCGTATTCTTTCTCGCAATTTTTACAAGATGCATACCGAGACACGGCTCTCTTACCAGTAACCCCTTCGAATAGTACGTCAGGATTGTAAGGTCCTCGCATCTCGTTCTCCCTTTCATAGGCAGCTTTTGCTGCCTCGATCTTTTCGGGTTTGTGGAGAAACGGTGTCATTGGGTCAGGCTGGAGTCGATTGTCTTGATTTGCAATATGACCTGATTTTAGAGCAGGCTTGCCATTTTTGACTTCGGTGTCTTTCACAATAAGTTTCTTGCTGGCTTGTTCTTTTGCCCCAGGGTTTGCTTCGCAAATGAACTTGAGAACCTCGCGCAATTTGTTGACTGACACGGTGTCTATGGCGAGGTTGAGCGCTGTGGTGTCGATTTTGTTGTTGTCGACAATATCTGATTTCGATCCCATTTTTCGAGCTTATATCTTTTGAGTCTAGAAGAAATTTCAGGAGAAGTTCATGTTCAGAATCAAGCATGAAGGCTTTGATCAAGTTTTAGTGGACTGCAGATCTATGCCGAATGTTGTTTTATGATACATCCGAGCCCCGCGCGTTGCGACGCGCTATATGGAAACTTTCTGCAGACACATCACATTCAACGATGTGTTATACTCAGCCAACTGGTTAACACGTGTATTTTCCTTTAAGTTATCCTCTAGGGACATCCATTTAATTATCCGGTTTCACGTAGAAATATTTCGGCTTATTGTTAAATTGTAATGATACCCTCGTATTTTCATTACCAAGTACCGAAAGTCTGATATGCAAGATGCCTACTCTGGCAGTACAATACCTAAACAAAATCTCATTTAAGCTTGAATGGGTGTCAACGCCACCTTTGCGCCGTATTCGCTGGACAGAGTGAGCCCTACATTCCCCTTGAAAGCCTCGGGCGTTCGGCTCTCCAGACGTTCGAACTGCTGGACAATACGAACGATTGTGTATCCGGCTTCCGTCAACGCGAATTGTTGTCCAATGCAGACACGGGGCCCCCCATTGAATGGTAAATAAGCCCAGCCTGGTCTGAGTTTCTCCCATCTTTCAGGCTTAAACTCATTGGAATCTGCTCCAAAGAATTCTGGCAGACGTTGCATAGTATAGACACTATATTGTACCTCTTGCCCTTTGCGAATGAATATCGGTAACGTTCCGCATGGTCCTCCTCCTGTAGGAAGAACAGTATTCTTGTTTGCCACACGAATATTGAACGGCACGATGGGATAAAGTCTTAGTACTATATAATTTGTCAGTATTTGGACATCTCAAAAAACTATAGAGATGTTAAGATCATGATCTGGGAACTCTTACTTTCGTTCATAACCCATTGAAGGTATGTCATTGACTTGAGATCTTCAAATGAAGGCTGTCTTCCTTCAAGCTTGAGTACTTCTGTTCTCAGCTTAGACCATACATCTTCTCGTTTGGCCATGGTGAAAAATGTAATACTCAGAAGAGCGGCGGTAGTGTCACGACCTGCCAATAAGATATTGAGTAACTGGTCGGTCAACATCTTTTCATCTTGGGTCCGTTTAGCAAGTTCGTGCAGAAAAACATATGACTCTCCCTCCAAAGAACCCTTCTCAGCCTGCAAGGCTCTTTGTTCAAGGGTCTCTTCAACAATCCGTCGGACGTATTTTCTTGATTCCTCCGAAGCTTTCACAAACTCGGAATCTCTATGGAAGACGACAAATGGACCCAGTAATAGACGAGTAAGTGATTTAGCTTGAGAAATGCTGAAATTCTCGGCGAAAGAACTGTTTCCAGTCTTTGATTTGCCATTACCCAGAGTGTCAGTGCTTTGACCAAAAAGAAATTCTGTGGCTGAATCAATAGTCTGCGCTCACAGTTAGCTTTCATACACTTCGTAGGAGAAAACAACAGGCTACATACCATTCGAAGAAACAAATCTTGAAGATCAACTGTTGATCCATCAAGCGGTATGTGTTTAATGAGCTGGGAAACATGTTTTTCGTATACGGCAATATCAGAGATCTGATTCCGTACGAAATTCGGACGCAGAAGTGCCCGGGAATGTTCCCACGCTTTTCCATCGCTGACGAATATTCCGTTACCAAGTAAAGGCCCAAACGGCTTTTGGCGAACCGCTATCTCGAAGTCATTGAATTTGGTGGCTAATATAGCCTGTACGTTCTTGGGGTCGCACGTCCGCACCACAGTGCGACCCACGCCGAAAGGAAGATTGAAAGTATTTCCAAATTCATTATGCCATCTCTGAGCAAACTCCATTGATTCATTTTCGCCATATGCCTTGAGTAATTTCCACAGATGATCAAATCCAAAGAAATAACTGGGCATAGTGGTCTTCGTTTCGAAGCATCCATTCTTCCGGGCAAATATCCGATCTTGGAAATATAGATCAGCACCTTTTTTTTTCTTTTTTCCTCTTTTCGTCTATAGGGTCGTAGTAACCTTCGGAATTTTTGTACGTACCTGAGATTATTCGCCATGTTTTGAGGGCTAAAAGCGATCCTATGATTACCAATAGCAATATTTCAGGTTGCAGCCCCAAAACAGCCCGCATGTTTGTAGTGAATGGCCGCTCGCTGTGCTTGACCTATTGGTCTTGATAAAAGCAAATGCGAAAGAATTATTCTCTATCAAAGCGGAATGCAGAGCGTGAAATGAATTCTTTCCATATCCACATCTTATTCCACTTATAAAAAGAATTTTTCTAACGCACACCTATGATTATAATAGAAAATGCCCGACAGGGCCCACAAAAACCACCTCTCTAAGAGGGTACAACTATACAGATTGGAAGAAGTACTGTGACGCAATACCTTTAAGTAGCTTGGTGGGGGCGAAATGTGATGGAGAAATTTGAATTTTCAGGCATCTTATTGGTATAGCTCATACGACGATCGTCACTTTCAGCGGGGAGCATCTTTTTGACCCATCAACCCCTCAGCTAGGTGCAGCAATCGTGCATAAAATTACAGGTTTTCCGTCCCAGATGTAACTGTGAAGTGGATCTGAATGGTTCGCGGACGACTCACATCGTGCACAACACAATTCTCAGACACGACGTACATGCACCGCAGTCCGAGGACACACTAATTACTAACCTAGGTGTCTTCGGTCTCAGGGGAAAAACCAACACGATAATCTATGACTGGCTTTTATTTCAACCTACACCTCTTTTTCAAGCGATTTGGGTAAGAGATCGCCCGGAACTCCCCCTACATGGTCAACAATCGCCAATCTTGAAATTACTACGAAAATGTATATGCCTCCGAGTGCCCATATTCTGCTGAGTACTGCATCCACCATTAAATTGAAGCTCGAGCCTTGCGCGAAAAGTTTACATGAATCCCGAGGTCCACTGAACACCTTTCCAACACATGTGATGGTCATGATTGCCACTTAGCTCAAGTATTCGTGACGATGCGCCTTTGCACTATCTATCTATTGTTAAGATTTGCTCGGACAATATTACCGCTAAGAAATGTGCTATGGTCAGTGAGACTAACTTTTGGAAGGACCTCCAAACGATAGGGATCACAACCGGCCGGCGCATAGGAAGCCTTTTGAGGTAGCCTGGAGTTTTATGTCTAGCATGCGGAGGTGGTATCGCAGATCCATCAATGAATTAGATTAAGCCACAAAATATCATCTTACATATTCCACCTAAGCAATACCACTTCCATCTTGACACATGAACGTAATGCTCTGCGCCATATAATTCCAGTCAGGGAAGAACTCAGCCCAATTAAGATCCAAACCATCAATATCTGCAAGAGAAAAGTCCAACCCCTGCATCGTAGCATCATCCACATAAAGAGAACCAGCCTCAGGTCCAGCACTAGTATCAGAGATAGAAGCACCCTGCTGCTGCAACGTAGCTGTATTAACATTTCGAATCTTCAACGCCTTTGCCCGAAGCTGAGCAAGCATTGGCCACTTCGGACCAGGATCAGGCCACGACGGATCCCTTTGCACAAGATCAAAATGCATATTCACCGAACGCCACGCTTCATCCACATACGGATCTGTCGGGTATACGCAAAGATGCCAAAGAATATACGTCAACAGATGAAACTGCGTATATGTAGATGATAACCAGCGGAAACCGTGTAAAAGTTCATCTTGATAAAGTCTTATGCCGCAGTTTAGAGCATTACAGGATACCCTGAGAAGTTCCTGTGTGGCTTCTGTGCTCTCTTTCGGCATTGAGCTAGGACCTTGTAGCTGGAGGCTTTTTTGTCGGATGTGGACTTCCATTTTGGAAATGAATAATTCACTGAGCATTACGCCCATGCGGTGGATGGGGATATCTGGGTCACTGTACTGGAGGTATCTTTCGTGGAGAGTATTTTTCAGTTTGGCGAGAATTTCTTCGGGGCGCACGCCGTCGTTCGGATTGCTTGAGGCGCGACAGATTGGAGGCCAAATTTTGTTAAATTCGCATATTATTAATGGGAAGGATAGGTCTGTCCAGCGGGGCTGGGATATGATTGTCTCTGTGTCTTCTGAAAAGCTGTGGTCGTCGATATTGGCGGGGAGTTCGGTGTCAGCGCCGTATCCTTGGTATGCGACCGTTATACCATGATCTTCTGCCATGCGGGCGTCTGTGGTCTCTAAGAGCCACCATACTCGGCGACGGAGCTCGGACTCAAAAGGCGAAAGCTTGAAGTGTTTACCGTCGCGGTGGAGACCTATTGATTGCGCTGCTCGAATTGCTAGGCCGCGTAAGGTGAAGCCAGAGCGACTGCTGTTGGTGGATCGTAGACAAGTCTGTAGGTGGTTTAATGTTATAAACGGGCTTCTCCAAATAACATGTCTAGGACAAAGGACAGAACTTACCAAGTAAATACCCATTGCCTGGAGAGATCTCACTGTGGGCGATTCCAGAAAAGACGACTTATACATAGCAAGCTCTATACCTTGCTGGTATCGACGCAGATCTGCGCGGTATATCTCATTTCCAGGATCATCAGAGCACATGGTCGTGGCTGCGCCGAAGAATATAGCAAACAACAAACAATGGACATCAGGTGGAGCCGAGTCAGGCCGACTAATAGCAGCAAAAATGCGAGACTTTGTCGTTGGAACGTGAATACATTTGACGACCGGATCTACACGGCTCAAAAATCTCTCCCAAAGCACAGTGGCTTGCCATCTACTTGGAAGAAGACCCTGAAAATCCAATTGAAGTAGTGATGGATTGGTGATGATGCCATCAATCTTCATGGGCTGGGGGTTCTGAGCCCTATTATCATTTGTACCTGGTGACCCCATGGCCGACTGTAACTCTTGCTCTTTCTCTAACACTCGTGACAAGAACGGCTCATCAACGTAACTACCGTTCTTCACCAAGAAACCACCATGAGATGGAGCTGAAGTGGTTAGAGGACCTGGTAGCGCTTCGCCGGTCCTAGCCTCACTTGAAGAGGCTTGTTCAGCGCCAGAACTAGACTGTGGGTTTTGTAGAGGTTGATAAGCTGGCCGATGAAGAGCTTGGCTACTCTCGGCTAGAGAAAGCTGGGTATTTGAAAGCTGAGAAGCCGGACTAGCGGGCAAAGAAGATTGGCTTGGCTGTTCCGCAAGAGTAGCAATAGAACGCTCAAGTTGCTCCAATCGCGTGACCATATCAGTAGCACTAGACTTCGGCGCTCGGCGCTTCGCACGTTTTGTACCAGGATACTGGCATGGTACATTGAGGCTCAAACATTTGTTGCACGGGTTGCCCTTATCGCAACGGACTTTGCGCTCATGACATCGCAGACAAGATCGCTCTACATTGTAGCGTCGGACATCCATATCCCTGCAAACTCAGATATAGAGCTTTGAAATTCAATGATAGAATGATATGGTCTAGACCACACGTGCGATCGGCTGTTTGACTGGCATGTCGGTAGACGTTGGAGCTTGGGGGCGGAACAGCCGAACAGATTGGGTCGGAGGTTCGGAGGTTTACGAATTCCCGGTCTCGCAGCCAATAGTGATCAAGTGGGTCCATAAGGATGTATCCATGGCTATCTATAGTAGACACTACTAATCTTTATTGCAGAGCGGGGTCTAAGCCCAGTTCAATACTCGACTTTATCTCATCCGTTGTTATTTTGAACAAAGAGGGGGATAATTCTGCCTCTGCCCCGTCGCGACGTTCTTTGGGTAAGGTCCACAAGGTACGCGACGGGTTCCAGCCCACAAAACTTGACCAAACTGCTATACTGGGCTTTATTATCTCTCTCAGTACTGTTTGGGGGATTTAATCTCGCTCAACGAATTCCCAAGCATCCAGTTCAGCGTCGGACATCCATTGAGCTTACAGAGTCTCCCGAACTACCACCGTATACTACTTTCAGTCTCAGTAATGAAACCTATATCCAGCGGCCCACAAACCACGTAAGACATCATTATCATTCATTCAATCCTGTCACTCATGAACATCACTCTAATTGAATTCAAGTTCCTTAGAAAACGGAATCTTCACAAGTGTACAGACTACCTAGTCTCAATTTTCGAAATAAAGACTATGGACCGGATAGACCGATCATTTCTTCAAGCAGCCATATCTCGATATCTGCATGACGACGTGTTCCGACAAGAATTTCTCTCCGCTATCATTTTCACAGGTGCAAAAAGATCAAGATTTACAATTGACCTAGAGACTTTCATATTAATGCAAAAATGGGGTATCGGATGGTATTGTTTCATAGAAGAAACGGAACTACCACATACCACTCCTGCAGGTCCGTACAGTATCATCCAAGGAAGACTCTACAATGTACGCCGAGTATACAGCGATGATAACTGTGGCTTTGTTCGCGCTACTTGGCTTCCTCAACTTAGCAGTAAAAGATATCTTTGACCTTCGTGGTCCAAGAACTTCACTCGGAAGCCATCCATACTACCAACTATATCCACCAAGACAACAAACAGCAAAAGCTGTGTCTCGATTAATTCCTGTCGGTGCAGATGTCGTCGGAAAGATTGTTATGAGTGCTTTCGCACTGACGGAACATCCTATGCAAAGTGTGGATTATCAAGCACCTATCAATCCGCGCGGTGATCGGTATCAGATATGGATGCCTTTGCTGACAATTTGAAACCAGGGGATTGGGAAAAGAAGTACTACCTCATCAACATCAAGAAGTTATTCCGTACCTGGTTCCTTCAGAGATACATGTCCTTGACTGAGAATGTATTATTTTTTCTCCCCATAGCCAAAGTCACTCTTAAATACCGTGATATTTACCCTGGTATCCCAACTGCCCCATCAGCAGGGCTCTCTGTTACGTCTCTCAGTCCTTCGACAGGTGCTCCCGAGTTAACTATGCCTGGTGAGTCCTTTGAAACCAAGGAAAAGCATATATTACTAACTTGTATTTCTATGATAGTTAGTGAAATTCCATTCTTTTCGCCGATAACTCGGAAGACGGAGAAGCTTCCCGTGTTGGCTGGGCTTATGGGTATGCCTGGTGCTGATTTGGAGATTGTTCAAGTGGCGCGGCATATCCTTGAGAGATTAGGGTTACGGACAAGATTCATGTTGGAAGGTATCTCTTTAACCGCTCCATCTGGATAGCTATTGGCAGGATAATAAGCTCCGCTTTTAACGCTGCGATTCCTGTGGTGCGAAAGGCACCGGAGATTAAGCACACCGCACGTTTTTGTAGAGAGCTAAACAGTATAGCGATTCTCTTAGCTTCCTCTTTTTTGTGTGGCTGCCACCACACCAACAATTCGTAGAGCATTTATAGCATTTATAGCAGCACCACAGCTAAGTAAACACAGCGCATAACGTCCACTGACGAGCCCGAAGTTAAGCTTACCAGGCTTCGCAACACTTCCAAGGACTTGTTGGCTTTTTGGACTGCTTTTTGGCGATGAAATTCAAAGGTAAGTTCTTGGTCCAGCCAGAAGCCAAGATATTTGACAGGCTCCGTAGCTGCCGCGACTGTGATCTCACTCCCTGGTAGCTTTAGCGGCGTCCGGCGCGGCTCACTGAGCTCTAGGTGTACAAAATGAATCAAATTATACTTCTTCACGTCAAAGACTGACGCATATGAAAGTGCTATCCAAAATATTTCTCTAGAAATTGGCGATAAAACATTAAGTAGCACAATAATTACAAATTTTAAGACAAAATCGCTCAGAAAAACCTCCGACCCAGATCCTGACTCCACCCATTTGAACACCTCATATTAACACCCAAGAAAACGTAAACCGGATCAAAACAAAAATTAGAGCCTTCTCTCCAAATCTAAATCATCTATCATGAAATAAGTAAATCACGAACACTCATCCCATTCCTTCTCGGACCCTCGGTACCAGATTTCTCCCTCGAAGGAGCAGGAGCAAGTGAGATGCCATTCGCAAAATGCTCATTGATAGAATCCGCCGTCCCTCTTCGATCCCGCGTAAGCATAAGCAAAGCAGCAGAAGCCTCAGCATCGATACCCTGAAGCTCGTGCAGGTTTTCCATATTCTGATTCATAGGTCCCAACGCTGGACTCGGCAGCGCCGATGCAATATCAGGCAGTGTATGAACAGAGGGCATTCGAGTTCTAGGGGAGAAAGAAGGCGATGTATCTGAGATAATTCCACTTCCGGGCATGAGCTCCGGGGATGCAGAGGTAGAATAGGAGTATACGGAGGAGGGTGGGCGTTGTGGAGCCCGTGGGGCATTACCGGATACATGTACCCCGGCCATGAATTCTGGGGATGTGGGTGAGGGGGGTCCGGCAGTGTGGGTTGTGCCTGCGGTTTTGAGGTCGCCGATGCATTGTTCTAGATAATTGACGTAGTCGATGCTTGCCTGGTATAGATGTTAGTTGCTGTTTTAGGGGAAGCTTCGAATCAAAGGAGGTTCATATCTCTAGATCTCTTAGAGAAGGGAGTGGACGTACCTGGAGAATTGCAAGTTTGTGCATTTCTTGCCCTCTACAGGCGGGGATCATATCCTTCAATGTACCGAATTCCTCATTCATCTTTGATCGTCTCCGGCGCTCAATCAAGCTATGTGCTGTTTTGCGAGCAATCTTTCGTCCAGCTGCACTTGTGCTACTCGGCTGTTTCTTCTTCGAAGCGGGAGCGTCTTTGTTTCCCGGTTCAGACGATGTTTGTGCAGCCTTGTTGTTCTCCTTCGACTTCGCAGGTGACTTCGTTTGTGTCTGAGTCTTAGGTTTCATCTGAATGATCTTGCGAGTGCGAGTTGGAGGTGGTGGGAGATCAAAATCTTCTAATGGACGCTTTGTCGCCGTCCCGGATCGGGACTGAGTCTGTGATTGAGATTGAGATTGCTGCGACGATCTATTTCTCGCTGTGAGATCCGGGGAAGTAGGAGACGCAGGCACATAGGTTGGATCCGATCGAGAGGAACGTCGACTGATCGAGTCTAGTTTGGCGGGACTCATAGCTGCCGGTGGTAGTGTGAAGGAATCTGTGGCATCGACAGGCTGATCCTTGATGATGAATTCGCCCGACATGGCAGGCGTGGGGGGAATCTTGTACGAGACATGCTCGGTAGAAGAGATATGTACGGAGTATAGGGGCGTAGTATAGGGGGTAGATCAAAAATCGAAGAGAAGAACAGGAATGTGAAGGAATGGAAATCGAAATCGAAAACGAAGGGAATAGTACGACAGGGAGGAGGGGGAGGGAATTACCACCGTGAGGAATTATATACCGAGAGCGTCCGATTTGTATAGAAGGCACGGTGTCGCGTGCTTGGAGAGCCCACGAGTGTTAATGGGACTCGCTGATTGGGTAGAAAGCGGAGCTCGTGCCCCAGGGAGCAACGGGCATTTGCTGGTGTTAAGTGGGGCAACCCGAGCTTATCAGCAGGTACAGGGTCGCTCTCTCCACACACAACAGTGCTGTGCCCAGGTTTAAATGATCGTCTCCCTGTTCCCCCCTCGTCCAGAGTGGTAGCCCAGCACGTGTGCTCTGGACAGGCTGGACTCGTAGTCCGTTCCCTTTTACTGACTTCCCCTCAACTCCGGGAAAGTCTACGCCGCATACCCCAACGTCCCAATTACCCCTAATTAACCTATTAACCAGATTGCACCCATATTCATCCTTGAGAATAAACTACCTTTGACATATGAACACTGTATACTATCACAATTATCAAAAGAGGACTTGGTAATAGTAAAAGAACTACTAGTTCCCTTCTAATTAGGCAAGATCAGGTTCCGCATTCAACCCATCCAACCCATAACGTCACGATCTAGAAGATCTGCACAATCTGCAAAATCTTCCATCTTATTCTTCGCCACAACTTCCTTTTTGAGAAAGTTTAATATCTTTCGTATATTTCTTTTTCGTTGAATATGCTTAGACCAACCACGTCCCATGGATTTACCCTACATCTTCCGATCATGCATATGATAATCTAAAAATATGGCTGAGCGGCAATTGACTGCATACTTTAGTACGAGTTACTGGTATACTCATTTGCAATAAATACTAGTATTAATTATAATTTATTATTTATCATTCCATATTCCACACTAATTTCCCATAACTAATGTATGCACCAAAAACACATGCATTGAAGAATTGCATAATCTCTCGCTCATAACACTCAAATCAAATCAGGGTATTTTTTTCGTTTTCCAAAGTTCAAGGTCCAAGTTGTCAACATCCTAGTATGTACCCTTACTTCTGGAAGTTATCCGGTTTACATTTCTTGATGCAGGTAGAGTATATCTCCGAACTAAGCCCACCATGTCAAGTCAGCAAATTATACTTCAATGTGACTACTACTAGGTACTACTCCAACTAGCAGTAGGTGGAAGGTAGTAGTAGTAGTAGTAGTATGTATGTATATGTAGGTATCACTTACCAATACTGATCTTCATCCGGCATCGTAACAGTACACGTCTGAGCCTCCAATGAACACAACTCATTACAATGGTTGCTCCCTTGCGTCGGATGATCGATCGAGTTCAACCCATGCGCAACATGAATGGTCTTGTTCTTGTTCTTGTTTTTCTTAATCACCGATGACAGTCCAGTGGCAAGAGGTGCTTTGCCTCGTGTCCCTGTCGTAGTCGCATTATGAGCCCCCGTTGAATTGGTAGGGACTTTCACGGCGATGTTTTGGCCGTGGTAAGGCCCGGCGAGGTGGGGCATAGCTGCGGTGGTGCTGGCCAAAGCCACGAGGTAGATACCGAAGATAGCGGGGATCTGCATGTTGGATCGATGGTTTTAATGATGTACTCGGTGCTAGTAGGACCTTGAAAATGTATGGGGAACTGTTCTGAGGTGGTAGTAGAGATTGTGATGAACATGGTTCCACCCCCTTGGGCTAACGTCTTATATAGATCTACCTTTGCTATGACCCCGGGGGTTACTGAGTGGCTGGTCTCAATGGATTGTTTACTATCATTGGTTGGTAGGTATAAAAATTATCGGACAGATTGCTGGGTTACAACATTCCACATTCCTATCGAGGGCGGGAGGCTCTCCACGACGGGTTCATGAGAATATCGGTATTAAGTACTCTCCCAGCCTCCTTCAAGATTGATATTCACAATAATTACTTGAAACTGTTTATGGTGGTCTGTTTATACTTTATTATTCAAGGTGCTGCGGTTGGGTTCAGTATACTGTAGATACTCTGTATAGTTTGCGATGGAATTTGGTACCATCGCCAGATATTGATGCATGCATTCCAGACTGAATCATTATAAGCCACTAGGTGTGATGAACCAATTAGAGTGTGATTGGCATGTATTAAGCAAAGACTTGGCTTTGTACATCTGCCGAGAAATGCGATTTCAGGGTGTGGAACTCTTTAATATGACAGGAGCTGGGGCCAGCCTCTAAGACACCTAGGTAACTCACTACACTGGCATTCTTGACCCTTCTCCTCCTTTACTACTATTAATGCTTGCCGTATGCTTCACTATACTGTGCCTATTTTATTTATCAAATTTCAAGCTCAAAGATGACCAGCTATATGAAAAATAAACAATCTTTGAAAAGCGCATTCTATCCAGGCTAGGGTCACGTCAAATCTATACTATATCATGCCCCGGTTAACAGGTATCTATCGATGCTCCGAACATCAAGATCCATCTCAATGAAACAACCTATCAATAAGGATCTTCCCAAAAGTCTTCTCTGCAGGCGATCCATCCATGCGCAAAATACGATTACCAGCACGAGTACTCAACCACAAGCCATGGTCACTCGAGCTCTCCTCGTCACCATCGATCTTATGACGACTTCTCCGATCAACAATACACATGCCACGCGACCATTGTCCCAGCGTCTCAATCCGGATATCTTCAGGTGAATCGGCAGAAGGAGTCCAATGCGAATCCTCCTCTGTAAGCGCATACCAAACACAAACTGGATCATGCAAGCTCAACTGGGCATCATCGCCAACATGGCCAGGGTGCAGACGCTCCAATGTCCGGAACGTATGTCCCATAAACGCATTAACCCATTCCGCGAGAGGAGAACCAGCAGCGAGAAGGGGCTCAACGGCCTGGGTGAACTGGCCCCGAGACAGGTTGTGGCGAAGAGTGATATCCAGTGGGAAGAGACGGAGAGCCAATTGCTTGCTTAAGTTTGCGGGATAAGGTGGTAGGAGTGAACTCTCTGTTGGGGGGAGAGTTGAGTTGGGGCTTGGTGATGTTAGTGCAAAGATGCGGGCAGCGGCAAAGGCGTCTGCGTAGGCGTTGAACTCGCCGACTGGAGTTACCTGTGGGATATTTTAGCTCTCTTATTATTGATCATTGGGTCTTTTGACGTAGTTGCTGTTGTTTTTTCTTACATTGCCTGGCTCATTGATTGCGCCGCCCATCACAACGACTTCTTTCACTCGGAGGAAAGCCTCTGGGTCCTCGGCTGCTGCCATCGCGAGATTGGTAAGTGGACCAACAGCTACGAGAGTCACGGTGTCTGGATCATTTTCCCGTAGTGCACGAAGAATTTCCTTGTGTGCAGGAAGTCTTGATGGGATGAATGAATGGTCTGGCGGTTCGGCACCTTCCTGGACTGGCTGGATGGATTCGGGATCCACCGCCGGATCAAACAAATGGTCCCATGGCTTGCTGGCTGTGAGATGTGGGTGCTATGATATTTGTTAGCTGTGATGATCCTCCTTTTGTGGGATATTAGAAAAGTTGCTGGTCATACACTGTCGTGGATACCACCGAGGCCATCGGTTCCATCTGCGGGGTAAGTTAGTGATGCTATCGGACCCTATTCTGAAGAGTACATACGAAAGTAATCGGCAAGCATCTTTTGGCTTTCCAAAGGTTCCTCTGCTCCTACTGCTACTACCGGACGAGAAGCACGCAGGGTGCCATACCCTTCGGGTTTTCCATTATCACGGCGCCACTGCATTTCCCGCTCAAGGATATGAAACATGGAGACCACATTTCGAAGACAGCTAGATTTTGATAATGAATAGATTAGACCATATACAGAGAATGAAAAATCAAACTACTCACTTCTTTACTTCGATGTTACCAAAGGTCAAAGAAATGAGCAGCAACTCGAGATCTTCAGATTTGGAGGACAGTGCCAGCAATAGTGCCAGGATGTCATCGATACCCTAAGATCAATCAGTATATAGGTTCCGCAAACTCAAACTCCGATTGTTCATTTACTGGATCCGTATCGAGAATGATTTTCTTAGCCGGCATTTTATTTCAAAGTGACTAACAGGTGTGATATCAGAGAGTTGATGGTTATCGCCGCTTCAACCTTGGTCCCTCTTAAACAGCTCCATATGGACACCTCAGGCCGTACTGGCCCGCACTGGCCCGCACAACTTCAAAGCACGAAAAGAGACATGATCGTCTGTACATAAAAAATTATGGATAAGCAGAATAAAATAAAACAAACAAACAACACTAAAACCTCCACCATTCATGATGGTCGGGTTTAAAACCAGATCTAAGCCCCCTCTTATGCACAGTCTGATACATCCCCGGTGGTCGGTACCTCTCTTCCGACTCCTCGTGGCGAGAAAGAATGTACGCTACTTAAGGGAACTAACTCAATCCCCTGTGTCTGGACCGCACGGAGTATATACGGAGTAATAAGGAAGAGGTAAAGGATAAATAGAGATGGATAGGACCTTGCTAGTAGAGCCAATCATAGAAGCTGGTAGAGGCGGGTAATTTACAGTATATTGGATCATGGAGTCGACAGGGGAGAAAGGAGACTAGAGACGTGGCCTGTTCGCGATTCCCCATCTGTATTACATCTCCACTTGGAGAAGCGCATGGGCTTTGTGTGGTGGCTTTTTAAGATCCCAAGGGGAAGGGCTGGTTCTGGTATTACCATTTGGTATTGACATCCTGGTTGAGCTTGATCATGCATAGTAGTGCATGATTAATCGAGGCAATTCTGCAATCAATACTCAGATCAACATAGCTGTTGCCTAATTAACCCTTTTTTTTCTTTGAAATCTGCCCATATATGCAAATTATTCCATTCTATCAAATCAATATCTTGTTAGCCCACGGGGTGGGGAGTTTCATACAGTGACCATCTAATACGCCCCGTTTACCATACCATGGAACGACCCCCTCGGATCCTCAGCGTGTCCTTTTCTGGCTCCCCTTCTCCTGTTCCTCCTCACGACGTCTCCCCGTTTCCTTTTCTTATTTTCTTTTCTCTTCTTCCCACTACCCCTTTAAGTACTCATTCTACGTGGGCCCTTATTGCTCTGATCTTTTCTTTCTGTCCCTACTTCAGCGCGAAGTTGAGCGCAAACGCGGGCTCATTGCCACCACCCTCCGAATCCCAGTGTCAACGGAATCTCCATCTTCTACCTCACGCATTGCACCGGACTTCGACGAAGTCAACTCGTGAAATCGATATCGCACGGGACACAGGACGATCCCTCTTATCGGCTGAAGCGGATCTAATTGCTCCTCTCTTTCGAAAAACATCCATGCGCAGTCTGGCCATCTAGACCTTGCCCTCCCCCTCCAATTCATTTCCGACAACCGTGTACAACCAATTTGGCTTGCGGCTGCGCGTGCCAAATTGACTGTGCGCGTGCGCAACTGTCCTACCCTCCCGTGTAAACCAGTGGCAGGGTCGTGTAATTCTACTCCTTAACCCTTTTTTCCCCTCTCAAAACGGTACGTGCCCAGCACACGAGACAAGACAATTGCCTACTATCTCGAATCAATTGATACTGATTGCTTTAGTAGCATCATGACTATGAACCCTTACATTAGCTGGGCCCTTCTGCTCGTCGTGGCTGGCAGCCTCGGCTGGTACTACACCAATGGCTCAGCCGCCCCGAAGGCCAAGGCCCCAGTCCGGGCTGTGGTGGAGAAGGCCGAAGCTACAGTCGCGCCCAAGAAACAAAAGAAGAAGACCAAGGCCCCTGAGCCGGCTAAGAAGCCCGAGCTGAAGACCGTTGTCTCCCCTCCCACCAGCGAAGACGAGAAGGCCGAGGATGATGTCGACCCCAAGGAGATGGCTCGCCGCGTCGCTGCGATCAAGAACGGCACCAACCCGGCCGCCGCTCCCGGCAGCAAGAACCAGAAGAAGAAGGCTAAGAAGACCCAGCAGCTTGAGAGTGGCTCGCACGCTTCCTCTACCACTGGCGCCGACGCCGACGATGACCTGTCCCCCGCTGTCTCTCCCCAGGTGAACGCCGTTCCCTCCGCTGGTTACGTCTCCGACATGCTGGAGTCCCCCGCTCCTGGCGCATCTGTTCTCCGTGTCACCGGCAACGTTGAGTCGGAGCCTAAGAAGCAGAAGGTCCAGAATTTCAAGCAGGTCGAGACCAAGAAGCAGCGCCAACAGCGCCAGAAGAACGAGGTCCGCAAGCAGCAGGTTCAGGAAGCCGAAGAGCAGCGCCGGCAGTTGCTCGAGAAGCAGCTCCATACCGCCCGTGAACACGAGCGCCGTGAAGCTGCTAGATCTCAGGCTCCCGCCACCAACGCTTGGCAAACCAAGGAGGCCCCCAAGGCCAAGGTCAACGGTGCCCCCAAGGCTGCTCCAGCCCCCGCCTCAACCTCCGCCCCTGTCCAGCTTCTGGACACCTTCGAGCCTTCTTCCGCTCCAGCTCAGAAGAAGTGGACTCAGGAGCTTCCCTCAGAGGAAGAGCAGATGCGCATTCTGGGCGCTGCCAATGGTGTTGACGAGTGGACTACCGTCTCTAAGACTAAGAAGACCAAGAAGAAGGGTGGCAAGGCCGATGAGAGCGTCAGTGAGACCAGCGCCTCAGAGAACCAGCCTACTCCCGTGGCACCTTTGCCTGTTGAGCCCAAGGTCACTGTCACCCCTACCTACATCCCTGATATCCTGCGCTCTCGTGAGAAGGGTCACCCGCTGGACTCGGACTGGGCCGCTTAAATTCCTTAACCCGACATCCGCCCTCTCTCTCCACCTATGATGCCATTGCCATTGTTTCTACCTCCTTCCTCTCTATCTCACTTTCACCTGGACCTGTACTTATTACCCTTTGACTTGGATTTGGCGTTTCCGGGACTGTCCCATAATATCAGCATATTTTCCCAGAATCAGAGAAAACTGGGAACGCTGTTCACAACGCAAAAATCGTGATGAAATCTGCTCTTGTCTTCCTCCGAGGATGTGGCGGATTCCAAAAAAAGCACGCGCGCACACCATTGGGACGACTGGTGTTTTATTTTATTCTATTTTCTCTGTGTAGTTCAGCTGTATCACAATTGAAGCATTATTTGCAATCGCATTATTTTTCATATTCAATCTGAAGCCCATCCAAGTCATATTATGCTAGCAAAGATATAAATAAGAATAAGAATGTGTACGATTGTCGTCACATTACCCGTTACGGTTTAGCGTCGAGTTCCGGGCATCGTGTCCTAAAGAGCGAGCAGCTTGCTTTGTATATTGGCTCCACCCTGTTATTTACTCCCCTTCGACCCTTCCTTCAGCCACCCCCGACCCTTTTACCACACTCTTTGGTTCCTCGTATCTCTTTTTCTACACCTCCCTCTCTACCTCCTTCCGCCATGGCCCAGATCCGTGGCACCGCGGGCTACAATCTCGGCCACCAGAACCCGTTCGGCGGGCCCGGTAGCGCAGATGCCACCAGCGACCCTAGCCCGCTCGACGCCATCCGCGAGCAAACCAGCAAGATTGAAGACTGGCTAGATACCATGTCTGACCCTGTGAAGCCGTATGTTTTACGCTTGAGTGCTTTGGAAGCTTCCCCAGTCTCCCACCAAAGCAAGCAGCAATCACACACACAAACATCACCCAACACCGTCCCCTCAATCAAGGGATTCGGCAAGATCATGATGCGCTGACACGCTGTTCACTCGGTTCCAAACAGGTACCTTCCCGCGATCGGTCGATTCCTGATCGTAGTGACATTCATTGAGGATTCGCTGCGCATCCTCACACAATGGAGTGACCAGCTGATCTATCTCAACGATTTCCGCAACAGTAAGACGACCTGAAACACCTCGGCTCCTACCTATCCCGCATTGGGACCTGAAAGGCCTCCAGCACAAAACAAACCTACCCACGCAAAACCTGGGCACTCACATATTCATTTCCCAATAATGTCGCTAACTTTGTTCTTTTTCGCTGGATATAGTTCCCTGGGGAATTACACACATTTTCCTAATCGTTAACGTCATTGCCATGGCCGTCTGTTCCACCTTGGTCATTGCCCGCAAGCGCACCGAGTTCGGTGTCGCGGGATTGCTCGCTGTCGTTATTACACAGGGTCTCGGATACGGTCTTATCTTCGATTTGAACTTCTTCCTGCGTAACCTGAGTGTTGTTGGCGGTCTGCTTATGGTGCTGTCTGACTCCTGGGTCCGCAAGAAGTTCGTACCTGCCGGTTTGCCCCAGCTCGACGAGAAGGACCGTAAGATGTACGTACAGTTCGCTGGTCGTGTGCTGCTCATCTTCCTGTTCGTTGGCTTTGTTTTCTCTGGCCAATGGAGCTTTTGGCGCGTGCTGGTCAGCCTCTTCGGTTTGGTCGCGTGTGTTATGGTCATTGTCGGCTTCAAGGCTAAGTGGAGTGCGATTGTTCTTGTTGTTCTTCTGAGCGTTTTCAACGTTCTTGTCAACAACTTCTGGACTGTAAGATCTAACCACACCCTGCTTGACGTGGCATTGCTAATTTAAATTCAACTATAGCTCCACCCCCACCACCCACAAAAGGATTTCGCCAAGTACGATTTCTTCCAGATTCTGTCCATTGTGTATGTTTCACTTATCCTAGGTCACTTATGTTGTGTTAGTGTGCTAATCCCATTCCAGTGGTGGCCTCTTGCTGCTGATCAACACTGGCCCCGGCCATTTGAGCATGGACGAGAAGAAGAAGGTCTACTAGAGCGGAGGACAGGAAGACGATCAACCTGCTCTTCTCCATATACCCTCTATGACACCAAGATTCCACTCGCCAACAAACTCGCCAAGGCAAAACAATCATATGGTAGAAGAAGCAATACACCGCATTGCATTCATCGAAGGCTCCTGCATACCTTCTCACGAATCTTCACCTACTGGAACGATCTATAGCGATCTGTTTTGTTTTGTTATTCGAATGTTTGAAGCGAGCCATCATCATTCATTATCTTCACATTCATATCTTCGTCTTCGTCTGCCCTGTTTCTAGTCTGGTTTCATTGTTTTGATTGTACCCACCAACCTACGCATCATACGCCCCGCGGGATTCATGACATGTCGTCTTATCCCGTCTCTGACTCTTTTTCTGGTTTTATTGTTCATCATCTTTGGTACGCGACCACCTTGAAGTGAAAAAGAATATCTCAAGGTCATGTACTTGCATGTGGTGGTTCTATTAGTCCATCTGGTGAGCAAATCTATAACGAATGACAAGTTGCATTGAAGTCATGAGTACTCTTGAATCTGCAAAAAATCTAGTTCCATTCTTGCTATGTAATTGTAAATCAGTAAAAACATTATTATCACAAGCCAAAGCTCTCCAATTCCCCATATTCTGATATGGTCTATCTGTATTGGGTTTAGCGCTCAGCATATCAACTGTACACTCCATCTTCCTCCATCACCATCATAATCTGCCCTCTATCCAGCACTCAAGGTGTACATACAACCTCAAAATCTCAATAGCATCTACTACCTCGAATCTCCCAATTCCATCAAAAATGCTCCGTCTCGTCTCCCGGGCATCTCCTGGCTCTCACAGCCCCAAAGGACCCAATCTCACCACCACCCGATCCTTCTTTGACATAACAACGAAGTTCATGAACTACGACTCGCGCGGAAACCTGATCACCAAAAAGATACCGATTACAATCGGGAGGATAAAATGACCTTCGTTCTGATTGAGCCAGATATCGGTACTGAGATTAATGCCGCATGCCCCGACCCATTTACTTCGGTCTTGTCTTCGTCTTGCGCATCTATCGCCGAAGATAGATGGACAGCGATATTTCGCATTTGGTTAGTTCGATTTATCATACTATCGATTTGTTTATGATACAGCTCCAGGTTTATCACATTGTTCTATTTCTACTGGGACCTTCAAGCTATCCCCGTCTCTGTATACCAAACAGAGTCGAATACCAGTCCTGCAACATTGTTTATTGGTGGTGTAATGCACGGTTTTGTTTTGGGTGGGACTCTTGATTGTAGGTTTCAACACACTATATAAATTTACTTACTCTTATGTCCTGGGATAGAATGCTAATCTACACATTATTTATCTAGACGCTTTTACTAAGATGGCGAACGAATCTGGACGGCAGCTGGCACGTACTCTCGATGTGTTGGCAAATTGTCGATATCAGATTGGCCAGTGATTTTCCTATCCTTGTCGGAAAATGGATATGTCTTCAAGTTTCCATCTGGGGTCACGGAAACGTGTAATTCTACCGCTGGAAATTCAACTCCTCTCTGGATTTAGATGTCCGTAATAATATGATCTCCATTCACTACGAAACTTGCCATACGAGGTACTTAGGTGCTGTAGGTAGTAATTATATTTATGAAAGCACGCTACACAACCTAGTGTACTAAAGACATGTTGAAATTTTCCAATGTTTCAATTGAGGAACCCACCTGGGCATCATGCTATGTATGCGCTATGTATGTAACCCGAAGGGACAAGATAATTATGGTACAGGGAGGGTTAGACGAGGAAGAAAGGGTCTAATGATAGTAGAAAAAGACGATGAGAGAAGGAAAGAACAAGATTGATGCAAAACCTTTGTTCGAATAGGAAATGATCGACAGGGTCCAGGAACGGGACCTTCAAAGTGGAAAAAAGAGAAAATGAGAAAAAGGGGGAATGTCGAGGGAAAGAAAGAATGTGAGGAATAGCGAAATTCGCATGCTCCATGTCATCATAGTAAGGTGCTGAATCTGACCAGACCAAGTATTTGCGTTTTTTTTTCTTGGTTCTTAGTTCTCTTCGCGGGGTGTGGCATGTGGTATTGGTGTTCTGGACCAGCCAGGTTTTGAATTCCAAGCCAGGGAGGGGAGGGATGATTGATTGGGGCGTGCGCACGCAGGTGCTAAAGTGGAAAAGAATAAATCGCTTGCTGTTCTTTTTGCTTGGAACGCTGGTTGCCAGAGAGAAGTGAAAAGGAAAATAAATGTCGCTGGTTGGGGACGGAGAGCGACGAGAAATTGGTTCTGGTGAGTATTTTGGTGATGTTTCGTAGGTAGGTACGTTGGTAGGTAGGTATGTAGGTTGTTGGTTATTTGAGGCCGTTAGATTAAATGTCCATACTCCAGCGCCAGGGGCGAATGCGTTCTAGTTGGCCGAGGCCAACCTCGTCGCGGTACTCGTCATTGATCTCAAGGTGTAGAAGGTGGACTTTATGTTTATTTTCAGGTCGCTGTAAGGTGGATAGAGTCTTGGATATTTGTGGACGGTGAGGGACTGCGTCGCTGTCGGCCGTTGATTTGGAAGCCGGGCGCGTGCCAGGGGTGTCTGGGTATTTCCAAGAAGCATGCGGTGACTGGTCATCGGTGATGGCCACGGAAAAGATAGAGTCAGATCGGGAGTGCCTTGAGAGCTCAAAGTCATCTCGTGTGGTTTCGTTGGAATAGTCACGCACACGGGTTACAGATGGCCGTCGCGGCATGGCCCGGTGAATGGCATCTGTATCGAAAGCGCCATCGTTACTGAATCGGTCAGGGAGATTCTCGTAGCGGCGGGGGCCGTGTTGAGTAACACGAGACAAACGGTCGCCTGGAAATCCACCTACACTGTCGCGCGGAGAATTATCAAAGTTTTCCTTGCCAGCCATGACCTTCGCGCTGGGCGGGGGTTGAAGCATCCATCGAGTTTCAGCGCGGCTAATAGGGCCGCTTACAATTGGCGGATGGAAATCATTGACAGGAGGCGCACGGGCAGTGTAATACTTTGAAGGCTCATTAGGGTCTGCACGGCCACGACCAGAGAAACCAATTGACGACCCGCGTACTACTTCCTGTTCCTGGCCCCAGAGTGGTTCGTCCTCGCGTTGATATCGCATTCGATTCCACCGTTCACCGAGCGGGTGCATGAGGCTCCCGCTTTTATCCTTCTTCATTTGTGAGCTTTGATCAGTCGTCCAGCTGTCGGTCCGCTGGATGTTTCGGTTTCCTCCACGTCGAGTTGGAGGCCCTGGGCCCAGGACGAGCTCCTCACGCCACCCTGCATTAGTGCTAAATGGAGTGGGTTGCGAGAAAGGACGGGGTTGGTCGGTAACGATCTCGGCGTCGAATCTCTCCTTTAATCGTTGTGCGCGAGAAGCTTCCTTCTTTCGTTTTCGACGATCGATGCTAGTAGCACACGGGGTGCAACTGGCGTAGTAGAAGACCGCCGACTGCGCACCCCGGTAGAGCCACATGGCGCGGGGGAGGGGTTTAGTTTTCCCTTGAAAATAATATTCTGATGTTTAGCGATGCCCTCCTTTTCCTCCTGGAAGGATTTCCGTTCACACAGGGATCCTTGTTTCCTTAGGACGCGGTCCAGAAACACGCTCACGACGGGCTATGGGCCCGGGAGAACTGTTGAATCTGACCCGACAGTGGCTTAGTGTTCAGAGATACTAGAGACCACATGAAGGGCTGGTGGATTGTAAAATAGAAAGGGGCGAAGAAATGGAGACCAGAGAGAAGACAGATAAGAAAGATTGAGCCCAACGACCAGCGATGGGGGAGGGGCTGAGAAAAGACAGGGCAGGGGAGTGCATGAAACGGGCGATCGAGGGAATCAGGGGAGTTTGGGGGGAGTTGGGTAAGACTGGGGGGCAAGGTCACATCGGTACTTCTGCGGCCGCCGGGTTGACCATGGTTACGCTTGTACCTCTCGCTCTCTCTAACCCCATTGTACCCAACTTAACTTGTATCGGATGTTTTCATCTTAATTCGGTGTTTGAGATTCCGCGCTTATACTTTTGGTAATTTTGTATTTCTCTTATCCAATTCCCTGCCTAACTTGATTCTTCTAGTTTCAAGACCCGTTGGGCCTGAAACATTACGTCTTATCGTACTACAGTTTCATACCCCAATTGTTCCCATGTCTCAATTTTTGACCGCATCCCACTTAGGCCGCGCAATTTCGCTTGTTGGCGCTACACATCACACAATTAGGCTTTACACAGGTCTCACTTACATTCGGGATGCCTGATCCTCTCAGTACGGAGTAATATCTCCTCATCCATGGGGTGGCTTGGCACCCTCCCGCTGTGGAGTGCGGTTGGTGCGCCGGAAGCGGAGTTTAAGAAAAAAAAAAGGGGGCTGCCTAGCGACGAGACCAAATATCTCTGGATCCTTTGAAATTTGCATATAAAAAACTATACATCTGTATACATGCTCGATTCTGATGTTGGTTGGGTTGGTAATGTTGTTCTCCACATTGTCCGAATGGCGTAGGGATATTCCCTTGTAAATCCACCTCACCTGGACATACTATACAGTAATCAGCCCAGTTGAACGTCCTATTCCTTCAATGTTCGAGATTGGAAAGAAGTATGGTAGAATAGATGTATAGAGGAGGTATATATAATATCTCAACGGCTCCTATCTATTATCAACCACCTACTGTCCCCAGAATTACACGTTTTTCTAACTACAATACCAATTCTTCGCGATTGTGTCTACCCCGTATTACCATAACATCCATAGAGCCCTAGGGCCCTGGGATCTAGGAATCATTTTAATAATATATAAACATTGTATCGTAATTCAATTGCGAATATAAAATTTTCCGACTGAGGAAGCGATGGGACTCCTAACTGGGTTGACTAGGTATAGAAATTCCGATCGTTCTCGGACTATTCCGCGGAGCATCCTAGCTTGCTGGGCACGAATCGCTTCATGCATGGTAGCGGTGAGGCCTCGCTGACCTGCAGTAAATTGAGTCATATCGACCTCTAATTATAGAAGCCATTCCATCAGCATAAACCTCGCCAGGTGCCCGACTATGTCATGTAAGTCATTGTATCTTAACAGAGGATTAACGCCCGGTGTCTCGAACCCGACATTAGATGCAAAGGTCCAGAACAGAAAAGGAACAACACAAAGAAAAGTTAAAAAGAGATCATGCAGTCACAACCAGGTAGTTGCTGCAGCCAAGTTATATGGTCAAGTTTCAATTGTCAAAAGAAAGGCTTTTTGTGACACGAACCTGAAGACGCTCTGCCACAAATCATGGTCATCTTCCTTGTTCATTTGTATGCAAAATGTTCCTGTAGCCCCAACGCCCAAATATCAAATATGACACATTAAAGAAGAAGAATAAAAAGTATCGTTTAGATCTCGCTCATGCATTTTTAGTATCCCGAATCACCTCGCCTTTCACCTTGCTCCAGTCGATGTCCGCATCAATCTTATCGTCCACCTCGCCGCAGAGTACCACATTATCTCCTCGAATTAAGTAAAGGCCGTGCTCGACTTGCGATGAAGGCTCATCGTCTTCCGGGGTGCGGATGATGCGTTCGACGGTTTCCGTGAGAACAAGGTTGGTAAGCTGGTCGGTTGAGAGGAGGGTACCCAGTAGTGTTCGGCCGTCCACGGTCAGGATGAGAACTTTTTCTATTGAGTGACATGTATGTTAATTTGCTGGTTATAGTTTGCTGGCGATCTTATGGGAATTGGCTTACTATTGATGTAGTGTTGAAGAGACATGATGGGTGAATGTAAGGTGATAGGGTCAACTAGGATTTGACCTAGGGCTCAGCTATGCGCAATTCGATGCGTCAATTGACTTCAATTGATCGCAAGGAGCCCTGACCGCAAATTGATGTTTTGATCGGGAGTTCTTTTTCAAGGTCTGCGCACCTTGTCGGGGTCGTGAGAATTTGGAGAAACTGAATGTTTGATATTCTGGCGTGGGCGGAGTTTCGTTTCGTGAGAAGGGGCCTATATCAAATGGTATTTGGGAAGCGTTTGGGAAATGCGAGCAGAAGGAAGCTCGTAGGCAGTTCTTTGATGCAAATCAAGCGAATGCTCAAGCTTGATTGTTGAAGGTCGATGTCAACGGTATAAGCGTAGCGTTGTTGTAGGACACGATGGGTGGAAATGTATCGCGCAACGGGTTACAGTAATAATTAAAACGGTCGATTTGAGAAGCTCAAGTCAGTTCACGGTGGGATGAACAATGACCTCGGGGATTTGGGGATTTGCGCGTGTTTGCATTGATTGGCAGAAATGGTCACGTGCATCCTGAGCTCATGAAGTATGAACTTTAATGAACAAAATAGACATTGCTTATTTCGAGGTAAAAGGTAATGATTTACCTGCCAGTGCCTGATAAAACTGTTGTTTTAGATTCGATCTTGACAATTTTCACAAAGATGTATTATCGTATTTGAGAAGAATGGCGCTGTGTGCTACTACTATAATTGTGGATCTATATATGTCTCCAGGACTACTACTCGCGATACTGGGGGAGCCGCCTATAACATTTGTTCAAGTTCAAGTCGGAGCTGACTCGTATGTTTGACATTTGGAGCCCTGGAGGGTTCCTAAGTACACCTGGACATACACTCCGATTTCATTGTAAACGTACTACTATATAACATGGATATTGTTCAAATTTCAACGTCAATGTTGCGCTCAGTCGCGGCTACATAACCTTGGGAATTATCATATCCATACCTATCTCCACCTGGGCAATTTGAAGGATCTGTCGGAGCTGCCGGGCGGAGAACGACCTGTACTACTACTACCTAGCACATGGACCTACATACACCGATAGTAATGTATACATTAATCTAAGCCTCGGAGCGGTTAGTCATTGAAACTTCAGAGATATTACAGGATAAAGGCTCGAGCCAAACAAACTTCAATCTTTGAAAGGTATATATAAGGTATAACAATTTACTATCTGTGCACGATATCTATCGCCCGCAATGTCCCATGCACTCAAATCAACGACGCAAACTGTTTAGATCCAACGGCAAACTGCTCACCTTCCCAGCACGGTATCTGATCGGCTGTGCGCCAAGGTCTCTTCTAAAGTCCCGCGGTCTGGGAAGCATAGCATCGCTTGGGAATTTGAAACGCGGGTCTTCTATCTTGATCGAAACATTTCTAGATAGACCGTGTGATAGACCCTGTGACGAAGGTGCAGGGGATGAGGAGCGACCGTTGGTCGTGAGCGTATACGCACTGGGATTCAATGGTGTAGGAGGTTCATGTGAAGCAGGGCGAGAGGGAACAGGTGATGGACGAGAGGGTGGTGCACTAGGAGGAGAGACTGGCGGAGGTGGAGGAGGAGCTGCGGGAGCTGCATTTGGCGGCGGAGGTGGTGGTGCTAATGGCGTGTTGGTGGTGTGGTTACCTAGTGCGGTGCGGGCAGCTTGGGCTGCGATTGATGGTGGGGCGCCAGGTGGTGCAGGTGGAGGTGCAGGTCTTCCGGGAGCAGCTGGAGGAGGAGGTGGAGCTCGAGAAGTTGTTGGAGGAGCTGATGGAGGTGGAGGGGGTGGAGCCGCCGGGCTTGCCGAAGGAGGTGGCGGAGGTGGTGCAGATGGCTTTCGAGATACTGGAGGTGGTGGAGGGGGCTTGTTTGCCCCAGGGGGCGGAGGAGGCGCGCGCGGAGGGCTTTCAGAAGCAGAGAAAGTAGATGATGGTCTGGAACCGGGTCGTGGAGGTACCTTTTTCAAGCTCGCAACTAACGGGTTAACCGCGGGCGCAGATGGCGACTCTGCTGTTGGAGGTGGTAGAGGTGGTCGGCCTCCAGGTAGTCGAGGAGCACCTGGGGGCTTGGGAGGTGGTGCAGCAGGCGCTGGACGCGAGTTTTCAGACTCTGATATGTATGAAGAGTCTTGTTTGTTGGCGCCTGTGTTGATACCACCACCACGACTCCGTAATTTTGGCATACCACCCGCAAAAAGTCCGCCTAATTGTGCTGCTGGACTACTAGATGCATCATCTGAGCTAGATACCCCCTCGCTATTGCTCCGTAGTCGGTTGGCAGCCGGTCCTGACGGGATTGGGGGTGCCAGTCCACCGGGGGGTGGTCGTAGGCCGGGAACTGGAGGTGCTGCTCCCATAGGTGGTGCAGCCGAACCACCTCCGGTCTTTCCAACTACAGGCGCGGATCTGTCATTGGTAACAGCTTTCTTCAGCCGAGCGCCTTTGTGGATATCAGATAACAAAGCGCCCTATTCACAGAGTTAGTCAACCATTTGGGCAGACTAAACAGTCTATCAAAGACATCGATATTGCATATCGAATATACATACACGATCTTTGACTTCTGATTTTCCCGGTCTGCTAGGTAAACTAGCTGCAGGTGGTGGTGGTGGGGGAGGGCCACCTAGGCCTCCGGGCGGCGGCGGAGGAGGGGGAGGAGGGGGAGGAGGCATGTCGACGAGAAGTGTGTTAGGATCAATAAGAGTGATGAGTAGATTGCAACATGAGAGACTATTCAATCATGTACAAATAGGTAGGATAGTCCTGGGCTCCTTGACCAGAAGGAGGTGTAGCAAGGCAGAAGTAAAGACGTCAGGTTGATTACGGGGAACTGAACAGCGCCGGGGCGAAAAGACTCCGCCCTAGAGCCTCCTTCTCCTATCAGAAAAAAGCTCGGCCTATTCCAACTGCCGCCAATTATTACAACACAGATGATCACAGTAACCATGAAAAGGGTAGCATTGAAAGTCCAAAGAGGCTCTAAAAATTCAGCCTCTGTCTGTCAATTATGTCAATTTTCGACTGCGACACCGCAGCGCCTGCCTTTGGCTCGACTGCTTGCATCGACTCGAACGCGATCTTCGCCCAACCCTCCTGCTCTACAAAAACAGTACACCAAATCCCCTCTATACTATCCCACCCTAAGCTCCCGCTCATTCGCAACCAAACTTCCCAATGCTGGCTCAGCTATTCAGCTAGTCGAACAAGAGGCTTCGACTATTCAGACGACAGACCGTGTACCATCCAATGAAGTCGTGGTGGAACTTCTCCAAAAATGCCAGAAAATAGCCCAGTCCCTTGTATCCCAGGAGCACGATCAAACAGAGGATTCCCCCGACGAGGGAAATGCGATCTCCTCACTACTGGACATGGAGGAGAAACGAGGCGCGAAGCAAATACCGCAAGGCAATTCGTCCCCAAACTTCGACCCTCGATTAGCAGACACCATCTCCCAAATCGCGACCGATCTCGTAAAAGATGAGAAAGTCTTCATCTCACCAGAGGTCCTAGAGAGCTACACAAAGATCCAAACCATCCTCCAGCGCACAGAGCACTTCCCCGAGATCTTCCACCTATTCGCCAACAAGCCCGTACCAGAGGAAAACAGCTCCCCCGTCAAATTCCTCAAGGCGAACCCCAAGAGCGTCAACAGTGCTATTCCTGCCGAATTAGCCAACATGGCTTTAGACGTTGCCATTGCTCAGAAGAACCTCTCGCTCGTGCTAGCAATTATCGACAACACTTTCTGTGCGCCTGCTTTCCATCGTGCAAAGGTCTTCAAGAAAGCCGGTGTCCCCTTGGCTGGTCTTGCTGGTACCCCGGCTGCATGCTATGCCCTTGCGTCGTGGGCTTCTAGTTTCCAAAATACCATGGATCCTAGCACTGCGACTGGGATTGCATTTGCAGCGTCTCTGGCTTACGTTGCGGGTACATCATCCCTTGGAATTGTGGCTATTACTACGGCTAATGATCAAATGGAGCGTGTGGTCTGGTTGCCTGGTATTCCCTTGCGGCAGCGATGGCTGCGGGAGGAGGAGCGGGCTGCTATGGATAAGGTTGCTGTTGCGTGGGGATTTAAGGATCCGTATATGCGCGGCGAGGAAGTTGGTGAGGAGTGGGAGAGTTTGCGGGAGTTTATTGGTATGCGCGGTATGATTTTGGATAAGACAGAATTGATGGCGGGCATGGAATAAGCCAAAATATACTTGTATATATAGCCATCTGTTATTTGACGACAATTAAAGCGATGTAAAGTATTTCCAAAGAACTATATGGTGATTTACAATCTTCGACTACACATGTACGAAATTTACAGCGAAGAAATATTAATAACCAAGTCGTGAGATTCATTTTTTATTTTTTAGGGCCATTGAATGAACTATGACGCCCTCACTTCTCGGACACCTTTATAGAAAACCCCGGCACAATGAAGTGACGAAGAATCTAGTACACGCGCTTGGGGGGAGACATGGAAGCCTTGATGACAAGGCTGCCAACGTTCTGCCAGCCCTTCTTGAGGAGGGAGACAAGGTAGTTGATGGACAACATGAGGTTAGCGGTGAGCTCCTCAGTCTCCATACCGACGTTACCGACGGCAACACCGAGGCAGAGAACCTTCTTAAGCTGGAACTTGATGGTGGACTTGACGTCGTTGACCTTGTTCTGCATGTCCTCAGCGTGGGAGATGGGGGTAGGGAACTTTCCGGCTGTAGCGGGGAAAAAAGTTAGAATCTGTCCGATGATTTTTTTACGTAGAAAAGAGATTGTACATACCCTTGGACAGACCAGGACCCAGGAGACGGGGAATCTGCTTGATCAGAGCCTCGGAAGCAAGGAAGGCATCGTGGTTGCGAGCAAGCTTCTTGATGAGCTTCTTGTTCTTGTTCAGCTTCTTCAAGTCGTCGGTGGACATGGCATCGATACCGTGGTGCTTAGCACGGTCGAGATCGTGCTGGTCACCAATGATACAGATACGCATGTTGGGACGAGGGATGGAAGGCAGCTTGATGGTACCAGAGAAACGCTTGTCACGCTGGGGGTCGTAGTTCTTCAGGCCGATTTGAAGCTCAACGGTCTCGAGGAAGTTACGCTTCTTCTCGTTGAGAGAGTAGTCGAGCAGCGACTGGACATTCTCGCGCACTCCGGCTAGAAGGATATTAGCACTGTTCAATTTAATGTGACATAGATAGGTTTGAGTAGAACATACCGACTGTGATCTTGGACATGATGGCGACAGTCTTCCAAAAGAATTTCTTAAGGTGTGGCTCAGCGCAAGATGGTCTGGAGGAGAAGAAAAAGGTTGCCGCAATTTTCTCCGCTTGTGGGTGTGTGAATAGACTAGTCCTATTTAGGCCTAGCGGTGCCCTCAAACGAGGCCGATGAATCAGCATTGTGCTAGGTCACGTGATAACCTAACATAACGAGCCCTGTTACTAGAGTCGACACCTCGAAATACAGGCAGATATCGATGGAATCTACAATATGTTCAGAGTTAATCATTTGAGTATGTTCTCATTGCTGTCATATTAAGACTGGTTACATTTTTTGGAAATCTTCATGCCTAAAGAAATGACATGTGAAGTATTCCCCCACTGGTCTTCCATCGGAAGGGTCTTCTCCCATACACTAAAGCCCAATCTCTCATACAACCGCAGCGCACGCTCGTTTTCAGGTTCAACCTGAATAGTTATGCTTGCCTTAGTTGCACCATAAATATCAATATCATCATGTATAGCCTTGATCATGGCCTCCAATAACAGGGAAGCATGGCCATTTCGCCGAACTTCAGGCAGAGTGAAAACACCAACAACCAAGTACACAATATGGGCATCTTTAAGATCCTCAACCCTGGATATATCTCCCGCATGTTGTATTTCCGATCTTTAATAAATGCATCCCATGGTTTAGCGAGAATTCCATCTTCATTCATAGTTGGCTCGGGGAAAGTTATCGGACCAAGTAACGTGGCCCATACTTCTATCGGAATCGGGATAATCAACTGCAATGAAGGCCCTAGGTAGTGGGCTTTGGATACGGGATCGCCATTTATCATGAAGAAATTGAGACTCTTCTTCATATGTTGATGAGAATGACCCCGGGTCGACTTTGAGACTGTGTAGCCTAAGCCTCTTGAATCGATTTATTATTTTATCTAAGTCTTGTGGAGAAGAATAGGTCTTAGGAATGAGGATAGCCTCTGATGTAGGGCGGCCATGGTAATGTACTTGGACCACTTTGGTGGGAATGCTGGAAGACAGACGTGATACAAGAGAGTGTTTCGATTGTTGAGATAGGATTTGATCACTTGTGAGAAGAATGCGGAGTGATCATTTATAGGCCCATGCCATAAAGCCAAAATGAAACAGGATGGCTCACATGTGTGCTTTGATTCTAATAAGATGATACAACGTGGTGGCTGAACTAACCTCACTCTATTCTCCAGTTTAGTAAATACTTTTGAAATACTGTGAAATCACTTCTCCTATTAGTTCCAAGGTCAAGCTAGTATGGTTCCTAATACTTGAAAGAAAATCAAGTTTCCTTATCATGAAGGGGCAGGTTAATGCGATGCTAGTAGATTGGGTCTATCAAAGTCATGATCACATTATACGAACGAGAGAAAGACTATGCACTTCCTGAGTCTTCTATTGGCATATGCGCAGACAATAATGGGAGCAAAGTCAAATCAAGATTTTGCCAGTCCCAAATCTGATCGAATTGTCCAATGTCTATACTGCACAAATCAGAAATATCCAGCAACGGCGGTGTCTCCATATCAGGAACAGGGTAGTCCAAGGAGGCAGGAAAGAAGATCTCTCCAGAGTCCAGACTTTCCAAAGACGAAGGCCATGATATCGGAGGGCTGGGGTCTTCTAAAGACGATACGCCCAAACCCGGCGGAGTAAATAAATCATTCATAGACTGGCCAGGCATCTGATCAGTACGATTAGTAATTGAGGGAGGCTTCGAAGACTTCGACAGGCTTCTTGCAAGTTTGATCAAGATTGGATAACAGATTGCACCGGCCTTGGTGGTATGTGCAAGCTTCTGTAACAACGAACAAGCGACTGCAATTGCTTGGAGAATTTCATCCCGCCGTGGTGGACTGCAATCTTGATCGTGGATGACAGCCGAGCATAAGAAGGCAGCAGTGTCGAATAGAAGAAAGCTAACAAGGTGAAATTTTGCATTTAGCGGGAACACTTGGTCGAATAGTCGTTCTGATACAGTCATGAGGTGGAGTGCGATATCTACGGCGCTTGCTCGATAATATTTGTCTTTCTTGGAGCTCTTCTTGTTATAGGTCTTGGTGAGAAAACGTTTGAATGGCTGGAGCATTGTCATATAGGCTATCGCATGCATTTGAAGACGCTGGAAAGGGACATAAATGTGTGTGTTATCCCATTGGAGATCGGGGTCGGTTTCGCGGTAGGCGGAAGGTAGAGAAACAAGCCAGCCGTTAATCATTGATCTAATTGAATCTGCCTCTTCTGGACTCGTCTCGTCTTCCGTGAACAATGATGTCTTTATAATCATTATTCCTAATTTGCACTGGGAAGCAGTGTGAGAGACTGGAGCGGGAGGGCCCTCTAATTCGCTTTCGAGTGTCATGCTTGGTAGCTCGATTGCAGAAGAGCTTTGGTTTATGATCAGTGGTCGAGAAAGAAGCATCGACATTTGCCTGTGGAGTTGTAAGAAAATGCCATTCAAGTGTTTTGCACATATAAATTATAGATTCTTACCAATCCCATTGATTAAGCAAACACCAAGTTCGTCGCCTCATCTCCGTATCAAACTCTGATAATTCTCGCTTGGTGGAACCTTTATGCATGCCTTGTTCCTGAGCTTCATGAATACAAGATCCCAAAGCATGCCAGGACTCCACAAAAAGGCCCTCCGACTTGAACCAAGCGGATGTAAGAAAAAGCTGGTGAACTTGTGAGATACCTCCCTTTCCCGGGCCAATCGTGCTACTCAATTGCCTCGCGGCATGATGAAGGTTTTCCGAAAGGGTCTGGATTGATCCACCCAGTTCGGTCGCTAGTTTTTGTGTGTTATCCGCATCTAAGTATTGTGCTGAACAAGCACAGACTCGAACCAGGAGGCAAGTGAATTCTGGCGTGACTACTTTGCTGTTTGCCCGATCTGTCCACCAAGTAGCATAGTCCGCAGAGAAGATAGGTGGGTAAAGACAGTAGTAGTTGAAGTTGGTAACTTCCAAAAATTGTTGAACAAGGATGTCTAACCAATTGTCAGTAAACTACGTGGAACTTTTATCTATACAAAATACATACCTGTATATGGCTTGGGAGGCAAAATCTGAAATACTTTTTGCATTTCAGAGGATGTGTTATCTGTGAGCTGACTCTTTTGGGACCCACTTATCTGTTGATAATTAGACTGGTGACCCTGGAATTTTGCATTATTATCAATGAAAGATGTCCATGGATCACTTACCACAGGCGCTGCATCATCCCCAAGCTGCAGGTTTTGATCATCGGGCAGATAACCAAGAACTCGGAGCTCATCTTTAGCTTTCACCGGCTGCAATTCAACTGGAGTGTTTTCAAATTGCTCGGATATGCTAGATATGCTGCTTATACCTTGATCGGATGATAATTTTCTATGATGATCAGTTGTGCACTCCTAAAAACCCGATGTGCCTATGTGACAAACCTGGGTGGGTCCACCGAAGCTCTAGACTTTTTCGGCGATTCTTTCTGGGGGAATTTGCACAGATGTGGGATTCGCCTTGATTGACAATGATTACAGGGCCACTGACGGCTGCACTGGTGGGTTGTTAGATCATGATATGGCCCTAGCGTAGTGTTACTGGGCTTGCCTTTTGTTTCCGGCGGTAACATTCTCCACATGACGGTGCGGATTTGACGACCCTCTCTGCTTTGGGCCCGACCATTCTAAGGGCTAGATGACCGTGACTGTGCGCAATTATGCAAGTTTCAACATCTCTTTCTAGAATGTTGTCCGGGATATGATGACCGCCTGAAAGCCCAGGCACAAATAACGTCACATGCTATGCGCTAGTCCCAATATCGCTAGGCTGGACCCATGCGATTTGATTGGCCACGGTCAAGTACATGGTAGCAGTTGTCTAAGATTATCTGTTGGAATTAATCTTAAGGCCTCTACATTGTTTAGGTATGTGGTAGAATGTATGGGTATAGCTTCAATGTTGACAGCTTGCAAGAAATACGTGTCAAGATCCCTTAGGTCAACTTTGATCGTTGTTGGCCAGGCAGACTCGATAATTCGATGACATCTTTCAATAATCCCACTGGGGGAAGAATAGTACACACAGGTCTTTTGCGAGAGATAATTTAGTTTTCCAATAGAAGAGCGCGTGACTAAATCATATGAGTCATTAAGAAACCTATACGTAGTGATTACAGTAGGCAGTAAGATAAACCTTCTTGGAGTCGGTTAGCAATTGCCTACTACTACTACTACTACTACTACTACTACTACTACTACTACTACTACTACTACTACTACTACTTCTTCACCTAATACATAGGCGGAGCGACAACTCCAAGTTGAATCATGACATATGTCTACTACTCATGCTAAGAGATTGCTATTTCAATACATAGTGATTAAACTTACCTAGGTACACAGCGGGGCAACTTATGGTTACTAATTCAATGTCTACTAAGATCAATACAGAATCGGTTGACCTGAGCCAGGAAAAGATAAAGGCATATGATATAGCCTTTTGTAGCCTTTGCTTTTCGAAGTATACATCCCTATAGTACCTCTTGTTGCAATTGCTGCTTGTGATGTGGCTTGTTTTAGGAAAACCCTCTTGAAACGTGGGGTATTTTTCCAATTATGTTAAATTTTCAGCAACCGAGATTAGATCTGTTATATACAGATCTTCAATGTTGAAGCGAGAGCGGAGACCAGTCTCTTGGCACCCGTGGACAGGGGAATTTTGATTTTGGTGTTGAGGGTTGAGGGTTGTGCTGACGAAAGATTAAACGATTATTGTGTGCCAAGCCAAGCCGGGTTAAGCACTGGGCAGTTAGATAGAGTATAGCGTTGATATTTTAATAAGCAGCCCAGGACAGGAACAGCTGAAGACGTTGAAATGAAACGAAAGATAAGTAGATTCTGATGTACAGTACCCCAATGTACTTTTAGTTCAGTTCGAGGCTCTGCATTCTCGAACAAGCATCGATACTGTCATGACGCGGCAGTGGACTCCTCGGTCCCATGTGTGCCCCAGTAAGGGCGCCCAGAGATGGACCACCGCGCTGAGCACTGGGACTGGGGAGGGCCCGATAAGTCGCCAATGAGCCTATCAGGGCAGCGTAACGGGCGTCTGGATCTGGGTCGAGAATGGGTAGGGTCCTCTTTTTCCTGCGCTATGGGGCCTTCCACCTCCTTTCACAATGATTTCGCCTCCGGTATTTCGGATACAGGCCAACACCGTGTCCTCTTTTGTGTGTGTGGTGCTTCTAACTGTCACTTTAAGCCACCATTGCTGGCTGCCTATATCCATGATACACATGACATTTTTTACTTTTGGCCAGATCTGGTATATAGAAATTGACAATCTGCTTTAAAGTGTTGCTCTCTCCTGTATTTAAATCCTCCTCTGCTGATCCATCGTACTTGTTTAAATTGGATGACCAAGGCTACGCCCACCGCCGCTCAGCGTATTTTCGTAATCCCAAACAAAAAAACAGCCTCCCAATCCTCTGTCTCGCTCTCTCCCTCTCCCTCTCTTCTTCCCTTTCCCTTTTACCTGGACTTAAATCGAACTTCCTTTCTCTCCCCTTTCCCTAATTCTACTTTATTCCAACCTGTCCATACTTTTCTGCCGGTAAGCACTGCCTTGTCGATCATCCCTTCCGCATTGCTCTTTCACCCACACCCCTGAGATTCCCCAATCCGTCCACAACACGTTTTCCCTATCCACCTCTCTTCTCCCCTCCTTTAAACCTTGGATCTCTCCCCCAACCACCATTCCCCCACAACAACCATATCGACTATCCAAACTAATCTTACAATTTTGTGAAAAAGGGTTCCAGGCCGAAGTCAATATGGGTATCACTTTCTCGAGGCTGTTTGACCGACTATGGGGACGCAAGGAGATGCGTATTCTGATGGTCGGTCTTGACGCCGCCGGAAAGACCACCATCCTTTACAAGCTCAAGCTCGGTGAAATCGTCACTACCATCCCCACCATCGGTCAGTCCGCCCCGGTTTAACTCTCCGACTCGCTTTTTTTCTATTCTTCTTGCCTTTCCGCAACGAGATCGACATCACACCGAGATTATGAGACATGGGAGATGCTGACTGTAGGCTCCATCATTCAGGGTTCAACGTCGAGACCGTCGAATACAAGAACATTCAGTTCACCGTGTGGGATGTCGGTGGTCAGGACAAGATCCGTCCTCTGTGGCGCCACTACTTCCAGAACACCCAGGGTATTATCTTCGTGGTTGACAGCAACGATCGGGATCGTATTGTCGAGGCCCGCGAGGAGTTGCAGCGCATGTTGAACGAGGACGAGCTCCGTGATGCTCTTCTCCTGGTTTTCGCTAACAAGCAAGATTTGCCTGTAAGGACCATCTCCGATCAGACGTGATGAATGGATGGGCGGAGTTCTTCGAGAAAACCTCCCACCAGCATCACCGCCGAAACTCCAAAAAAACCCTCCAAAATTATGCATACTGATTTTCGCGACTACAGAACGCCATGAGCCCCGCCGAGATTACCCAACAGCTTGGCCTCCAGAGCTTGACCCGCCGTGCTTGGGTATGTCCCTTACTCTTCCTCCTCCAGAATTCTAGAACTGCCCAGATTTGCCATTTTGAATATCAGGTCCACTAACCCGCTATCCCTCCAGTTCATCCAATCCACCTGTGCCACTACCGGTGACGGTCTGTACGAGGGTCTGGAGTGGCTCGCCGACACTCTCCGCAAAACAAACCGCGATTAAGCGGGTATAATACCACGAATTGGGGGGAGAGGTGTGTGTGTATGTAGTAGGGCAAGAGAAATACCACGGGAAATCTGCAAATGATGGATTGATGATGACTATGGAGTTCTTTTCGCGAGGCCATGGAAACATTTGAATGACCTCCCCCTTCCGAGAATTACGGGGAATTCGACCGGTGCTTTGTGTGTTCTCTCCCACGACTCTTATTTCTCTTCGCCATGCTATTAGCCTCATTTTTTGTTCTTTTTTTTATTCCTGGCGCCACGTCAAAATTGCTGTTCCTTTTCTTACCCTGTCTTTTTTTTTTATATTGACCCATTGTAAACAAAATTCCCAGGGGAATTGGAGTACTATGAGTAAAGAGAAAAGAGAAGCAAAAAGACCAAACGAGACACGAGCCAAGGCCAATATATAGAATGATCTACCGGAAGATAATCGAGCATTAGTACTTCAAGTTATTTCATGTAGATCGATCTAATTAATACCAAATATAGAACACATTGTACTTCAGTATATGTATGCGTCAACTGGTGAAGTTGCTGGGTCTTGGCACTGGCCTAGACTTTTGGCCTTTTTGTTACTAGGAACTACATACTAAGTAGTATACATTATGTTGTTGTTGTTGAATATTAAGCCATTGAATTTATTTCTCTAAATTTTATTCTTTTGATATCCAGCTCTTCTTCCCCTCAATCCCCACCCAGACCAATTTGGGCGTTAAGGGTCTTGTCTCTTAGTGGGTTGTGGCTCCGGGACACTAAGCCGCTTCTCCCCTCCCATTGCCTGGTCGACGATCAGCGCAAACAACCAAAAACATCGGGATCACCGCAATCGCGTGCCTGACACCATTCCCCTATTTTCTACCCCCAGATAACCCGCCCATTTCATTCCACTTTCCTGGCTAGGGATAGCCAAAACCACGTGGGACTGATATTGTCCACCTGCTCGACTTAGTTTGTCCCACGTTAATGAATTGCTGCCCACAATGACCGTCCAGGCGAGGAGCTCCTCCGCGGCCTACAACAAACCGTCGCCCAACAAAACAACACCCTACAAATCCTCACCCTATTCATCACGAACCCATGAATCCGACCTCGAAAAACAACGACTAACTCCACGACCAAACTATTATTATAACCACAGCGACGAAGATGCCTCCAATGAATCAGATTCCAGCAGTGGCCCGGACTACTCTTCAAGACCTTACCCGGCTGCAGCTGGAAGAAGCGCCCGGCGTCCTACTGTGCAGCCCGTGGGCTTCCGTGTACCGCACCGGATAATGCGATGGCTTTGTCTCGGATTATTCGTTTCGCTTATCGTCTTCATCCTAACGCTGTTCCGAGTTACGATCTCGTCCCACGTCTCGAATGTCCCCGTTGAATTGCCGAAGCCCGCCACTCCAAAACCGAAGTGGGAAGATTTTCCATTTCTTTCTCGCTACCATGGTGGATTGACGAGCCTTGTATCCCGAAGCGAGAATATACCCGAATACTCTGGCGACGGACATGAAGATATACTCATACCTGCGGCTGTGGGGGAGAATGAGGGCGAAAATGCGCAAGTCATTGAAGCCAATGTTTTGGATAAACGGGACATGAAACCCGCCATGGATAGCTCTGCGTTCAATCCATACCCAGAGTACAGCTCGGCGGAATATATTCAGAAGTATGGTGAGAAGCATGAGTGCTTCTTAGATAAGGACAACACAGTTCGCATTCCAGCTGTCCAGTCTTTCCCTGGTGTGCCTAAAGGATTCCCGGAGGCTGTCATGGGCTCGAATACTATGATTGGCATTCGCGATGATGTGTGCTTTGACCGCTTCGGACGACTAGGTCCCTATGGTCTTGGATATGGAGTGAAAAAGGGTGGTATTGGAGCTGGTCTCGAAGGTCATCGTGATGGCGCTGAACGTGTTTGGGAAGATGCTCCCCCGGTAGATTTCCGCCATGTTAATTGGGGTGAGGCGCAACAGCGGTGCATCACAGCCAACAGTCATCGCTTCAAGGTAATGCCTAAGCCGCGCTTAGAAAAGTATCTCGCTATGCCAGTGGGTATGTCCGAGCCAGACCACCAAGAACATGAGAATATCAAAAAGGACCAGCCCAATGCAGACTCAGCTCGTCTACCTAGGAATGCTGTCGTCATTCGAACCTGGCACGACTTCAATTATTCCCCCGAGGATATCGTGCACCTTCGATCTATTATTTCGGAGGTCTCTTTGATCTCTGGTGGTGAATACATTGTCCATTTCCTCGTTCATGTAAGGGATCTCAATCTTCAAATTTGGTCCGATGATGAGACCTACGAGCGTGTCCTTCGTGATTCGCTACCCGATGAGTTCCGCGGAATGGCAACTCTTTGGTCAGAGGCACAATTGCCCTTGCTCTACCCAGGCCTAGACCAAAATTCTGTCCAAGGCCAGCCAGTTTACGGAGTCTATCGCAGTACATATATGCCAATGCAATACTTCGCCCACCAACATCCAGAATACGATTACTTTTGGAACTGGGAGATGGACGCTCGATACACTGGTCACTGGTACCATCTTTTCGACAAAGTCAGCGAGTGGGCAAGAGCACAGCCCCGGAAGGGTCTCTGGGAACGCAACGCTCGCTTCTACGTCCCATCGGTCCACGGAAGCTGGGAAGACTTCCGCCAAATGGTCCGCGTAAAGACCGAAAGTGGAACCAGTAGCCCCAATAACGTGTGGAATGTGGTAAAGCCCGACGGCACTGAAAAGACAAAAGACCAATTCGGCATCACTCAGCAAGGCGACAAGTTCGTTTGGGGTCCCGATAGACCTGATGAACGTGACATCTTCGAAGTAGAAGGCGAAGGTATCCCACCCACAACCATGGAAAAAGACCAATACCAATGGGGCGTTGGCGAAGACGCCGACCTAGTCGTCTTCAATCCTCTATTCGATCCAGACAGCACCACCTGGCTTCTCCGCGACGACATGACAGGCTACAACAGAGAAAACGGCAACCCTCCACGCCGCACCGCAATCATAACCGCCTCCCGTCTGTCCCGGAAACTTCTCGATACCATGCATCGCGAAACTGCACTAAAGCGCCACAGCATGTTTTCCGAAATGTGGCCTGCCACCACGGCACTGCACCATGGCTTCAAAGCCGTATACGTGCCCCACTCCGTTTATATCGATCGTCGCTGGCCAACAAAATACCTCGAATCCGTCTTCAACGCTGGCCGAAACGGTGGAGCAGGTGGTGCTCGCACCTCTGTCTTCGGAGATAGAGAACACAATTTCAGAGGAACGACCTGGTTCTACTCTGCTGGCTTTTCACCTAATCTCTGGCGTCGTTGGCTGGGACTTCGCGTCGACAATGATGGCGGTGAACAACAAGAACTAGCCGGTGAAGGTCGCATGTGTCTTCCCCCTATGCTGCTCCATCCCGTGAAAGATGTAGAGTTAGTTATTGATGACGGGGAACATGCGGAGGATCGATAAAGAACTCACACAGTTGCCGTCGTTGGTGCAGCTCATCTGATCTACTCAGATGACAAAGTGCCGTTGCTAGTGCCAGTGCCCACCTCGGTGGTTTCCTTTTTGTTGTTTCCATATACCCACCGTTAGAACGCTTCCCTTTCGAGTTTTCGCTCTTGCCTTGCTTTTCACTTCGTTGCTATGATTTTCCCTATGCATATTATGGAAAGCTGATCCTCGGCTATGACACATACTTATTATTCATGTATAATGTTTTCTTCTTCTTTTGGATACTTTCTAGCGATGTATTGTTACCGTCTGGTCATTATTGTTTTGACAAAAGTGTTCTTTTGTGATTTGGTCCTGATGGAAGGACCATTACTCTTATGATGCATTGCTGAAATGATATCTTCCTGTCCATATTGATCTGTCTACTACTAGTAGTAACCGGATTTCAATTCGATATCCGAATATGTTTAAATGTTCAGGTTTCATGATTCATGTCCTAGTATCCATAACCTTCAAGCTGAAATGCGTATCTTCACATCAGTGATGTCCACCAGCAAGCATAGTCCTCCTTTGCCACTTCAACAAAACCAACGCAAAATCCCAAACCTAAAGTCTGGCCACTTCACATCTACAACCCCAATAACTGTATCCTGATGACATTGCCAAAGCAAAAAAACCACTTGTTCGATAAACAGCAGTTGTACGTATTAACAGATCCACAGGCGGTACCCCGAAACCTGAATCTGAATTAACAGCCATATTCTCAGAAAGGGTCTCCACCGTAATATTCCTCGGAAATCTACGATAACGAACAGTTTCTTTAACAGCGGTAGTCATCTCATCTCTGGACGTATAAGCCACGCAGATATTCAAGATACCACCTTTGTTTTTCCTTGTATTCCTCTCAATCACAAACGCCGCTTGTCGAAGGTTATCACCGAACATCTCTGTACGATCAATAACACGTACTTGGATATCGCTTTTCACCCACACCGAATCTTTTGAAGGGAACGTTAGGAGAGGATCCTCACTCAAATCCATAAGCCCATTAACTTGGTCTTTCGGTCTGTGAAATTTTCAAGGCTAAACGTGTAATGCTACAACCTGTCTTTCGTATTAAAATTTGCAGATTAAAGATCTTCGTATCACAACATGTGTAACAATCTTTTCATATTTACTTTTCTTTCCAGGGCCAATCTCATAAATGTATGATATCATATCCATATACAGGGCATATTCGTAATGCAAAAATTAATTATATACATGCAAGCTTTGAAATTCCATATGCTGAATGCAAAACATCAAACACCAAACCAGAACGAAGATTAACGATAGACTCTTCACAAAAACACAATATTAATTTAAACATCAAACCTTCAAAACACTCGAAACATGCTCCGACCTCGCCCGTTTAGCAGACAAAGCCGACCTGCCCACAAAAGAAGCCGGCTCAAAACAAATTACGCACTCATATGATCCATCCTCAATCCCAAAAGAAAGACAAGTTCGACAAACTCGATGACCACATCTAGTCAATAGAATCTCCACTCCAACCTCCCCACCAACAACACAAGTATGACAGAAATGCGTCGGGAAGGGGATACCGGGCTTTAACATTCTGCGCTCGATTTCCGATGCAAGTTCTTTTCCTTTTTCTACTCTTCCGCGCAGAAGATGGATCTTTGTCTTTAGATTGCTCATTGTGATGGGATTGTAGGGGTTATAGCGTTCGTGGTTTATTCTGGTGTGTTTATGTGGATTTGATCTTGATTTTGATGAAGTAGTGTCGTGCGGAAATGGTTTGTGGAGAGGTGGAACTGGTTCGAGGAAGATGACTGGTCTGAAGCGTTGAGAGACAGGTCTATCTTCCATACACTTGTGTTCGAGTTGCCAGCGTCGGCGGACTTGGCGGTTTAGAAGGATGGTGAACCAGGTTGAGAGAGCTTGACAGGCACGCCATTCGGAGATAGGGTCAAGAGATACATGTGCATGTTGTAGTTGCATTATATTCCCAGATCCAGGCGAGGAGTGTCGATGACCTCGGATATAGATGGTATGAGTGTTTGGTTCAAGGCCGACCCTCAATAGCTCAATTTTTTTTTGGGATGGATCGTGATGACCAAAGATCCAAAAAGTCAAGTTCAATTGCATCTCAATGTTTATTTTATACATCCAGGCCCTGTGGCGTTAACTACAAATTTGAACTTGAAGAAAACTAGTTTCGGCCGAAGGACCAGATAGAGGCTGAAGCTTGCAGTGGGGCTCTCGGCTGATCCGTAGACTTTGATCTAGACTACCCGGGAGACCTGGCCAGGCTCTTGTTTCCATTCGGTAGCGATTGGCCAAGAGAATAGAAAACCCATTTTTTTCTCCTAATGTTTCTTCGCTTGTCGCTTGCTTGATTCGTCGGGTATCGAAGTCTTGAACTTTGAACCTTGGTTCGGACTGGGAGTGAAGAGGTTTTTGACGCCACCCCGTCGGCGCCGCCAGTTTTCCGGCCCCTTTGCTAGCAGTTTATTTTTTTGGAGGAATGTTAATTGGATAGTTCATGGACTCCGGTTAGACGAGGTAAAGGCTTGCATTTGGTGCGAGGTATGTAGAAAGATTTTGTGCCAGTTTCTCTAATGTTAATGAGTGCTTTAATGTTAAAGAAAGCCGTGCTGAGTTACCCAGGTACCTCCGAGTCAGACCGTGAGTAGGTGAATGCCTGATTTTATTGAGCATTAATACTTTGCCGAGCAAAACTCATGGAATATCTGCATGTCTTATGCATGGAAGCTCGTTGAATTCGCAGATGCTGTGTCATTTGTACTTCCAAGTTATCTATCAAGATCATACTCTGTATAGCTTGAACCGCAATGTTCAAGTTATTTATACACATTTATCTTCTATATAACGTTCGGGTGCGCGGGGGTGGAGTTGTGTGGTTCCCTAGTTCTCCCTCGGTCCGAGTCTGCGTGAATCTGTCGAGTCTCTCCCAGCTGACAATGGAGACGCCTTCAAAATTGAAAGTATAATCATATGGTATATCGGCATGATCTTGGACCCGGGGTTGAGGATCTGGAGTATTTGCAGAAGAGACTCTAGCCTGGATCACGTATTCCCCGGCTGCGTGTATCCCATCATATTTCTTGCGTTGAAGCGGTCCCAATAGCAGAGATCTGGCGGACTTTATATCTAAGTTTCCATTGGCCTTCTCTGACACTATTTGAATCTGTGAAGCTGCGCCGCTCGACATAGCTTCAGATAATCGGAAAACGGAGCGATTTATAGACGATGGAGATGAGGAGTCCTCCGTAAAGTATGGCTCCAAGGTTTCCTCACAAATGTACTCCCTGTCATATGCCGAATCTGAAGGGTAGACGGGGCAGAATTTTACTGTCCCAGATCCTCCATGCTCACCAGTGTCTTGTCTAACACATTGGAATGTCCACTTTCCTTGAAGAGCTCTGAAAACAGCCATTGCGGCAGCGGCAGCCTGGAGACTGATATCACCCAGAAAAGCCTCCAAAGCGTTCAGAGTATCTGTTGTCTGCTCCTTCATATCGGTTTGTTGCGTAGAGGAAATTTCATTGTAAGGATATCGCGAAGGGACCACGGGCCCGCTCCGGCTTTCATCATTTGACAGCACTGTACGAGTGATCTCCAGATCTCTAGCGAAGGCCTCCATAAGACCCACGTAGTCACCCATGGGAAATTGACTGCGACGAGGATTGGAAGCGGGATCCCTGAGAATTCGCATGCCTTCCACCTGCTCTGTCGATTTCGAGATCTCAGTGCTCCGCTTAGCCCATTCCATGCCCAGAAACCTAGCTTGCATTTCCATCACTCCCCAATATGGGCCACGATAAAATCCGACAAAGCCGATGTCTGGAACTTCCGAACGTATTGTACCTCCCTTGTCCAAGACAAGTGGTAAGAATGGATCATCAGTGTTATATTCCAGTATAGATCGAACCTCTTCAGGCAGAAAAGATAGTGCTTCAAATGGAGTAAATCCCGTGGCCATCACGACAGCTGCTATATTTTCCAAGGTCATCGTTTCCCCATTTTCTATGGCAATATTGATGTTATATAGTCCCGTGTCAGGGTCGGCATGTGCAGATACTGCACGACCCATTGTGGGCTCTATCTTGCCAGATCGGACAAATTCTGCGTAGTCGTTTCCGATAGCTACCCACGGAGGTCGAGAGCGGCTGTTCTGACTCGCGCTTGAGTCGCATAGTTGTCCAACCGACTTATAATTAGCACCAAGTAGAGAACTGAAGTACTCGTTGGTTTTCGCGGCTTTCTCCTCCGGAATGAGACCTAGCCCATACTCCACTGATCCTGCTGGCCGGCGGCCCAAATCATACATCACCAAGTCCAATGGTAAGAAAGAAACTGTACCATCAGATGATTCATGGGGAAGATATGTCGGTAAGCTCCAGAAAGGGCGGGTGTAGATGTGATGCACTTGTAGGCTTCCGATGGAGTGAGCTGTTTTGTCTTTGCTAAAATATGAGGATTGGTGAAGCGCCACAGTAGAAGCAGCTTCAGCTCCGGAGATACTTCCCCCGATAATAGCAACATTTCCTCGAGTCAAGAGGGATTTTTTGTCTTGAAGGATCTCATGTGTTGTTTGGATCTCGGAGCTGTGGAAAACGCCCCCAGCGCCAGAATTGTGGTGCAGTCCTGGAGCCTCAGGGATATTAGGACGAGCAAAGTATCCAGATGCAACAACTAGCAGGTCAAATTCCTCGACTTCTGGAATGTTTTCCTTTGAAGGAGTTCCTTCTGCTATCTGACCAGACCTAGATTATAATGTTATTCTTGTTTTGACTTGAAACATATAGACACAGATAAAACAAACCTCTCCTTTTCCCAAGATATTTCCCACCGGGCCGTATGGCCATCCTTAGTTTTGCGTACAGTCTTCAAGACACGGCATCCGAGCCTCACCACATCATCCGGAATGTAGCGCTTTCGATATGCCCTAAGATATTGACACACCTGTCTTGCTTGGGGAAACATGGGTACGTTAGGAGTCTCCAAGACTGATTCCCATGAGAGATCAGAGAAAGCTACAGTAAACCTGCTAAGATTCGTCCGCATAGAGGGGTCCAGGCTTCCTGGTGCATTCTTGGTACCCCAACTCCTATTGCCAGGCTGAGGGCTTGACCAGAGACCGCCGACTTCATAGCGACTGTCAAATATCACTGGGGAAAAAGTTCCAGATGGGAAGTTGTGGAGGAGGGTCTTCGCTGTGACAAGACCAGAAGGTCCAGCGCCTGGTGTAACCAAATATGAGTGAGCTGCCAGTGTTATACAACTTCTCTAATATAGTACTTACCTATTATAGCCACTTTCTTAGGTGGCATTTCTGTATCAGTATATATATAAATTCTTTCCTATCATTTGAAAAGAGGGCACACGTCCTTGAGTAGGATGTAGTTGATTTACTGTTCCTCTTGCCAAGTTCCCAGCAACCCCACCGCGGGGAAAGCCTTGGACATGCCCCACTATTGCTGTCAGAAAATCTACATTGAGCTTGAGCTTAAGCATTAAGTGAGTAAATCTCAGTAGTATATTCTTTTAGTATCGAATATTTGAAGCTATGGATATATTGGTATCATTATTTGCAAGTCAACTCAGCTATTATGAGGTCGTATTCCAGGCGATGCATCCAACAATTATGCCCGGACGATCCTTCAATTTATTAATTTGTCAAGGATGTCTTGAAGTACCGTTACTTCAAACGGATTTAGAAGCGAAAGGATTTCAGAAGTGTCGATCAGCGAAGGATTCGAAAGGTGCAAATATCAGCTTCGTAGAATTAGCCCCATGCACAAAAATAGTCACTCTGTTCGTCACGATAAAACTCACCCAGGATAGCACCATTATTTTCGGTTCCATATCGGTTCCATGAAACGTCAAGTCCCATTTCACCCAAATTTAATCTAAGCAATAGGCTCGAGTGCGTCTCGGCATACTTAGATAGTCGAACCGTCATGCCCAGTGACGGCGATGCCAAGAGCCAAAACTCCGGGCTTGCCACGGGGCCAAGAGAAAACTTTCCCCGTTTCTTAGCTTTTTTCCTAATTTGTACGCTGCTCTTTGGCCTCCACGTGTGATTCGAAAAAGAAAGAACGGGAAAAGAAGAAAAAACCCAGGAATAAAGTACCGGATTGAGTTATGCCAGTTGGAGGTACCGATCGTGCAGTGCAGGTGTGCGGGGTCGGTCGCTGATCGCGAAAAGTCGAGAAAAAGCCTAGTCGAAGTATGTCGAGCCAAGCGTGGAGTCGGGAAGATGTAAGTGACCGAATCAAGAAACATGTTCAAGCCATTCTGCGACTTGGATTTCTGGCGTTCGTTGATTGGGTCGGCATGCGTCGTTGACTTGTTGCTCCTCGACGAAGGTATTTATATTACGCCGTGTTAAGGGGATCTTATATTGGTTCTTTTTGCGCAGGAGTTCTTTCTCGGCCATCCCGGATGGTGATAATTTATGAAGAGTATCTCGGATTCGTCGGATGCCGCCGTTTGGAAATGAACGAGGGACTTGTGGTGGTCCGAATGGAGTGTCGACTTTCCATGCTTCTTCGGATGTAATGGAAGGGGAGTGCTTTGGGGTTGTGCGGTGATTCGACATTTCGAAACGACCGTAGCAATCTGAATTTAAAAAAGGACTCCTGGTAGTTATGTGGGTGTCCGTAAAATTTTATAGCGCTTTTGATCAGGACTTCAAAATGTCTGATGGATACGGGCGAACGGTTTGTTAAGTATGCCCGGATGGGGACAGTGATTGGGGCTCTCGCTGATCCCACTCTGATTATATCTCCGCGGGCTGCACGGGGGGGGCTTGCTGTCTTATTGGGCGTGTGGAGGTTGACCCCTGTAGTTTAAGGTGCAGTAGTTTGTCGCTAGGGCCTCTCACAGAAGGCAGCTGTGCCGGGAGGGGTATGCACCTTGCAATGGAAGGCGAAAGGATTGGAAGGCTTCTCAATGGATGATGCTCACATAGTGGAAGTGACTTCCACTTCCATTTCCATTTCGACCAGCGAAACGTGGGAGAATATTCATTTCTCTCTGGGTCTTATCAAGCCAGTTACGTCATCTCGGCAGCGAGATGCCGATCAAATCATGGCGATTATTGGGATTATTGAGTGGAGACCGGGGATCCATGTATACGAAGGATGAGCGGGCAAATGAAAAGATATTTTTGATTTTCATCTTTTTGTCCACGAATTGGGCACAGAATATGGAGAGAAGTGAGTTGGTTTAGTCAATTGTATGTATACAAGAATCTATATGGTACCCAAGACCCAATATCGATCGGGTTATTGCGGTCGTCGATCAAATTGCGAGATCATGTATGTTGGGTTTCATCCGGGACCAAGCATGTCTTAATTGGCCCCTTCATCTGGTAAAAGTGGAAGGTTTGCCCGGGCGCAAGTCAAATATAGATCATGTTCAAGATTTCCATAAAAAGCTATAAATGAATAAAGATACAACCAACTTAGCTACTTTACACCCCCAGAATTTTTATCCTGCTTTAAGTCTTCTTATACGTAATATGTAGTACATGAGTCGCCCCTGGCACGCTCGTCTTGTCTGTTTTGGGTTCACCGCAATAGATTTACAAGATCATCCTGCACGACTCCCCACACATCCACATCATCCCTGAGTTGGCCTCAAACCCCGTGGGGCAAGCTACGGCATTGCGCTGGCATGCTAAGCTCTACTATGGATCGACTTTAATATCCGTCCGGAAAGTCAAACCAAAAGATATCATCATCAAATTGTTGATATACTATGAATGACCTCATGGATAGAGCGAGACCGCCTTTGTTGGATTGATGGAAGTCACTATCAATTAGGATCCTATATTCTTCCTCACATTCCCAGCTTCCAGAGGGAATGTCTGTTCTTCCTCTCCGACATCCTTGAAAACTGTATCCCAGCGCGGCTGTAGCGGCTCAGGCGTCTTCCAAGCATTTTCAGGGTCCCGCAACCAGATACGCAAAAGATGCCGCCTAATAAGATTATTAGTTTGTTTCGAAAGCAAATCCCAATTCATAAGAATACGAACTCTTTCCCTGGTCCGTCAATAAATCCATTTCGTGCATGGAAGATGCTTAGATTATTCACATATTGGATATCTCCCTTCTGGAAATCCAAGGTAGCACGATGTTTTTCCGCAAGGAAATGCAGCGTATCTAATGCCTCTGCTTGGGCCTCAGTAATAGGAGGAATATCAGCCGATCGGGGTTGGGCAAGAAATCCCGTGAAGTACCTCCGAGCGTATTGGATCAGCACACGTTCAGGGGTACTTTCGGTGGCGGCTTGATGATATAGTAAGGGACGAAGAGTGTATGGCCTTTTTGCGTTGCCAAATCTACGATTGGTCAGTATCTTAGGTAAAAGGTTTCACTCAAATGTAGGAAAACGTACCCATCTACCGGCCAGTCTTGGGATAGCGTGTGGATCAGATCAGGGCGCTCTTGCGCGAGAATATTGTACACATTCCAACTACTAGATAGATAACTTTCGCCTCCTTCTGCAGCGGAATTCAGGCAGAGAAGAGAGATGATGTCGCCCGCATCTGTGTGAAAAACTTGTTTGTCTGGAGTGTTTGATGGGGCACCGATCTTGCCTTTCTCAGTAATATTGGTGATGTCTTTAATATGAGAGATCACAGGCGATGTTCCACTTTGCTCTCTCGTGTCTTGTTGACGACCGCGAATGCTGCCAATGTGAGACGAAATGCCGGTATAGATTATGACGTTCTCTTCTGGAGAATAGTTATCAATTCGTAGTCCGCGAACAACGAAAAAACCCCGACCACGGTGGAGTTCCTTGGAAAGGTCTCTTAAGGTCGAATGAAGATTTGGAAGCGGAAAGGTAGACTGGTTGATATAACCTAAGGGCTTGTTGAGAGCTACATTTATTAGTCTCGAAAAATCTTATCAATGTTGTCACTGGACGAACCTTTGAAGCTTTTCAGAGCAGCGTCAATCTCATCAAGTTGAGCATCGGTGAGTTTGAAAATCCAGTCACTGCGCTTCTCAATATCTTTCCCTTCCCATACAAGTGGCGAGACTAGCTTCTGGGGAAATCCTGCTGGTAAAGTTGTCTGGAGCGACTCGGTTTCCTTGCGTCGTTGCGAACGAGCTTGATACTTCGCCCAGTCGGGATGATATTCGATATCAGGCTGGGTAGGTTTAGTGATGGTTTCGGTTGCTGACATGATGATTGCAAGTCAATTTCCTAGTAGCTACAAGAAGAATTTCTAAGCTTATCTTCACAGTTTGGGGGCAGATGCTCATATATAAGAATTGTTAATCGGAATCAATATGTGAAAGCGGGGTTCAGTGTTCCCGTACACCGTCACGTAACATTCGCGATTGATGACGTGGTTTGGGATTATTTACTCTTTAATAGTGGATAATTTATATCTCCTTCCAATATGGTCATTAATGAAATAAGCTTACTCACATGAAACTTCAGGTTATGTCCGATATTGAGAGTTCGAAAGTTTGTACATTGACAGCCAAGTCGCAATATTTGGAGATGCTGAGGACATTGGAATTCACTAATAGTTAAATGTCAGATAAAGTGAATAATGACTTACAATTCTCCACTATTTTTCTCAAGAATACGCCAAACCAGCCCAGATAGCTATTTTCGTAATTATAGTGCCGGTGGCGAGCTCGAAGACCCATACACTACCCCGCTGTTCGGCGACGAGCTGATAAGTATTATCGCTGAACTACCAACCACCATTTGGACGTTAATAATATTTGAGTTAAATCAGTCGCTGAGTAATTAGATATGTATATTAATATTCATGATCTAGTTCTTAGAGGTTTGTAAACTTCAAGCTCCCAAGGATTTCATTGCTTTCTCAGCTGTTGATCTCCAAGAAGCCACCCGATCTTTGGCTTGTCCTCTAGGACATACCTCGACGATCGCACGAATATGATTCACTGCGGTCTGCATATCCTGTTGACGTGGACTAAGCTGTGTTTCCTCAAGAATCCTCTCAAGGCCCTTCTCTCGACATATTTCCTCAAAGATACTCTCCATGCGTGCCTGCTCGGCTTTGTCCTCTGAGGTTGTTTTGTAATTCCACAGGAATGCACGCGGTGGATTCCATCGAGGTGCAGGAACGACACCACTAAATTCCCAGTCCAGAATCGCTGTAATAGGGCAATCGGGATGTTCGGGATCACACATAATATTAGCGAAGTGCATATCTTTGTGAGCCATAACGTAGGTGACCTGATTCAGTTCCTTAGCGTTTTCTGGCTTCTGAAGAAGATCAATAAATTGGATTATGCGTGGAAGAAGATCCCAATATGGCTTAAGAGAAGGATGTATCTCAATCGCACGAATGTAGCATTTTAGACTGGCCACTATGAATGAAACATAATCCAGGTATCCATGGAGGGCAAGTGGGTTAAGAGTCTCAAGAGTCTCGCCCTCACTTGATCCATTCCAGTATTTGTCTATATCGGGAGTCTGCCAGAAATTCTCTTCGATCGGGGGACCTTGTACGAGTTCCTCATTGCTGAGAACCAGGCCACCCACAAATCCGTCTTTCCACGGTTGTGAATGTAGCTCAGCGAGATAGTTAACAAGCTGGTGGACCATTTTGGTACGCATTTCTTCAGACAGAGTATGGTAGACTTGATCGACACTCACGCCGGGCGCTTTTTCGAGGAGGCTGAACTCATGCTTAATGATGTTTTTCTCACTAGAATCGTAGCGGATGATATTCGGAACGGGAATGTGGGTATTCCGGCGCACCCAGGTCATTGCACCGACTTCATTTTGGGTTTTTATACGTGGCAACTGACGACCAGATACGCGAAGAACCAGTGTTACTGTCCCGTCATGATTTGGACGAGCAGCAATTTTTGATGCGGCGGTGGTTTGGAAGTGAATCAGATAGATTGAGTGGAAGGCCGCAGAAACTTTCAAAGGCTCAACGGACACGGGATGAGGAAGGTCCAGGGATAGTATGAGCTGTGTGATCAGACCAGCGCTCAGGGTCGGGGGAAGGTAACTATCGCTAGCACTCATTATGCCATTCTTGTTGAAATCACTGACACTGTAAAGCGTTCTACTAGGCAGAGGATTAGTGCGGGGTAACCAATTTTATCATACTAAATTGCATGTGAATTCGCTGAGTGCGCTTATAGCACAGCAGAGAGCATACACTGGTAGCCAGGAATTGAAACCGCTGAGAATTCAAAACTATATGTGTAAGCACTCGGCTAAGATATCTTCCTGTTCTTATTATTCATTGAGATCTCCAGACGAATTGAGATTTGAATATGATGGGTCTAAGCTTATTTACACCTCAATCTCCCTGCCCAGCTCATATGTGATCATTGGAGATGCAAATCTGCAAAATGCAAGATCCGCTTCCACATATCAATGATATGCATCCTCTCAGTGAAGATATGGCCCTCGCGAGGGTAGGAAACCATCGTGACTGGCACATTGTTATGTATACATGCTCTATAGAAAGCAACTCCCTGGAAGAAGGGCACACGTATGTCAGCCTCCCCATGAAAGATCAATACTGGGGTCTTAACGTTTCGCATATGCCAAAGAGCACTGCCATGTCCGCCTGTTGTCCTTTTAAGCCATTTCTTTGATCCATCCGGAAGCGGTTTGTCGAAATCTTCTCCATCCATCAGTTCTTGCCCATTCTTGGCGTCAACGTCCCATGGAGCACCCCCCGCTAGATCTCTCTCAAACCAATATGCATCGCTACTCATGGCCATTGAGTCCCAGTCAGAGACACCAGCACCGCAGATAGCCCCTCGAAACTGGAAATCGGGGCGTGTTATGGCAAGATATGATAAGAACCCGCCCTGAGACCAACCTCCTACTAAAACGCGGGAGGAATCAATAAGGCCTTGTTGAATGGTTTTCTTCAGCACAGTTATACAATCTGCGTAGTCAAAGACACCCATCTTGCCGCGAGCAAATTCAGCATGCTTTTGACCCCGTCCACTGCTTCCACGGTAGTTAGGACACAGGACGGCGTATCCGGCAGATACTAGAAGCGGAACCTCATAATGCATATGAACTGAGAAGCTATCTGTCAGTCTGAAGTAAGGACCTCCATGGATATAAAGAACAGTGGGAAGTGGACCATCACTCTCTTTGTATTTAGAGGGAAGGAACAATACACCATCCACGTGATAACGGTCAGGAGCAACTGCCATGACCGGACGGGCCTTCGAAATATTAAGGCTTGCGAGCGAGGTGTTGTGATTCGACAATCTGACCAGATCTGCCGAACCTGTATCCACAGAGAAGACTTCATCTGGATTGGAGCTGTTGCTTTTTATGAAGGCAATCTGAGTCTTCCCATGACTCTTAGTGACATCAAACTCCGATATCCCTTGCCTCGCACGGTAGACTTCTGTTAGATCATCATTATCAAGCGAGTAAAGTACATCCTCGAGCGAACACTGTGCTGAAACCGCCAGATGGGATTGACTTTTCAGAAGTTTGGCGCAGCAGTCGATTACTCCAAAGTTCCCAAAGCTGCTCCAGGAGCGTTTTTCCAAAGAAAGCTTGTAAAGTTTATTAGACGTAGCGCACGATTGCGGCATCACTGCAGCAAGAAAGTAGATTCCACGCTCCTCCCACTCAAGATTCACAAGAGAACCAGGAAAGTCCGCTATCTTGTCTGAGGTTTTCTTGATGATATTGAAAACATGAATTTTGGCACCGTTGAGCATTGGGGAATGAATCTCAGGGGTACCATGATCAACATATACCAGTTGCTTGCCGTCAGGGCTCCAAGAAAAGTCCGTGATATGTTGTTCGCCACCGACAATTGTCTCAAGAGTTCTGGTTGATAAATGAACCAGTCGAAGACGTCGAAATTTCCAATCCTCACCCCAAACTTTGGCATCGTCTTTCTCCTTCTCTTTGCGCGTTTCTTCGTCGGTTTTCTCGTCTGCGCGGGTAAACGCAATAGAATTGCCATTCGGACTCCACTCAAACTTGGCTATGTGGATCTCATGCTCAATTGAAGTGATTGCGAATGCCTCCCCTCCAGAAAGCGGCATGATGTAGATTGCGGAGCTTTTTCCAGCTTTGGCGCGATCGGATTTGAATGCAATAGTCGCCCCATCTGGCGACCATTTTGGATCCTCATCATTGAACAGGCCAGAAGTAAATTGGCGGGCGCTGTTTTCTTTCCCAATCTCTGCGATCCACAGCGTAGACGTGGTTACTTCGCTCTTGTGAGTGAATGGTCGTAACGAGTAGACAACACGGGTACCGTCTGGGGAGATACGCAGATCCCGCGGCACTGCGATATCGGCGAGGGTATCGAGATCAAGGTTTATTTTATGTTCCATTTTCACTTTTTTTGCTAAGGTTGAGATGGACTTGTTTTGGTAAATAGATATGTGAAAATGAGAATACCATTTTGAAAGATGGGGGGCTGAAGCGAACGGAGACTAAATGATCTGTCCACTGGTACCTAATGCATAGTAATGCACGAGCCCCTTACCTATCAGCACCAATATACAGGCTATTGTGCAAGGTACAATCTGGCTCATTATAAAATTGTATATCTAGCTAAAGCTCGATGATATCATTCATATTTCTCCATTAGAAATTAAAAGCAAGGCATTTTCAAAGGAAAAGGAAAAGGAGCGAGCGACATTGGACTGAAAGGTGATCATCAAATAAAATGTAAGCACTGACATCCAGCTTCATGTGTTTGAACAAACAACTACAAACTCTGGTCTTATGATATAATGCTCTACTTCTAGATCAAGTAAAAGCACTAAATATTACTAGACTCAAAATACTGTGTCTAGCAAAGGAGGTTTAAGAAATCATCATAGTATTTGAGTATTTCGTCGAAATTTGACATTGACACTCACATTCAGTGATTTGTCTGTGAGTGTGCCTATATTAAAAAAACCTTTTCGTACATTGTACACCGAGAACCGTAAGACCTTTGAGTATAACAAAAAATCCATCGTTTTGAGCTAACATTGATATGATGCTCGACTCAGTGCATATTTAAGCGTAATCCACATTCTCAACATTCACAGTTCCAGGCTTCTCGTGAGTCTGGTGAGAAATATTGGCAATCTTCTGGTTTGCCAGAACCTCTTCACCCTGTCTGACGTGGTTCTCTCCGCCAAACAAAGCATCAATCTCCTCAAGAGGAACCTTCTTCGTCTCTGGGACCCAGAAGAAGACAAAGATGCCCAAAAAGAAGTTGATACCAGCAAACAGATAGAAGGCATAGAACCCGTCATTGTCAAGGAAGATGGGGAAGAATTGTTGGAAGATGGTATTGGCGACATTTTGTGTCTGCGAAGCCATGCCGACAGCTTGAGCGCGAACGTTCATGGAGAAGACTTCGGATGTCCAAATCCAAACAGTTGCACCCCACGATGGTTTGTCTGTGAAAATATTAGTGACTGGGGCTTTCAGGATGACTCTTTGCAATCAAAAACTTACAGAACAAAATAAATAGGAAGAGCAGGAATACAATCGAAATGCCGACGGGCTCAGACTTCGCACCACCAGCAATATCTGGTGTCTGTGTTTCAACCGAAGCGACAATAATCATGCAGATACCCATTCCAATGGCACCACCGATGAGAAGAGCCTTACGGCCAAATCTATCAATAAACCAAATGGCATTCAATGTGAAAATGATACCAAAGGTGGCGTTGAGGGCGTTGATAAGAGAAATTTGACTTTCTTGGGTGAACACTTTCTGGTAAATCTTGGTCGAATAGGTGTTCAGTGAGCCCTGTCCAGTAAGCTGTTGACCTGCGTTCATGACCAATGCAAGATACATGCGCTTGCGAAGAGATTTATCTTTCCAAAGAGCACTGTAACCACTTGAAATGGCTTCTTTCTCGTATTCCAGAGCTTCGCGAATTTGCAAAACCTCTTCCTCGACCTCCTCTTCAGTATCTCGCACCCGGCGAAGGGCTGCACGGGCTTTCTCGACGTCGCCATTGCGTTGGATATACCTATACACACAGTGTATTAGTATTGGTTTCTTATAATTATGCCACTGCTTGTCAATCGCAATATGAAAGACTTGGTAGCTCACCAACGAGGACTTCCAGGAATGATTGGAAGAAGACCCAGGATAATAACAGGGACCAAGAGTTGGAAGATGATGACCAACTTCCAATCCCAATCTCCAAGTTGAGGCGCTCTGGTAGTAGCGTAGTTAATCCAAAAGCAAATGAAAGATCCTACAGAGTAGAACATTTGCCAGAAGGTCATGATCTTTCCTCGAATCTCTGGTGGTGCCAGTTCACCGATATAAATGGGACCCGCGGCTGTGGTCATGCCCAGTCAGCTTTGCATTGATAAAAAACGACTGAAACAATAGACAGGTCTCGCGACTTACTCAAAGCAATACCCTGACCGATACCAATGAGAGCACGTCCACCAATGAAGCATCCGATGTTACCACGTGGAGCAAATGTCTGCATGAATGTAGCAACGATGACAAAACAACATCCAATGGCCATTCCAACTTTGCGGCCTAAGTAATCGGCGATGGGGCCACCGAAGAAGAAACCACCACAAATAGCGCCGACTGTGTACGCGGTATTGATTGAGCCAAGCACACTATTATTAGGGGTGTTGAAATAGGCCACCCAATTTGCGGAGCCCTGGACAGAGTTGAAGACAGATGCATCATATCCGTACAACACCATGCAAGACGCTGCAACCAATGAAATAAACCTATCATTTCAAATTCAAGTCAGATTTTATCGCAAGAGGGACTAGTTAGAAATTTGGTAGTTGGGAGAACCAGCGTACCAGTTGTAGGCTCGCTTAGAGCTCATTCCAAGAACCATCTTGGCGATATGAAGCAGCAGTTGCTTCAAGTGTTATTAAACAAGTGGAATAGGCAGGGCACAAAATCTTGTGGATGTCGCCACCAGCTTCGGAATAGAACTGAATAGGTAATAGTTCAAGGCTAGGCGCGCAGGATTGCCGAGGGCCTAGGGAACAAAAAATCAAAGAGAAAAACCTCAAGCTTGGAACTTGAACCCACAGCTTGCTGAGGAGGAGAGAAACACCAGAAAGTGCGGAGTTCCCCAGATATATAATGTTTCACACAATATTCCTGGGGAAACGAGAGCTGCTCGTGGTTATGCCAAACCAGTCACGGCTCCAATCAAACCACGCGTTAGAACGACGCCTCCGGCTGACGCTAAACGAGACTTGCATTTTGATAACAGAAGCCCTGTCAACGCCGATCGCTGAGTGGTGGGGTATTAAAAAATGGGCCACACATGGCACGAGAGCTTATGCGCCTTGGTGACCGCTCATTGGGTTTGGACTCTTTGGCGTGTCTAGAGCAGACCTGGGGTAACCGTGATCTGGGGTTCGAGGATATTTTGTCCCGCGGGAAGCTATAGTTACCATTTCCACGAATCAGAGCGCGGGTGAGCCGGAATCTGGGAGAAAGTCGACTCCACCAATCGCGGGGTGGAAATTTAGATAGGATTGAATTAGATGAATGAAAAAGGACCTCGTGGTATTCTTGGCAACAGTGGAGAATGTTCAGTTCGTGGTATAATTAAGCGAACGCTCATGCTTTCAAACTTACATTCGTGAGCTTTTGGGTCCGGGGAAGCGGATCCCTTTGTACGATGCGATCAGGTGTCCACTGGTCTTTATCCACTCTTGAGTTTGAACCTTTACAGTTCCAGCTCCACTTGGTGTCAAAGTTCGCTTTGATATGGGAGTTCCTCGAATTTGAGAAGTATTGGTTTGAGGTTGAACACCAACAACCTGAATGTATTCATCCGAGTCGAGTCGTAGGTAGTTCTGTAAAGATAGATAACCCTCCCTACATAAGTTCGCTATGAATTACACCAATAATAGTCCACGTAATATGTAAACATCCACTTGGTCGTTTTCACGGAAATTTACCGTCAAATGGTGTGTGATCAATTGTAAACTGCTTCAAGTTGTGGAAAACTTGAAAAGCAGGGGACATACCCAGTAGTAGTAGTAGTAGTACATAGTAGTAGTAGGTATATGGAGATCAAATTGCAACTTTAAGCGGCCCAGTAGACTGCAGGGGCATCTACATCGCCACTTGAATTATATTTAATTTTGTAACTGGAGATATTATACACAAATACATTCCATAGTTGTAGAATGCATTTTTTGGAACAGTCATCGCCTCAAGATATCAAACGAACTTCTGTTCTAGGTCAGTTCTAATGCTTCAATCCGGAGAAACTCAATATATTTAATATATACGACCATATTGCCTTTATATAGAGCCCATATTTAATTAAGAGAGATAGAGGTGATAAGTTAAAAAATTAGAGATACAGGTAACAAAAATTACACAACACTTCATCCCATATATCCTTTTTATACTTCCATGCGAGGCTGTCACGTGTTCTCGCGCCCCTCCACGCGGTCCCACGCGGCATCAGAAAAAAAAGCTCCAAGCTTCATCTCACTTGCATTTACATCTTGTTTTTTGGTGACAAGAAGGACTGGCCTTTCAGGCTGCCATTCTCTATAAAAATCCATCTCCGGTCCCAGCCTTATTTCCCATTATCTTCCCTCATCCAAGATGCCTCGCAAAGCTAAAGGCTCAAGGGTTAAGAAGCAGACGCGACTTGCCTTCAACCCCGCCGCGACAGAACCAACTACCAATGGCAGCGGAGATGATGGCGAACGCTACAGGACCCTCGGGTACGGACATCCAAGTCTAGCTTCTGTACGCACGGAAAAGTCACGTCCCGGAAAGCTCTCAGTAGAGATAAGATCCTCGAAACGATCCAAAAAAGAATCTTCGCCAGACGACATCTCAAGCAGCCTCAAACAAAATACGTGTATGTGTCTGACCTTTTCTTCAGAATATTCTTTTTCAAGACCTAACTTGTGCAAGTGGAACCTACCCCACAGACACAGAGCGATACCTCCGATGACGAAATAGTTCCCCCAAGCTCTCAGAAGAGAAAGAGACAAACCCCCATTATGAGTCCACCCAATGCAGAAAGACCCAGCACGAGGAGGAAGGCCCGGAGACGCGAACCCTCTCCGGTTGAGTCGGATGAACAAACAGAAGTGACACCGCGGCCCCGTCGCAATTTGAAACGAAAGGCGGAGAGCCCACAAGTCATTTCGCTCGACTCCGAGGATTCTGAAGAAGATCCTGTTTTATCTTCGGCGGTTAAGAGAAGAAGGGTAGTGGTGGGTTCAGAGTCGCTTAAGACGCCTCGCGCCGGTGCCGGGCAGGATGAACTTGACATTGAGGAAGATGTAAGAGATCTTCAGGACTCAGGTATGTATTTAAAACTATCCCCCAGTAGATCTGTGATATCATTTACTAACTACTGGGGTTTCTCTTATACAGTCGTTAAAAATACGAGAACGAGAGGCCGACTTCCCGGATCCGCACGAGATAAGCGATTCAAGACTTTGGAGGCTATGCGGCGCAAGCGTCTTGGGTTAAAACCAGAAAGCGAAGAAGAGGAAGGGGAAGAGGAAGAGCAAGAGCAAGATGAGATAGGCGGTGGTAGCGGTCAAGAGGATGAAGATGAGAGCCCAAGTAAGCAAGGGTTTCATTGGCAAGTTGATGAGGGTGAAAGCGAGGAGGAACAAGTCAATCCAAGCAACGAAGATCTCGATCGCTACGAAGATGACTTTGTTCTTGATGATGATAACGTGCCATTGGGGGTTCCTGCTGAAATCCCATTCGAATTCACACGACACGCCTACAAGAAGCCTAAAGACTACTTCCGAGACGTGGTTGGGTGGATGGTGCATAATCGGCTTGATCCCGCGTTTCCACGCACAGATCCCATGTACGAAATGGCATTTATGAAGTTAGAAGATGAGGTCAAGGGTCGCGCAGGCTCTCAATTGATCTCATCTGTTTGGAACCGTGATTTCCACTATGCGCTGCTAGCACGGCCACATATGGAGATCACCTCTTACCCGACTATTGATTGTCATTCATGTGATGCCTGTAATCGATCTGGGCACCCTGCATCATCTGATATGAAACTATATGGCAAGCCCTACTCGTTACAAACGCTTGAACCGCTCTGCGATAGTGAAGAGGACCAGTCTCGTCAAACCAGTACATGGGATGAGGATGAGAGCAACGAAACTGACGCGGGTGTTGAGCGTGATCGAGATGGACATGCTTTACCAGATGAGCATAAGCGATTTCTTCTAGGACGGTAAGTTTGAACGACGCTTGGGTAGGATATAGTTCAATCCGAATACGCTCTAACTTGGATCTTTACAGACAATGCAAGCATAAAGCACAGTTAGCACATACACTTACCCATTGGAGATTTCATCTCTATGAATGGGTGGTCGGTTATCTTGAACGCAAGGGCCACATGGCCGATGACGAGATTCTACGCCGCAGTAACATGAGTCAAAAGCGAAAGACTCGAAATGCGATCAAAGTTCTTGAGTCCATGATTGAAGCTGGTGAAGTTGAGAAACTCTGGCGCGACTTCCATACGAATCTGAAGACTGCTCGTGGAGAAAGGTATGTTTTTGTCCCATTCTGCTATTGAAGAATATATCTAATTCTGCCCAGTCACTAGTCTACACTAGGGTGATTGGTATATTGAGCGTTCGCATTCTCTGTCTTTCAAATGATGTGCATCATCATGCATTTGTCCTTACTCCATACTCTATGATACCCCCTTTCCATGAAAATATCAGTGAAGCATCCCAGCAAGTCAGCATTCTCTGGCCTAGCATGAAATGGGTTGAACGAATCAACGAACAGAAATGATTTTACAATTTGCCTCATCCATGGTAAACAATTAGACCAAACAAATATAGGTGCAAAGTGTTAGATAGAGGTCATAGAGGCTTATGGGCTCACTACTATGAGCATAGCATGCTTCATTTCCAACATCCATTTTCATAAATCTAGGCCAAGCAGTCACCAATAATAAGAAAAGGAATATACAAATGGTAAAAAGTATAAGGACATCAAGGGTAAAGGAGAAATGGTGATTGTTGTACAAATACATGCATGCATGAGCTGTCGGAGCCAAGATTCTGTAAGAAGACATCAAGGAAGCGAAAAAAAAAAGAAATAGGAACACAATCGGGACTGTCCTGAGACCAAACAACCCGAACAGCATCATGGCAATGTCTCAAGTTTTTATAATCAAGGGCCTGATCGACCGAGCCGATGGCGGTCATCCAATATCTAAACTGGATCCAGACCGATCCGTTTCCGCCATTCAAGTCGCCTTCAAGCGGTCGGAAAATCGAGGTTCACGGTGCCAGTATCAACCCCGTTAAATTCTGGGATGGTATTAATTTACAGAGTTTGTTGAGCCTGTTGCTGCTGCTCGGGCTCAGAGCCGGGGGTGAGCATCTGTCAAGGCGGAAAGCGTCAGTAAGTGGATCGAAAAAATGAGTGAGTTGAGAAGACGCCGCGATGTAATTATCAAATATTTAGGATCGACGAATGGCGTCAAGGGCGGAGAAGCGCCTATTGATAATCGTGGACATGGGGAGGGCAATCATGTGGAGTTCTGGGATTTTTCATACCTCGTTGGCACCCTTGATCATACCCTGCTCACGCTCCATCTGGATGTACTGCTCCTCCTCGGCGTAGGCAAGAGCCCAAGGAACACCGATCAGGAAAGCACTAGTACTGATGATCCAGAGGGCCCTTCCGCTGAATGACAGACTAGCCTTGCCGAAGGATGTGAGGGTAGAGACAGAGCTGGTGATGGTGTGACGCGCGGAAGGAGGGAGGATGTCTTTCAAGGCAGAGATACGGTCGGCGAGGGTCTCCTCATCGGCCTCATCATCTGAAGCTTCCGAGATTTCAGACTCTAAAATAAAGAAAAGATGATGTTAGAAAACGTAGTGTATTGATGGGTGTTTGACGATTTTTGATCATGGGATGATGATGTCGAGTTCAGGTTCGGGAACTCGCGATCGGATTGCCGGTAATGGGATTGTATCGGGGAAGAGCATATTCAGGGATGATGATAGATGTATTCGATCGTGATGACGGAGGAACATTGCGGCTGCGCGATGCGACTCGCATGACCGGTGGCAGATTCAATAAGGGAAGCGTGTCGTCAAGAACTTACCGGTGTCGGTGTAGTCTTCCTCGTCATCGGAAACGAGCAGAGCATCGTGCTTGCTGGGGACGGGCTTCTCGACGAAGTGCTCGTCTTCGACCTCGGTGAGCTTGACCATTTTTGCGGTATTAGGTGATGGTTGATATGGCGGGTTTGAATGAGTGTATAGGAGATGGATGATGGAAGAAGCGCGAGTTGGGACGTTCCGACTTTTTTGCCGGGCAAAAGCGGCGAGCGAGCTTGGACATTGACCCGCCCGGAGAACACTCAACAGTGTTTACTATGACGACAGATGAACACGACAGGAACTATTCAAGACTATTTCGTGAAGAAATTATTGTAATAAATAAAATATGTTACAGAGTTGTGATGTTGAAATGTCTAAAATACACATTCCCTCCTAATATTATCAGGTTCTCTCCTGGCCGTCCAATTGCCAGTCTATAGATCGTCATAGACGTACTTGACAATAGTGATAGCCGTTCTATGTCACGAATTCAAAATTCTACATTCAAGGACGACCCAGTTTCCAGCGTGAAATGCGCTCCTGGATTTCCTCCCAAGGAAATGAACGGAGCTTGTAGCCCTCAAGCTCACCTTCTTGCAAGACGACAGTAGGCTTGCCGGTTCCGTTACCAGGGTTCCGCACGTTGCCGCCGAAAACCTGGCGAGCGACGCGGCGAAGATCTTGGACGGTCAAAGCCTCGATCTGGTCGCACATCTCCTTCACGCTAACCTTGCGACCGTGAACCTGGACCTGACGACCCAGATCCTCGAGCTCAACCATGCGGGACTCGAGGTTCATGAGAAGTGAAGAACGAAGCTGGTTCTTTGCTCGGTTCACTTCCTGGGTTTGCAGAGCAGAGTAGCCGTTATCCAGAGTCAACGACTGGAGCTCGCGGCACATGACCTCGAGCATTTCTGTTGTTCGGGTTGGGCTGCATGAGGCCTGGATGCCAAAGACGCCGCTGTCGGTGTAGCTGTGATTGAAGGCCTGGCAGCTTTCCACCCAACCGTGCTGGTTCAGGACATTGGTGTACAGGCGAGAGTACATTCCCTTTCCAGGGCCACCAGCCGAGAAAGATCCACCACCGCCCAGGAGGGTTTGAAGGGTAGCGAGAGCATAAATATCGGGAGATGAGATGGGGAGTGCCTCGAAGGCAAGGTGGATGTAGCTAAGTCGGGGCAGCATTGGGTTCGCTGGGGGCGGGATCGGGGGAAGGCTGAAGAAGCCACCGGTGTAGTGAGAAGGACGGCGGAGGTCCAATCCGGAGGGCTCGAGCAAAGAGGAATGAAGGGGTTCAACGGATGCAGGTTTTTGTGGAGATGAGAGGTTCTTGAGGAAAGGGAGCTTCGACAGGATTGACGAATGTGTGCTTTCGGAAGCGGCGGGGCTGCTCACGGTCGAAGAGGCTGTGAATTGGGGAACAGTTGGGATCTGGCCCTCCTTCGCAGCGGCGTGGGAGTCAGACAAAATGGTATCGATTCCGGTACCTGACAGGACAGGTCCTTTGCTGTGAGCGACATCGCGGCTCTTCATATCTCCGAAGTACTGCTGTGTGAGCTTGACGGCTTCTTCGTGAGGAACGCCAGCGAAGGCAACGACCATTCGGTCTGGGTTAAAGAAAACCTCCCGGTAGCGTTCTACCACTGATTTATTGATCTCGCCTAGCCTCTCCTCCGGGCAGAGCAGGGGATTGCCGAGAGTGTTACCCGAGTAAGCTTGCATGTGGACAAGCTCTGGCATGATGAGCTCCGGCTTAGCCCAAATCTCACCAATCTCGTACTCAGCGGTAAGAAGCTGATCAGCAACTTCCTCATCAGTGATCAAGGGATCTCTGATAGTTTCCGCCAAAAGACCAAGAGTTGTAGGAACCGCAGAGTTGAAACTGGCAGACTGGTACATCATTGCCTCTCGCGATGACGCACACTGAATATTTCCACCCAGCGACTCGAGAACCTCTAGCATCTCATCCGCGGACCTGGCCTTGGTCGATTTGAAGGCCAATCGGTCCATAATATGACTAACTCCACGCAAGCTTGCATCTTCGTAGCGAGAACCGGCATCGACGTAGACTCCGACACCCGCGAAAGGACCCGGTAATGATTCCGTGGCGACGCGAACTCCGTTTGGAAGTGTTGTGACTTGATCGAGCTCGGCAGGGTCCTATAGAGAAAAGAAATTGAATGCTTAGTTAATCGCTCATCAGGTAGCATGGTTCGAGGCTAAATACCTTCGCGGAATCCTTAATAGTAGCAAAGCTTCTGGACGCCGAGTGAGGAGCCCGTGTCAGAGGCTTTGCGGACTCGATGGCCCGCAATGCAGAGCGACGCATGTTTCCTTTCATTGGGACACGCGTGGCAGTTCAATAATGAAAAATATATTCTGCACGCCTTCTTTGCAGTGAATCCGGGGGAAGGTCGGGAAACGACTTGTCGGCGAAGATTCAAATTCCGGAGCGCAGCGCCGATATGATTACTTAATCATTCTATTGCATGATTTAACATCAACTTCTGTCTGGACTAGATTTTCTAAAAAGAGTTTGTTTCATTTTTTTTGGAAATATTCATCAAAAATTTCATGATTTTTGATTTCACAGCATATTAGTTGATAGATGCATCGAGGCATTGGGAGCGTGCAGGACTGCTTAACTGCTTAACTGCTTACCAATGAATGGTAGCCTAGATCTATGACATATTTGAACCGGATCATCTTGAATATCTCATTGGGCACATTAATACTATCTCCATCTATTTTCACACCACTTATAAGTATTATGGATGCTCAGAAGCCCAGTTGCGGTACCAATCAAGGCAAGAAGCATTGGCTACACTTGCACCGATCTTAATGTTTAGCCCGCACAAAATTTGCTTAACCGCGTTCTCAACCTTCTTGCCATTAGAGGTCACAGGAATCTCGGGACAGGCATCGATAATTCCTGGAACATGACGAGGGCTCAGTTCCTTGCGGATGATAGCTTGAATCTGCGCTGCCAGTTTCGAGACATCTGAGGTGCTACCAGGAGCCAGCTTCACGAAGAGAACCACCGTTTCGTCAGTGTCAATACCTTCGCGTCTTCGGCCAACGCATAACGAGTCCTCGATTTCATCCGCAAAATGCTTTAACAATATGTTGTAAATTTCGGCGCTGCCAAAACGAACACCAGATGGTTTGAGAACGCCGTCGCTGCGACCAAGCATAACCACACCACCAGTCTGGGGGTTCACACGTACAAAATCTCCGTGGTGCCAGATAGAGGGACCAAACACATCAAAGTAACTCTTGCGATACTTCTCCAGTCCTGCTGGGCCGGGTGGCCAAAACATGACCGGCTGTGCGGTAAAAGGTACTGTGCAAACTAGGTCACCCGGCTCGCCTGACGCACTAATGTCATTTCCAGCGTAGTCGAAAACAGATACGGCCATTCCGAGCGAGCGACATTGAATTTCTCCCTTGTATACGGGAAGAATAGGGCATCCGGAGCAGAATAAAGATAGAATATCCGTACCACCTGTAATGGAACCCAGCATTATGTCTTGGTGAACGGAAGAGTAGATGTATTCGAATGTCGATGGCGCCAAAGGGGATCCAGTGCTAAAGATAGCTCTGAGTGTCTTGAGAGAAACAGACCGATTTGCATGCTTTCGCGGATTCAAAGCAGCTTGCTCCAGCATAGAAAGATATTTGGCCGATGTACCAAAATGGGTAATCTTGAGTTCGTCGATAAGCCTTGGCATAGCCATTTCCCCGTTTCCTCCCTCGATATCAAAGGGTCGGAATGGTGATCCATCATAAAGAACGATAGTCGCACCGCTAGCTAGACCAGAGACAAGCCAATGCCACATCATCCAAGTCGTAGTTGTGAAGTAAAACAGCCGGTCACCGGGTCGAATCTCACAGTGAAGCAGATGCTCCTTCTTATGCTGCAACAATGTCCCCAGTGATCCATGTACAATAGGCTTTGGTGCACCCGTTGTACCAGAGGAGTACAAAATGTACACTGGGTGATCAGGTCTCAGGCTCGCAAATTCCAGGGGAGCTGCTTGATTCTGAACACTAGCTTCAAAGGTGCCGTATGTGACGGCCTTGCCATTTTTCGGTCGAACTTCCTCAAGGTTGAAGTCGAGAGACTTGGCCGTCTCGATGACTACCAATACTTCAACATTCGGCAATTCTGAGGCGATTTCTCGGACCTTCGCATGAGATCCATGAACTTTGCCATTGTACAGTGATGCGTTGTCGGCAAACAGAATCTTAGGCTCAATTTGCTTGAGACGCTCTAGAACAGCATGCACGCCAGTATCTGGAGACACGCCGGTCCAGTATGCACCAATCGAAGCTGCAGCCAGCATTGCTACCACGGCATTTGCATGGTTACCAACGAATCCAGCCACGCGATCGCCAGTTTGCAGACCAGCTTTTTTGAGGGCATTGGAACATTTACGGACTCTTTCTCTGAGTTCTTTCCATGAGATAAATTCGCGCTCTGCTTCGGTAGCCCCTATCACAGCAATAGAGTTCTCATCTGGCGAAGTAGCCGGGTAAAGGAGATTCTCGGCGAAGTTCAAAGTGCTCCCTTCAAAAAATTGAGGACGCGGAAAAAGTGAATTCTCCGACTTCAAAACCTGGGAGCCATGTTAGTATTTGTGTTAAGAGAGGGGCAATCACAATCATACTTCATCATATGGCTTATGGGCTTTGATTCCAGTATAATGCCAGATATCTTCCCAGAATTTAGCCGGCTCGGCAATACTCCATTGCCATAAGCCATGATAATCATTTAAAGACAACGAGTGTTTCTCATTCACTTTGTTCATGAAATCATAAATCTGCGTCTTTTCCGGCGCGGAAGGACGCCAGAGCTCCTTCACCTCCGTATCGACAATCTCATCGATATGTGGCATGGTTTCTGAGGTACTTCCAGGGTACTTGGTAAACAGGAAGAAACAGTCGAGAAACGAAAAAAAAAGTCCACCTGTGTCACGTTCAATGGATGTTGTATTGGTTACCAGAATGTTCTGTGAACACAACTATGCGGCCGAGTAACAATTGCTTGTCACGGCACGTCTGTGGTTCCAGGGGAAAGCCCTTCAAAGTCTATACTGGTACTAGACGCTAGGACCAAGAATTTTTAATAAGCGCACCGAAAGAGTGAGTGAGTGTTCAGGTCAGCATGCGCATGTGAAAAAAGAACCAAGTCGTCTAATGCAAGTACCCTGACAGGGATCGCGGGGGCGGCTTGAATCGGCTATGGGTTACCTATCTCCGCGGCTGCGGGTAGAAGGCAGGTCAGGATACTTCAGTGTACTTTGTAGAATGACGATTATTGGGTGAATGAAGGTGATATTTCCGCAGGGGATAAGAAAAGAGTTTATTATGTCCATGTGACCTAAATGATTCTTCAGAATTATTTTACGACTGTCTTATCCTATTTACAGAGCCCTTGGTAGTAAGCACTGGCGGGATGAATGCGGAAAGCGGGAGTGTGACATAGGCTGCCTTAGGCCACTAACTATCAGAACGGTTTTCGTGCTTCGATTTCGGGAAGAGTCAAGGGTATTCAAGGACAATTCCTAATTTGATACTTGGTGTGTTGGTTCAATGCAAGGGCTTTGTGCCGAAGGTAGGAAGTTTTTGGACAGAGCGTAGCTATTGGCTGCATGAACTATAACAGAACCACCCTATCTTGATCGACGACATCATCACAATTCAATGACGGGTCCACATCATACTTCAGATCTTATCATAGTACGGTCATAGGTGGATATTTAGATGATTACATATATGATATCCTCTTCCCCTTTTAAATACCAAAAAGACCAAAGTAACAATGAATTAAATCCTGTCAACCGGTTGTAGTTATAGGCTTCGGGAGACCGATGCTGTAACCATGGTAGGACCCACCTTCGGGATACAATAACCGGGGACAAAAGAGAGATTTCACATTTTTCTTGAAATATCGTAAAAGCACGGTTCCTCTGCTATCGCCAAGTGCAATGTAGTATTTCATTAACTTTTTCTGGTCCAAGTTGGCGATCTCAGAAGTGTGGGATAATAACTGCCTGGATAATGGTTAGAAAACTAAGACTCTGCGCAGGAACCAAGAGAGGCTTCTCTCTGTGTTCTTTCAACTATTGCTAGTAGTGGGCAGCGGTGATGATGGAGGTGGTGGTGAGGGGGGAAGAGAGCATATACTCACCATCGGACAAGACCGCATTGGCAGCTTAACCTCTCAGTGTTACTAAGTTACTAGCCTCGCACTTGTACCTGATTTTCCCGGGATTGAGGGAGCCAAGTGGGCCTCGCTGTCGGTTCTAGTCCAATCTTGGCTGGGCCAAGTGAAAAAAAAGTTGCATCGGTAAGGCAACTGTAATTTTTGTATTTTACATACTCACAGCCAATCATATTCGTAGCGGTAGTGTATCTCTCTCGTATCCGAATACCAGGAGGCACTCATATCCTGCTTTGCATAAACCGATGATTATGCGACTGCAGCAGATACTCATCCTCCTTTCTTTACCTCCCTAGTTTGCCTTCATTCAGCTTTCCTTAAAGGCAAGAGAGAGACGGTGTTCCAATTTCTTCCAGAATTGCGGGCACTGCCTCCCTTTTTGGTCTCTCGTATTCTTGTCATCCCTTCTCCCCCCCCCCCATTCCACGTGTGAAAGCCACACACTTGCAAGCCTTTTGCCCCGGAGCTCGTCGGATCCGCCTCCCGCTACCAAAATCAGCCCAGTGTACGTCCGGATCGTGGAAGTCTTGCTCAGTGTGACTTCACTTCTCTTGCCATTCGATTCTTCTCCCATTAAACGTGTCCAAACCCTTTACGCAAATCTCATTTCCGCTCGACCCACACCTTTCCTCGTGTACCGTCGACTAACAACTTAGCGTCGCCGCCCAGATTACCTCCTGGTTGTTGTCGGACTCTTTGAAGAAAACCTTCGAAGAACTCACCTTGCTCGAGTGAATCACTCGAAGTACAAATTACTCGACTTCCTATTTCTCGGTAGTCACTGCCTTAAGTCGCCGGTTTGGACGCGTGAAGAAAATCTACGCGCGCCCCCTATTTGCCGACGATAAAATCTTGCTGTCATTACCCCCTCCAACACCACCCGAGTCGCTACTTCCCTCTGCGATGCCTCGTCGGTTCAGCAATAACTCCTCGAACGACACCTCCTCCAACTCTCCCTCCTTTTCACCTTCCTCGGGAAAGGGCGGCATCGCTATCAAGGCGCCCTCGGTCAAGTCCCATCGCCTGTCCCAATTCTTTTCGGTCTCGCCCAAATCTAAGACTGAATCTCAACCTGCACAGTCGACTCCCCAGTCGACCGCCGGAAATCCTAATACTTCTCCGTCCATAAGTTCGGCGTCACTATCCTTACCAACGATATCCCTCTCCACGGCGACCGCTGATAACCCGAACATGGACGAAAAGCCAACCACCCTCTTCCAGCCGCCAAGCCCGGAGGAGGCTCGCCTCTTGGCTAAGCAACATGCTCAATTTGGTCCCATCGGGCATCCTAGCCATCGCTACTCGAGTCGACACCCTGGTGGTGTCTTCCCAGAGCCGGTGATGGATGAGCCGCCCTATTATTATCTGCTCACAACATACATCAGTTATTTAATCTTAATTGCTTTCGGTCATGTTCGTGATTTCTTTGGCAAGCGCTTTCGGGAAGAAAACTATCGACACCTCAAAGCGCGCAACGGATACGGTGCCCTGAACAGTGATTTTGACAACTTCTACGTTCGTCGTCTCAAATTGCGTATCAATGACTGCTTCGAGCGCCCGGTCACCGGTGTCCCTGGACGAACCATCACATTAATCGACCGCGGTACGAATGATTACAACCACCACTTCCACCTAACTGGCACTACCACCGATACTCTGAACCTGAGCTCCTACAATTATCTGGGATTCGCCCAGTCGGAAGGCCCTTGCGCGGATCTTTCGGAAGAGTCTGTTAAGAAATACGGTATCAGCACTCCTAGTACCCGCGCGGAGACCGGCACCCAGGATTTGCATGTCGAAGTTGAGGATCTGATTGCCAAGTTCGTGGGCAAGGAGGCCTCAATGGTTTTCTCTATGGGATTCGGCACCAACGCCAATGTCTTCCCCGCGCTTGTTAGCAAGGGCGACCTTCTGATTTCCGATGAGCTGAACCACGCCTCTATCCGTTTTGGTGCTCGTCTCTCTGGTGCTTCAATTGCTATGTTCAAGCACAACGACATGAGAGATTTGGAGATTAAGCTTCGCGAAGCCATTTCACAAGGCCAGCCTCGTACTCATCGTCCCTGGAAGAAAATTCTGGTTGTCGTGGAAGGTCTCTACTCGATGGAAGGATCCATGTGTAACTTGCCCGGTCTTGTCGCTCTGAAGCACCGTTACAAGTTCAACCTGTTCGTCGATGAGGCTCACTCAATTGGTGCAATCGGACCCATGGGTAAAGGTGTTTGTGACTACTTCAGCATTGACACTGCCGAGGTAGATGTCCTGATGGGAACTCTTACTAAGTCCTTCGGTGCCAATGGTGGTTACATTGCCGCTGACAAGGCAATGATCGATAAACTCCGGGCCACAAATGCAGGTATCTTCTACGGCGAATCACCCGCCCCATCGGTCCTTACACAAATTTCTGCTGCCCTTCGTATCATCAAGGGCGATCTCATCCCCGGTCAAGGTGAAGAGCGATTGCAACGATTGGCTTTCAACTCGCGATATCTTCGCTTGGGATTGAAACGTCTTGGCTTTATAGTATACGGCCACGATGATTCGCCCATCATCCCACTTTTGCTCTTCAACCCTGCCAAAATGCCCGCTTTCTCCCATGAGATGCTTAAGCGGAAGATTTCCGTTGTGGTTGTCGGATACCCTGCTACTCCTCTGGTTTCATCCCGTGCTCGTTTCTGCGTCTCTGCTGCTCACACCAAGGATGATCTTGACCGCATCTTAACCGCTTGTGATGAAATTGGCAACGTCTTGCAGCTCAAGTTCTCTACCGGTATCGCTGGTGGTGCCATTCCCCCAGCTGAGGAGATGGCCCCTCCACCAGAGATGGAGAAAGAATGGCAGCGTAAACGTACCGCAAATATTACCCCTCCAAGATGGCGGGTAGAAGATGTAATTCGACGTGGAGTCCAGGATGTCAAATCACCTTTGTATTAGCGTGACGCTCTCTTCCGTTATGTGACGCTGTACTAAAACCTGATGCATTCTTGACTTTGAGCCTCTTTGTCATTGACAGAGTTTTCTTCTTCTTCCCGAGCCCGGTTGTTGCAGGTCACGCCGAGTCACGGTCCATTAATCCTGAGTGGTTCCCCTTTTCTCCCCTTTTTGTTCATTTCTCGCTTGATCATCTTGCTTTTGGCGTTTTTCCAACTTGGCTGGAATCGTGCGCCTTGGTTGAAGCAGTTGGTAGTGGAAGCAGAAATTCACACAGAGAGAGAGGTCTTGAAGGGGAAGGCGAAAAGCTAAAGCCAAGAAAAAAATCGGTCATGAATTATTCGAACAAGCAACGAATGAATATGCCCCTGTTTCTCATATGATGCCTCCCTGGTTCTCCTGGATGTTCCCCCAATTTTCTTGCATACAACCTTTTTTTAATCCATTTTATTATGTATTTTTTCTCCTTTTCTCCTGTTACTTTCATTCTGCTTAGAACGATTGCCTAGTAATGCCTCTTATTGTTTTCCTCTTGCTGGTCAACATTGCGGCATAGACTGGCTGTTTCTGGCTTTTCATCATTTAGAGCATGGCAATCACTGTATTATATTGCCGCTCCTGCTTGGCTGAGAGTCTTCGAGACACGAACATCTTCGACTCAGCCTTTTTATTCACCCAGATATTTGTTTCTTCTCTTCTTCTCTATGAGAAGTTCACTTCGTGCCAGGCTGATGCCTGCCTATTTGGAAATATTGTTTATAATTAAATGACTCATTGAAATATTCGACATAACTCGGCTCCCATGTATCCGTAGTTACTGGAGCCCCCGGGGCCATGCCAAGGAAGTAAACTCACCTCAACGCCCATCTTATAGAGTTTACGATTAAGGGTCTCCGCCAAACCCTCTCCACTGACTGATGCCTTGTTGAATCATGCTTTGTTGGAAAAGGGTTCAGCTCAGTCCAATGGGTCGACCCAACTTGCATCATGAGGATGCAATCTAGCCTGCCGCGAGCCGGGGGCCACGCTAGTATTTAGGGCTGCTCAACGCTCTCTACATGGTGAACATGTACACCGCATGATTTCTTGATCATCATGACCCACTAAAGTCTTCTCATACATACCGCATTGCAACCAACCGGCCCCAGCATCACCAGAACCCACTGATAGTCGTACCCGGACCCCGGGGGCCATCCATTCTAGCGGACAAACTTGAAATATCAACCTTATAAACAGCCAGAACCCCCTGCTACTTTTCATTTCCATCAATATTCCTCATTCCAAGTCTCTTTATCATCGATATTTCCCTCATCTCAACCTCCAACATGCAACTCCCTTCTCTACTCCTCCTAGCCAGCCTGGCCAGCCTCGGATCCGCTAGATGGACAATCGATTACTACAGCAGTACCGACTGCTCCGGAGATAGCCAGGAGACCTATTCTCCAGCCAACACCGAGGACTGCACACCTCTTGACCCTGGTGCATCAATCAAAATCTCCAATGACGATGAGGACCTCTCGTTCCAGTTATTCCGTGATGGAGATATGCAATGCGCTAGCGATGATCCGGATATCACATACAGTTCTGCTGATGGAAAGTGTCAGTCTTTGGATGACCTTATTAGCTACAGAATTGTGCGAGAATAAGGGATGACTATAGTGAGGGTAAGCTTTTTCAATGACATTCCTAGATTGTGTTCAAGTGGTTATTGACTTTTATAGGAACTTCAATGTCTTTCTATGAGTCGGGCTATTCATTAGTTACGAGAACCGGCAGTGGTTGTAATGTTTTCGAATACTCGGGTTTAAGAACTGGATTTTGATTGGAGAATTCCCGATTGGAAGCTGTTCTGTGTTTTGATTTCAAACTCGGCTTTGACGTTTTGTATATAGAATTCCAATTTCAAATTCCTTCAAGACGAGATAGGCACTTGTATCATGAGTTAGTAATGATGGAAATACTACCCGTACCATATCAATATCAATACAATAATAGCACAAACATTGAAAGCCCGGTAAATATTCCGCTTTGTTGCGGTATACTCTCCTCTCCTCGAATAAGGAATTTCAACCAACTTGAAGCAGGGCAAGTATGCCTAAGTTCCTAGGCACCAAAAACTTCCAAACAAAAAAGTTTAGATTGAACCCTTCCACCAAATGTTCTCCACAGAGCAAATCAGGGTCCAACGGGCTAAATAATTATTTAACCTACGCATACCTATCATATTCGCCAAATTAAACCACATTATTCATGCCTCCAGCACTACCAATGCTCATTCATCAGCATTCTACTCCTTAATCTTATTCTCGGGCCTGACTCTCCCAGTAAGAACCGGAAACAGCACTATCAATTGTGACAGCTTTTATTGTAGGGTCTTTATCAATTTTCGGAGAAAATACTCCAGTCTTCAACTGGTCCCTTAACCAGTATAATGCCGCTGGTTATTTCAAACAAGGCTGCCAATCGTCAAGCCATGGGTAATCAGGGACGCCTGAGCATGCATGTCACCCAATCTACCCCGCGCGTTTGTGCTTATTTTTAGGAACTGAATGTTTGTTTATAGCGCTATTTAGTTTGCAAAAGGATCAGGAGATCTTTGATCATTTTTCGACGATCCTATATATACTATAAAAGTTTTTAGAAAAAGAGAATGACTTGTTGGCAACGATATAAACTTGAACCTAATCGCTAAATTAAACTTTGTTATGTCGGTTTAGATTGAGTTGAGCATGCTCGTTTATCCGGCAACGACTAATAATTGATACAGACCCTGGAAAAAGCAGTTAAGAAAAAGATGCATGTGCGTATAACACGTCACTTACATGGACCCGTGGACCCTTATTTTCATTATTCATAATATTGCAGTCAATTACACTCCCGCCCCTCTTTGAGGTTACTTCCCCGGACTCCGTGATAATTCATCTTAATAAAGTACCTAAATACAGAATCCATCGAGGGCCAATAATATAGTCTAAAGACACCATCAGTTTGAATTTCAATCAGGCTACTTAATAGGGTCGACATGCTCTTTGATCTCAAAAAGTGCATCTATAGATTCTATTTTTGGATAACCTCTTCGTGATCAGAGGTGCCTCGGCTGAGGCTGCACATGGAATATCTCATGGGACTAAGCGTTAGGGGCCGCAAGGCTCGGGGTTGCATCTCTGGTGGTACTTCTGTTCCGGAAAGCATTGATAATAATATGGCCCCAGCTGACTCAGGCTTGCAGGTTTCTTTTTGAGCCTCCACTGATTGGATCACAGTACCTCAGGGTCTCAGATACTTCTTGGTATTTCCTATTTACATTTGCTTGGGGTTAAATGGCTATATTATCATGGACTGACATGATTTACTCATCGGTATAGATCATTCATTCGTATTCTCTCTGTCTGTGAACCCCCCTCTCCGCAGCTTCACTTCATATCCTCGGTCTTGGGGTGCTTTCACGACAATGGTGTGGTTGCACACATCCCAAAGCCTCTTAATGGCACGCCTGGTAGTTGGAACGCCTTGGGCCAATTGTAAATATGCGGGGATCCTGGGCGTCCTGTCTACTTCATGACAAGACGGATTTAGCCTAGCAACTAGAGTCCGTTGAATCCTTCAAGCACTTCGGCGTACCGGATATCCGATTCTATTATGTAGTCCCGTTGTAAACACCAAACAATCACAAGCCATGCATTAGTAGGTAGCTGTGATTCGATTGCTATTCTCTGCTACCATATCCTGACACGGCAAAGTTTCTGAGCTCAGTCGAACAGACAGTCTGGGAAAAGGTATAAAAGGGCAGTGAATTCCTCTGTAAATCCATTCATTCAGCCACCATCAGTAGATCCCCAAAAACCAATTCACAGCGCTAAACACTCTTGTTTCATCTCTTAATTTCCACAATGAAGTTCTCTGCCAACATCCTCCTCATCTGTACCGCGATTGTCGGTGCCTCTGCTGTTCCTACCACGAACACTGATACCGAGCTCAAATTCACCGGCGGAGAGACTTCGGTATTTTATATAACTCCATCTTCCTGAGCTAGGCAGTTTTTAACATCATATTAGGTCGACTCGGTCGAGTGCACTGGATATCTTCCGCAGCATGCATCCTGCACCATTGGACAGTGCCAGTGCCTTGGAAACAATGGATGCTACTCGTGCAATGGAGGACGCGTTCAGTGCCAGCCAGGTCCCGGCTCAGGTGTTTGCTGGACCCAGTAAGGGGAATTCATTGTCTAAATGAATGGTCCTGTGGTCGAATGCTTCATCGGGAGGCTGAGGCTGAACGTGGGAGGAAGTAGTATGGGACTGTTTGGCCCAATGGTTGATAAGGCAGGTGGAAGTGACCTATGCTTGAGGAATAATATGACAAACTACAGTTACTCAAGTTTCTCCTGAGTTCTTCAGCAATCAAGCTTCTTAACTTCGATATAATGCGTTCCAAAGTAGAGCGCGAAATGGATTTACTGTTGAGTAGTATATTTTACTTTTCTGTAAGCAGCATCAATACTGTATGAAATTTCTTATGGTATCTTTTAGAGTCTTTCTGGTAAATCCGGGTTCCTATAGCAAATCCAGGCACCAAACTGTTTACTAGAGCATGGAGCCTGGGTAGCCGATATACCCCGTGGTACTAAGTGGACCCGGCTGCCTCCTGCCTGGAACGCCAAGGGCTCGGGCCCAATGTCTTGGCAGGTTTCAGGGGCACGCTATATAAGTTCCATGAGGTCTACCAGACTAAGGACTCAGGAGCAAGAGTTATAAATTAATTTTGTCTAAACTTGCCGCAATCCCTCGGATGAAATGTCAGTTTCACCGGAATACCCTGCTTCAGAGCAAAATGGACTTCCCGGGTTCACCTTGCCGCTTGATTACCTACCACCGGTATAAGCCTCCATACTCCTCACTTGATATCATGAGGTAGACTTACAATTTGAAAGGGAATCAGAGGGACAGAGGAGCTGGAATACTACCGTGACTATGCTCTTTTCCCGCATGCTTTACAATTTCCCGCGGGGTAATTTATTATGCCAAATATACCCTGAAATATCCGTTAATTCGGGCTTAGATTCGACATTGTTCAACGAGAAGTTCTGATGATGCGTGTGATGAATACCATTACTGATAAGCCAGACTGGGATACAAAGGTAATGTCCTAATTCTTCTTTTCTTGATCTTAATCTAATGAATGAGGCAGGTCTTTGACGAAGAAATCATCTCTAAATGGCGAAATGAGATCACCGAAAGTGGCCAAGACATCTCATCCAAAATGATGGACTATATCATTAAAGAGCTGCAATGGAAAGCAGAACTCTCTAAGAGTCAAAGCTTCATTAAAATCTTCGATGCTGGCGTTGTGAAATCTGACACTGCTATTCCAGAGGAGCTGCGGGTGGCCTTGGTGGATGCTGTGGCACCCTTGGAAAACATCCCTGTTGAGAAAAAAGATTACCATCCTGGTTCTGATGATAAAGTCATTGACTTGGTGCATCCATCTTTGTTCCCGCTTGTCTACGGACATACCCGTATCTTACCTGACCAGGTAATCGACCTTGACAATTGTCTTGGGACTACGGGACAAGGAGAGATACTCGAAACTTCAGCCGAACTCCGTCGTGGCAGGCCAATTGAAGACTATGAGCAATACAGCAAACGATTTCAGTGGCTTCCTTGTGATATCAAATTGAGCTCTGCGGGAGCTGAGCCCGGGTGCCAGATTGTCTCATATATCAATAACTTGCATCCCGTGAAACATCGGTCACTATATGGGATTATAGAGAAAGTTATTGCACGAGCTATTCCCTTGTGGGATTCGTCATTAACCAGAAACTGGTCAATTGAGCCACGGATTCCATATAAAGATGTTGAGTTTGAGGACAGCACAGAACCTGAACCAATCCAAGAACAAGATGAGGATGACGATGACTTCGATGATAGAACGAACGAGTGGGAACGGGCCCGTACCATTAAACAACCGGAGCCTAGCGAATTCAAGCCACAAGTTCTCTCCGAGGAAGATCGGACTAAGATCAACATCTATGAAATCTTCGGCGATACCGGGTTGCAGGTCATTGTGAAATTGGCTAATATCGAGCTGACGCCCGAGAAGCCAGAGTACGGCGGTGGAACGTGGCATATAGAAGGGCAGCTGGTGAGTGTGTTTTGTGATAAAATCCCTGGCAGAGATTATCGTTATCTTGACTACATCATCATACTAATCAGGTATAGAATGAACGAATTTGTGCAACCGCAATTTACTACTATGACTGTGAAAACATAACCGAGAGCAGTCTCAGCTTCCGACAGCGTATGGACGATAACGCATTCGACGAGGTCTCTTACGAGCAAGAAAGACACGAATTCGTCCAGCAAGTTTACGGCATGCCGCCTGAGTGGCAAAACCAGAGCATTGGTCCAGTGACACAGTATCTCGGAGGTGTCGTCTGTCGCGAAGGAAGACTTCTCGCTTTCCCAAATATCCTTCAGCATCGCGTGTCTCCATTTTCTTTGGCGGATCCTTCGAAGCCTGGTCACAGGAAGATTCTTGCATTGTTTCTGGTTGATCCTCATATGCGAATTATCTCGACTGCGAATATTCCCCCGCAACAGGAAGAGTGGGGTGTGGAGAAACGTGAACTGGTTCAAGGAGTATTGTCTGGGAAACTTCCCCCGGAGTTGCAGCAGATTATTAGTAAAGAGGGTATCTCGCATCAGATGATGAATATGCAGGAGGCGAAGAAGTTTCGCGAGGAGCTTATGGAGGAGAGGAGCATTCATGGTCCTGCGCAGAATGCGGCTTTTGAGATGGGTGAATTCAGTCTTTGTGAACACTAGATTCAATATTCTTTTTGCTTGAGCGATGCCTATGTCCACTGTACCTAACACAACAAGTTTATGAAGCCTTGAGAGCCTGAATACTCAGATTGACAAAGCGAAATAGCATATTTAGATTCTAGTATGTATACCTTAGGGTATTCGGCTCTTGTCGCGTTCACGCATTGACCACGAGCATAAACTTTCACGATCTATTTCTAGATTTAGATGGGCCCAGATTTCTCAACATGGAGAGAGCCTAACAAAATAACATGATGCAATAAACATTGGACACAGCTGTCAGCATTGCTATATCGAAACATCTCGCATTACAAGAGTCCCCCGTCATATTCGCAGGCACTGTTCTCGTGGCACCATCCGTCGACGTCGCTACACTAGTCTCGACATATCGAATAGCAGGCACTATTCCGATAATGGGGCCTATTGCGAGGATTCCGTTCTTATTCAAACATCTTCAACAATTTATCCAAGATAAATGGTCAAGCAAAGACTCAATCGCGGAATATATTCGAGCAAACGAGTTTAATGAGAAGAAGTATCGACTTGCGATCATCCATGCTGAAGATGATTATGGTATTCCCTGGCATCATTTTCAACTTCTTTTCTGGCATGCGGTTAATGCTTCAATTTCCACTAGTATTACCTTTGAGGAACTGGAAGAAAAGAGAGTAGATAACATGGCGTATTTGAGTGCTGCGGGGTCTGTTATGGAATGGAAGACGAACCATGGGGTTATTCGGGAAGAGATACTCAAGACTGAGCTACATGATGTTATTATGGGATATCCGGTTGTTAGTATGGCGGCGATGCGCTTTTTTGAAGCAGCTGATCCATCCTTCACCTCTTAGATACTTGGTATAGCTGATTGTATGTGTAATTCAGTCTCGGATAATATGACAATTGATGGGAACTATAGAAATTTTGATTTCAGTCTTTTCAGTCCAAATAACAGCTTCAGTCGACTAGAGCGGAGCAATGACAATATCTTCAGAGTAATGACAGCAGTCGACAGCAGTGTCAGCAGTCAACAGTAGTGTCAGCAGTCGACAGCAATTGCGGAGCAATGACATGCACAAAAAAGCATTGACGTGAATCCAAAGGATCCAAAGAGCAATGATTTTATATCAAAAGCATCGACATTGACCCCTCGCCCTTGACATCGGCCCGTCTTTCCTCATTGAGATCAGTCTATTTCCCGAACTTGAAGGAACTTCAAGTGGACGGCGGTCTCTGACTCTAACTTGAGACTAGTATCTATAACTTGATCTAACCACACCTTCCCATTGATGTAGCCCCCCAAGCAATTACCTCCACATTCGTTTACTTGAAAGCTACAAACGTACTCGAAGATAAATTGAAGAATTATCAGTTGATTTGAAGAGATTTAGAACAACAACTAGGCACGGGCATATGCAGATCAATCCATGATCTCCAAAACAATACCCGCCTGACAGAAAATGAAGGAGTTTTCAGCTTAATACACTCCAGAATAATCTGCCATTCCAATTGACCAAAACTCCATGCAGCTATATAAACATGGCAAACCCCGAAATGTATAAAATGATAGTCAAGACAATCAAAATGCAGTTGGTAGCGAGACAAAAGCCCAAAGAAAATGTGTTCAATGCACTGAACGTTTAACGTCGGTCCAGTCGACGAATTCATCAAGTCATAAAAAAGTCATATCAATCGCCTCTATCTATAGAGGACGAATGGGGATATAATAGAAACATCCAGAGGTGTATCTTGTAGTCTATCTTGACCACTCTTAAACGGTACCGTATCGACCTTGTTCCGCACCAAGAAGAGCCTGCCCTTCCTGTGGTCTAGGGGAATGCTCGCGTCCGCATTCACGCTCACCGCGGTATGGCGAAGTAGAAGGAATCCATCCGCGCATCCAGCCACGCACACGTCTCCAACGGCTCCGACCACGCTTCGAGTCATCATCTGTACCCATGAAGCTCTCGTCATCCTCTTCCTCAGACCCATACATTAGGAATTGTACACCCATGTACCCATCGAGCCCCAGCACACCGAATGCACCCAGGAAAAACGGGAGAGATCGCCCGATCCATTCCCAGCGATCATTGCCATGCCCATCAGCCCAGCCACCACCACCATTAGGCGGGAAATCGAACCAAGCATTTGGATTCGCTAGCAACGAGGCTGAGTAGAAGAAATTTCCGCAAAAAGCCGCCATAAACAGGAGAGGTGAGAGGCCCTCGGTGCTCTTTCGAACGTAGTTCTTGTATAGCTGTGGTGGTCGCGAGCCTAGGTAAAGGATCGTAGACATCCAGGAGAAAATACGGCCCACAATCTCGGCGATAGTCTCGCTTGGGGCTGCGTAGATAGGTGGGTGAGGGGCGGGATCGGATTCAGTTGAGGTGGCGTTTGCGAGAACGGCACAAACCAACGATGCGATTAACATTGTGCGGGGAAGTGCAAATGGCGGGCTGGTAGCGCTGCTACCAAGACGCACAGGACGACCGGAAGTTTTCTTTTCGGTTTTCTTCTCATTTGTGTAGGAGTTGCTGCGACCGGGTGTTGAATTTAGAGTCGAGCCTGTCTGGACACCCATGTCGTGGACATTAACATTCTTTTGTGTCATGTTGACTGGAGCTGGAGTCTGGTGGGTCGCATTGTTGCCCGATAGCGGAACGCCTTGCAATTCGCCCCTCGCATCGGATTCATCGTGATGGTGGTGATGGTGTGAGTCTGAGTGGGCCAAATCATTGTACCTTTCGTACTGGCGAGGTTTGTAATGGGTGTACCAAATGAACTGAACGACCAAAGTGAGATCCACAAGAACGTAGTAGCTGGCAACCATCACCTGCCATCCCGCTTGCCGAGTGAGTATAGCACCCACGAGGTTGCTCACATCTCCACCACACCAGATAACAAGGAAAAATATTGACAGTCCCGATGTGGACTGTACTTGGTAATTCTTATATATCTGAGGTAGTTGAGCGAAGAGCCATGAGACAAAACTCAAGTTTCCGAGGATAGTCGAGATCAGCGCGAGAGGTGTGGGGAGACAGATGTGGAGATGTGAGGAGATAGCGGTCAAAAGAGGTGACGAGGGCTCACAGTGAGCAGGGAGAGACGCGGCAACAAATTCTCGTAACAAAGGAGGAGGCATGATCTGTATATGTTCTTCTCGGTCCAAGGAGCGTGTCTAAAGGTAAAGGCGCTGACAGCTTGTCTCGTTCGTCAATGATGCTGGGGGGGGGGAAAGGGTCCGAAAGCAGAGATAAGGGATTTGAGAAGGATATAGAGCCCGCAACCACGGAACAATGGCAATCAAGGATATAGATGAATATGAGAAGACAAGAAAAGGGAAGAAGTAGAGTCTAAGATCTATCTGGGGGTCGCGAGAACAGGTCACCCCTCACTCACACATCACACATCACGAGGAGCTGAACAGCAACGATCAGCAACGATCTTCGCCGAATGGGGGGTCTTATCGTGAGTCATCAGATAAGCTAAGCCTTAGCCTATCAGCATTATCCGATTTAATCCGGGGCAAACCCATTATTGTACACACTCAGATGTGTCGTTGCAGAAATTATAATTACTAACAAATATTTGTGTCTTCCGGGTCCTTGTCAGGATATTACAACCAGCATTACCCTTGCCCAAGATAACGATACAAATCATATACATCAAAGACAAATTTGCCACCCAAGAAACAAAAAGTAATGTACACAGATCAGATCCACGCAGATCTGGGGGTTCACGGGGTGGCTTAGCTGCACGTGCTCACGGTTACAGCAGCACTGCAACGGCAAGAATACCAGCTGCACCCATCAACCCAGTCGCAACTATACCAGAAGGTGGAGCTGAATTGCGACCGCCCTCATGGTCATTAGAAGTCGATCCGGTGGCAGTGGGCATAGCACCGGTCGCATAGTGCTCGGCAAGCCACGACTTGACGCTAGTGGGGAGATCCTTATACCAAGATGGCATGTCACCATTTTGAATGGAGCTGATCAGAGATGAGGCCGCTGATGGATCAGCCATCTCAGACAGATACGAGGATGGAATGGCGGTCGCGAGGACGGACTCGATGGAGGGAGGAACCACGTCGTAAGTAGCGGTTGGCATACTGGGTGGGGGAGTGACTGTAGCATCATTGAAGGCATCGGTGTTTTCTGGTGCGTCGGTGACATCAGGCATATATGGAGTGTAATCCGTGGGCATATCAGTGTAAATGTCGCTATATTCGGTGAGGTAGTCCATGTAGTCGTCGTAGTCGGTGTTTGTAGCCCTATACTTGTCAGATCCAATGATCAACTTGATTAAATATGGATATTAAAGCAAACGCTTCCAAGGCTGCCCAGGTGTCACATACAGGCTGTTCAACTCAGCTTCCAAACTGCTGTAGTAGCTGTCGTCGTAGCCGTACTGTTTCTTCTCAAGCTCAGCAGCAGCAAGAGAGGATGCAAGAAGCATAACAGTGACCGATTTGAACAACATCGTGATAGAGAGGTAATGCTCTGATGATAAACTTTTCTCCGGCAAATGAAAAGAAGGGCAAATTCTTAGGTAAAGATAGAATTCAAAGTGCGAAAGGCTACAAGTGGGATGTCTATAGTCTGAAACAAAATGAGCGCAGCCAGCGCTTTTAAGCCTACACCGAGCTATCTAGTCAAAAGTTAATACATCTATCTCAGCCCCGGATCGGGGCTCTGCTCGTATCGTTCCAGCAAATCTAAAATACCAAGCTCTAAGCGATGTGACCAAAGCAAAAAGAGTAGTCAACGGAAGACTCCAACGGGATGAAACGACCCAGTTCATCCATGTCATCCAACCAGGAAGGCTAGATCTACAAACTGGACCCTGGTCTAACATAGCCCAGTCTGCGATTGTGGTTAATTCGGGTCGTTTCCGAAGCTAGAACGCCTAGTATGGCATTATTGAGGCTCGTGTTGTTGAAGAAAAATAGGGGTTTAATTAGCCAAGACCCGTATAGACACCTGTGGGCTTTGATCGTCAGTGACTAGAAAAAAACTTGAGATCCATCTTACGCAAAGACCTTAAGAGAGAAACTCTCAATTTGAGAGACAACAATTTTTTTATTTGGTACTTCTTAAGGTCATATGAAACTTTGAAGAAGGTCGCCTTTTAGGTATCGAGTAAAATATTATTGTTTTTGATCTGCGTTAGGGTTTTTTCCATCAGGAGGGTAAGGACCCTGGATCGGCGAGCCTAACTTAGTGCGGGTCTTGGTGGGACTATATACGAGGTGTTGTTTATGGTACAGAGTTGAGAGACACGATACGAACTTGAAGGACAGGGCCTTTCCCTCTTTAGGGTTCCGCTAATTTAAACGGATCCATTCTCGCTCTTTTTGGAATTTTAGGAGAGTTGTCGAGGATTTCGAAGAACGAATCTCCGTCACATATCAGGTTAAGCTCGATGGATGTGATATCTGTACTTCGTACCTTGGTCTCTAGACTCTGAGGTCTCCAATGTTACTGTCAAGGTCTTATCAATAAAATTATTCAACTTGTTTGGCCGTTATATTCCTTACTCTTTGCTCGTTGTGGAAAATATGAATTTATAATTAGGGTTGAATTTGCGCGATCAAGAACCAGAACGAATGTATTTCCTTGAACTAATCAGGAGGAAAGTGATGTTGGTCACGAGAACCCACTGTAAATACATTCCATGCGTGAACTTCATAAAATCATAAGATTATAGCGGCATTTAGCGAAAAACAAAGTTGAAATAGAGCAAAATTCATAAGAAAAGTCCTAGCTCCGCAACGCACAACACCGAAGATCTGCAAGATGTAGAATTCAGTTATATCTCACTGAATCAATAGTCATCGTCCTCGCGGTGCCGAGAATGGCGACTTGAACTCCGACTATGATGTCCATGATGGTGGTGATGGTGATGTCCATGATGACTGTGGTGACTGTGGTGACTGTGCTCGTGATGACTACTCTCCTGCTGACTAGAAGAGTCGTCGTCATGGTTATTCTTAATCTTGCCCTCTATGAAGTTTGCAGCAATCGCACCACCAAGCGCACCTAGCAGTCCGTGGTCTTTCTTGTGGCCGAAGTAATACCCCGCCGCACCACCTGCAAGCGAACTGCCCAAGCCACGATCAGTCTCGGCATCGCCATTCTCCCCTATCGAGCGCCTGTCGTCTCCGTATCTCGCGTCTGAAGCCTCTGACACATGTACAGAGGGAGCGTGGGCACTCGGAGCCGGAGAGTATCGCGGCTGACTATCTGGATTACTATTGGGTTAAGAACGCTTAGTAGATGCTTTGTGTCTGTTGTTTTCTGTCTTCTCGGGTGTCGCTTACTAGTATTCCATGTTCGAGGCCACTTTTCCATCTTGTGCAGATGTATTTCCATACGCAGCTACTGGGCCAAGATAACCTGGCTGTCCAGATGGCGTGTGGCTTCTCTCGGGTACGTTGTTTTGATACACATCCGGTGCTAGGTGGTACCGGTTCGGTTGCATCTGAGGATCGTAGGTGTAACCCGCTCCTGGCTGCGGCTCTGCGGTGCCATGACTCCCGTAAGCATCCTGCTGGTACGGATATGCAGGTTGGTGGGCCTGTTCTTCTGGTGGGTAATTACCGACTCCGCCTGGAGTGGGCGTTGGGTATTGTGTGTATGGGTTGTAAGAGTCCGCCATGGTATTGTTAAAGAGATTGATGAACTGAGTTGAGTCAATATTTGAGAGAAAAGGCGTCTTTTTTCCTAGTTGCTGACAGCAGACGCTCGGCTTAAATACTCAAAAGTGGTGGAAGGCGCGCCAGGCCGACAGCTGTCAGATGCTCAGCTCATACATCAGGCTGCGGCTGACCTGCCCGCACGACCCCACGATGTGCGGGAACTCTAGAATGAATTATGATGGAGGGGTTGTGCTTGGCGGTTTACTTTCAATTTTAAGTTATTATGGAATCTTCCAAAAGTTACTAGAATCATGGCACATGAATAAGGATTTGATATTTCAGTACGTCATCTGTCTAAGATGATCAACTGAGACAAAGAGGAAAATAAAATAAAGCATAGATAGAGACGGATGACTCGGGGGTATTCCGGCAAACAGAAAGCAAAACAAAACGAGAAGATGGACTGAATCACAATGCAAGACCGTCTTGACTGTTGATCAGTTCCAAATCACAGGTCGCTCCCTAACAGAAAAAAAAAGAAACATAATAGAGGACTCAAGGTTCATTGAGCAAGTGGACATGAGTGTGACGAGAACCAAAAAGGAAATCAAAAAGAAGGGAAGGAGACCGACCGAAGGCTGATGTGCCCAGCACAAACATAACCTGCCAGGTCGATGTCATCTGCAAATCGGCAGGCCCATGCAAATATCAACAGATACGCTGCAACAGATCGAGATGTACACCAAGTAAAGTTAACTATGTTATTAGACTCTGCATGCCTTATGCCGAGTTAGATTGTCGCTTGCGCTGGGACATCCACTGCACGAGCATGCTATCAAGTTGAGTGTTCAGTTCTTTAAGCCTCTTGCTCTCTTCCTTGAAGAGACGGCCTGTGACAGGGTGATCAGCACCAGCAGGGGGAATGTTTGATTTGTCATGGACAATAATGAACAGGTCGCGAATGTCATTTTCTTCGTCCAGATATGATCGTAAACTAGAATCGCTCCACGTTGGAGTGTCCACTGAAAGTGTATCGAGCGAACCAGGTGTGTTTTTGGAACTTTGTATGTCATGTGTGTCGACTTCAGGGGACGACGGCGGAGATAGTGGTGAGATAGATCGCGCCTCGTGTATAGCTTCCGGAGAGAGTCCCGGAGCAAGAATGGGTATATGGCCTTCGATGGGTGAAACATTTGGGGGAGAATCTTTCTCTTGTTCCGGGTATCCTGGTGCCAAGTTGGGCGTGAATTTTTGAGGTGGAGACATGACGGAGGGCTTCGAATTGGTTGTCTGACTAGGGGTATCATATTGTCTTCTTCGTTGAGCTTCGATTGAGGCTCGTTCTTCTGGTGATTCAAATGGATCTTGTGATTCATTCGGAGTAACAAATGCTTCCTTGGAAGGACTGAGCTGACTAGCAGGGGATCTCATAGGTCCTCGGGCCTCCTCAAAGCTAGTCGTTTCCTGGGATGTGACTCGTCGAATAGACTGGCCGGTGTCGTTGCTGGGCTCTGTGGATGTTGGTGACATGGCGGTCGGATGTGATTTCTGTAGTTTGTTGCTAGTCTGTCTCTGTGGTTTAGATGTCTTCGATTCCAGTGACTCCAAAGAGGTCTTAGGCTGGGGAGAAGCTCGGAAGGCAGACTCGGTTGGCGATGTGAGGGATTCTTCGAAGTCATCGTCGGTCGACTTAGTCTTCTTGTCCTTGCGCTTGAACAGTCCGCTGAGCATTCCAGGTTTCTTTTCCTTGCGTTTCCGATCTTCTTTATCTTTGGTCTTATCTTGCTGAGAGGTTGCTTTGTCCAAAGATTCGAAGCTACCGCGACCATCTTTCCACTCGTGAATAATGGCGTTTCCGGTGGTCTCATCACGTAAAAGATTCGGTGTGAGGGTCAGTTTCTTTGGTTCCGCGGTGTCATCCTTGAAGAAAGAATCTGTGTTCCGTACAGTGCCATTTCTGGACCGGCTGACAGTAGGTTCCTCCGGGTCGAAAAACTCCTCACTAGAACGCCGGGGCTCAGAGCTTGTACGCTCGGGGTCTTGCTTTTCTGGTGAGCCTTTCCCTTCTGTCTGATCTGCCGACTTCTCTCTCTGGCCCTTCGGGCGAAGTGGCTCCACGACAATATCGTCATTTTGCTCTTGTATATCGCCTTCCTCCGATTCCACAGTTTCTGTCTCATCGTCATTAAAGAAGTCACCGTGCTCGGAATCTTCATCCGAGGAATATTCCACATCCGATGCCTCGATGTAAGTTGGGGGAGCGAAGTTGACTGTTTTTGCGTTCCGTCGGCGCATCGCCTTCTTCAGAGGGTTTTTAGACTTTTCTGAGTTGTCGCCTAGCATGGTTGCAGAAAGCTGGGTTATGTCAATAAAGGCCGCTCCTGCGGAAAGTCGTCTGGGATCACTTACGTCAACGTTGCGGTGTTTGTTTAAGCGAGCGAGTCTCTCCGTGGGTGTCTCGATGTGTTCAGCGGGCAAATATCCTTGTTTTTGTTAGTCAGGCGAAAAAGAAAGCATGAGACAGAGTTACACCTACCGATGCTTCCATCCTTAACAACGCGAACCAGCCACCAATAGCTGTTGCTATCATCCAATAAAACCATGGTATCACCCTTGGAGGCATTTGCTTGCCCATCGACTGTTGCGACAAAGTTGTGAAGTGCGTAAACAAACTCGAAATCGATATCCTCTGTACATCATAAGCTTGAGTCCAATGGAAATACAGAGCCGAGGAAGGGAATATTGACGCACCGTCATCTATAGAAGGGGAGCTAGAGATTTTGTCCATGAGATCATCATCCATTAGATCATCGCTTTCTCCATCTGCTAGGTCCCCATCCTCATGTTCATATGACTGATCCATATTCTCTTCAGTCTCTTCTTCTTCGTACCCTCCCACACCGTCTCGATAACCATGATCATTATCGGGGCCGCTTAAAATCTCAGATTTTGTATCTTGTTCAGCGTGTCGAATTGACTGCTCCTGATGAGGGGCAGGCCGGCCGACCCCTAACGGAGCAGGTTGTTCAGGTTGCTTGGTGTGATCCTTTGCGGACGGCGTATCGTGGTCCTGGAGGTCCAAGGTATCTATAGCAGGATATTGTCAGCGCGATACTTTTCATACATTACTCGGGCAACCAATTGAATAATTTCTCATACCGGCTCGAACAATCTGTGGTCTTGTCATGTTGCAGGTGAAAATGAATGTGGTATCGGCGGTGAGTGGTGGTAACACAAAGAAGCTCGGGGGTAAGGAGCGCGATTGTTTGGATTAAACTATGGGCGGTTCGGTAACGAGAGGGGAAGAAAGAAGCGAATAAATTAAATGCAGTCCAAGCTGTTGCGACGATATTGCAACTTGAGCGATTCCCAATTTCCAATTCCCTTGAAATAACAGGGCCTGAGTAAAAGAGGGGGTCCGGTCACCCCTAAAAGAAAGACAGCGCCTCGACGGACAAAGGTAGAGGGGAAGGTGGAGAGTGAGTACACTGCGGGCACCTAGGCAGGGCACTTAGAATAGAAAAAGGGAAAAAGAAAACAAAGTACTGCCAGAGCGACGAAGGGAAGGACAGGGTCGAATTCAGGGACAAATCCCCGGAGACCAGAGCGAAACCACCAAGGAGGTATTCCAAAACAAGCGCCCCTTGCGCGCGGCTACATCTGGCACTAGTACCTATTTAGGGAATGAGGTACATGCAACTTCAGAATCATGTGACTGTCGACCCCTGAGACTGTGATCCGAATTTGGATATGTAGGGCTTAGGGCTATCATATGCATGATGACGTAGACTCGTACATTCCTCCCCGGGTGTCAGCTGATGTACGATATGATCTTCAGCTAAGCCTAATCGGGCGTCAATGTGATGACATAAGGCCATTGTAGGTCCCCTGTTGGCCCCCGGTGTGCCCCGAGCAGTTGAACATGAAGTAAGGTTGTTCCGTCATTTCCCGACGTACTCCAGTTCCTCTCTCTTGGCGACCAATCTCGTGTCGTACATTCCTAACTGACCTCACCGAGCAGGGTACCTCACTTTTTTCTTTACTTCCCTTCTACTTTCAAAGTACACAAACCTCCAACTTCAAACAATTCATTACCCATTTCATCCCTCGTTTTTGTGATTTAACAGGGTGCTTTACCCCGCTTTACACATATATCGCCCCGCTTTTTCTTTCCGATCCCCCAAAAATTCAATCGTCCGGGGAAAAAAAAAGCAGAGGGTTCAAAGAACCCGACTGCAAGCCGATCACAGGCTTTCAATCCACAACGATTTCCATCCCAGTCTCGAGGGGGGTATGGCTCACCCGGAGAGCACCGGGGTAGCAGGCTTGCGGATTGAAACATCATTTCATCAACCAAGATCACGATGGGCAGGGGATGAGGAGGAAAGGGAACCGACCACTAGTGGCGATGGTATCGACAGCGACCGCATCAAAACATCTCATGGTTACAACGCGCAGAGCCGCGATACTAATAAAGACGGCAGTGTGTTAAATGACTTACATTCTGCGACACCTCCCATCTCGGTTCCTCGCCCCGATAGTCGTCCAACGACCGACGACGACGAAGACGACGAGTTCCCTCACAAGCCTGACGATATACAAGGCTCGCCACTGGATGGCTACTTTCAATCTCGACGACCGTCAATCTCGTTCAACCCCAGAGTATCTTTAGACTCGGGTCGCGACCAACCGCTGGGGGAACCACTGGCTCGTGGGGACTCAAAGAATCGGCCCCCGCAAAAACACGAGTCCCGGACCTCTGGCCTCCGGAATGCTCTGTCACAAGATGACTCCCACACAAACCAATCTTCCCACTCATGGGAGTGGGGTACGAGTCCATCCCAGGACCAACGGGGTATCCCGACCGGAACCTCCCGTCGGGGTCAATTCAGCATGAGCCCTGGCAATGAGTCAACTGGCACAGAGATTGATCATCCCACTTCCCTTACGTCTTTGTCAACGGCATCACCAGTTCAAGAAGAAGTTCGTACACCCCCTGGGAGTGTCAAAGATGACCTCCTATCACCTCTCTATATTACATCCCCTACTCAACCTTTCGCGTCCCCGGAGGATCGCAGCTCATGGTCTGGAGGGGTCATGACTCCATTTGGAAGCAAACCCCGGAGCTCCACATTAGATCGCAGCAGCAGCTTACGGAATTCTACCCGCCATGGCTCTCGGCGCTCCACCACCTCAAGCGGCAAGTCCCCGGCCAGCATGTTTTTGTCCATGTGGTCCAATCAAGGCCAACCAGAGGAACCGGCCGCCCAGCCCGATGACGAGGGTCAACTTGTCGGAACCGACTATGTCCTCGGTAAGCAGATCGGTTTTGGAGGATTCAGCACTGTCAAGGAAGCCTACAAGGTCGAGGGACAAGGCCAAACGAAAAGTGTAGCTGTCAAGATTGTTAAAAAGCAAGTGATAGGCCGCACTGAGAAAGAGAATGAGGATGTTCAAGCCGAGTTCGATCATGAAGTGCGAGTCTGGAGATGGCTCAGTCACCCCCATATCTTAACTCTTGATGCCGTATACGAGACGGATTTTGCTACATTTTGCTTCACCAAACTTGCGATCGGTGGAACTTTATTCGATCTTGTGCGCCAAAATCGACAAGGGCTTGATTCTGACCTGGCAAAGAAATATACTTATCAACTGGCTTGTGCCATTCGTTATCTGCACGAAGACGCCCGTGTTGTGCACCGTGATATCAAACTTGAGAACTGTCTTCTGGACCCGGTCAAGAACCCCGATGGCACCACCTTCTCTACCTTGGTATTATGCGACTTTGGAATGGCCGAATGGATGACTACCGACAGCGGCGCCGATAGTCCCGACCCTTATGATGAGGTTGCAGATCGTCCCCCACCCAGTAAAATGGGACCCGCTGGCTCTAGTACAAGTGTTGCTGGCAGTCTTGAATATGCGTCTCCCGAGTTGCTTCAGTCCTCCAGCGGGGTAATCCACCCGTCAGTCGATATCTGGGCATTGGGGGTTATCGTGTACACCGTTGTCGTCGGGTCACGTCCTTTCCAAGACTCATTCTTGCCTCGCATCCAAGCCAATATTATCGCCGGTAACTGGAATGAGGATGCTGTAGTTGGTGAAATAATCGACCAAATCTCACGAAAGGACCGCCAAGATGCCCTCGAGTTGGTCAAAGGCTGTCTCGAGATGGATACCAGCAAGCGATGGACCATTCGTGACGTCCTCGAATGCTCCTGGCTTCGTGAAGTCGCTGAGTCGAGCAGTGATAGCTCCCCAGAGTCTCTCTGGAGGCTTTGAGCTTTCTATCTCCTGTATAGAATCAAGAGTCGATCAATGCCTTGCATGGGCAATATACTAAAGCTGAGGGGTGACCTTCGGCTATATGAAGTAACGATTTTAACGTTTGTGTGTTTTTGATTTTCGTTCGAATTTTTTCACTTTTTTGAGTTTCGACTTGCGTTTATTTACAGCGATGGGTTCTTGCTTACTTTTTTTCGTTTTGTTTTTTTTCTTTCTTTGGCTAATACCCATTCGTTTCTCGGCGTGCGCAATTAGCATGCTCTTTTTCGAATTTACCTGGGTGCACTCCCGGATTGCATTATGAGGTTTTTTATTATGCACTGGATATGATACTCTTGATGGCAAGGATGGCGTTCTATTCTGAAGCGTACTTTTCTCCGCTTCTACCTTCGTTTCTTCATCGCTGTCTGATATTGTACTTTTATATTTGCTATGTCTCTGCTCATGGTCCATGCAGCTTTTTATTAAGGTGGCTGGTCTACCTCAAAATGAAAGTAAATATCTTCAACATATTTAAATCTTTCCCAGTTCTAATAATTCATTTGCAAAGGATAGTACATATCTTGGCAATTGAAAATCACACCATGTGCAGCCTGAGTGATTTACTAGTACCACCCACTACTAGTAGCCTTTAAATACCTCTACATCCTCTAAAATCCCACATGTATGTACTACATCTTACTAGTCTTCTTCACTCGAAGTTTGACCCAAAGATTTCAGTAAATTGTCAACAATTTGAGTCTAAAGCTGCAGTTAAAAGCTGAACGGACGGCATGTCCAGTATTATATAGCACATCTTGGTCCCAAGATAGCATCCTCAACGTTTGAAGACCCGGTAATTCATCCAAGGGTACATGGTAAGTATCTGTTTCAGGTTACATTAGCAGGATTCCCGTAACAATACATCTATATACATCATACAAAAGCCACTCACTTGCATTTTGACCTTGAACTACCAGTATTTGGCAATATTAATTCACGACGACCTTAAAAGATCCGACTGTACCAGGAGAATAACATGGATCCCACATTAATTCATCTGGAGTCCCTGAACAGTCAGAGCTTTCGTATGCATAAACCCAGAAGCCGTAAGACTGCGACAGGATACTTTTTATACCATCCAAGGTCTGACAAGACGTAGAAGAGGTAGCTGCTGTTCCTTCGTAATGCGTACTGGTTCCACTGCAATCAGCCCCGGTATATGAATCAAAGGAGTAGTAGCCTTGAGCAGTCGCGGTAGAAGCGAGGCTAAGCAAGAAGGAGGGTAAAAAGATTTTCATTTTGAGGGATATCGTAGAACAACCCGAGTTGCAATTATCCAAGTTCAGCTGAGGGATGAGAGCTGATAAATATCTGGCCTGGAAGAAGATCTTTACCCTAAGTACAAGCCCAGGGACCGAGAGTCGAAGTACATGTATATAGTAGCGCTGCTCGCACTTCAAGCTGTGCCAATGTTCAGGTGGGGCCTGGATTTGTCCAGATCCTAGTCCATCAATCCCACGCCAATGATCGTCTTAACACGGCATATTAAACCCAGTTAAGTGACCAACTCGTTATTACGTTAGGCCTGCACAATTTGATTTTCAGCTTCCTTCGGCCCCATGACAGGGGAAGACTAGCCGTATTTGTACGGGCTTGCGGTTCCCCAGGATCAGTCAATGCTACCCTGGGCGTGCAGAAGTTATCTTCACTCTCCCGATTGTCAAGATTATATCGGGCTAAAAGGTCCCAATGTGTCCGAAGATCGACAGAAGATGTTGGAGAAGTGCGAAGTGCGAAGTCAAATGACTGGGCAAATTTGGGGCTGCACAGCACAGCACAGAATAGCAATATTAAGGCTTTTTGGCCTGATGAGCTCATAGCAATTGAGAAGGGTCAGATCCAAATACCGATGGTCGAGGATACAATGCATGTAGGAGTATGTAGGCTCATCAGTAGTAATCAGTAGGCAGTTGGCGAGGGATCGAATATCTGAAATTCAAATCAATACCTTTGAATTAAAACGGTCGAATACATAGAATACTGCTTACCAGTAAAAGCCCCTCGGGCCTCGAGATAAATGAACGATTTTGGCCAGTCGAAGTATCATGAACGATCAGGATGTTCTGAATAAGATCATGCGATGTCTATACGTTGCATTCTCTAGGAAAGCCGTAACCACTGGCGGTGATGCATGATAACGCAGCTTGATAACGCTTGCACAGTACGGCAGTTTAGTACTAATCATCATTCCAGGGCAGAGTCAAAAACTAAGGCAATTCCACTCGCCCGGCAAGTGACTTTCCAAGCTATTCTTGAATGTGGTCGGCCATCAAATCGCATCGACTTGGTCATGGTACTATGGGGCCTGAGCCTAACGAATATTGCATCGTTGGCACCAGATGTGGGCACCAGATGTGGGCACCAGATGGCTTCGACTTTTACCACATATTCACTTTCTTTTGAAGGGCATCGCTGTAGTTTATTGCAATAGCTCCGATCGGATCTTTTTAGCGCTTTTCGCGATGTTTTTGTACATCCGCCTTCGTTGGCTGTCGTTCGCTCCCAAGTGAACCCCAGTAAAAAAATCGACTCGCTACATCCTCATGATTGTACGTTCGCCGCAATTCGCGTTCACGAGCCCGTACCTTGCTGTGGTATGACCTACTGGCACGGTTACGCCTCCGGTTTGTGGATGCGTTGCCAGAGAAAAAGTTCTTGATCCAGTCGAACATAGTGAGAAAGTTTGTTTGCTTTTGACCTCTTGCTGGTTACTTTGCAAAATGCGTGCTAATATTGCTTGTAAGTTGATTCGGGCCTCTTCGCGAGCGAGCAGGAGGCCATCGCTAATGTACACAGCCGCCTCACGAGCCAGCTTGCAAGACGAATCAGGCCAAAGCCCTGTTATTTCAAGTGGGGGCTAGAAAGCGGATCAAGGGTCCCAAGCTGCGACTGGACCCGTAATAGTGAGTGTAAGGTTCCTGTAAATTACATGTTATCTTAGCGTTTTCTGTGCCAAACATTAGGTCCGCAATGGCGTACCGATATTCAAATGTTCCAGGTTGTACCAAGACATCTACTATAAAGACGGTCAAACCTGCCATATTACTTCCATAAGACAACTCCGTGCACGTATACAGCTTCAGCAAAAGTGCCCTTCTCTTCTCATCATGGCAAAAATACTGGAAGAGTTTGCTCAATTAGAGCATCTCTGGGACAAAATAATCGAATTCCCAGCGGATTATCTCACCCGAGGAAAGACACCAGATGATGGATACTATTAACCTCTTGAAAGGTGTTATAAGCGAGTTCATGCGCGTTGTGAGTGTGGAGCTCATGCCCAAAGTTGAGATGTGTTCCTATTGCTAGCTTCAAATGATGCAATCAAGCCCCTACTCCTATTACAGCTCGAGATACAAGTACAACCTCGAGACGTTCATTGAGAATTGCGGGATTACTGCCAATACTACGATTCCAGATGATATTGCTGTTACTTAACCAGAAGACAGCCCGCTTTGCCCAGCTGACAGCTCATATACAACCAAGGATGGTCATAGTTGCACTTCCATTGCCCTAGAATTTTCTGTTTCATCTGCAGCCCTATATATGGGCAATCAAGATGAAATACGTGATTGCAATCAAGTTGTTGTGGGGGAAGAATTGTGCCTTCCCTTATCATGCAACATACCTATGTTCTCAAGTCGAACGACACATGTCGCAGCATTGAAGAGGCAAATGCAGATATAATGTTCGATAATAGTACAAAGAGGACGGTTCCTCTTCGCCAATTGGATCCCTGGATCGACATATACTGCAAAAAAAATTCAAAGCACTGCTTGGGCCTACGGAGAAGTCGTATGTCTCACTCTTCAGTCTGGGCTTTTCACGCAACAGATCCTGTATCTACATCCTATGATCCGTGGGGCACAGAAAGCTCTGGATACGGTTCATATGTGATTTTTCCTCCATCGAATGCCACGGTAGCAGTCGGGACTGCGGAGCAATGTGGTAAATGGCATGCAGTTGCATTTGGGGAGTCTTGTTCACAGATTTGTGTCCAAGACAAGATCACCAGCAATTGGTTCCTGGCAGCCAATCCTTCCCTAGAGCCCACAAACTGTACAGGGCTCCTAGTCCCAGGAAGTGCGTACTGCACTCGTCCTATGCGTGGGTGGAATTACACTGTGGATGCGACTTGATGGAAGAACAAAAAGGTTAGAAGCAGCCCTTTGAATGAGTTGACATTGAAATCATTGAATTTTAACACATTTCTACGTTTAATTTGAAGACTACTTACTACGCGATGGTAGCTGCTAGAGCATCATAATAATTTGAGCACTACAAAAGCAACCATAGTACCTATAAAAAAAAGAACCTTCACTAATGGATATTTTCGCGCATATATATAGCTACAAATACAAATGTTCCCAGAACAAATCCAAATCCATCCACATAATCTGACAATCACCAACTCAAATCACATCTACCAAAGTCTATTCACAGGCAGAACCTTCTCCTTCTTAACACCAGCCGCCGACTTACGCTCTTCAGGCGATCTAAAGAACAAACTAGGTCCCTCAGCTGGCTTAAGCAAATGAGCCAGATATCCCCGATGCGCAGGATCACGATAATACTCAATGTCACGACGTCTCGCCGGATCCGGCAACCGATAAGCATACCCCTTGGCCTTCATAACAGCCTGTTCGTCGACAACAGCTCCAGCTTCAGGCCCAGCTTCAGCTTCAGAGGCCTGCTGAGCACCCTTAGCCTCAGCCTGGAGCAGAGCCTTGGAGCCACTCTCTGCATTCCATTGCAAGGAGATGAAGGGGTGAGATTCGTTAGCCATAATGTGTCTGATTGCGCTGCGGGTGTAGAAGCGGGTAGCGACTGTGCCGCCTGCTGCTTCGATGGCTGAAATTGCTGTGCCGCTTGCGCGGGAGACGACGAGGTGAATTGGTTGTTTTAGGACTGAGGAGCCGTCGCCGAGAACCTTTACGCCGTCTTTGTATTGGTGAATGCAGCGGGATTGGGCGAGTTCGCGGACTGTGATAGGGCGGGTTGGGTCGATGCGGCCTTGGTCGATCCATTCTTGGATGCGGGAGAGGTTTACTGGAGCCATGTCGAGGCCGAAGCTGGGAGGGATTGTTAGATTGTTTTTGATTTGGGTTAAAATGAATATCGAGATTTTCGCTTGAGGGAGGGAAAGGAAGCGTAAAGGAAGGAAAATATAGTGCTGGCTTGGGCTTGGGTTTGGGAAAGCGTAAAGAAAAATGAAATGGTTTGCGTACATAGTGGTTCCTCCCCGTTCACCATTAACGACAATATCGAGAGTCTGACCACCATTGAAGCGCGCTGGAACTTTTCCATGCTGCTTCTGACCCTTATGACCACGACCGGAGGTTTTACCCTTGCCAGAGGCAGGACCACGACCACGTCGGATACGCTTGTTGTACGCGGAGGGATTGTCAGAGAGCGAAGAGAGGACGGAGGCATTGCGGGCCTGCTGGAATTGGGGCGCCAGGAAAAGTAGTGGCGATGATGATAATGGGCGCGCAATGAATTGCTGCAGCTGCGTGGGCAGCCCCATTAGTCGTTGTGACATGGTGATGGTGATTTGGCTGTTGCTGGTGTTGCGGATGCTGGAGAGATATTTGATCGGGCGGAAAAACGGTCGGGCCGGGATACTGGATTTGGGCAAAAAAGGAAACAGTACGCAGCCATTCCTGAATTCAACTATGAAATTATTTGTTTCTTTAAGGAAAATTTCGGAATTACTGTCATTTGCAGGGAAATTCATGGGCAGGAAAATAGGTGCAACAAAGAATTGAGAGACAAACCTTTCGCTATCGGTGCATCTACTTCATTTTAGGTGGATTTAGCTATATTCTTTACAGGGAACAAAATATGGATGGAGATATTGAAAATCTAAATTCCTATGCTGCAAGGCTTATGCCTGCTAAGTAAACGCCAAATATCATGCAAATGCTCCTGCAAATGCTCCTGCAGCAATAACAGGTGTTGTCATTGGCAACACGTGTGAAAAATAAAATAAAACGCCATGAAAGCCACCCCCGATGAGTCAGGTTGGGTGAGCTAAAACCGGAAAACACTTCTAGGTGACAACGCCTGTCGTATGCGAGACAATTCATAAAGTGATAAAATCCTGTACAAGAAGGGAGATAAAAGTGATGTAGAAGTAAGGGAAGAGCGATGTAGATGTACAGCGAATGAAGTAAGTTTTTGGTCGTCGTGATAAGAGTCGTAAACGCGATCACATCGTGATAATGGAAGATAGTGGTTTAGCCGGAGAAGGTTTGAGAGGGAGTGTAGAATGGGTGACTGGCTTGGTTCTGAAACCAGGACTCAGAGGGGATATATGGCAGGAGTCCAGTCTTTCGATCAACAGATCCCTTGCTCAGCGGTTGGTAATGCATGTGGTCGAATGGAACACTGCGTTGCTGTTGCATGGAGGTTGAGGGAGGTGGGATCAGCAGAGTGGAGACCGAGCGAACTGGACGGTAGGGGGAGTTGCGGTTGGCGAGGAAGAAAGATGGGGAGAGGTGAGTTTGAGGGGTGTGAACGGAGTATGCCGAGACAGCTGGAGAAACAGTCGAAGTTGAAACGCCATACGGGTTCTGGTGATGGCGACCCAAGTCTGGAAGCTGTGGAGCGTTGTATGCCACGGGAGGAACGGCTGCGGAAGGCATTTGCTGAGGCTGAATCCAGTTGGAGGGACGGCTGTAGACTGGAGGCATGAGAGCAGACGGCATTGGGAGTTGCGAAGCTACCGTTGTGGGGAGAGATTGGGGCATTGGGTTGGAGGTTGGAGGAAGGTTCATGTTGAGTGGAGGCAAACGAGAGACACTTCCGACACTTGGTCCCTGAGCCACTGGGGCGGCAGTTGGTGTGAGGACAGGAGGCAGAGTTGGCATGGCATTAAGTGCGCTGGAAGGAATGCTCAGTGGTCCTGGTACAGGAGCAGGATTGCTCGCTGGGCGTACAATCCGTTTCACTGGCTGTAGATCGCTCTCGTCATCACGGCTGCGCTTGCGAGATGCTCCGGGAGTAAGCTCGCCCAAGTGCGGGGCGGGGTAAGGTAATCCGGAAACAGGCATGTACCAGTTGGGCTGGGATTGCGGGCGGAATTGATCGGATGGGGGCGATGGCAACTTGGACGAAGGCGATTGGGGCTGCAATCGCGGCGGCGAGATGCGCAGGACGGGAGCTTCCGACTCGACGGGGAGCATGGATGCGGCGTTGAAGTAGTCGCCAAAGAGGCTCAGTTTTGTGTGCCATCGAGACCATTCAGCCTCCGAGGCAAATAAATCGTAGCGGATGTTGCTCAGAAACTCGACCTCCATGACGTGGATTTCTTGCACAGCGATGCCTGAGACCTCGGCCCACGTCTTATTGGTGTAAGTGTTGTCGTCAAGAACTGGAGACGAGTCAGCAAAAAATGAACCAATCAAGACCAGACATATGAAAGGCGGTCAGCTGATAAGAGAACACTCACATTTATTGCCGAGCATGAGCGCGACCGTCATAAGCCTGTATTCACTTCCTTTCTTTCCTTTTACCCCCGCATTGAACTTTTTTAATCGGTAAACGAACAACAGAGCGAGTAGTATCACATTTTGGCTGACTTGGGTGGTCGAGAGAATCCCGGAAACCCATCGTTGAAACCCCACGGTGGGGATAGCTTCGGCAACAAGTGAAGGTACTGGGTGTCGTCGTTCTTCGATGTCTTGTAATTTGGGGGTTTTTTCGAACCAGAATAAACAGGTCATCTGTGGAAACCGATAACATTAATCACTGTCCATAATCACGTCCAGTACAACTAAAGTAAACGTTCTCTTACCTGAGCTGCGAACTCGGCCAGATTGCCCTTGCTGTTATTGATCGATGAGGGAATCCGGAGTTGCGATCCGCTCGATGTTCCTGATGACTTCTTCGCTGCGGGTTCGGAAGCGACGAGATCTTTAGCGGGGGCCGGGTTGCTTGGCTTCACAGCTGTCACCATCGAAGACGACATGGAGTCAAATGGTGGCATGTGGTTGTTGTAGTAGTGGGACGACATTCCGGGCACTTTCCCTCCATGAGCTGCTGGTGGGAAAGCATTGTAAGTGATGCCTGTCATGTCGCCTGGTGGTGTAGGCAGACCGTCCCTGAAGGGAGCAGTCCAAGATCCCGTAAAGACCGGTTTGTGGTGAGAGTCCTGGGAGGTAAGGTCGATGGATGGTGTAATGTGACCCAGGTGTAAAGCGGACTGAGGGCCTAGCGTTGATGAAGACATAGGGATGATTGAGTGGGAGACGAGGTGACAACAGGCCGACACATGTGGGATGGCGGAGGCCGGGCTTGATCAGGGTTTAAAAAGGCGAACCAAACAAGTAATTCAGAGACCCATGTTCCTTCACGAGTACAGCGAGGATATCGACGAAGTTTCGGAATGAAGGAAACAAAAAGGCAAGTGAAGAAGACGGTCACGGTTGCCGTATCTGGAGAAAGAGAGGTTTCAATTGAAAAGAGTAGGGTAACTCCAAGTGAATGAAAGAAGTCACTTAGAAGAAAAAGAGGCTGATCGAGGCGACGATAGATTGGAGAATGAAGAAAGTAATATTGAATCTCTTCCAACGATAGAGTGATGTATATGGAAACGGCCAAGCCAGTCCCATATAAGGATGCAGACGAACTAAACCAGGATGGAAGTCGGGAACCACCCAAAATGAATGAGCCAGTCAGAGTGAATTAAAAGAGAGAGAAACCCGAATGGGAAAAATTAAAAATATAATTTAGAAAATAAAATCATCAAAAAAAAGGTGAATCGTGAAGGTCTTTTCCCCCAAAGGAACGTTCACGAGCCGGGAAATAAAATAATAATAAAATAAATCGAAAGAATAATTGAATCCAAGCCAGGGAACAACAAAAAAAGGACTATGAAGTCAAGGCATCATCTCCATTTTTTCTGTAAAAAAACCCCGAAAAAATAAAAAAAATAATCGTAAATTAAAAAGAAAAAAAAATTAATACTATTTTACGGCATGAATTCAAGTCCAGTAAAAAGGGAGAGCCAGGGTAAAGTTGACCCATCCGGAGAAAGCAGTCATTACGGGACAGAGTTTGACCCAGACGCAGGTCCAGGTTGATCCTCTCCTCGTTTGGAGTCGGGTTTGGTCATCTACGATGGTCTAGAAAATCTGAAAAAATATCCCATTATTTACATGTCTATGCTTCTCCATGTACGCTATAGTATCTAGTATACATTGATTCAATATTGTCATTACCTGCTTATATTAGATCTTATACTATGAAGTGAATCACCTCTTTGATCAGCCATCGATAGTATTAACTTTTTACCTTTTTAGCTTCACTTTCAGTTTTAATTCCATTGCCGTGATTTAATTTAACAGGATGGCGAAGTTTTAGTTGATGTCAGAGTCCGGGTCACAGGTGGATGCAAGCCTAGAAAAGGTAGGTCGCAGAGTAATGTTTACGGAGGTCTCCCATAGGGCGGAGCAGGGCGGAGGTGTTGGAGCGTAAGCGGCAAAGATTGAAAGTGGGAAGGGGGAAGGGTAAGAGAAAAAAAACTATGGGTCGGTTTAGTGAGAAGTCAAACACATCCCCATAAAAATAATAATAAATAATATGTAAAATGGAAAAAAAAAATTCTATTAAATAACCGGCCCCACAATTTTTCTTTCACAAAAATAATGAACCCTCGCTTACGAGGGTCCGCCACCCATATGGAACAGATCACCCATATGGAACATTTTTGCTAAATCGTACTACAACTACTATTTACCACACCACCATATAGTTAATTAATTAACTAAAAATAATAAACAAATCAATCAGCCATTTTAATATTAGAATACAAAATCAAGTTAATTTCCCCGGCGTTTTTTGGCTCTTCCATGCTTCCTAATTTCAACCAATATCTTCTTCCACTTCCGCTTCGTCTTTTCTTGATCGGCTTTTTCAGTCAATTTATATTCTTTTAGCTTCATTTCTTTGATCTGGCTTGAATTGATAATACCAGTGATTTGCGTATAACGGCGAGAAGCATCATATCTAGCGTGACGTGCTCCCATAATAGCTTGTGTAGAATCGAATTCCCGTTGCAGTTGGACAGCCAACATTGCCTGAGTCTCAGCACCCTTTACAAGCTTTGCTAGCCCTTCTTTAAAACGTTGAGTAGTAGGATCATATTGATTAATACGATCGCTAATTCTTCGAACTCTCTCAGCGGTTTTTGGGGTGCTAAACTCAGTATTTTGTGAGTTAACTGATGGTGTATCTTCCCGGGATATATTATCATAATATGGATCGTACGAATCCAATTCATCGGTAATAAGCTTAGAATTAATTGGCCAAAGGCCAGTTAATCTAAACCCAAGCTTGATTGTATGTGGCCGGAAGGTTTTGCGTCTGATTTCACTGATTGAATGTAGGAATTCATCCTTTGAAAATTTACGGCATCCAGTCATTGTAGCCGCCTCAACTGCCTCACTATGCCAGTGTTTATATACACTAAACACTCCAACATCGAGAGGTTGTAGTATATGGCTAGTATGTGAGAGTAAGAAGAATAGAATGATATCATTCTTCTCACAAAATTCAACAAATTGACGCGTTAAATGTGATCCAAAACGATCGCATAAAACTAGCCTCTTTTTCCCAATGGTACGAGAAATTGTCCATTTATGAAACAGCTGAATCCATTGATATGCTAATGTATCATTGATATAGCCAGTATCAGTTATAGCAAGATGCTCGTCGTCTTCAATTTTATCAAACCAACGTAGTAATGCTTGTTTAGCGCTTAGAATAATCAGCGGTGGGCATGTAAAGCCATCAGCCGAAACAGCCTCTAAAACAGTGACAGACTCGCGATTGGTAACTGAGCCATTAAATAGCTTCTTTTTTGGATGTCTTGTGATAATAAATTGATCGCGACCGACGCCAATTTGGAAGCCAGTTTCGTCAAAATTGTAGATATCTTGTTGACAGATGCCATATTTAGCCACTATACGTTGATAGTCTTGAAACCATCTCTCTATAACGGATTTATCCAGTGCAGTAGCTCTTTCAACATCAAGAGCTCGCCGACGTCGTATATAGTACTCAGGATACCGTTTAAGAAAACGCTTTAGCCAATGGTCGCCAATTTGTGGGGGATCTGTGGTGGTGTCGGTATGATCTTCTTCCAGAATTGAATCGGCAGCAATAGCAATTTGACGGCGATTTATTGATGCTCCGACCGCATCAAAATAATCAATATATTCACATAAAGCCTTCTCCTGTGCAATACTAAGCTTCCGGCCATTAGGTTGTCGTTGGAAAAGCGATTTTCCACCTTGCCAGCGCCGACGAAGACGGCCTTCAGGAACCGCGAATTCTCGCGCAGTCTTCCTAATATTAGGCTTAGATTGCTCAGAGAGAGACTCTATTGCCAGCTGAATCTGGTTCTCTATATCTTTATTGGTTTTAGGCATTGTTGGTGGTGTGGTAGATGATAATAGTGGTTGTGGTAAGATTTAGAAAAAATGTTCCATATGGGTGATCTGTTCCATATGGGTGGCGGACCCTCGTAAGCGAGGGTTCATTATTTTTGTGAAAGAAAAATTGTGGGGCCGGTTAGTTGGAACATTTCAGAACATCGGAGGACAGATCCAAGACCTGCTGGAAGGGAACAGAAGGTCGCTCTCGCCATGTATGTAGGACCCATATCAGATCCAATAATCAGGTCTGGTTTAGCGTTGTTGCAACGGCCCAGGGCTTTTTTGGTAAAAACGGTAAATTTGGTATTAACTTCTACGTATAATTGCTCCAGATGGCCTGGGTGGGCGACTAGTTGATGTATGAGGGTGCGCAAGCATGTACGCCTCCGGTCTTTCTTACCCCCCCCTGTACAGGGTTAAAGGGGGGCAGCAGCAGCAGGAAGTGCAGACCAGGGCTTAGGAGAAGTATGGGTGGCTGGTCACTAGTCCGAGTCGTCACTAGGCGGAAAGGAAAGGAATGGGAGGAAACAAAGCAACCAGAAATCGGAAAAAGTCCCACAAAAATTAAAAATAAAATAATAAATTTATAATAGAAAATACGAACAGAAAAAGGAAATTCGGGAAAATGAGAAAATGAGAGGGAAAAAAAAGCAACAGATAGACGAAGAAGCAAAAAGGCTGATGACCCAGCAAACCAAAGGGAATAAAATACCAGACAAGACGATCAATTTCCGGGTTCAGTATAGCCGGAACCCCGGCGTGACGGTAATGTTGAAGGTCCTTTCACCCTTCCAAGCCCTTTTACGCCCTAGAAGGGATAGGATCGGGTCTCTCGGAGACGTTTCTGGTTTTGATCGGCGTAAGAATGGTGTATGTAAGGATCAGGCATGCCATGCTGAGGTAATGGGTCTCCAAACGATGTCTCCTCTAGCCAATCATCAATCACCAACCAACTAGCCCAGCTCTCTTTCGCTCTCCCCCACCTGCAATAATCCAAGCCCGGAACACCACACACTTCATGGATGGTCACGGTCAGTGACTAAGGCCCTTGGGTAAAGTCAAGAAAGTGGACAAGCTGCAGATCAGCCAATCACACCCCCAAGATACTGGCCACACTCACTGGCCCGGATCCTGTCCTTTGACGGAATTCCAGGATGCGAGGATCCACACCTCAGTCTCACTATAATCCGAGCCACCCGCCTTCTGGGTGGCTGAATTCCCGTGCGAGGGGAGGAGGTACGACGGCCGAATCATGATCCCATGGGATGTTGGCCCTCAACTGGATGCTGCAATCATGACACCGTCACCCTACAGGTGACTAATCGCGTACTCCCCGAGGCTGTTAGCCGCTCATTCTCCGCTCTTATTCGTCCAACACCTTCTCCTTTGGGCGTTTTTTTCTTTGATTGTATACTGTATCCTTGATCATTTTAAATTTTTGGAGCCATTTAGTGTATTCTGTATTTTCAACTTGTTTTTTTGCCTTCCGAACTAACTATTTTTTTATTCGGTCTGTTTCTTCCGACCACGGTCTTTTCCAGATCGTCATTCGAGATGGGGGTAATCTTAGACGATCTGGTATGAATGAGACTCTGCTCCGGGACTTTGAGTCTGACCGGGGCCCTCGGTCCCCATGAATTGGGGCCCAATAGTACGAAGTACTTATTGACGATTCCGTATGGCGTACGGAGTAGGATGTACTTTTGGCTCCTCTTTTCTTTTTGGATCAAATTATCCTTGATTGCGAAGTACCGAGGAGGCTATCTCTGTAGTCTGATGATTTCAGGGGGTT